GCAAGAGTAGACAAGCGTGAGGGTAAGTCAGCGATATACCACGATTGGACGACGGTATTGATACCACTCAGCCGATCCACTCTTCGCAAGAGTAGACAAGCGTGAGGGTAAGTCATCGTTATACCATGATTTGAATGATGGTACTGATACCGTTCAGCCGAGGCCGACCCACTCTTCGCTCGAGTAGACAAGCGCGAGGGTAAGTCAAAGGTGCTTGTTAAACTGTTTCCACGATACTCATATCTTTTTTCTGAAGCCGACCCATTATTCGCAAGGGTAGACAAGCGCGAGGGTAAGTATGATCAGTTTTATGGCTCCTCGATGATATTAATTCAATATAGCCGAAGCCGATCCTCTTTTTGCCAGGGTTGACAAACGCGAGGGTGAGAAATCTTAGCCTGAATAATATTGCTGGAAAACTAACAATTTTTTGTTCAGCCGATCCACTTTTCGCTCGTGGTATGTGTATCAAGTATTGTGTGATGCTTTTTATTAACATGAGCACAGTGGATAAGCGTGATCCTCTCTTCGCCAGAGGTGAATATGATTGCATTGACTTCACGCTTCTGGTCTGTTATTAACGTTGTGGAAAGTGGACAAGCGATCCCCAGAGCCGGAGCCAGAGCCACTTTTCGCTCGAGGTACGTATTTCGTTGAATTACATTGTTCAGCGCTGAACATGTAGTAGTTGACAAGAGAGATCCTCTCTTTGCTCGTGGTACGCATCTCATTGGTGCTTGATACGTCTGGTGCTAAACTATACAAGTCGACAAGAGAGACCCTCTTTTCGCTCGCGGTCAGTATTATGTATTGGCTTTTGTGAATGATGCTGAGTAATTGCAGTTGACAAGAGAGACCCTCTCTTCGCTCGCGGTATGAGCTTTGTGTAACGAAGGAAGCGCGAGACTAATTCCGATTTAGTTGACAAGCGCGATCCCCTCTTTGCTCGTGGTAAGTTGTTCGAATTTTGAACTTTACGGCATATCTGATCACGTGACTAGTCGACAAGCGATCTCCTGAGCCAGAGCCAGAGCCGCTCTTTGCTCGTGTTGACTAAAAGAAGGCGAATGTCATCAAATTGGATGATTACAGCGGAATTAGACCGTTATGAAGCCGGTAATGGCCAGAATATATGATAGCACCGACAGAAGGCGTTGTGCTTGGGGATTGTGTTGGTAGTTGGCTATGTGATGCTTGAAATGAGGATGCTGTGACTATGGGCATTGACGGGGAATGGATCGGCCCTCTTCGATGCAGGGGGATGGTTATACTTACACTCTTTGGGATATTTAAAGGATATTTTTTCTTAGCGTGATGAATACTATGGTGTTTCCTTAGACTGTTCATGTTCCTTACTCGTATTTGACATGTGGAAAACGCAGAGTCGAACTAAAAGCTTGTCATCGTTCGGAACTTTCCCTTCCTTTTCTTCGGAGGGCTAAGCGGACATCATCTTAGAAAGGTTCACCCTTACACCATTTTTTTCACTTCCGAAATGATTCCCTGATATCCAAATCACAGCGTTACAGGAAAAAATTTGTGGTGCCTTTTCTTTTCGGAGTATGTAAGAGCTCCAAGTTGTGAAATAAATATGATTTACTACATACGAGATATGTCTAGTAGAACTTGGTCTGCCAACGGGAGACACCAAGTTCAAAATTTCTCACTTCTCAATTTCACATAGATTTTTCAATAAAGTTGCCTTTAATTAATTGCAGCTTGGGAAGTCCACATGAATCCTTGTCGTCATTGCATCCAGAGGAATGCTCGTGTTCTCGAAAACCCTAGAGCACAGCTCCGTGTGTTCAAAGTCTGCCAGGTTACTGTCCATTCTCCACCCTCGTTGCCATGCCCGGTGCATGGCCTTCCATCCGTAAATACAATGAATAACAAAATACCGCCTATCCGTCCAGCTTATCTGGCCCTTCTGACTGACTTGCTCGTATGTCAGCTCCGTAGTGGCAGATGGGTCAGAATAGAATCTCCATGGCCCAAGTGCCATAAATTCGTCATGCAGGTCCGAGTCGAAGCATTCGGGCGATTGCCAGGCCATGCTCATGACATCGAAAATGCAACCCTTTTCCTGAGCCTCGGCAGCAGTTTCGCCGCATGGGTACTTGTAGCTTCTTTGGCCGTGGCTTGGCGGTTTAACCTTTTTATTGATAAGGACACCCAGTTTGCCGAGCGTGTCGACGGCGTGGAAAGAGAGGGCAAACGTGAGCACGATGAATGCGACCATGATGACAATGAAGACCGCCTTGCCGGCTTTGTATAGCCTTCGTCGTCTCTTCGACTGGTGGTGTCTGTGAAGAGGCAGCATGTCGAGTCCGTCAACGCTGTCTGTCTCTTCCTTGTTCAGTGGCGAGTAGTCTGGTGGTGATGCAGTGCCGGAAGACATTGAGAGGGAGTCACGAGATGGCTTGGTGTCCATGAAAAATAGAAGATATGAAGAAGACAAGTGGAGTTCATGCGAAAGGGAGAACTAGTCTTACTATCATCTCAGGTCAAAAGGCCGTCGTTTTCCAACGAAAGACGCCGGTACAAAGCTGCAACCTCTTGCATATTCCGGGTCAGGCTCAGAGTACGACAACGGGGATCGATGTGAAGCTCAACGCCTTGCGGCATGGAATATTTACGGAACGCTGATCATTGGATCAAGATCCGAACACGTCGTCTTTCACTCCGTCCGAGAACTTGACATGGTTTGAACATTGCTGTCACCTCCGGAGTTCTGTGATGGTGCCCGAAAAGGAAAGGTCCGGATTCTTCCTTCAGCAAGCTCCGAGACTTCATCCCCATACTCCTCGCTCTACAACCACTTCGGCCGGTGCATATGGACGCTTCAAGCCGCTCCCGTGTCGCATGGGGTCCTGGTTGCTACCCAGGGATGAAGCGTCTTCACGGTGGGGAGCTTCTTTCCGCTCGTGCCATTCATAGCCAGACATGTAAGTTGACTTCGTAACAACGTGATGTATACGCGAATAATTCACAACAATCTGCTGTGCTCACCTTCGGTCTCTCAGCGGTCCATCCCACCCCGTCTCCTTGATTTTTTTTTCGGCCTCAGAATGCGACCATTTCGTTTTCCCAGCGTACCAAAAACTCGCTCCCTAATCAAGTACCACTCACTTGAGGACGGAGACGATCGACTTTCAAACTATGGCTACGATCGACGTAGAGAGCTCTCTGTATTCAGACTCATTGCCCTAACCTGTAGTGCGGGTGGTCTTCAGGTTGTTTTGTCTTTGATCATGTCTAATGGCACAGCAAGTGTCCCTTTGACTGCCTTTTAACTGTGACACTAACATTCATAGCCTTTTCTTATTACCATAGGTCTGCCTGAATCCTTGACCGCCGTTGTGTGGGTGGTAGCTCCACTCAGTGGTGTTTTTGTCCAGCCCTATGTTGGTCTTCTTAGTGATCAGTGCCAGCTATCATGGGGCCGAAGGCGACCATTCATACTCGCAGGAGCCGTTGGATGCGTCTTCTGCATGCTTGGATTGGCTTCATCCAAGACAGTAATACATGGAATAGCCTCAGCGCTGGGGGCCAACCCTTTTTCTACAATTTCACGAGGCTTTGTTCTTATGAGCGCAATCTTATTCCTCTTTGGACTATATATTTTCATCCAACCTCTGCAAGCTGGCATCAGGTCTTTGATTGTCGACAGTTGTCCAACTCAGCAGCAAATTATTGCTAGTGCGTGGGCATCCAGACTAACCGGCGTTGGAAACATCATTGGCTACTTATTCGGCTTTGTGCCAGTAAGACGTCTCTTTCCATCTCTGAATATCAGTCAATTCGCATGGCTGTGCTTAGTCGCCTCCCTAGTTCTATCTCTAACCGTCATATCTACATGCCATTTCATCAAGGAGCAAGACCCTAGAACTCTACCCTCCACAGTGAGCGAAAAGAGGTCCTTCCTTGGAACCATAAAGCATATTCTTTGGAGTGCGAAAACAATGCCAAAGAAGATACAGGATGTTTGCGTAGTCCAATTCTTTGCGTGGCTTGGATGGTTTCCTTATTTATTCTATATCTCAAGCTATGTTGGAGATCTTTGTAAGTCGATATATATGATATTGAGTCTAAACTGACTATCAATAGATGCTGCTCCATTACTGGCCAAAGATATTTCGTCAAGTGGGCAAGCCTTGATCATTGAGGATGCAGTCCGCCTTGGGTCCCTTGCGAGCTTGGTCTTCTCCATATTTGCACTAGTCACAAATATGCTCATACCGTCACTTATCAAGGACGAGTCGAAGCATGTTTCTAGTTTGTCACATCCACTTCGCCGTATCACGATGACGAGAGCGTGGTCTTTGTCACACCTGCTGTTCTCCTTTACTCTACTATCAACGCTTCTCCCTCAGACCCAGACTACAGCTACCATCATAGCTTCAGTGATTGGCATATCCTGGGCTTTTACACTGTGGGTGCCTTTTGCACTTATTGGTCGAGAGATCGCAGCAAGGCAGGAATTGAATGCCAAGGTACTTGAAGGGGAGCTAGAAATGGAACCTTTGCGACAAGATCAAGCAGGTTCCATTATGGGCTTGCACAACTGCGCGATTTCAGCACCTCAAATTCTGGCAGCTCTCGTTTGCGGTTCTATATTCTGGATATGCCCAAAGATTGGAGTCCAGGACAGCATTGGATGGGTCTTGAGATTCGGAAGTGTTGGTGGCTTTATCGCAAGTGCTCTGGCTGCGAGAATGGATGCATAATGGGGAGAATTTCAAGACCTCATTACTTGATTCTTCCTACATATGCGCCACCAAGCCTGAACCCGAGCCACCATAGGTTTTTACTTTCGTTCTTGATCTGAGAAGGAAGGTGTATCAAAAGTCCCAATGCAGCAACCAGGTCGCCAAACGAATTCTTTTCAACGAAGGAACTCGCAGCAGAAATCGAGCACAAGATGTGTGTCTGAGATTTAAGACAGATGTTCTTGTCCTTGGTCTGATTTCGCCAAGGATGGCGTTCATGTCTGTGACGGTAGACGAAGTCTCACATCGGTTACTGGGAAAACCTTGTCTTCATGTTCAGCCTTGCTAGCAGGTTTGAGTACAATAACCTGATGGTAATGCATGCTGACGGCCTTGACAAGAGGTTGTCAAGCGAAGTTTGTAGCTATTGTGTATGCACTTCGTTAACGATGGTTTGACTACAGAGAGATCAGAAGTACAGATTATACGAAGTATCATAGAAGCTTACAGTTCATTTCTCTTTTTTTCCTCGATTGGGACATTCACTTGGGCGTTCTCAAACTCTTGTGGTGGGTGCCACTGTTCATATTGCGATGGAATAGCCTTTTGAAATGTGACCATTCGATACTTCAATTTTGAACATGCACTTCTGTCATTACCAAGTGCTCATGACGATGAGAGCTGAAAGTCGATGCCTTGTGAGTTGGCTTTTTCTACAACGTCGGAGTCTGATAGTATTTGTAGTTAACAATCTCCCACTCTCATACTAGTGCAAACATTCAGAGCCAGAGCTGTATACAAAGAACTTTCTAGCTATTGACATAGCCATAGATACGAAGCGCTTCTTAAGCTTGTGCTCCAGTACGAATTGCTTTTCCGACCTAGTATCCTGGGCTGCTATCAATGTATGCGTGGGAAGACTTGCCACGCATCCGATCACGGAGGTCGACAAAGGCTGCGCACGTGTTTGACGAACTCTTTGTGAAGTGCGCAAAAGCTTTCCCAAGTCAAATCAGACCAAGCTGTCTCCGGATTGATACTTAATAATTTAGAGACTGCCAGAGAGTTGTGACGTGATATCCTGCCGGGTAATGCATCCTAGCCGGAAAGAGGCATGTGCAAATCCTAAAGTCGGTTACATCCGCTGTGAGATGCATCATCTTACCGGGATTGTAATTGTTAAAATAGTGCCACTTTCAAAAGGGCTCCTAAACGAATAAAATCACGTGTTAAGATTGCGCGATTACGAACTATTTACAACACAAGGATGTAAAAGCTACATCAGATTTGACCTCGACATATCATAAAGAAATTTTTCTATGTAGCACGTCCTCCAAAAAGACTTTTCTTTCGCATTCAAATATATCTGGTCCGTCTCAAACGCACCGCATAGATATCCCATCCTTTCTCACAAGAGCCGAGTGTAATATACATAAAGGAATTCCTGAAGGCGTACATTTGAAGGCCAACAGATCATGATTTAGCTTTTTTGCTAAGTTCCGTACCAGGCGGTATCCTTAAGCCACCAAAAACGAGCCCACACACGGCAAGCATGCCAGCGCTACCGATCGCATAGGCGAATTCTCTACCAGCCCACCAGTAGAGAGTGCAGAACAGAATGGGACCAAGGGCTCGACCAATCTGGCCTGCACCCATGAACATGTCAGCGATGACATTCTCAAGCTGAGCGACATGAAACAAAGATAACATACCGAAACTTCTATGATTGCCTAACTTGCTACCTCTCTGCTGGGCACTCGCTTCAAAACTACTCAGGCTGTTCAGGCCCGTGACGACACTTCCGCTTGTAACAGCGAGAAGCGTAGCGGCGGCATAAAGACCGGCTTGTGATCTTAGTCTGCCAAGCAGAACGAAGGCGCCCACGCAGGCAAGAACGCCTATCTGCACGACACGCAAGGGGTGCACCCTTCTTACGACGCCACCTTGCATGATGCTTGCAACAAGGCCGATATATCCTAGCAAACGGCCAGACTGCGAGGAAGTATATCGGAAGAGGTCGTATGTCATGAACGGAAGAGAGAATTCCATGCCGGAGAAGAAGAGAATAAAGCTGAAATGTACGAGATTGAGCAAGGCGTGAGAATTCGTCCTGCGACGAACAGCCACCTTCGCCTTCAAGTTACTTCTCGAGGCCTTACTCTGCAGCTCCTTCGCGGATCCGCTTACTCCATTACCGTTTGCATGTCCGTTCTCTTTCCCATGTCCATTTTCTGTCACGGATGCGACGGACGGGAGAGTCTCTGGTAGACTGACCCAAAGATATAGCGTCTCCGTCACGATTAAGAACAAGGAAAAGCCCGCCGCCGTTGCAAAAGGATTTGAAACCACCGTTGTGATGTTGGCTAGTGCCGCGCCGAGAGCAGGCCCAAACGTGAAGGCAATACTGAAACACGCGCCCACAAGCGCCATAGTTGCGCCTCGCTGCTCGTCGGTGCTGATGTCCGTAGCAATTGCCGTCGCCAGCTGAACATTGCCCTCGCTGAGCCCACCCACCACGCGACTTGCCAGGAAAGTTCTGAAATCGGCTGCAAGAACCCACAAGGCGACGGAGAGAATGTTGCCCATCATGCTCCACAGCAATGCCTTGCGGCGACCGTACTTGTCGGAGAGTGTACCGATAATGGGCGAGGCAATCGCCTGGCACAGAGAGAAGAGAGAGCCAAGTGCGCCACCAAGTAGCACAATATCATACCTGTCGTTGATCGGCTTTGCGAAGGCATTTTTGTAGGCATTGAGTCCGGAGAATATCTTCGCAAGGAGAGTGTCGGGCGATTGGAGTTCGCGGGAGCGGTAGAAGGCTAGAAGCTGAGGAAAGAGGGGGAGAATGAACGTGAACGAGATCTAGATTGGTCATTTCGTTAGCACACGCAGAACATGCTAATGTCGCAGAGCTCGGAAGAGCAAAGAAACGAGGATAAGGAATAGAGAAAGGTGGGTAGTTACCAGGTCGAGAAGGAGAGATATAAACAATACTTTCAACACCTTCTTTCGCGTAGTAACTGCCACCGGCGCATCCTTTGCCGCCGCCATCGTCTTTCGTGAGCGCGAAGATTTGTTCGCTGAGCCAGAAGCCAAGCAAAGATTCCTAAAACGAGCGGGGGTCTTCGTTTCAACACGTGGTGGCAAAGTGTGCTACGTATGGATGAGAAGATTAATATGGACAGGCGAGAGGAAATGAATTACGACAACATACGTGCAGGGAGGGAACAATAAGAAGAGGAAGAAGAAGCAGGAAGAAGGAAGACAGATGCTGTCGGGCGAAAAGAAAAGGCGACGCTGGTGTACAGGTAGTGCAGTGAGGATGCGGAGCCGGGGATCGACAGCCACGAGGCTGATGGCCAGAAGTGGGAGGCGTGAGGTAATGCACTGAACGCAGGGGCGCTATTTTAAGGAGGCGCCCGATGATTCGTCAGGGGGAAGAGGCGCTGTTTTGGGGGTCCCTCTGTGTGCTGGTGGGCCCGAAACGCCTCTGTGGCCTTTCCACAGACACGAAACGTGGTCCTTCATGTTTGAAACTGGACAACGGCGTACCAGCTCACACCATCACGACTGTTCTGCAGATTTCATCACATGAAGGGGCCGATCGGGAAACACATCGTTGGCAATTCTTATGTATTTGCCACTTGTCAAGGAGTAGGCATTAAAACGTAGCCCTCTCGCTATGCTGATAAACTGTACTCTTCCGTCATTTCCATTCCATAGAGCGCCTTGCAAAATCAAAAATTCGTGGTTCAAGTTTACAATCAGTACGTGTACTCGCACAATGCTTCCCGAAAGCTGAACCGATGGTGCTCTTAGAGTGCCTGTCTCAAACGCTCATTACAAATACCAAACGTAACCGAGTGAAGATGGGGAAAGGGTCAAACTCGGTCAGGAAATACTACATGGGCACAAGCTCCTCCAATCCAATGCTTTGCGCATAGGCAGAGTGCGAGACAAAGACACTGCATCATCTGCGGTACAGATCTCTATCCCTCTCCCTTCTTTCCCGGTCACGGTCGCGGTGTCGCTCAGGACTCCGACTTCTTGTTCTTCGTTGCTGTGTCGGACGATCATGCTCTTCATAATCCAGCCTTGACGGCACAGGAGCACCAGCGCGATCATCTCCTCTAGAGGTAGGTCTGGAGTACCGATCGTCGCGCTCTACTGACCGTCGGTCATCGCGTCGCGGTGGACCGTTGGTGCTATAGTTTGGTATGTACGTATCAACGTTGCTTTGCGGCTTCGGTGCTCGCCCTATTGGGGCTCTATCGCGATCTCGGTTGTCGCGCAAAGGAGGTCCTCGAGCATCTATCGGGCGCGGAGGCAGCCCGTCTGGTCGTGGAGGCAGAGCATGGCGCATGCCATCCGGTGGTGGGGGCAGATGATGTGGTGCACGAACTGCGTGTGCTTCACCGTAGCGCGGCATGTCGCGTCTGCGATCGTAGTCTGCTTGATGAGGTCTGTGTTCGTGGTTATAAGCTGCTTGGGGCACACGACTTCTGCCTGGTGCCCCTCCTACAGCGGCCGGATATCGCGATATCCGTGGACCTCCACCGCTTGCCCACTGATCGCCATTGTTAGGACCCACCCAATCGTTGGGACCGCCGCCTACGGCACCGCCTTGTGGTGCTGGTGGCAGCTCCTGGTGTGCACCTCGTCCATGCCGGCGATCAAGTTCGTGGGAGTCGACAAAGTGGGGGATCTCATGCGGTTCCGCAGGGAAAGGTCTATTTTTAAAGTATGGATGCTCGAGTGCGTCGTGCGCGTTAATCCTTCGGCGCCAGTCTAGCGTGAGGAGTTCTTGTAGGAGTGAGATAGCATCGTCTCCGATACTGAATAATGTTCATTAGTGTCATATTGGCGGAAAGAAACACCAACAGTTGATGGAAGACTTACTCTCTAAAGACCGACCTAAGGTTGCCAGGCCGCTTTTCCCACTGCTTGACACCTTCACAACCTGGCAATTCTCTCCATCCGGGCATGTTTTCTTCATTGGGTGAGCCCACAAGCTCAAATATGATTTCTGCCTGGTTGAGATCGCTCTTGCCAGCCAGAATTGGCTTTCTCTTGAACATCTCACCAAAGACACATCCAGCCCCCCATATATCGATCGCAGGTGTATATCTTCGTAACTGGAGCAGCAATTCTGGTGGCCTGTACCACCTTGTCACCACAAGCGTAGTGTAATCTCGATGTGCTTCGCCATTTCCCCTCCCAGGCTGCGGTACTGGTTCATCGTAATGTCTCGCAAGGCCGAAGTCCGCAATCTTTAGAATCCCTTGGTTGTTGATCAACAGATTTGCCGCCTTCATATCGCGATGTAGAATGTTCGAGTTGTGCAAGTAGCGCAAGCCCTTGAGCAGCTGGATCATGTAGCATTTGATAATCGGTACAGTGAACTTTACGTCGCGATTGTCTAATAGTCCGGATAAATCATGTTCCATGTACAGCATCACCATATAAAGCATAGCCCGTTTCTTTTCTTTAGACCGCTCGACGGCCATGTCTTCGAGGCGAATGATATTCTTGTGGCTCAGCATTTTGAGCAGCTTGATCTCACGCAATGCCGTGATTGGGAAGCCATCCTTCTCGTTGTGCATTAAAATCTTCTTGAGCGCCACAACCGCCCCTCCTCTGATTGCTCGCGCTTTATATACTTCACCAAACGTGCCCTCTCCGAGTTTCTGCTCGATTTCGTAGTCGCGAATACTAGATACGCCGTGATACTTGCGATCGAGAGGCCGTGGCGGCGACGTCGGCGCCGCTGCCTGCGACATTATGGAGCGTTCTCTTCCGGTGTAGCAAAGTACTGTCGAGTAGCGTATACCTTTTAAGGTATGTGATTCTCGTGCACTTCTAGTGGACGCGTTATGAGCCAGCTGAGATTGGCATGAAGAGATGTTGAAGGTTTGGAAGCCGCAACGATACCGCCCTGAGTTGTCGCATAATAAGTTGCACTTGGACTAGATATGAGTGGAATGGTTCAATCAAATGGACGGGGTCGAGCGAGACCTGATTAACGAGAAAATTGTCAAACTTTGTTATTGTCCAGTTCACTTAACCTACGGGTCTTGACAGATGCCAAGACTTTCGGGGAACGAGAGCGCCGAGCAAGTCCCATGCACTGTTGGACAACCTCACTTCAGCGACTGACACAGCAACAAAGCGACAACATCGAGCAATTGCCATAATACAGTATGGAAATGAATCACATACCGTGAAAAATCCCTGACTTACCGACTTATAGTACCACTTAACGCGATGGCCCGCCCTCAACCTCACGCTCCAGGTGGACACCCCATTCACGTACATCCCGCGCGACCTCTTTATAGATTTGCTGCTACTGCTTTGGGTGCTAGCATGTGGTTTTTCGTATGCATAAGCAAAATTCCTACAGATGTTCGCCTGATGCTAACAGTCTGTAGCTGTTCTACAGAATGAAGAAGGATGGTCCAGTACTTCTAGGCTTGAAACATCCATGGGACCACTGATAGTCAGCAGCAAGTGATGGATGAGGAGATCCGCATGTGAAGAATCCACATAGAAAACGTGCAAATACGGCGTTACACTCTGGAATTATAACTTTCCGCTGCAGATGCTAGGCAGAAACCCATGTACATAAGATACCTACAATCTATCTGCTGCGACTACGCAGGAATTGGCACTGCAATATTCATCAACTATCCGTCTTGGCTGGTTTCTCGAACAAATAATGTGACACCCCCCAGGTATCTCCCCCATCGTAAGCGAACAGTTCTGCGCACGCCATGTAGAAGATCTCCCACCGGTAAAACCATATGCTTGTCTTGTCCTTCCCGTACGTTTCCTCCAGATGTGGCCAGATTGCTTTCTTGTTTTTGCCCATAAGTTTAAGCCAATCCTAAATATCTGTTAGCGGCTCCCCGCAACTATTTTGTGATTATACTTGCCTCACACGTCCTTGCATAATTTTTCCCATTCACCCACCACTGCTCTCTACACACAAGATCCCCTTGAAAGAATAACAAAAGATCAGCACTTGGCATCGTTCCCCCGGTGAAGAAGTGCTCCGTCATCCATCCGCCGTCAAAATCGTACGGTGTGCTGACATTACAGAATATATGCACAAATAGAAGGCCGCCTGGTTTCAATGCCCGAGATATTTTGGCCATCAACAACTCGTAGTTCTTCATATGCTCGAACAGCTCGATGGAGATAACGCGATCATAAGTATTGGGGTTGAATTCGTGATCCACGATGTCTCCAGTTATGACATTTAGGTTACTCAGGCCTTTCGAAGCGGCAACGGAGTCTATATGTTGCTTTTGTGTCCGCGAATTGGAGAAGGCTGTTATTTCGGAGTTTGGGAATCTCTCGGCAAGATAAATGGCCGCAGAACCCCAGCCGCATCTGGCACAGTGTAAATATGCAAAGAATATCAACAAGGACGGAAAGCGTACCCGAGATCAAGAATCTTCATTCCGTCCCGTAGCTTGGCTCTTTCCACGTACAGCTCAAGCATCTTATCTTCAGCCTCAGCTAAGGTCTCCCTACCAGTTGGATACAAACAAGATGAGTACTTCATCCTTGGCCCTAGCATGCCCAAGAGCACACCGGTTCCAACCTCATAATGCTGCTCATTCGCTTTCTTGGTTTCCACCGCAATAGGTCGAGTGCGCAACAAATTAACATACTTCATCTTGGCGGCATATGCCTCCTCGACAGACGTACTGGCTATTTCACGCAGTCGCTGGGCGAGGAGACGCCGGATACCCATACGAATGACAGTATGCGGAAGATATCCATTGTCGAGTACTGAATCGACCCATTTGCCGTTCAACAAAGTATCTTGCAGTCAATCTGTCTTAGTTTCACAAACACATGTCTTCTGAGTGAGTGTCTCATTACCTATACTCTCCATCATTCTTGCAGGACTCGGGATTTTACTTGCCGAATTCGGAACTCCCAGCTCTTTTCAAGCAAACGTCGCGGGCGATTTCACAACGCCAACAGTCAAAAGCCTAACTCAAAGATCTTTCATGAAGGAACGGTCACCCATACCGATAAAATGGGGAACACGTCTTAGATGAGGTGGTAAACCCTGGGAAAGATCCGCTTGTCTCACGACTCGTTTCTTGCCTCACCTCAAGAGCGCACCCGGTTTCAGCACGTTTTAGGGTCGGGGTGGCGTCATAGATCGCGAAGAGGCATCGATGACCGTGTTTGAGCATTTTCGTGACCCACAAAATGGAGAAACAGTCATTTACAGGCTGCTGAAGATTTCCCGCAATCTGTCTGTGTATCGCGCACAAGCCTTTCATTCTGAATACATTTTGATGCTGACTTCTTGAGGTTAGGGATAGAGTGGGGTACTGTGAACTCACGAAAGGCTTGAAGTGAACCGCTTAGTGTTCGACTAAAACATTTAGAATTGATCGCTTATTTCTGCTTATGTAGCTCCAGTTATCAACCACTTTTGTTATTGCTCCTAGGGTCCGCAAACATATCTCGAGCGGATTATGTGGCCTTTTCAAACGTCGAATTAATGCACGAAGCATACGACACATAGAGCTAGCTATTGTGCCTGGATATTATCACGGATGATGTTTTTATGAATTAAACCAGTTATTTCAGCTTTCCTTGCGGAGACTACGCAGAACGCTGAAAAGAAATAGCTGTGTCAGCCAATTCACTCCGCAAAATCAAGAAACTGTTACGGGAATTCCCGTGCCAATGTTTTCTACAATGGTTCTGAATTGCTTGACTTTCAATCTCTGTTCTTCTGTTCGTGATCACTGTTTATATCTGGTGCCTCAATTTGTCATGAATGGTTCGTCACATCGAGTAGTCTAGACCAGGTAACTCACTTTCATCTCAACTGCTTCGCAGCTAGCAAATGTTGACCGTTGATAGATGGTCAGACAGGACGTCAATGTCAACGAGGTTGCTGATTCAGATGTATCCCAACATTCTGTATAGTATGCATCTTGTGTCTCGTCTTTTTGACATCTACAAAAGGATGTGTTTAAAATGTCATTGAACACAGTCGAAGAGTCGAAGCTCAGGAGTATTTGGACCGCTTCCTGTCTACATATTTGCTTCAACTCAAACACCGCTCGAGACCTTGCCATCACAAGCGACATTCATTGCAGAGAAATCTCTTCCATCAGATTTGAGCCACTCTTTGGAAGCTTAAATGCATGCCCAGCGTTAATAGTAAAAGCCGCCTTTCGTCTTCTTGAACCCGTGGTAATACTTAGTACACATCAATCCGAGCCTCTAAAAGGCAAACTTATACCAGGATCAATACAGATCTAAGCGAACATCTTGGATTTAATCTTTATAAACTCAATCATCTACATTGGACAATCACCAACCAGTGTTTATCGATAGGTAAGCATATGAGGAGTGCAGTCACTTATGATGTCGCTGGATACAGCTGATGACAATTAGTCCAGTTGAGTTACAGGATTGGATGCTAATATCATTTTTTTGCATTATTGGGAGTAAATTGTACGAATACTTGTACACATGCAAGGATGGCTTCTCCAGAAGTTCCTGTGGTTGATAATGGAAATGAGTTGTTGCCACGTGATGATGCACGTGAAACCAACCCAGAGGTAATTTTTGACCAGGCACCAAGGCATCAAGGTCCACAACCTGCACACATCCCAAATTCCAAGAGGAGTTGTTAATTAGTAGCGACAACACATAATCCGCCCGCGCAACCGACCGTCACAATGAGAACTTACGACGATACCTTCAGCGGGCAGAAGATCTACCCTGGCAAGGTACGAATTTCCGATCAAGCCGTCCAATGTGTCTCTGGGCCATGGCTGTCATGCAAGAAAATGGTACAGCGACTGACTACAGCCATTAGGGTAAGCTGTACGTTCGTGGCGACAGCAAGATCTTCCGATTCCAGAATGGCAAGACCGAGTCATTGTTCCTCCAGCGCAAGAACCCTCGGCGAATTGCGTGGACTGTCCTGTACAGGAGACAGCACAAGAAGGGTATTTCTGAGGTGAGCTTTCTTCTCCCCAGTGCTTTTGCAAAAGGTTGTGGCAGAGGAGCCGACGTGAGCTATCGTAATCACGGGCGACTGTGCCGCAATTGACTCTCCGTCATTGCACTGCCGAAGTCAAGAAACTCTGAAGGTTTTCCTGGCCACCACTCACAATCATTATAGGAAGTTGCCAAGAAGCGCACCCGACGCACAGTCAAGCACCAGCGTGCGGTCGTGGGTGCCTCCCTAGACGTCATCAAGGAGCGTCGTTCTCAGCGCCCAGAAGCCCGCAAAGCTGCCCGTGAAGCCGCATTGAAGGACGCCAAGGAGAAGAAGAAGGAAGCGGAAAAGGAGAAGAAGAAGAACAAGGCAGCCAAGATCGCTGTTGCTGGTGGACGAATTCAGAGCAAGCAGGGTGCGAAGGGTGCGCAGCAGAAGGTTCAGGCCAATACGCGTTAGTCAATGAACAGTGGTTGATGTGATGCGGGGAGTGATAAATGCATGTGTGTGCGGACATGGCGTTCGAATACCGGACTTTGATATGGACGGGGAGCACCAGCTCTCATTTGTGTGGCTCTTTTCACGGGCCTTATATTATGCATGGCAAAGGCAAAAATCCCTTGTGAGGGTAGACATCAACTGACATGTGACGTCCTCTCGACGCTTGCAACCGTTCTATCTTTCTCCCCATGTCAAAAGATTGTATAGAGAATTGCGAGTGGGAAGTGAGGGCACAGTATGCGCAGGTCAAGCCGCATCATCGTATTTATCATCAGGACCTATTTGCGCCCAAGCTCTGGAAAATCTTATTTCATCAACAGGCTGACCACACTTTCCACACTCAACCTTCTCAAATCGCCGTAGTGTTGACCCGTTCCCAAGAAGATGACCGGAATACCGGTCGCATGTACCATACTAACCAGCGTGCCCACCATATCCCCAACGGTATCGCACTTACTAACAATGAATCCATCCAGTCTCCTCCCCGGCCCAAATGCCGCGTCAAAGTTGGTAGCCTGCTGCACCGAATCATTACCTACGAGCGCCTCACCCACCATGAAAATCTTATCTGGTTGGGCAAGCTGCGCGAACTTCTCCAATGAAGACATCAACCTCTGATCGTTGTGCCGGCGTCCCGCAGTGTCGATCAGAACGACGTCGAAATCCTGGTTTTTGGCGAATGCGATGGCATCCCTCGCAATTATTGCAGCATCTTTTCCATAGCCCTTCTCGAAGATCTCGACCTGACCACTGCCTTGTCGCTGAGTGAGTTCCTTGAGGTTGTTCACATGGACCTTGAGCTGCTCGACAGCACCAGAGCGGAAAGTATCCGAGGCAGCGATCAGAACTTTGTATTTGTTCTGAAGCAAGAAGTAGGCGATTTTCGAGAGGTTGGTGGACTTTCCAACGCCATTGACACCGACTATGGAGATGACATACGGTCGGTGTTGGGTTGCATGCACGGATTGAATTTCGCGGAGCAAGTCGGTTGGCGAGGTAGCGGTAAGGATCTTGGTGAGTGCTTTTTGCATGGACCCACGGATCGTTGATTCAATGCCTGTGAGTAGGGGGGTTAGTCTGATATAACTTGAAGTCGGAGCGATTCACGTACTAGTGAAGGAGCTCGTCTTCACGCCAACCAAGTCATGCTCAACACTGCTGCATAGCCGCACAGCCGCCTCACGAGCTACATTCTTCTTGATCAAGTGCTCCTCCATGCCTTTTAGCGGCTTGCTCAGATCCTCCTTGCTCAAAGTCTTCCCTCCGACCACATTTCGGAATAGCCCACCAATCGCCCCCAAACCTTGACCTACAAGACCTGTTGGAGGACCACTAGCGGAAGCTTCCTTTTTCGCCGCGTCTGCTGCTAATATGGTATTCATCTCCTCTCCGATGTCTTTGAGCACGTATTCGCCTTTCGCTGTACGTGAACCCCACTCCTCACTGTCCGCAGGCCCTGCAGATGACACAGGTCTGCTATCAGCTGAACTAGGCGCTGGCGCAGAATAATCAAGGTTTAAATCGTCTGCATCGTCGTCTGCGTATCCTGAGGCATCCCACTTGCGCATCTTCTTACTACCCTTCTGCACCTTCTTCGTCCTTCTCGCAGGTGACTCGTCACCTGAAGATGCTTGGGCAGAATTCAATACCGCATTAGCTTGTTTCCTTGCTCTTCGTGAGCCTTTTGGGCCTCCCTTTCCAACAAGAACGCTGTTCACGGCAGGCGAGTTGGGCCGCGAAGTGTCCGGTGTGGGTATCGGCGTCGCGTCAGTGGATGTAGTGTCGTACAATGGTTTCTGGGAGCCCTTTTGCAGGGCAGGCACTGGCGGAGGTTGCATTTCCTCAGCACTCGCATCGCTAGACGGCGGGGTAACTTCTGTGGAGAGGATTTGCTTTGCACCATTGAAACTCTTCTCCAATTCATGGATCTGCGCATCATAGTATTTGTCGAATTGACAATTGACGATCGAGGTATTTGGTTGCTTGATCTGATCTTTATACAGCTCCGAGAAGAGCGCTCGCACGTTATCCAAGAGTTTATCTATGTAAGTGATTTGCAAGAGCGATTGATACACAGCCTATGCAAGTGATCAGTTGAATCCATCTCTACGTGAAGCTCCATGGGATAAAGGCGTACGACAAAGATAATGCCGAGATCCTTAGCGGTACGCCACTTGATGGTGTGGCCATCTTTCCTAAAAGTCTGATCCTTTGTCGTTTCCTCAATGAAAGCGCTCTTGATCAGAGTGTTGATGAGCTGGGGTGCGACATCGACGTATTTGCGCGACCATAGGACGACGCCTGACGTCGTTATGATCTCGAAGGTGTCCAGCATCTCAACAGTTCTTAAGCCCGCGGTGCAAGAACGAGGAAGTGCTGCTAGAGTAATGGCTGGGTGGTGTGTGAGCAAAGCTATGACATATGGGCGACCACTTGACACATGGGTGCTTGCGGGCAATCCTTTTCGGGGTTCAGTGGCTTAATTATCGTTTGATGCCACTTTTCCACTTTGGGCCGCGAATCTGAGCAAAGCTGGAGTTATTGTTCAACAAACTGCGATATCTGAACGACCTCTTTTCACAACTCCTCTTCTGTTTGTCTTAACGCCTTCCTTTCTGGTTCCTTGCTCGCTTCGTCGAAGATCCGGTAACGGTCTTCTCCACGTGCGCATCTCTCTCACTCGTTCCCTCCACGTAACCCAAAACGCATTTCGCTCATCTAGGTCTCTGCAATCTGTCTTTCCGGCGACGAAGCAGGCAGTTGAAAACATGCAGAGACCGACCTTCTCGAGCGTGCCACCGGCGCATTCGCCTCCTCTACACCACCCAGTTCCTCAGCATATATCACAGGTGCCTAATATGAGGAGTCCACCTCCACCAGCGCCACAGTCGACGAGCCACGAACAGCAAAATTACGCCTATGGAGGATCTGGCTTCATACAACCGCCGTTCGGCGGATTTATTAATGAGAGCACCGCGCAGATGGGCGTGCAGATGGCTGAAAAGTAGGAGACACTTGCTCGTTGTGTATGCGGAGATCCGTGGACGTACGCATCTCGCGCTTCCTCGGTGATCCACAGTCTTCCTCGTTGCATACGTCGTGTGAGATATCAGCACGCATATTGACAAGGTTGATTTTAGATACATGGACCAACAATTTTCGCGATATGTCAACGTGAGCGCCTTAAAGAACCTATTCAATGTGTAAGAATCAAACAGGATCACCTTGCGATGCATAGGGCAGAAGTTGACTCTGGTACTCTCCGCTGCAGGTCTAATAGCTACGTAATCAACAAGCTGCTCATAATCCTTCTTCCATGGCGACACAAGCCCTGGGCTCGGAAGCAGGCCTCATTCGGTAGTTCGGAAACTGTGCAGTACTTACCGCCTAGAGAGGACGTGAACTCGCCAGACGCCTACATTCCTACCATGGGCGTGGTTACTTATGTTCTTCTCAGCGTCCTGCTCGCTGGACTGAGAGGAGCATTCGATCCGGCGCTGCTGAGCTCTGTGCTCACCTGGGCGTTCCTGATGATTGGTCTTGAAATCATGATTCTGAACCTGGCAAAGTACTTTCTGTCCATCAATTCGGTTTCCTCCTTACTGGATCTCATCAGGTAATTACGGCCCCGATAGAACTGGTTTGAAAGACTCGTGCTCATGCATTTCTGAAAGCTACGCTGGCTACAAGTTTGTCGGCATCAACGTCACCATCCTGCTTGCTGAGATCTACAACAGAGGCGGAGGCACAGGAGGTTGGTTTGGCTGGGCCGTCTTCTTGTATACATACAACGCCAACGCTTTTTTCCTCCTTCGATCATTGCGATACGTGCTGCTTCCTCAGGACTCGGGAGCACCAGGAGTCGCGTACGGCCCGGGTGTGAGTTCTCGCAGCCTCAAGCAGTCTCGGACATATGCTCTGGCAGGTTACGCTGTAAGTTCTTCTTCCGCGCTGCTCGAAAATATTTCTAAAACCTCAATGCTGATCAATTATGGCATCAGTATCTCGCACAGTTCTTCTTCATGTACATTCTGTCTAACAACGTTTGATCGCACCTGGCCGTTTGGTCAGAAAAAAAAAACAAGGCCCCATGAAATGGGTGCCAGAGGGAAAAAAGACCTCTACGTCCAACGCCAGGTACTGGTTCAGAATGCTGGGTGAGCCCAATCCACCAGGGTTCAGCTAAGACGGGTGGAGAGAAACGTCAGAAGAAGGAAAGTGTAAAATTAGGACCACCTGCCGCTGCTATTACAGCATATACGAACATGGTGGAGCGAGTCGACGAAACATCTCTTGGCCCGCAGTATTGTATGAAGAGAATCACAGACAGATTCCCCTTTGCGTAGCGAATGAACATGACCAAAGGGGGCCATACAGCCCATCGATGTGAACTGCATCTTTGATCCCCCCGTTGTGCTTGCGTGCGTTGTTCCCAGCTCGAGATAGGCAACGCGGTGTGACAACTGACCACGCCCTGATTCGGTAAGGACCATGCGGCCTCACCAGGTGCCCACCTTTCTATATAGGAGTCTGCAGCAACTGAAATCCTCCCACGATGATCTTGGATGACGAGAAGCTCTTCATTCTCTTTCTTTTCTCTTGGTCGCCCGCAGTAAATCCTCCTCCCATTACGTGATCTGCTCATATTTAATAGCAGCACACTTCTCTCCTTATAATAGAGGAGCAAGCGTGAGCCCATCTGTACGACATAGTTTTCCGCCTCATGCGCCATAAACCCTGTTGCAATCAGTGACTTGAAGCTTGGTAGCCAACACAACTCTTGTTGGAAACTACAATTCTTTAACCTTCCAAGTTCAAGGAAACGTCTTCTTCCTCTAATCCTTCAGTGTGTTGACATAAAGACTGATCTGAACGAAGGCCGAAGTCCATGCTTGAAGAATTTCTTTTCTCATTCATAGAATGGTTTACTTTAGTGGTATATATTACCTTCATCCGAATTTCCATCCGGAATTCCTATTCCATTCATGCCTTTACTACTCCTACATTGACCGTTATCAAGAGGTCAGGGTACTATTGGTATAGCAAAAGGAAAAAAATTTAGCCTTCGCACACTTGACGACACAAAAAAAACAGAAAGAGGAGAAGAGATCGAGGGGGTACGTATATGCAAATGTGCAGAAGCTCCTTCGCCACTGGCACATCTAGTCGTATATCTTTCCCTTCTCTCTTTCTTTGGGGTATGTTCTCAAACCAATGTCTCTTAGTTTCTTCCATCAGTTGATTTGTACAAGTCGGGAAGGTGAGTGTTAGTTGTGTATATGGAAGTGTTTTTTTGGTGGGGCAAGTCTCGTTCAGTGGGTCGAATCCTTCGCCGCTGACATGACTTCAATCGAACTTTAACCGGAGCAGACTACAGGATACCGGACCACATACCAGGACCGCCAGTAAATGACATGACGTTTCCAGCCTCGCTAGCACAGCACGCGCGCTTCCTGCCCAGATCCTTCTGAATTGGCAACCTCCGCTCTGGGATTGACCGCGCTGGCGACTGCAGCGCCTTCGCGGTGTACTCAGGGCAGGTGGGTGTCTTCATGCCAGAAGGGCAGGGACTTTGCAGGAAAACAGATGGTTCTGCAGTGGCACTGTCCGAGATAATGCACGTTATAGGATCTGCAAGATAGGATCTCGCATTCGAGCCGAGAAACTCGCGCACATTCTGATGCAGGGATAGGTCGACAGAGGATCGACCCCTCTTGCGGCCCTTGGATGGACTATCCTGCTGCTGCTCGCGCTGGCGAATTGGAAGCACGGTTGGTACTTCGTCTGAGAGCTTAAGTTCTTCCACGTCAGGCGAGGACATCGACTCGTTCATGAGCGGCTTGATGGTGTATGATCCGTAGTAGTCCGTCCCAGGCTCCCTGTGCGTAGGCAACGCCTGCGAAGTGAGCATCGGACACGGCAAGCCCGCGCATCGCAAAGTCGCCAGTCGGTTAAGTTTGACCGATGTAGGCGCACATGCATTTGCGCTGCAGAGTGACGAGGCCGATGAAATTGACGAGGCACGTGAGGAACGCGAGACGGATGAGTTGTCCGAGATCATAGACTCCGGGGATGAGGTCAACGAACTCCCTGATATAGACTGGAGTGATGGCCTGCGCCCTGAAAGCTGATATGTCTCCAGTCCATGGTAGGGCTTGTTGCTCCAGTTATAGTCAACGGTCGAGCGAGCTACACAGGCGTTCTGGAGCTGGCTCATGGCCGAGGAAATGGATGGTCGACGAGAGTTATAGCCAGCTACACTCACAGCAGGAGTGCTGCTGACAACAGGTGGTGTGAGGATAGGGGTGGGTAGTGGACCCATGCGATTAAGAGATGGAGTGGGGGGAAGCATGTTAGGGATCGGCTCCAAGACGCGTGGGATGCCGGCGAGCCCGGTAAGTGGACTCTGCGGAGTCGGTGTGGTGTCGTTCGAACCGATGAGGTCTACAAATCGTGGAGTTACCGGTGAGGCCTTGCGTGGTTCTAAATGGGCCAGATTGAACTGCCCGCGTGGCGCGATGTCCACGGTGTCAAGAGCGGGGGTGAGGTGGGGAACAATCGACTTCCAGTCGAAGCACATCGACAGCAGCGATGAGCCAGGAGTTGGAGGTTGATGGGACGTATACTTGATGAGGATGTCTTGCCATCGTTCGAACAATCCCTCAGGTACGTGTAGCTTCCAATTGACCGCCTTGAGGAACGCCATCTCGTTCGTATTAATCTCTTCAGTCTTCAAGCCCGAAATCCTGCTCCAGGCACGAGCTGAGTAGTTACGATCCTGAAGATACTTCGATGCCAAAATGAGCGCAGCGAGAAACATCCGTCTACCACACTGCAAAGCACGGGAGGACAGTGAATCGTCGCGCTGCTCCATGGTAAAGTCGTACTTCGGAACGTGAGATTTGATAAGGATCAGGTAGTACAAGGCGACCTGAAGAGTTGAGAAGCTAGTTCGAGATCGTCTCAGCGTCTCCTGAATGAATGTACGAAGCGGAAGAACACCGCTGCGACCTGACTCGCTTGGGCAATGTGGCACTGAGAGGGGCCAGATGACTTCTACCATTTGGGTGGCAGAGTCTCCAAATTCTGTCAGTACATGTTCACCTGTCTCAAAGATAATCGTTTGCTGCTCACCGACTAGGCATTCCACAAATTGCCCCTTTCGTTCGCTTTGACGTATCAGGGTTGGAGGCCGCTGAGCTGACACTGAACATCGTCGAGGATGTTGTCTGTGTTCTGAAGCGATGGGCACCTCACTTGTCTTAATGGGGGGAAGTGCACGTCTAACAGTTTGCGGCACTTCATCCCGACATTGAGAAGACCGCCAGGGGTCTTCCGTATCCCACTTTATCCGGTCCGATCCATGGGACCTCAAAGAACATGCCGAAGTCTCGGAGAGCTGTGAGGCTGTGTCCACCGAAAAGACAGACGAGGAAGAGGAAGAGGCGGATGACGAAAGAGATGAATGGTACGGGCACGTAGAGGGTGTGACTGAGATAGCCGCGGGCAAACGGCGATCGACAGTCATGTTGATACAATTGATGTGAGCAAAAAAGAAAAAATGGGATGATTTGCGGGTTAACTTTTGTCAAGTCCCGAGGTGCTCGAATGTTATTTTCAAACGCTGATCTTGAGAGAAAGATCGGAGGTACCTTTACCGTATAGAGAGAACCGTTCGATTGTGCAGCGCCGTGATCGAAAGAAGTCGAGGATCGACTGCTAACGAGCCCGAATTCCACAAGTGCTTCTGCCCTTTTCCGGCCTGAGGATGGGGAAAATGGCAGAACAGCGGAAGCGCTGTTCGTGTGACCAAAGCGAATACAAAGTCAAAGGATAAGACTTTGGTGCTTTTGGGCTCCAGCCACCGTCTGCTACAGAATCACCAGAGATAAGACCTTGTATTCGAGACGCACCGCAGGCACTTGGAGGAGATGACCAGACGCTCGCTGTTGCCAGAGAGAGGCGACGCAGCGAATGACTGAGTCTTGCTCGAAGAGTTGCGGGAGAATCTAACAAGGCGCGCCCACGGAGACCGAGGCCTTATCTTTTGACGTAGCGGTGAAATCTGAGCGACGGATGACTGGAGCGATGGATTGAGCAAGAAGCATTTTGAATTCTCGCGAGCGTTGGTGAGTGATGTATTTGTTTGAGACGCGGAAGTCTCTTGGACAGGTTTGTTGTTCGACGAATGGAGTTGGCTGCTAGCGGGCAAACATGCGAGTAGAGGCCACTTTATTTCATGCGAACAAAGACTTCCGGAAGAGAGGATGGTGGGAGGATGAGCAACAACAAGGAGGAGTGGTGGTGGTGGCGACTGGGAGCCGTGAGGGTCGACGACAGGTATGACTCGTCGAGGGAGCAAAGGGGAGAGGCTGATGTGGTTGAGGTGGCCTTGTATAGCCGCGACGTTTGTTCGAGGCAGGCTGTGTGGCGACGAGGTCGGGGGGGGAGTCAGGTGGGCTGGGCCGCGAGTTTAGCGGGCAGGCGCTACAAGGCAGCGGAGGCTACCGTGTCGAAGCGCCAACGGCAGATGCGAACAGGTCGTGGCCTGACTGGTGGTGCGGCTTCAAGACGAGGAGATGGGAAAATTAAGCTTGGACGGATGACCGTACGGGAATGACGGGTGGGAGAATATGAGTGGAGAGATAAAGTGACGGATTAAATGAAGTAACGGGTGGCGATGTAGCCTAAAGGTGGTTCAAAGGATTAGGGATGACTGTTTCCTTTGAGGCGGGGAGGAGATGTGAAACCAAGCGTTGGCCTGGCGGAAATGGGTGGAACACTCCGGACAAGGAGGCTGAAAAGGAAGAAAAGACGTTGAGGAGACTTGGGAGCAGGAGGCGAGAGATTGGGAGAGCACCCAGCAGCGCCTTAGGAAGTGGAAGTGAGAGGCATTGGCATGATGCTGTGCCTGGACCTTCAGCACTAAGGGCGAGACTGCGAGACGCGGACGGAGGCGAGGTAATAACTGAAGGGGGAAGCGCAAGACTCGGCCACGGCGGGCGTGTTGCTCACCCAACTGCGCGAGGTGGCCCATGCGTCGTTGTCCCGGCTGCGCTGGGAGCGCCAGCTTGTCCCGTAGCAGGAGTGACTCCAATCATGCTCGGCCGTGACTCCCACAACCGTGTCCAGTCGTGCCTGCCTCCAATCACCATCCCAGCCCGCGCACAGCGGCCAGGCCCCAGCCCCACTTTTGGCGTCAATTCTGGGTCATTGCGACTGCGGCGACTGGAAGGCGCGACGTCTGCACACGCACGCACGTCCGCGCCCACACCCTCTCTGACACACTCGCAGTCTTCGTCGCTCTCTCTCCGCTCAGCAGAGTCTCTCGCTTCTTGCTGTTCTGGACCTGCTGCTACAGCACACGCACACACACCACACACATGCATTCCTCTTCCAGAACGTGGGCCTCGCTCTCCCCAGAAAATGTCCGAACATGAGCCAAAAATGGCCGGCAGCACTGCATCCGCGGGGGAGCCATCCCTCAGCCTGATCGTCGTGCCCTTGTCCTCGCCGCCTTGCGTGTGTAGAGAGAACTGCTCTCGATCGACGGGCCTTTCCATGCCATTCCTTTCCTCTCCGCTCAAGAGAACATCGCCACTCGCGCACGAAACATCAAACCACGGCTAAGTGATCGTACCACCAAGCGTCAACGCGCTTGTACTTGGGCTCGTGTTGCTCTGGCTGGGCCGCTCTGATCTTTTTGGGTGCGGGACATCTAACTATGGACCTGTACACTCAAACACCCCCGTCCTCCAGGCGCTGACCAATGTTCTCAGCTGCTGCTGCGCTCTGTGCAGCCTATCGTTGCCCTTACGAAAGTACTACGCAGTGTTCGGTACGCAGGATGAAGTTCCGTACGGACGTACATCACCAGGTTACGGCATCCTGTACACCATCAAATCGCGCTGTACCCTTCTACACAGCCTCCAAACACATCAGTCAAGCCTTCTTTTTTCTCATCCTTCTACCACGCTATCAATCCTATCCTTACAGACCAAGCCCATTTGTGGCTTTGGTCTGCCTGCCCTCAGATCTGCATCCTGGTTGAACCACCCCCTCCGTCTGATTCTTGTCTCAGTGCATGACGTCCAAGTGTAGCTTCACCCCCGTTTTTTTCTGCTCTGCCCCGTCTTACTCTAGGATTTGGATGCATCGATACTCTCACAAGACTGCGTTCGTGGTGGGGTGTCCAAGCGGTGCGACTCACGCTCGCAGAGACAGCGTCCAATCACGCGGTGGCCAAACATGCAACCCCTCTTCGCTCAGTGATTCCGTGCAACACGCTGATTCGGCCTCCTCCTCGTACCCTGGGAAGGCTTCTTTCTTGGGGTGGGTTATGTTTGCTGACCCATACCACAACCGGAACCTCCCTCAAGGGCTCCAATGTCTCCTGCAAACCCATTTTCATGTCGTGGCAAATAGTTCGTCGTGCGCTTAAACTTGTTCGGTTGGTTGAGTCACCCACGTCCGAGCGGCCGCAAACTTTGGCCCTCCGCACGGTGAGCACAAGAAAATTTTGTGCAGCGTCACGCCTGCATCCAGCGGCGCCAGCACCTCGAAGTTCAAATCTGATTAAGCAGAACACCCAATACGGACTGTGCGGCTTTGCACTCGTGTCGCTCGCTGTCAGATGATTACGAACGTCTCCACGCTGGCGAATCGAGATACAACCTTCCCATTCCGAGCCTAGCTACCAGCTTGGAAGATTCGTCCATGCCCCGAAGAACGTCGGGGAAGAAAAAGGAAGAGTAAGTCGGCCGTGCTTCCTCTCCCGCACTACTACGAATACATGCTTGATCATTTGGCGCTGTGGTACTTTTTGCTTAGAGAGCAACACGCGGGTCTGGCCGGGCTCCGGTCATTCGGTTGTCAAATATTGGTTTTTTTTTTTGCTCATGGAATTCCCAACGATTGGAATCGAGGGTGGCGACGGAGAATTATCAATTTTTTCCCTACAGGAGCACGGTCTAGTACGGGCAAACAGTCCTGCTGAGACAAAGACCATCTTTGCTTCGCCGGAACGAGACGAGGCGATAGTTTTCGGACAGTCTTCGTTACACTGGATGGAAACGTAGGAGTCATTCGCAACACCACTGAAAGGGGCAAAAACACCTTGAGAGAGGAAGGAAACTTGCCGATGACCGAATAACGCGTGTGAGTCAGCACATTAAACTGGCGGCTATTGGCGCAATCCACGAGCCGATCTCGGGCAAACTACATCCACCGATGTTTGGTGGATCGATGACCAGGTGGCTAAACACCAAAGAGATGACTTCCACTAACTTTTTGCCGTGTCCCATGCTGCTGCCTTGAGATCATGTGCAAACCTTACCTACAGCCTTTTGCCTCACCATAACAACAGGAACCATGGCATGGCCCAGCAGAATTGCCCAAGGCAAACCTCTCGGTGTGGAAGGTTTCACGCATGTCTCGCCACGCACACGAGCTGCTCAGCCTGGACGCAGCCTGCTTCTCAGCAACTTCAGCCGCGCGAAAGGCTGCTGAACACATGCTACATGGCTTCTGTCCGAGCTGACGACCTACCTCCAATGAAACGAAATTGTTATCCATGAATAGGCTTATTCAGACTAATCTTGCAGCAGGGAAAGGTCAACGTGAGGCGTGCACGACAGCCTTCTTTGAAAGGGTTGCAAAGCAATACTTCGTGAATTTTTTTTTCTTTTTTTCTTGCTCTGTGAACCTTATTCCTATCCAATTCGGGCACTCACTGGCATCTTTTTCCGGTCTAGATGGACTACTCCCTGAGGGGAACGTACAGGTCGCGAAAGGTGTGAACGTAGCTTAACCAGCCCTTGCTTTCTCATGATGAATCACTCGACCACACTCCTCTTGGCCGCCACTCTACGATGATCTCGCAAATGGGCAGCCTTCTCCTTCTGAACTCATCTCTCCATGTGGCATGTCTGCTGCCGCAGAACTGACTGATCGACGGTCCATGTTCGGCCTTATCTCGTTCGAAACTACGCTCGCGTTTGTCGCTGTGGTGGCGTTGTCAGCAGATGCGTCCAATTTGGGATTCTCCGGGTGCATGCCACTCTCCCTCTTGACCGAATCCTCCTCAGGACCAAGCTCTGCGCTGCTGTGAGATTCAGGCTGCGAGGCCTTGGTCACGCCGTTAGGTGCAACCTGACTAAACATCGACATTGGGCTGGACCCGAGATAATCAGCTCATGGTCGTCGCACTTCAAGTGGAGCTGACGGTCAATTGTACATACTCAAACCACGTTTCCAGATGCACGATCTTCATGTCTCCGTCAAGATCGGCGACGGTCACACCCTCGATGTCGATAATTCCGTCGTGTGCCTTTGCCATCACCTTTTCTCCGTTACTAGACGTGTCAGTCCCCACCTACAGACCTGTACAACCTACGTAACCCACCAGTTGAAAGCGATATAATCATTCTTCATCCATCCCCAATGACGCCAGCGGAATGCCACCTTGGGTGGCCCACTGTACACTTCCAAGACTTCCCAGGCAAACGTAGGCATCATCCGCTTGAACGTCTTGTGGCTGACGGAAAAATCATTATGCTCCGGTGAGTAGTACTCGCTTGGTGGTAAAATGGCATTGTACGTGCCCTGCTTCAACATGTAGTCTACCGAGGAGCGCTGCTTGCCGTTCATCGAAAACGAATATCGCTCCTGATTGATTGTACGCCAGTCCTCGAGCCGTGTTTTGAACGAAGCCTCTATTTCCCAATTCTTCACCAGATTCTCGACTAGGTCCGGCAGAGACCCTGCAGCGTGGTTGCATCGTTTTGCTAACCTTCCATCAGTCTGACTCTTTCTTCTCGCGTGAAGTGTAGCATTGGAAGGGATAGCGCACTCTCTTCATAAACCTTTCGTGTCTTCGTATAGTCCGGCTTCTTGCCAAACCTCCAGATGGACGAGTCGTCGTTCAGAACGGCGTTCGGATCGGTATAAAAGTCGGGCAGGGCTGGCTTAGATTCAGCCTTACCCGATGCTTCCTGTACATCCGCCATATTCTTCTTGCTTCGAGCAAAAGTCAGCAGAGAGTGCGGAATTGAGATTATGCCGGTAAAACCGTCAGAGAAAACTCGCAGCAAAGACCCCAGGCCGCGACTGATAATGGTGGTCAAGCGGTCCATGGTATTTCTCTTATATTACGCCCCCGTACTCTGAAAGTGGAAAAAGCAACGAAAATTGCATCAGACGGCTGTCAGTGCGTGGACGGGGAAAATAGGAAGGAGGATCGATGCTTCAAGAACTTAAGGTCAGTGGCGTCTACACTGGCATCTTCAGACAAGCATGGCGACATTCGTGCGACCGTGGGCCCAAAGCTAAATGGTATATGAGGCATGCGAGGTGCACGTCCTCGCCTTTACACCGTGAGCTTGGTACAATCTGGATCCTTTCGGACATGGGGACATATCTAGGCAGAGACGGTCGGTAGAGGATTGCCAACAATAAGACGATGGCATATCATTTTTATCGCGTACGATATCTCAGGGTGCGGAACCACATCAGGTCGTTGGGTGCACATAGAGATACATTCCTACAGTCTCGAGCTGCCTTCCATTCTCACCGGTGCTCTCTGTTCGGCGCTCGCATTGTCCACAGGTTGTTTCATAACGGGACGACAGCAAACGAGGCTTACGCTGGGTTCAACGGTCGAGAAACCTTATCGACAAACGGTCAGGCAGAGGCAGCGCTCTTCCCGGCGCCTACGCGAGCTGCGTCTCACCTGCGGGTCGCAACGGTAACGGGATGGAGGCAACACCAGGTTTGATTGCTACCCTTCCTGGCAATCAAACAACCCGTTCTTTGGGCCGTCTGCGCTATATGCGCATGCGCGAAGTTAGCAAAGACTTCCCGGCACGTGAAGTCGGCGTTAGGTGAAACGGGGTCTTAAAAAAGAATCAAAAAAAAGTATATACTTTCTCTTCAGACTATTTTAGCCGGATTGGCTATGCTGAATCCTTGCTTTCCCTGTTTCTTCTGAGAGTTTGAACGTCGACCAGACATTTCGAAGGAGTGTACACGTAGCACGGAAGGATGCCCAACGCGAGCCGTGTCACCATGCCATGTGCAGTTACCAAAACGCGAGCACATGGCATGAATGCCACGCTAACGTAGCGCAACGAAAGAAGAGGTTAAGATACGTGATCTACAGCAGCCAATAATCTCGGCGCTAATTCTGCTTGGGAAGGAGACACTGCGTTAGCCATGTGGCAGCAGTGGGATTTCTGAAAGGTAGGCCCGAAAAGCACGTTTGACAATTGAATTCTTTTCTCGTGTTGAAACGCCATCCTATCTCGGCCTGACTCCTACACTTCGACCACCCTCGGCTTCAAGCATGTTCATAAAATCGGGGTGGGGAAATGAGTGTTCTGTTGGACAGTTGCACTCTTTTTTTTTCTCGTTATTTTTAGAGATTCCAAACACGTGACAATAAAAGACATCGTTCTCAAGGAACCGTTGTGATCCCGACCGCCCGACGGGCCGCGCCAAGGTTTTCTGATCCCGCCCAGGGACGGGTGGGGTAAGTGATGAGTGATATCAAGCAATAACCACGGCAACGTGATCGTCCATAAATTCGGTAATGTTCCCCAAAAAGCAAGCTGCGATGATTGAGACTCCCCCAAACGCTGCACAAAAGAATTTTCTGTTAGCCTTAGGTTTCTTTGTGGTCCGCGAAGAGCGTGCGGTCATCTTGGGGGATTTTATCAGGACGTACCGATGGAGACGTAGTACACGTATCTGTAGGCCAGTTCGAATGCGACCTGGCCGGCGTGGACGATGGCCTCGTACGCGCCTGGAACAGCGGCCACCTGGGGCAGAGCTTTGATGTGGTCAAGCAACGAAGCACCGGTAAGTGAAATGATGGTCTCGATCAATTTCGGGTCCGCCGATCCTGTGGATACTACCGTCGCGGCTGGAGAGGTTTCGCAAGGTCAGACAAACTTCGATTAGGAGAAGGAGGATCATTAAGGATGCTACTTACTGCCCACGTGCTCGATGGCCAGACCGACAAACTTGTTGTAGAACACGTTGTAATACACGGCATAGCCAATGGAGCCTCCCAACACTCTGATGGACAGCGTCAAAGCTGAGACTGTCGCGATCAGATCATCCGGGCACACGATTGTCGTGATGATGGACGCCGGCACAAGGATGCCACCGATTCCGAGACCAGCCACGATCAGGATGACGATGACAGGCCCGATGTTGTCGGTGCGTGCGAGGGACATCAGGCCGGTTCCCAGCGTCATGAGAATGGTGCTGCAGACCATGAGCATGCGGATCTTGCCCCTGGTCACGGTCAAGAGGATCAACACAATAACGGCACCCTGGAATAAAAAAGGCCATGTTAGCGACTGCGAAATGTTGATGGGACGAACCCAGATGTGGGAAAGGGGCACTCTTCGCACAGCGCAATTGATGCCCCTCCCCCCCTCTCGCCGTTCTCGATTTTTGTCTCCGCGCTGTCCACGTCTGTGGACGCCTGAGTTTCGGAATGGCGGTCGAGCTGTGGGGCGACCGTCTGAAGGCTGGGGTAAGGAATACGTACCGACATGATCGACAAGCCGATAGGCAGTCCGCGCAAACCGACGCCTACTGGGTTGTGTCCGTAAATGTTGTACGCCTGCGTCGGCCAGAACATCAGGACGCTGAAAAAGTTGGCCCCCGAGATGAAAGTGATGAGAAGCGTAAGAGCAAGGACACGAGGATTCTGCTGAAGCCGTCTGGGGAACATGGGGTGCGGGGCGAACTTGGCCTCATAGATCACGAAGGCGATGATCAGAAAGATGCCAAGAAGCAGCGTTGTCAGCACGTGTGACGACACCCATTTGTACTAAAGCTCCGTGTCAGCCTCGAATTCGCTAGGATGGGACTAATCTTCACGCACCTGATAGCCTCCCCATTGTAGGCCCATCATGAACAGTAGCATGCCGGAAATAGAGAGAACACCTCCGATGTAGTCGATTTGCTTAGCTACCTCCTTGCGACTGAGTCCGCTGGAGTTCACGCGGGGAGGTGGGAAGTAGAAGCAGCCAATAAGCACCGTTCCTAAGAAGGCCCATATTCCGCAGATGAGGCCACAATACCTTTGTTCACACGCGTTAGAAAGAATCATGGGCATCCTCTGGCACAAACTCACCTCCAGGAGCCGTAGTAAGCGATCAACTGCGCGTACAGCACAGATGGGGTGAATGGCACGATCGTGAAAATCAAAATGCCAACGTAAAGACCTCGCTTTCGCGTTGGCGCCATCTCGGAAGTGGCGGCCAGAGCAGTCAGCTCATTGATACCTGCGCCGACACCATTGAAGACTTGTCCGCCTGCGCCGAGTTAGTCAGACGTCGTTCCGCCTGACACAACGTGATCGAAGACGCACCAATGAAAATGTTCATGCTGTGAGCAGTTGCGCAGACACAGTTACCAATGATAAGGAGGGTTCCGCCGATCAGAGCGACATATCGCCGACCAATGATGTCCGAAATGCTACCCACGAAGGGGCATATTGCTGCCAGAGACAGCAAGTTGGCCAGGACGAACCATGTCCAGCGGTCAACGCCACCAATGTCGCCGTAGATGTATGGAGGGCAGCCTCCGTAAAGATACACCGGAATCTGAGAACCTGTCCAGAGCAGGGCCATTGCAATCAAGCTCATAAGGCGAGCAAAGGTCATCTGCACCCCTCCAGGTTAAGCATGAGCAAAAACACAAAAGAGCTTGGATATGTCACATACGGGTGGTTCATGGTCGTGGTCTTCGCCATCGCCATAGGTTCTCAGACCGTCGCGCTCGTAGTAGTTCTCATGGCCTGGAACCTTCTCCTTTGTGGCAATCCTGTGGGCGCCGTCGTAATGGTCAACCTTTGTGGCCTCGGACTTCTCCTCAACTTTTGGCTCCGAGCCAGAGGTGGAGCTCATTTTGTGTACGTCCTAAAATATTTCACTTTTCCTGATGGTTGAGTGTTTTTTTAATGAGACGTAAAGGTTGTGACAAGGCAACCCAGCCAAGTTATAGCTCGTGCTGAACAGTTCTGCTGGACGACAAGGTGAAAAATAATATATATATTAATATATATTTATCTCGGCTTAAATACGTCGAGATACGAAGAACCACGGTTGGAGAAATGAAAAGAAATCGACAACGACTTGAACTGATTCCAATAAAGGTAATGCTTCCTATAAAGATATCTCACCATGCGCAGGTGGGCCACCGCGGGCGTCCAGCTTCGGTACCGGGATAGCTAGATCCCAGCATCAAACGAGCCATTGGCAGCACCCATTCAGTCGGACTTTCTTGCCAGCATTCGCCTGACGTACATCCTGACCCTCGAATGAGGGCTTGTGATTGTCAAAGACCCGGCGAATTATGCGCCAGGTTCCTCGCATGCATGGGAGTGGCTTGCATGCCTCTTCCGCTCACGTCCCATCCTTCAGCCTCCACATCGTTGACGAAAATCTGCAACGTCAGGAGGATTTTGACCGAGGCTCTCCACTCGCACTACTTGGTCACTGCTTTCGCAGCTCCCCGCAGCGCGATTATGGGGACAAGCAGCGACTTTTTGCAAAGAGGAAAAGAGGTAACAAGCTGGAAATTGCGGAGCGGAATAGGTCGTAATGCGGCTAGCCACGTTCCTCCCTACGGAATTGCCCATGCCGTCTATCCCCCGGAGGACGAGAAGATGACCCCACAGTCCCCCGTGGGGTGGAAGCCACCCTCCAGGAGAATCTGTGTTGCTCGTCAAATTGGCAAGCTTGCTTGAAATTGTCTGTTTTTTTGAAATATTCGTTCGCTGGAAAGTCAAACGGGTGTCTGCTTGCGTGTTTACACGAGAATGGTCTAAAACCACCAACCTGCAAACCGCGGGAATATCAAAAATAATGGAGGTCCTACCATTTGCCTGGGAGTCGGGCGGTTCGGACGATGCAATGACTCGCAAATCAGATTTGTGCGCTTTGGTCCGCTAATTACGCGCAGGCACCGTGCTCGGAGCGGAAAGGGAAAGCTGGAGTGGACGGTAGACGGCAGGAGAAAATAACAGCAGCCCGCCTGATTTGGGTCGTGCTCATGCAATGCTTGTCGCCTTTAAAAGGCTGCTTGGCTGTTGACAAAGCTCCACAAAGACTAGTACCATCGTGCCTAGTGATCAAACTTCTCGCTCAAGGCGAAGAAAATTCCAATTCGTGTGCCCGATCGTGTGCTGACGGCACGTTCGAGAAGCAAATTGTACAGCGGCTCAGGCCTGCGGTGCCGGACGGCTGCGATCTGTTTGTTGCACGCCTATTTTCTTCAAGTATCGCCAGCATACCACGCGCGGTGGTCGCATGTGAAACATGGCAGGATTGCAGCCGAGTCCGTGCTTCGAATGACGTTCTAGAATGCAAAGTGTTTGACAAGCAGAGAAGAAAATCTCAGGCTCGTCGAGATGCTGTCGGCAACGCTCGTTGGGTGACAAAACCCGTGTCGACACATGCGTCAAACGAACATGCAGTTGCCCAGCCTGTGTCATTGACGATGTTGGTCCAAGCGAAGCCATCCGCGGCTTTCGACGACATTCGCGGTGCATACCGCTTTCAGAAGGCATCGCCGTCCCTGCCGATGTGCAGTAGCGCCAGAAGATCCCGGAGCAGTCGGTCGATGTGTCAAACGACGCTGCATCCATGCTCCCATCTACCGAGGACGACCACGGTCTTCCTACGTGCCGACAGAATGGTGTCGGGGTTGTGTGGCTGTGGAACAGCATTGTCTTATCTGCTTCGTCTTGGAGGCGACGCCCCACGCTCAGCCCTGAGGTACATACCCGTCCACACAAAGGTTGATGTTGGGCGAAAGATGGATGTACCTAGGTACCCCCGCACTTCTCCTCATTGACGCGAAGCGGGGAGATCAGTAGATCTGGGGTATCTATCTTCTTCCAAGATGGCCATTGGCGTCTATCAAGATTCGTCCGGACTCCGGACATCAGAAATTTCCGGACTACCTCCATACCGTACGTTTGATTTTTCCTCTCTGAGCACGCTCTCGAAGCCAAGATGGTGTGTACACATTGCCACTAGCGTGGACTTGGTACTTCGATGCCGTGGTGGCGGCGAGCAGGTGCTGACCAGCCTGTTACCCATTCGCGCAGAGATGGCTGTTGGAGTATTTTGAAGCACTTAAACGCTCAGTACAGAACGAGATCAAAACCATCCAGCCAGGCAAGTCAGCGCTGTGTACGAACCTCCTTGAAATTCTGAGAAAGGGCATAAATATTTACAACTGCAGTGAATGTTTATTCACCGTATGAGCCTCATGTCGTTAACAAGCTCTTGGGCCGGCGGCTCCTAGCGCAGAAGCAACGCCCGCTACGAACGCTGTCCCAAAACAACAACACATCCTGTTCCGTTAACTCAAAGGCTCTACGCCGCAGACGGAAACGTGGACGCCAACGCCAGTCCTTACCCCTTTGAACATTATAGGCGTGCTCTCAGTCCAGGAACGTTCCTCCCCGGCTACAACCCCATTCGCCAAAGGCGGGGTACGTATTTACCCAAGGTTGTTAACATATCCTCCTTGGCTGTTCGCGTGGCTTAGGACGTCGGACGGCAATGCACGATCCACAACCATGCCAGCTGCCAGACGCGTTAGTGTCATGGTCGTCGCTGCTTATCAGGACGACACGTCTAGATTTCTGCAAATTCGTTAGAGCCGGAGCAACGGTTCTCGAGAAATTTGATCATCTTTTCACGCAAGCGAGATCGACGGGCGCAGCATGGCCATGATCTCGCTTAGCTCGCACCAGCCCTTCTCAACGTGAGATTCGTACGTGCTCCGGCAGGGGGTTCGTGTTACGGTGTGATTGTTCTTGATGCAACAAGCTGCATCCAGTCTTTAGAAAGGGGCGCGGGTTCCAGAGAACTTGTAGGGCATCTTAAAAGTACAAGAAAGTGAGTCGCGGAATCAGCGAGGTGAAGTGCCGTTGAAAAAACCATACCACTGACATCAACGTAATTCAATGTTGCCATCATTTCTTCAAAATCTAGTAAAATCTAGAAGTGACGTGACCCAATGGTTTGTATGAACGCTAGAACAAATGACTATGTGTTTGCTGTATCAGTTCCTCAGAAGCGGTTGGGTCTCTCTAGGTCTAGCTCCGCCATCGTTCTCTTCCCTATTGAGAGCACTGTGCTCCTCTTCATCACCGCCTTCATCCTCGGCGTCTGTCTCTGCTTCTAATTTAGCACTCTTGATTCCAAAGCTCAAAATGAAGCCTGCAAAAGCTATTCCACCAAACAGGCCAAATGCGAGGGCCTCGCCCTTCGGTCGGATCTTCGTAGCGGCCGAGAAAATGCCCCCTGAAATGAAAGGTCCTACGGCTCGCCCTGCAGCAGATAGGGTTTGCGCGAGACCATTCAATTTACCCAACACTGAGTGGCTGGGTGCCGAATTCGTGATCTGAATCGAAACTATTAGTCTTCCGTCTTTCTCAGGATTGCAAGATGAGCTTACAAGAAGAAGGGCCGATGCAAGACCTCCGACGGCCGCAACAGTCTTGATTGTAAGCGCAATTCCCAGCTCAACCCAGATCCATATCTTCCCCTGCCCAAACCCGTGGCCATCACGATAGCCTACCCAGGGCATGATGAGAAAGGCGACGACGAAGCCGGCTATGCTCACACGATAGCTCGACCTATTGCCGATCTTATCGCGTATGGCACCAAAGATGCCAACCTGGAAAAGTATCGTGACTACGCCTGCAAAGGCCAAAGATAGACCAACTTCTTCTGTAGATAACCCTCGCCCTGCAGGTGGTTTTGCCTCTGCAAATATTGGATATAGCGAATTATACGCAACGTTGGAAAGCTGAAATATGAAGTAGGTCAAGAGCAAAAGGATTGTGTCTCTGTTCAACACAGCGCGAGCAGGCAGAGATGTGCCATTAGCTTCCGGGATCAAGGAAGGAGTGTCTATATTTGACGCAGCGTCGGATCTGTTGCTCTCGTAGCTAACCTTCCGTCCCCGGAAGTGTCGCAGATACGTTGGCCTGTGGCTTGACCCTGCGAATTGCCAAAGCCATGCAAAAAGATTCGTTATACGTTCGCCTAGTGACGGTAGTTCTTGAGCTGCTTCTAAACTCTCTTCTAAAAATAGCATAGTGATAATCAAATCGATTATCAACACAGCTGCGGAGAATAGGTTCGGCAATAGATATGGAAATTTGTTGGGCCTGTCCTTGTGAAACGGGTTGTTGTTGAAGACTAGCGTTCCTCCAAGAGCAGGTCCAGTGATACTACCAAGCCCATATAGCACAGGCAAATAGGTGAAGGCCTGTGACTGATTACTCCGATCCGTTATCTCTCCCAGGCATGTTGAAATCAGTCCTTGGTTCCCATTCAAGAGTCCCATCAAGACCTGCACTAAGATAGCCTGCCACAGTGTTTTGCAAAATCCAAATGCCACAAAGCAAGCGATCGTGAACACAGTGCCCATTAAAACCACAGGTTTCCTGCCTATTCGGTCGCTCAGCCAGCCCCAGAAGAAGTTCGTCGCGAATTGTGCCAGCGCGAATGATGACGCTATGAGGCCTACGTAGAGTCCTTCCTCTCCCAGCTTGACTTCAGGAAAGGTTTGCACCATCTCTGGTAGATATGGACTTATGGAGTTGAGAGCGGTCTGCTCGGCGAGGGCGATAAAGGCGAGGACGGCGAGTTGCTTCTTCGGTAGAGGAGTTGCATTGTTCCCAAGTCGGCACGAATCATCGGATCCCTCATTCCTATCGTGGCGGTTGATTTGCGACGCGGATGGTGGACGGCCACGGTGAGCGGGAGGTCTTAGATTAGTAAATGTATGGTAATGAGGTGTGGAGGATTGCCTTCGCGGCTCCAAGCCTGGCTTGGTGGATTGTCTCATTGAGGAGCGGAGTGAAACCTTATAGGCATTTGTCACAGGCTGTAGGACGTTCGAATTCTATGAAGTACTAGTGTCATAGTGTGGTGTTGCAGAGGCTGCTTCGGCAGTTGGTTCATATGCGTCATGCGGCGTTCATTGGTTCGATCCCGCATTGCGTACATGGCTTTACTCGAATGGTGTTAGGGGATCACGTGCGGCATCTTCAGTCCTGCTTTTAACTGTCTCTTATCCCGGAAAAGGGTACAGCGTAACGCAAAACAATAGGTACCTAAGCTATGCATTATGTTAAAGTTGGCTATTGTAACTCTTCCGGTATGTCATAGCTCCGAATATGATATGTTTCGAGCCATATACCATCGAAGCTGATTTGACGTAATTACAACCTTTCTCCTCTTGTATGGCGCTGACATGCATTTGCTTATTACAATTACATTATACACATGTATTTCTTGGAATATGCCAGCTGTTTGTTCTTTCGTCACATCTAAGCTTCGTAAATTAATTGCCCTTCTCACGAAACCGACTTCACGCTCTCAAAGATGAAACTTGGTGACGTTTTGAGACATCACGGGTTGTTCATGCGAACCTTTGAGCGTTGAATAAAAGGGTGGGTTACCGATTAGAATTCGTCGTAGCAAACGCATTCTCGACAATTGGTTGGTGCGTGGTGCGACAGCATAAGAAATCCTTATTGTTCTGAACTATCACTATGATCCTGTTGCTTTGTGATGATTTTGAGTTCACTCGCCCTTTTGGGGATTATCTCAATGTTGAGAAACAGAGACGAAGGATGCCACAATTTGCGCGTTCTATCAGACCATGTTCCTAGTGCACCACTATTGGCTATTGTCAGAGATATCTAGTACCATGCCTTCTGCTGCTGAATGGCGAATGTGTCCTGGCAAAGAACATAGACATTTTGGACCATTCCATAAGTTACGCCACCACTCTGAAGAACTGGATTTATACGTCATCATGTTAGTCCATATTGTCGGAGACGTCAATCGAGCTCGAACTGGTGAGGAAATAAGATGAATTTCATCTCATATGTCTTCTGCATCGCTTATATCATCTTTAATTTCATTTCGAAAGTTCGACTTTTTCTCTTGGTGAGATTTATGGAAACCAGTATCAAATTTTCACATAGCAATAGTAAATTAGATCAACTTTCGATAATGGGTGCAACTTTCTAGGCATATTTAGGAGTTTGTCTCGACGTGTTGTCATATACGACTTATTCTTATAAACCAAGGCATGCAAAGCCTGATTCTGAAGATCAAGGGCTCTAAAGTCGAGGAAACTTCAACGCGGAAGGCCCAAGCATAGGCGGAGTTATGCACAGTACGGGGCAATTGAATTTGATACCAATCAACCACATACCGCATTCTTGTTCATTGACAATAAACTGCTGTATCGATGCCTGAGTTTTTCCCTAGGGATTCTGCCGTAAATCGTGTTGTTTTCATGATCTCTGAGTGGACTGTTTCCTAGCCGAAGTCAGACAACTCTGTTGATGTAGAACCATCTAATTGAGGTGAAATTGCAATTGAAGTAGCTTATGTACAAGTAGAATTGTAGCCAAATGCTTTGGCATTCTTCCTGCCACAAATGGTTTTGCACACAAAGCTATGCTTAGCTTCATGAAGAAGTTGAAAACTCATCTGCACTTAAAGCTGTGGCGCTAGGTATAAATTTCTAGACCAGTGCTCGTACCGGAGGAAAATTAGGCGCTCTGGATGGTCAGCATAGTCAATTTACGTTTTGATAGAGGGCTCTGTAGAAGCTACGTAGATTTACACTTCATATTATTTTGCTGACACAACATTCCTCCCGAAGCTACACATTGCTACCTTGTCATACGTTGAAGTGAATGACGAGGGACTATTTGGGCCAATAGGCTCGATGGCAGAGGTCACATCTCCGCGATCTGAAGAAGACGATTCGCCAACAGGCCGACTGCAAGTGACATGGGTTTCGCTGTGCACCAAGCGCGTATGGGACAACACAGAGTTTAATATGTCAAATAGGCGAGGTCTGCAGAGCATGACTGTAAGCTGGCTTGGAAAATCGGACAGCTAAAGCAATCGTAAGCGCTGAGGGTGAGTTTATGACCGCTATTGCAAGGATTGCGGCAATGTAGAACGTCTGGAGGAGGAAAAGGCACTATGGAAAGGCTGAGCAGGTATCCTTCCAGAGGAAAACCAAGTGATGGTTTAGGATTCAAATATCAATATGATTGAGCTCCAAAACCAGTCCATTCATCAATGTTTTGTAGCTTGAAGAACCGTCATTCTGTCTGCGGCTACTGAGAATTGTTCACGTGCTGTCCTTCAACTGCAACACGTTTTCCGTGACGCAAACGGCAACAAAACGAAGAATAGAAGCGTCCAGCAGTGGAAAAGGAAGACTTCTTAATAAAGACATAAAAGATATCGTCCAGGACAGAAAGTTCTGTAATCCTCCTTTCGCCGCCCAAAGTCAAACATTGGACAGCCAATAGAAGCTTCCAGAACCTTCTCTACAACGACGTCAGTTGCAAGCCTTGCAACGTTGCCGGGCTCACCCCACCAGACCACGTCGTTCGCCGCTATATCTGCACACCATTGCACAATTCCTGTCATCCTCTTTCGCCATATTTCCGACATCAAACTAAGATACCGTAATTCGTAATCACGCGTTCGAACAATGGTAGCAGAAACGAAACTGTATGACCAATTAGGTACGTACTCTCTAATCACCGGCAGTCAGTCGAGTGTGCTTCGGGCCTCTGCTAACTTGATGTACTCAAGGACTTAAACCAGACGCATCACAAGAAGAGATCAAAAAGGCATATCGAAAGGCAGCATTGAAATGGCACCCGGACAAGAATAAAGATAATCCCAACGCTGCTGAAAAATTCAAAGGTACGTGAACTAACCCTCTTAATAGATTCCCGCCTCTGAAACACGAAGCTGACGATATGTATGATTGATTGAACAGAGGTATCACAGGCGTACGAGATTCTCTCCGATCCGGAAAAACGAAAAATATACGATGCACATGGTCTAGAATGGCTGCTACGCGGCGGACCCGCGATGCCTGAGGGCGGCATGCCCGAAGGGGGCATGCCTGGTGGATTTGGAGCAGGAGGGTTCCCTTTCGGCGCCGGGGGACCAGGAGGAGGGACTAGGACGTTCCATTTCTCCACAGGTCCTGGTGGAACAAGGACAGGAGGCTTTGCCTTCACCAACCCAGAGGAGATCTTCGCCGACTTTTTCAGGCAAAGCGGTGGAGGCGCTGGGTTGGACGATGATATGGGCGGCTTCAGCTCATTCACTAGTTTTGGCTCGGGCATGCCTGGCGGAAGATCAGGGAAAAGATCTTCGGGCTCGCGCTTTGAAAGCATGAACGGTGGCCCAAGGGCACCGACGCCCGAGGTCACTGTATTGGAGAAGCCGCTGCCCGTCAGCTTGGAAGACCTGTACAAGGGAGCAACGAAGAAGATGAAGATCAAGCGGAAGAAGTTCGATTCGAACACGAACAAGCAAGTCATTGAGGACAGAATACTGGAAGTCCCAATCAAACCTGGTCTCAAGGCTGGAAGCAAGATCAAGTTCAAGGACGTGGGAGATCAAGTGGAGGGCGGCACACAAGACCTACACTTCATTGTAGAAGAGGTAAGGAAAATCCCGCCCACTTATCTCACAAAGAGAAAACGCTAATACATGCAACAGAAACCTCACCCTACACTTTCCCGCGACGGAGACGACATAAAAACCTCAGTAGAGATCGACCTCAAAGAAGCATTGACTGGTTGGTCAAGACAAGTCACCACGATTGACGGAAAGCAGTTAAGGGTGGGCTCGAGCGGTCCAACTCCACCAACGTGGACTGAGACATTCCCCGGTCTAGGCATGCCAAAAAGCAAGAAGCCCACGGAAAGGGGAGATTTCGTAGTTGGTGTAAGGATAAAGTTCCCCGCCAGTTTGACCGCGGATCAAAAGCAAAAGTTGAAGGAGATTCTATGAACAGGAGCCCAAAAATATTCTTAAGGGATCGATACACGACGGTAGACCGCCCCAGCATATTGGCGGTTGATGAGAAACGATTTTTATTAGTGGGATGTTGTGCCTAGTCGCCTTGATTTGGGAGCGGCGTCTGCGGGCGTTCACCCGGCGTTCACGACTTCAGTGAGCATTTGATGCATGGCGTTTCTTTGAGAACCTTTTGTTGCCAAAATGAAGGTGCGGTATGACATCGTAGGATCATAGAGCAATGAGGATAGGGAGTCGGCGAGCAGTAAAGAGCACATACGCCGCTCCAGCTGCATATCGCGGACACATTAGCAGGACCGTTCAATCAAATCAGTGGAGTCAAATACTCTCGCATCACAAAAGCGTGGTGATCCTTGTCACCCACGATTGGAGGTCGTTAACGGATAACATACGTAGGAAAGGGGGGATTTTCCTTTGGATGCTGGACAATAAATACAACCATAGAATATCAAAATCAGAAAGTACGTTCACGAAATTGACAAACTACCTCTACCTTCTTGTTTTCCCTCCGCTATCAGTCGAGAATTGTATGGTGTTATCGATAACATGATCAGTCATGCCTCCTCGACGATTCGCGAACAAGCATTTTAGCTACGAGAGGGAATTCCTAGTCGGTTTCTATCGTTTGATGGATTCTTATTGAAGGAAAGGCACGATTATGTACCTTTACAGGTATTCTTGAATCCGAGTCTAAGGTCTATTTGCTGCCGTCACTGGCCATCATAGATCAGCGAACACCGTGGTCACAATCAATTCATTGGTTTTGTGATAGAGTTTTCCGGGTGATGGAAAGACGTCTCCTAACAACGAACGATCCATCTGACTCCCAAGCTCGCATTTTCGCTTGGAATCGTAATCATTGTAGATTCTTATCGCTTGCTGTAACTACTCGAAAATACAGCTACTCGAATTTTTTTAGTTGGACTCGCCACCTCAATTATACTCAGATAAGACGATATGGGTGCTCCTAATCAAGGAGCAAGACAGTCGAACAACTTGGTTAAGGCCTGGTCGCCTCGGATCATCAATCAGCGAACTAGAGAGTTATTCAGATCCATTTGCTCATCAATAATCCAAGCAACTTGCTTTGACTTCACTAACAATAAAGTAGTTACTAGGGCATAACACCCGTCACTATTCTTTCTTAATGCTAACCGAATCCTAGCTCATCCGCCTTTAAAAATTCAGCCTTCTTCTGGAGCATATCTTCTTACTCCAGCATGTGTCTCGATGTCATTGTCGCTGAGACCATTTACTTCCGTTACTTTCCGCGCTGCTGTCTACGCTCTTATTTGAGCCCTTGACGCGGTTGACATGTGCTGCAATTTCACAGTCTTGCATCATCTGGAGCCTCCGTCCCCCGTCCTTCATAATCTCCATATCTAGCGTAGTAGGCAGAAGTTAACGCAAAGTTGCTCCAAGTTAATGCACCAATGACAACATCCTTCACTAGCAATTAACTCCTCCGAAAGCAACTGACGAAGCTGCAACTTCTCAACTACTCAACTGACAGTAGCCACTTACTTCGCAAAGAACACAGTGTTTGGACTTGAAGACAAATAATCTCCTGGCGCTTCACAGACAAAGGAGACTTTTGGTACAGATAGCTATTAAAGGAGCGATAGCACATCGAAAATGTCACGCGAAGATGAAGACAGTATTTTCCATCAGCCTGTCACCAGAAGTTATGCGTATTTTACGCCAAATATGTTCTCCTCAACAGAAAAGCCTCGCGCTGTAGGTTCTAACGGAGAAATATCTACGCCCAGCTGGTTCCGCTATGCTAATATCGACGGCCCAAATCAAAATTATGCGCCGATGCCTCCGGGCTATCAATGGGAAGTTGAATACTATCGCCGCGAAGATGGAAATCTCATAACACAGCCGGTTTTGTCAAGATTGCCGGCGATCGAGTTTATTTCAGCCAAGGAATTCGTCCTAAACAATTATGTCGCAAGTAGAGTCCATAAAACTTCATCCAATCAGTAGCACTGACCATGTTTTAGCGATCAGTAAATATCAGTGAGGACCAGCTAACAGATGAGGGTATTGAAGACATATCGTCAGACGAGGAGATGTACTCAAAGGGCACTCTTCACAATGGTGTCATCGAGGAAGATTACGAAAGTAGATTCTGGACTCGACAAAGCCTTTCCGAGACACCACATGCCCTGATTGGGGAAAGAATTACTAGAGATGAAGACTGGGTCGCATTGCGCTCGCAAGATGTCAACCCGATCTGGAGCACTTCAGAGGCCTTTGAACGTGTCTCGATGACAAATAGCGAGCTAGAGGCCCTGATCACACTCGAATGCAACGGCACAAAGCGAGCTGACAGTCGCTATGCGTCCGTTTTTTCCATGGATGGCGATCCCGAAAAAGACACAGTCGAGAAGAACCACAGTGATAGGTATGTCTCGATTGTACATAAAAGCGACTCTATTAAACAAAACTCTTGTCTTGAAGACGTTGATAAGCAGATCCTTTGAAAGGAAAAAAAATGAGTGATGAGGATATGAAGGCTCATCATAGTGACGACAACAAAGAATAAGATACTTCAGCAGGTCTAACTCACGAGATATCGAGGAATTCTTTTCACAGATTCCCCATAACACTGATGGAAATCTTGAAAAGATGTGTGGATCAGAAATAAAAATTGCAGTAAACAGGGCACGCTTTTATATGTAGCTCTTTTCACACGATAAACTCGGACCTCGACTAATAAGAAACAAAGTTCTAGCTCTCAAATAGTGATTTCCAACGAGTCGGTCACAAGCTCACGACAACTTTTCGCCCAGAGACGCCTTCTTTGTGTTTGTCCAATGCTGCCTGTATGCTTTCTAAGCCAGAGCCCATGACAAGGGGATCTGGCTTGCACTTCAACGAGCCATTCTCTAACGCTTTGGGGACGTACTCTCCCCAAACGGCTTTCGCGATCTCTGGCTCCTTGGTGTAGATTGCTGGAGCGAAACCTATCGATCAGTCAGCATTTCGCTTCACAGACCGCTATGAAAGAAACTTCACACAGTAACCGGCGTTAACATTTTCAGGTAGCCGTTCGTCATTTTCCATGCCTAGCGTCGACGCAATAAAACCGCCGCCAAACTGCTCCAGCACTGTAGCGCAAATATGCCGTGTGGAAGGAAGACCTATCGCATCATACGCGCCCACTGGCTCGCCTGCAGACTTCAATGCGCTGATCAATTTCTCAACGATTTCAGTGTCCTTGTAGTCCAAAACCATGAAGACACCTAGAGATCTGATCCACTCATGGTGGTGGCTGGAAGCGGTGGCCACCACTTGAAGACCAGATGCGATAGCTAGCTGAATCGTAACTGCACCAACAGAGGATGATGCGCCATATACGAGAATGCTTCTCCCCGTCGGTCTGGAGTCGGTGCTTGGGTACGACAAGTGTAAGAAGTTTTTGGTGTAAAGACCAGATGCCGCGGTAGAAATTGCCAAAGGAAGCACTGCTCCTTCTTCGAAAGGAATCCAACTTGGGAGCTTTGCTGCCAGATCGGCAACAGCGATGGTGTAGTGCTGGAATGCACCATGTTCAACCTTACTGCTGACAAGATAAATGCAGTGCCTGCTTAATTCTTAGTGTCGGGTACCTGAAGTGCCTTGTTGAGTTCCATACGCAATCACTCGATCTCCAGGTTTGAATCGGGAGACCTCTTCCCCAACTTCTACGACCTCACCTGCGACGTCTTCACCCAGGACTATTGGGTAGCTTTGAATGATGATGCCTGAATTGATGAGCAAAGGACCGATTCTGAACATCAATTGGACGTGTGCAAACCCATATCTTGAACCATCCAATCTACTGGATTGATCGCTACCGCAGCACTCTTAATCAATATCTGATTTTTTTCAGGCTTCATCAGTGGCACGTTCTCGATGACCAACGGGCGGGCCTTCGCGGCAATAAGCAATGCTGCCTTATTCGACATTTGCGGAAGTGGGCTACGGCTTTGGTAGTAAGACAAAACTAAACAGCATCAAGAAGTAAAAAAGGAATTAAAAGTTCATGAACAGTCTCTACGTGTTTATATACTCTGGTAGTCGATAGTTGCTTGGCTGATTACCAAGGGAGTAAGCAAGTTAGTTATGCGTAAACGGCTAATTTGGCCGATAACTTTGCCTCGTACGATAGCTCAACCAAGCACGTTTAAGGAAATCTTAGCATCAGAGAGAATCTTTAATGTATCAAAGATATGCTACTGCAAGTTATTAGCTAACCGTGTTGAGCATTTGCACCGTGATCTCGGATGTTTCTTCACTGTCGTTGGTGGCTTCATTCTGAAATGGCGTAAGCACGCAGACAAGACGACAGCCAATCAAAGACCGAGAAGTCCGAGAGGCGTGTCTTCGGAGTTTAGTAGCTTATGAGCTCGACATCGCTAGATCCTTATATAAACTAATATGTTTAATACTGAGTTTGTCTCAAATAAGTAGAATCATTATTACATAGTAGATTTCCCCCAAGCATGCTCTAGATAGCATCAATGTGATGGATTTGCATTTAACCGTCACAAAGTGAGAGATCCAGTCAACACGATATCGCGGCTCGAAAAGCCTACCAACAACCCAACATTACCACTTGCCAGAACCCAATCTTGAACATCCACATCCCAAGATGACAAGTCCCTCCTCATCAGTGGAAAATTCACCGGTTGGCTTTCACCTGGTTGCAACATAATCTTGTCGAAGCCCCTCAGAACCTTGACTGGTTCATCTTCTCCCGGCAAACTAACGTACAGCTGTGGGACTGCGGCACCAGCAACCTGACCGGTGTTTGTTACTGTAACCGTTACATTGGCAATGATTTGCCATAATTCAGGGTTACCGCCAGGCTGTTTACCCGCTGATACGTTTGGACGTGAAGGCAAGGAGCCGCTGCTTGATTGAACCTGCAAGCTCGAGAGTCCGAAAGAAGTGTATGAGAGACCAAAGCCAAACTCATATAGCACCGACTTGTTGGCCTTGTCGAAATAGCGATAGTCAATGAAGACGCCCTCTGTGAAATCGGATTGCCATGCATTCGGGTCCGTCGAAGTTACCAACTCCGTAGAGTTCGTGATGTCCGTGTTGTAGTCAGAAGAGTTCAAAGCAATCGTATATGGAAGCTTGCCGCTAGGATTAACGTCTCCCCAGAGAATGTCTACAATGCTGTTTCCGGTTTCTTCGCCAGGATAATGTGCCGCCAGAATGGCCGTAACATTAGGATTGGACGCAAATGGCAGATCATTCGGACCTGAGGAATGTGTAACAACGACCGTGTTGGGACATACTGCTGCAACATTCGCGACAACTGTCGAAGCGTTCCAATTTAGCGATAAGTCTATCCGGTCTTCGCCTTCAGAGGCCCAGGTCTTGGTAAACACAATGCAGACGTCCGGTATGGGCGTAATATACTCTAGGCTAGTAACCGACTGCAAGTACGAGTTGTCCAGAATATACTGTACAATCGCACCGTCTTGAGCGGCTCTCGCCTTGATAGCCTCCAAGGGAGAGACAATGAACGAGTGACGACCAGTTCCAGAACCACCTCCGATGTCAAGTGTTCCGAATTCATACCCGTAAGGATCGTTACCGAGGCTGCTGAGCGTCAGCGAGTACAGACCTTGAGTCAGATCTCCTGCATCATTTCCAAAGACGCCGATGTTCTTTGGTGCTTTCAGAGGTAATGTGTTGTTTGTGTTCTTGAGCAGGACAGTTCCAGCCGCACCAAGTTCTCGAATGAGTTGCCCATGGTTGCCTCGAACATCCCGATTCGAAGTACCGTTCAGATTAAAATTTGCAACCCACGTCGATTCAGCGAAGAAATTTAGCGGCACAATGGAGGGATCGATAAGTGGAAATCCCTGGTCCTGCTTGAGATAGTAATACGGCGTCATAACGCGTAAGATCATGTCATCGAGACGTGATTCAGGTAAGGATCCGTTCTTCACTGCAATCGTGATGTTACCACCAAAAAAGCTAGGCTCTGGAGAAAGAAAGGAAATGCCGCCTGGGATGTTCATGTCCAGTCCTGCTTCTATAGCTGCCAAGCCGGTGTGTGTCGCTGACCAGTCAGACATGACGTAACCCTGAAAATCGAGCTCGTCCTTGAGCAAGCCGTTCAAAACTTTAGAGTTCTGGCAGCTGTACGACTCGTTAAGTCGATTGTATGAACACATTACGCTCGAGACACCTGAATGAACCGCATTGGCAAAGGGCCAGAGATATAATTCATGCATGGTCTTATCATCAATATTGGATGAGACGGCATCGATCATGACCCCATCCACTATGCTCGGATTCCGTTGGGTTTCCTGCTCATTGCCGACTGAAATAGTTTAGCATATCTGCTGAATATGGTGGCCACGGACTTACTAAAATGTTTAACAGTAGCTTGAACACCAGCGGACTGGATTCCTAATATAGTTTCTTCAACTGCAACACCTGTCAAGTAAGGATCGGGACTGAATCCTTCCCAGTTTCGACCAGAGAATGGAGAACGCCCTAAAGGTCCACAAACAGGACCAAGAGCAATGTGCGAGCCCTTGCCTCTAAACTCCTCGCCCATATCTTGACCTCTACTGCGAATGAGATTTCTATCCCATGATGCGGCTGCTGTTAATCCGGCGGGGAAAACACTGCCATACGTGATCTCTCGTAGTCCAGCAGGTCCATCGTTCAAACAGAGACCATTGAAACCCAAGCGATCAATTGGTGCAATGTTACCCTTGTCTTGATTAGAACTTTTAATTACCCGGAAAGTAAAGCCGCTTACAACGCAAGGCCCAGTAGTTCCCGTTACCATACCAGCCTTCTCTTCAAGCGTTAGCATACTAACAAAAGACTTTGCCTGAGCAAAGGCAGCATCCCAATCACCTGCACCCGTTGCGTTTGCTACGGAACCACGGTTAGTCAATCATTGCAACGATTCATATCTCTCGAAAAATAGGCATGCACGACGCTGAACATGAAGGGACTTTCGTAATAGGAAAATAGAGGCCGTAGGAGAACTCACGAGACGGGTAGACCGGTGGACTTGAGGTGTAAAGCGAATGATTCCACTGTTGAGCGCTAACCAGCGAAGCGCCAACAAGGAAGAGGGAGAGGAATGCCATTTTGTTAATCCACTACCAGACCGGTCGCTTGATAATGACTTGAAGGCATCTTCTCGCTGCATTTTATATCCAAATGTTGCACCACGTCGTGCTCGGTCATGGTAACCCCGAGCGGGAAGTAGTGCTGTAAATTTCTGCGTGGGGCGTGCTCAAAGTCCTTGATGCCCGCTTTCTCTTCTTTGGTTCATGTAGTTAGAATCCTTGTGGGTATTCGCGATAGTCTCCTCAATCTTGGAGGCGGGGAAAAGTATCGTTGGCCCCTCTTCAGCACGGGCAAGACCTTTTGGAAAAAACCGAATACATCATACTCCTGAGAGCCAAAAAGAATATTACCGACGTCTTGTACTTCTTTTAGACCGAATCAATTCCACACTAGCTATGTATCGATTGCACATATCGAAATGAAAAATGTATGGATTTCGAATCCTCCTTCAAAATTTCTGCAAATCGTGTATCTGACTAGGGTGTGGCGCAAGTGCTACTTCGATAGACATCACAGCTTTCAACAGAAAGTCGATTTAGGTAGTTATTCCGATTCGAATGAGTCGGGTTGAAAAGCATCCATGGGTCAAATCTCAAGGCTAATGATTCAAGCATCGCCGTGCCGCTCTTTTCCCCGCAATTCACGGATACGTCCGTCGAAAACAAGATCCACGGTAATGAGAAACGGCTGTGGTACAATGAGCGAGCTAGCCATTTCTAGAGATGTTCGCATAGTTCCAAGACTTGCCGAAACTTTTATCTTCATTGATGCAACTATGTTCACACGACGAATGTATTCGGTGACTTCGACACCCATGAGAACCTACACACTTGTGGACGAACGAGAAAGACTCAGAAGCAGTATGGGGTTCGAAACGTAATGCCAAGGTGAAAACTGCCGAAGAATCATTTCAAAAGATTCAAGCGAACGGACGACTCCGTTTAGATCTCGCTTTTGAAAGTCAACTATAGAGATGAACTTGTGTAAGATAATTAGCCGAACGGCCCGAACCCAACGGTTTTTGCGGAGTCTTCTACTCACGTGATGTTTCCACCTTTTTGCACTGCTCGTATCTGATTGTGTCCGATCTCGGATCATCACCAATGTCGTCTCGATCTTGCGATAAGTTAACTAAACGTATTTCAAGACTAGATGGCACCGTGGAAAAAGAAAGACAGATTAGCAAAGAGTCGTGAATAGGATTACTCAGCAAGGGCGAGATTACCGGTCTTGGTGAATGCTTTCACGTCATGCTCAAATATCGTCAAACTATTCGTTCCAAGCCGTAACGGTGAAGTAACGGGGACGCAAGGCTAACAGTTGGATCGGATCAACTTCGCAAATGTTTTACTGAGCACCGAGGAATGTGGCTGAGCGCAAGCAGTCTATTGCGGATTGCAACGATACCGGGTTTTAAGCCATGCAAGTATCTATTCTACGGCCACTAGGCAACTTACCAACAACCAAGGGATCGTAAGCCGCGGAACAATACTGTTACATCTTAGTAGCCGGCTACCCCACAATTGCAAGAATATCAGGCAGCCTACCATGCCGTATTTATCGTAATATTTGTAGTATACATCAACTTAAAATATTGAAACTAAAAGAAGCGAAAAGGAATGCCTCTGCAGTCCGACCTCAACTTGTCAAGGGACAAGTTTCTTGGTGATGCGATCACCAAAGAGACAACGGCGCTCAATGAGCAGCTTATCGACACAATGTCTGGGCTTCCCAGGTGGTACGAGGTAGGTTCTTTGATTTCTCGAATGTGAATTTCAAGCCTGAGAAACACAGGTCGGCGCAGAGAAATACCGCCAAATGAGGTGGAACAACGAGACTGCCTTGCCGCGGCCTCCAAGCTTGGAAAACGGGGAGGATAGAGCGATTCCGTCGCGCGAGCGCGGTCGTACAATACCAGCTCGCGTGTTCAGGCCTGAGAACCGAACACCCAGGGGGACGTTTTTGCACATACACGGCGGGGGTTGGGTTCTGCAAAGCGAGAAATACCAAGACGAGTATCTTGACTTCTTAGCACGGAAAGGGAACCTGGCCGTTGTGAGTGTGGGATATCGACTTGCGCCGGAACATCCGTTTCCAAGTGGTCCCGAAGACTGCTATGACGCCGCGGACTACGTTCTCGAGAATGCAGAGAAGGAGTTTGGGGCCCCGCTTTTGTTCATCGGCGGCGAGTCTGCAGGTGGTCATCTCTCCGTCCTGACGCTGCTGCATCTCCACAACAAGCACACGATCTGGACTCTTCCGCCGAACGGCGGCTTGGTCCTGCACTTCGGCTGCTACGACGCGTCCAATTTTTTGCCAGCAGCTCATCACTTCACAAAGCCCTTGATTATCGACTGGGATCTGTTGATATCCTTCCAGAAGGCCTTCTTGCCCAACACGACGGCCGAGGAACGAGCTCACTGGTCGATATCACCACTTTATGCTGACTGGTTGAAAGTCGCCGCTGAGATGAGGGCACGAGGAGCCCCTGGGCTGCCAAGGGCTCTCTTCACAGTTGGGACAGAAGATCCACTGCTAGATGATAGTGTGTTTATGGCGGCGAAGTGGCAGATTGCCGGAGGCGAGGGTATTCTCAAAGTGTACCCTGGCGCACCTCATGGATTCATCAGCTTTGCTGAGAAAGGCGTTCCCGTCGCCATCGAGTGCTTAAGGGATACCGAAGCCTTTCTAGTCTCGGACTAATTCATGTACAGCAGGATAGGCTGGCACCTAGTGATGCTATTGGGAAATCTTTCGAGATGGTTCACTCACTGCTAGCCTTCTTAGCCTATCCAACAGATTTTATATTAGTTAGGGTGGACTTCGAGGTCTCTTATCAGAACCAATATCACTGAGGTTTTGTTGATAAAGAGTCGAACGTTGTGAATCATGAGGAAGCTCGGCTAGGACATCAGTAATACTCCGTGCCTTGTAGAGAAGCGCAAGAATGTACATCTTCAGAGCTGGGACACAACCCGTGCGCAACAAGCCCATTCAGCCATGCATATCTAACATTGCAAGCAACATATTCAAGCGCTCGTATGTGGTGGCTCTCCACAAGCTTCATCCTATTTGATTCTGTGGATCTGCAAATGAAATCGTCGCACCAAGTCATATCTAATTCCAAACACTCATGTTCTTGATCTCACAACTCTCCCTTCCATCGTGCTTCTTCAGCACACCAACTTCAAACACTTTCTCCCCTTCACTTTCCAGAATCTTTCTGGCTTCATCAACCTTCTCCCTGGCTACCACGATAACCATTCCAATGCCTGTGTTCCATACTCGTGCAAATTCGTTGTTCTCCACGCTACCTGCTTTCTTGAGCCAGCTTAGCACGGCCGGCACGTCCCAATTTTTCGCATCAAATGATGCCGAAAGGTGATTTGGTAGCATTCTTGGTACGTTTTCGGTGATTCCACCTCCCGTAATATGTGCCATTCCCTTCAAAAGACCTCGTCGTGAAGCTGCCAGACACGACTTCACATATATGCGTGTTGGCGCAAGGAGTGCTTCACCAACAGTGGTGCTCTGATCCCAGGGAGCCTGGTCCTTCCAGTCCAGCCCAGCGCGTTCGATAATTTTTCGCACCAGAGAGAAACCGTTTGAATGCACACCATTGCTTGCGAGGCCAAGGAGAATATCCCCTTCTTGCATGCTTTCCTTATCCGGTAACACTTTCTCTCCTTTCCGTAGAGCACCAGTAGCACAACCTGCAGCATCGAACTCGCCTTTGCTATACATACCACTCATTTCAGCCGTCTCGCCTCCTATCAAAGCGCATCCTGATTCCTTGCATCCTGCGGCAACGCCCTCAACAAATGCGGCAGCTTGGTCGACATCCAAAGCTCCGCATGCATAATAGTCTAAGAAGGTGAGCGGCTCAGCACCTTGAACGACCAGATCATTGACGTTCATAGCAACAAGATCAATACCCACAGTATCGTACTTGCCAACAGCGAAGGCAATCTTTAGCTTCGTGCCGACGCCGTCAATAGCTTGAATCAAGACGGGGGTGTCATCGTAACCGGCTGCTTGAAGGTCAAATGAACCACCAAACCCACCGATTACCGCATCGGTGCCACTTCGCTTCGTAGACGATACAGAAGCCTTGATACGTTCCACAAGCTGATTCCCGGCATCTATCGATACGCCAGCACCAGCATAAGTCATAGGCGTACTTTCTCTGTCCACAGAAACACCCGCTTCGTCATGTCCGTAGGAGATGGTGAGTCCATCCTCAGCTGGCTCCAGCAGCTTCCATTCACATGTGATGTTCTCTAGCGAAAACTGACTGATAATTCGATTCGCGATATTCTCAAAGTCATGCGTAGCGAGTGCGAGGATTGTGGGCCCTGCGCCGGAAAGACAGATTCCGAGTAAGCCCGGGTGGCTTTTCGGTGTGACGGATTGCAGAATCTGGGGAAGACCGGGAATCAGCTTCTTGCGGTACGGTTGGTGAACACGGTCTTGCATAGCGAAGTATATTGTATCTGGGTCTGGCGGTGTTTCACCCAGGGCGGTTGAAAGAACTACGATACGTTGCATGTTGTAGACGAGATCCTTGCGTGAATAGCTGTCCGGTAGGACTCGCCGGGCGTCTGCAGTAGCGACTTCGAAATGTGGTATGATGGCTATACATTTGATCTGCTCGGACCATTTGAATTTTTTGTAGTGCCCAATGTTGTATGGCGGTTCTGGGGGCTTGAGGCCTGTGTCAACACCTCCTGCAGGCTCAGGTAGTACCTCGCTCAGAGGAATCTCGATCCGTTCAGCATCTTTAGGGTCCAGTTCATTGAGATATGCTGCTACCAGCCCACCATATAGTGCTGCCGCTACACTAAGAAATATCAGTGCTATCGCATATGACGTGTGACTTGTTTCCTACTTGTCTGGATGTCTCTCTATCATGAGACAATAGTCCTAAAATATGTCAGCAGGTTATTCTTGTCAAAGATATGTCGAGGGCCACTGACTAACATCCGTGCCTTCGACAAGCCCAGCTTTCCAACTTCACTTCCAAGAGCGACACCACCCACTACGGCTGCGCCAGAGGAGCCCAAGCCCCTGCCGAGTGGGATGGGGTTCTTAATATGGACGTGTGTGCCTGCTGGAAAGTTGCGCTGACCGTGACATCGGAGCACGTATATTGCTGTGCGTGTGATAAGATTCTCCTCGGGCACTAGGCTGACATTTTCTGCGCTATCTCCCTCGTACGTTATTACAGGCCATTGTGCGTTTGGATCAGCCTGATCTGGGTTTTCGAACGTGACTTTGATCTCCGTCCATAACGAAAGGGCGAGACCAATCTAAGGGATTGTGACTGTCAGCGTACATCTTTAGATTCTAAACCAGGCCGAAGCAACTTGAGCAGATGTGAACGATCAACTATGACTCGTCCGGCGATGATCAAGAGGCGCGGATGAAGAGGTCAAAATTTGAACCTACGACGTCGAAACCGGGGCCAATGTTGGCAGAAGAGCAGGGTATGCGAATGGTTATCATGATCAATGCGTTTGTGGCGAGAGGAGGAGCGCAATGCTGCGCAGAATGCGTCCGCTTGAAGAGATCTCAAAAAACTTTTTGGCATCTCGTGGTGAGCGCAGGCACGCAGGTACCCCACGGTGGGGCTTTGGCTGGCTCAGGGCTCCGAGGGCGGGCGTGGGCGGCCAGGCCTTTGCTTGCTTGCCCGGCGTTCCATTGAATCGGCGTCTGTAGACAAAATGGCGTCCTGACGAGTACTTGAATTATCCTAATCACTTCTGTGTATACGGGCACTAGCACTGGTTCAATTGCGACCAGATGCAGCAATACATCGAGTCCGGGTTGAAGGTGGCAGGAATCGAGGTGCAAACCTCATTGACAAGGTCAACTCTGGTATACGGCGTCAACGCCAACAAAAAAAAAAGCACGAAACAAATTGTCCGTAAATATCGCGTATCCCTTTTGCACTAAGTACTTTGCACCTTGCTACGCAGCATAGCTTAATCTGCACAAAAACTTCTTGTTCTCTGCGAGCAGGTCTAGCGTTTGCGAGGGGAACCCAACCAGCCAATCAGCATCGTAGGCCCAGCCACCTCAATCTTGCTCGTTACCAGCAGCCGAGCTGGATGAGTGTCAACACCCTCCCCAATCCATTCCAACTCTTGCTCTCGCTGGCAGCGCGCAGATTTTCGAGCAAACACACGGAGACAAAGCACACTACACAGCCCATTTTCCCTATTGAATCGTGCTCGGGACGACATTGCACTGTTTTGCTCAAGATCCACAGCACGCGACGTGACGCGCCCGACTCCAGGCACACCAAGAGCATATGCATTCGCGTTAATGCAACAGTCGCGGCAGTAATATCAGCGATTGAACGATGACGCCTAAGCAGAGATCCGTACACGGACCGACAAGAGGAGGGAGACGGCCGAGTGGCCTCACACGAGCCGAGGCGTCGACTAGAAGGAGTTCTGGCGCTGTATCCAGCAAGGCACCGAGACGACGAAGCGACATCAAACGTATGTGCTGCTCTGTTGACATACGTGCAGTGAGCGTGCTGCTGGACAAAGTTTATTAACGTGTAACAGCTGGGGACCCCATCCAGCATGGGAAGAAACGACGATACAAGCCGGGTACTGTGGCGCTCAAGGAGATCCGACGATACCAGAGGAGCACGGATTTACTAATGCGCAAGCTGCCCTTTGCACGGCTGGTACGTTAGAGCCTATTGTGATGCTTTCCATGGGCAGGACTGACGGTTGATCGTAGGTGCGAGAGATCGCTATGGAGCTCACACAGTCAGAAGATACAATATTGCGATGGCAATCACAAGCAATACAAGCATTGCAAGAAGCCTCCGAGGCCTTCCTGGTGCACTTGTTCGAAGACACGAACCTATGTGCCATACACGCCAAACGCGTAACCATAATGCAGAAGGATATCCAGCTGGCAAGGAGGATACGCGGGGCTTGGGGTGGTCTGGGCTAATGCATTCATGTCACTTCCTAATCTTGGGAGCATACCAAGGGCTCCAGTCCCTTCCAGCTGGGCATTTGAGGTGTTTGGGTGTTCATGGAGCATAGTATTCGCTACATTTGTACGCGTTTTGGGCGGTTCCATTTGGAAATTCCAGTCGTATCGGGAGGGGGTTGAACTTTTTGACCTCATGGGTCGTAAAGAGGATTCCGCGTTAGTTTCTTGGTCCTACTTTGCTCAAAGTCAAGGGGCAAACATTCACTCTTGGCAGTGTTCGCAATTTCAGCAGAATCGCCATGTCAATATGCAGAAATCATTTGATCTTGAGACCATCATCGTGTCATTCATATCTTCTTGGTCGTGTTGTCGAGCCTTTTTAAACATCGACTACGAACCCGGTTTGTCATCCACAACATCCGGGGGTCTGCGCTGTGGGAGCTCTGACCTTCCAAACATTTAACCTCAATTTCACCACCCACTCATGCTTGAGACTTCAGACTGTATCAAAGGAGGAAGCAGGCCATAGGGGGTCTATGTCGATTCCAAAAACCTCCTGATTGTATTCCTGAAACACAACGGTCCGTACGTAGCTACTGACTGCCTCTCGCCAACCCCCGCAACGATGATCTCTGGCATCCTCATCTTCAACCAAAAAGGCGAAAACCTCATCTTTCGCTCTTACCGCGCCGACTGTCGCCCTCGCCTCGCGGATATATTTCGCATCCAAGTCATCTCAAACGTCAATGTGCGGTCACCGATTCTCACCCTCGGATCTACAACATTCTCGCACATCCGCCACGAAAACATCTACCTCGTTGCTGTGACAAAAAGCAACGCCAATGCGGCGCTCGTCTTCGAGTTCCTGGAGCGCCTGCGGGCCCTGGGTAAGAGCTATTTTGGCAAGTTCGACGAGGAGGGCGTGAAGAATAATTTTGTTCTCGTGTATGAACTTCTGGACGAGATTTTGGATTTTGGATACCCGCAGAACACCGAGACGGAAACACTGAAAATGTACATTACAACTGAGGGCGTCAAGACTCAGCAGAATACGGTATGCATATTTGCGCACAACGCATATCTACACTGGGGTTCTGCGCTAATGTGGATCATAAATGCAGCAAGATACATCCAAAATTACCATGCAAGCCACGGGTGCCCTCTCCTGGCGTCGCTCCGACATCAAGTATCGCAAAAACGAGGCGTTCGTCGATGTTATAGAAGATGTGAACCTGCTCATGTCTGCTACAGGCACAGTCCTTCGCGCAGACGTGAACGGCCAAATTGTCATGAGAGCCTACCTCTCTGGTACACCAGAATGCAAATTCGGACTCAACGACCGTCTCACGCTGGGCGATCCGGACGCTACTGATGTCACAAATAAGGCAACACGTGCTGCAGCGGGAACAGTTAGCCTTGAGGATTGCCAGTTTCACCAATGTGTTAAGCTTGGCAAATTCGACCAAGAACGAATCATATCTTTTGTGCCGCCTGACGGCGAATTCGAGCTCATGCGCTATCGTGCGGTAGAGAACATAAATCTTCCGTTCAAAGTGCACGCGATCGTCAACGAGGTCAACAAGACTAAAGTCGAATATTCGATCGCCGTGCGCGCTAACTTCGGATCCAAACTCTTTGCCACGAACGTGATTGTGCGCATCCCTACCCCACTGAATACGGCGCGAATCTCTGAACGCGTGTCTCAAGGCAAGGCGAAATACGAACCGGAGCAGAACAATATCGTATGGAAGATCCAGAGGTTTAGCGGACAAAGCGAATACGTCCTTAACGCAGAAGCCGAGCTCACAAGCATGACCAATCAAAAAGCTTGGTCGAGACCACCGTTAAGCTTGAGCTTTAGCCTACTCATGTTCACAAGCTCGGGATTGCTAGTTCGATATTTGAAGGTGTTTGAAAAATCAAATTATTCAAGTGTCAAGTGGGTTAGATACATGACCAAAGGTGGTCACTACGAGGTCAGGTTCTGATCAGAAGTGTGCATTTCTTGGATTGCATTGCCGTCATGCGGCAACTATAGGTTTGACAGGCGCCGACGAAGTTTCAAGAGACTTCAAATAAACGTGACAGGTCTTCTAACTGCGGAAGAAGCTCTGTTTATGATTGCGAAGACACGCGCATAGGTGAGCACATTTATGCCCCTTCAAAAAAGTGGAAGGCTAACACGCCTTTAGCAATTTGAGGGCCTGAGTTCATAATTGATATTCACGAATACATTTTTCCAGCACGGAAATTTGGCTTGTCTGAACCATAGACGCCTTCTTCATATGTTTCATTTCCGTGATAGGGACAGATCATTCAACTATGCACACCATATATCCCGCTTTGAGATCAAATGCAAGATGTGAAGCTGCTGGACATGACAAGCGCACTGCGGTGGCCTTTCGTGGAGCATAGATTGTAGCACGACTGGAATTGAGGGAACCGTAATTTCATGTTCTCTTACTGATTTCAGTATTGATAGTTTTGCTCGAAATCCTTCCACGCGGAAATTTCGAAGAATAGAAATCTGCCTTAATCTCCCATTTCCCGAAGTTATCGTAAACTCTGGAAAAGGCGGCACAACTTCAAAGCGTATTAACGGCACATTGGTCATGTGCTCCGTGATAAGAGGTTTTGACTACGTAGCTTTTGCTCGCATGAAGCTGATGCGATTTCAACGTCTTTCAGCTAAGGTGATCTCGCATAAGGATGAGCTTTCGCGTGTTGGGCCTCGGCAGCGCTTATTTTCCATTTTACTTCTTGCCTGTTTTATGCAAGTGGATGTTAGTACAAACTTAAATTCGCAAATATCCTCAAGCATATAGCAACAAGACTGCCTTCCATCAGTCGCGGCTACGTCTGACGCGTGATAAGGATCTCACTATCAATGATTCTCTTACTAGCGCTGGTCAAAAGTAGATATTGCTCTGGATAGAATTAGGTTACGCCTTTCGTGGGTTTCGATACTACTACTCAATAAAGCAATTTCGTGGAGACATCTGCGAAGTAAAAAAGCATTGTGCCTTTTTGTAACTTTGTTCAAAATATAGACTTGAGCTCTCCTGTGAATGCAATTGACATCTTATAGTTTGCTAAACAATCTGAGCTTGTTTTTACGATTCTCTCATGTGCTGCCTTTGTGACACTGTCAAAAGACACCCATACCTCCTCCTCCTTCTTTTTCTTCTCCTCTTCTTCTATTATTATTATTATTGTTATCCCACAAGGAATCAATTCAACATACATGATCTTTGTGCGGTCTTGTCGTATTCAGCACTGCCTTAATTCCCTGCCAGCTGTTCCATTGCCAGCCAAGAATCTTTCACTTGCCTGGTCAAAGATTGACACATGGCATTCTCAGAGCTTCTATTTGGAAGTAATGAGAAAGGCCTTAGTGATTCGAATTGATTCGTCATGCGGTACTCCGAGCTGAGTTCAATAGTAGTTGAATGATCAGCACAGCGGTAAACGCTACTTGTTTCTATAACTCACTCATCATCGCAGTACATTAACGTCCCGTTCTGTGAGACCCAGCGTGTTCGGAGCCGTGGAATCTTCAGGACTTATTATATTCTTCGCTGCTTCAGCGTACGTCTTGTTCGATGACGTCTTACCGCCCTTTCCCTTCCCATCCCCCATTTTCTTTGGTGACGAAAGAGCAAAATTAAATGAATGCTCTAAAGGGCAAAGGACTTGACTTCCTGGAGGCTCTAGTTTGGTAGAAACGAATCCTTGATCCGAAGGTTGAACAATTTTATGCGCATTAGTGGCCCGAGAAATGTTGATAAGATCTCCGACACTAACTTGCTGAGCGGCAGTGGCAACTTGTTCCAATTCTTGTCGTGCGAGTCCTCCTGGCGCTATTATCAGCCATCATGCAAATTTGCCTCAGGAGTTTATTACCATCAAATACGGACCCAAAGTCGTCAAATTTACCCTTACAACTTTCCGTGACAGAATCGGCATTTCCCTGCCATGGAGGAATTACGTGGATCTCGGCCGTAGGTGCCCGCGGACTAGAAAGATGTTCTCGAGCAGTGGTAGGTGTAGCTGGCAAAGAACTAGAGCCGCTCGGACCGACAGGCAGATGTTTCACTTTGCCATCAAAAGTTTTGCCCTCGACGTGCTCGCTAATGACAGTCGGCGCACTATGGAACTCGACAGCTGCGGCACAGACTTGTTTCTTTGGCGTCTTTTCGACTATTCTATCTTCCATTTTTGATTCTGGGACATCTGTAGAGATTTTCGAGATTTTCCTGGATGCCTGGCGTTGCTTCTTAGCCTTCTTTTTCTCTGCGTCTCTCTCCGCTTTTGATTTCTTGTTGTAGATTGACAAAGACTCTGTTTGAGCAGCTCCCTTCTCCTTCAGCGATTTCACTCTGACAGCCTTCCCATGGTCATGCATGTCAGTGGAGAATACAGACTGAGTACCTTGGATCTTGATAGGCTCGGACATGCCCATAATTTCGCTTTGATTGAACAGAGGTGTTGCAGTCCCATCTAAGGAAGGATTTGTGGTCAACATTACTTTATGTGGTTCAAAAGCTTGATCCATGGACTTCGTCTCATAAACTAGTCCCGAGATCGTTTCTGTGCCTTCTGGCTGCTCCGAAAATGATTCATACCTATCATGAACTTCAAAATGTCCCACGGTATTCAAGGACCGCCCATATTCAGTAGTTTGGCTATCTTCAAGCGGAGCTGTCTCTGCTGTGTGGCTAGATGGAATAGTCTGATTACGTTCCAAAGCCTTAGATTCGACATGGAGAGATATTAAAGAGCTTTGAAACTTCTCTTTGACCTTGTCTTTATCTGCAGGGGTAATATATCCACGCGACGAACTCGATCCGTTGGCAGGGGATGAGATATTTGACTCAGAAGGCGTAATTGATGCCTCGCGAGACCTACTAGGCTTCTTCCTTCTGTGCTTCTTCTTTATTGGCTTCAACAGAGCCTCTACATCGCCAGAGACAACCTGATCAATTGTTTCAGCTGCCTGAATCGGTGCATTGGTACATGAGCTAGCATTGTGCGAACTAGGAGGCTCTGTGTCCTCTTTTAGATCGCCGAGTGGCAAGTCGCTACGAGCATCTTGCTGCGTGAAAGCACTATTGCGGCGCACAGCATGTATGGCTTGTGACATTGACCCTCCTCGAGTACTTCGTGGGTCAAAAATGACAGGTATGCCTTCGTAGCGAGTGAATATGCCACCACTATTAACCTGTGCTTGATAACCGGTGTATCCAGAAACCTGACCAAACGATTTTGAGCGGTTGTATCTACCAAACGAAGATCTTCTGCGTGCGCGACGTTCGATGCCTTCACGGGTCCGGCGCTCAGGAACCTGGACTTTGAGATTGCCGCCATTGAATTCTGCGTGATGAAGCTCTCGCAAAGCTTTTCGTGCATCGGCGTTGCTATGGAACTTGACGAAGGTCCATCCTAGACCCGCATTCATCGATGGGTCAAATGTGATAGGACTTTTGACCTCAGCTACTGGCACTGTGATACTAACAAAAGCTTTGAGCTGGTCGACGGTCGTATCAATTGGAATGTTGCCAAACCACAGCGTCACGACATCTTCTGCATCTGGGCCAATAAAACCAGATGTGCATTGTTGTCTTTCTGTCATGTTAGCGAGATCAACCGTGTTTTCCGTGTAAGACTTTTCAGTATACGACGGAAAAGGTACAATGTCACCTGCGATCGATGATCGATGAACAACCTGGCTGGCATTTGACAAGCGACGAGCAGGACGACTGGAGCGAGATGGCATGACGATAGACTGTTCGTCGACAAACCGATTGGTGGAAGTAAGGCCACTGCAACGAATATGAGGAATATGGACGTCGCTAGGACTAAAAGAAGATGCATCCGCCACAATCAATGACCGACGACCGACATGTTCACCAGCAAATGAATTGCTTGTCGCATGTGCCACATGACGAGCAGAAGCGTCGTGTGCGGTAGACATGCCCATATGTTGGGTTGGGTCTAGTAGAGGTGGCTGTACATGGTTGGGAAGGCAATGCTGCTGCAGAAGCTGTGGGCTATTATGCATTGTTTGTGGTGGTGGCACACGCATAATGTAGCGAGATGGGTTGCGTATTGGGGGAATACCAACGTGTCTTGGTGATTGGCCAGCTTGAGGTAATGGAGCTGGAGTTTCTGGCCACGCTCCATGCTGTGCATGAACGACGTGTGGTGTCATGATGTTCCCAGGAACGGTTCCAAATGGTGCAGAAGGAACTATCGAGAATTTCATGACCTGCTGGCCCTGCGGCAATATCTTTGTGGAAACAGATCGAGCAGGGTAGCCCATGCGTGGTGAGCCTATATGCCCCATGTAAGAGCCAGATTGCGCTATAGGATAATTTCGCCCACGGGGTTGACTGAAGTGCGGCTCAGGTTTTGGACTATGAAAGATCATTCCGCCACGGCGAGGGTCCACCTTACAAATGCTGGAGCCAGGACGATTAGTTGTTGGGTGTTCGAGTAAAGGCGAACCCTGTCTGCCAAAGCTACGATCATGGTGATATAGATACGCTGCATTGTTGATCGCGATAACGTTCCGTTCAGACGAGTGTTGGAAGACCAGAGGCGGATTCCCGAGGCGATATTCGTAGCGGCCGATGACTTTTTCGGCGCCGCCTCTGTTATGCGGAGGTACCTCCTTTTGTCCGTTCCCAACTGTCGCCTTCGTTATGAGCTCAGACTGCGATTGGGTAGAGATAGCTCGACGCTCAACTCCAGGTGCAGTCATCCAGTCTGAAAGAGAGAGCGTAGATTTCCTGAGTTCTTTGACTGCACCATCGAAGTCAGATTTCACTCGACGGTGAGAAATTGGCTCCGAAACTGAAATTTCGCCGTCGACAGCCGGCTTCTTGCCTTTGGGGGCTTGTGGTTGTTGAGAAATCTGTACGTCGGCCTTCTTATCTTCAGCCTCAGTGTTGTCACCAGGGCTTTCCCCTTTTCTATCACGGTCAGATGCCTTGGCAGCAGCAGCGTTCGAAGAAATTGCAGCAGTGTCAATCTGAACTGCACCTCCGTCGTTGTTGGGTGGGACTGAACCAGCGCCATACGTTTCCTTTGCATCATTACCGCAGGTTTTCTGCAGTTGAACGCCTGCAGGCTGGTCTTGACAGCTTTCTGGACGTTCAGCCTCGCTGTTTTGAGTTTTCTGAAACCGTGTGGCCGCAAATGATAAAGGTTCCACGGACTTGCCGCGAGCCCGAGCAAAGTACACTGCGGGCCATTCATCTGGACGGTCTTCTGGGACAATTTTCATCTCCTTCAGCTTTGCGGGGTAATGGTTGGCCTTGACGTCCGCGATGAATTGCTTCAAATGCAGGCCAGACGGCGGGTTCGCAAGAATGGCATCCCAGTAAGCTTGGTTCTTCAAGTAAGTGAGCTTGCACCACTCGACAATCTTCTCAAGGAAGACACGTCCATAATGCTTGATCTGGTCGGGCTCAAAAAGCTCGTCAACACTACACCGATACCTCATGGCATACGGGAAATAGTGAGGCTGCCACATGAGAATCTGATCCATGAACATGACGGCGTGACCGCCAATCTCCTCGTGGTTCCACATGACGATGGCCCTGAGGGCGGCCTCGCAATATGGTCTACCGCGAAATAAAATGAAGTTCTCGGTCCAGAAATCCTCGGGTTTGGCACCGGGACTTGCGTCGAGCCAACGCTCTAGATCGTGCTCGCGAATGTCCCACGAGGTTAGTCGACCCCAGTGCTCGGGATCTGACGTTACGACGCAAGCATCGACAGGCTTTACCGGGTAGGACAACAGGTGTGACTCGTCTTTTGTTTGAGCCATGGACTGGGTATTACTTGCCGCACTGGACATGACGGCGATGTGACAATGACAGAAGAAAGACTGATGACCGGCTGTGCAGTTTTGATTTCTGAGCACGGGGCGTGAGGATCAGTGTGCAAGCAGTCAAAGCAGATGATGAGGCTGCAATTTTGCTTAGGTTTTGTCTGAGTTTGTCTGGGGTAAGCAAGAAGGGCAACGTGGTGTGAGTAACAAGAGAGAAGGCGCGAACAACCAGCGGTCACTTTGACAGTTGGCGTCATGTGTTTGCTACGGACGCTGCCATGGCAACAACGCGTCACTGTCATCGCCATGAGAATCAGTTCCCGTATCCTGGATGCTCAGGCTCCTCTAAACAATCAATTAGTTAATCAAAGCCGAGCAAGCTGAGTCACTCCACCGAGCATTTGTTTGTTAAGTTCTAAATGTCATAAAGTCAACCGGTGGATTTGCCACTAGCTTGTTAGCTCTTGCAACGACGTTGAGAAGATAAATGTTAGTTCTCGGGTTCGAAAAAAAAAGTGCCGCGTTCAGCGAAGAGCCGGTTGCCAAAGAAGGCCTTGTGTGTTTAATATTGTCACAGAGCTGAGATACGATACCTGTACCTTTAGAGCGGAATTCTCACCGTGCCACACGCCGGAGGTAACTAATTCATGCGAATCCTGCGTCATTCTATTTTCAGTCCTGCTCAATCCTCACGCAGACCAGCCCACCCTCCCTACATCCGCTTTACTTGGTCTCCGGAATAGCCTTGAGCAGCTTCAGGATCTCACTCTCGTTATCCCCCACGGTGACTTTCCCCTGATGCCAATCGACCACCTTTGGCGAAGCGTCAGAACTTGTCGCTGTTCAAATAGGACACAAAGTTGTGCAGGAAAACCTACCAAAGGCCGATTGAACAGTGTTGCATCTCGCTTCACCTTTTCCAAAGCATCCGTAATGTCCCGTGCTCCCTGTACGATCGTGCCGGCTTTGCCAGGACCTGCATATTCCAGAATCGTCTTCAGTTGATCTCCTGTCGGTGCGTCTTCTTGTATGTCGAGATCATAGTCCGCTCGCTGCGTTGGAGGCGGTACTTGGTGGCTGCCGGCTTGGTCTTCCGTCGCTGTGTTCTGGGCATTTGCCTGGTGTTGTTTTAGGAATGTTACGACTCGAGTAGAGCCCGGCGCTGAAGGCTTGTGGAAAACGGTGATGACGTTCTTCGCGGCGTTCTGAGTTGGTCCGTTAGCTACATGATGCCACACAGATCGAGCTGTTTGACAGCTCGTTTTGCCAGAGGAGCAACTGCTCCCCGTATCACATCGCACACAGCAAAGGCAAAAAAAAATCAAGCTTAATTACCTCGCCAAATAGCTTTTTCCACATTTTGACTATGTTGAACCGTTCAATGGAGAAGTAAGTGTCACGTCTCTTGGTGGAAGCACCTCGTCTAGACGGAATGACGTATAGCGCTCTCCACATCTGATTGGTGCGCTTGTTCTCGGCAGCCAACGCGGGAGCACGGCTAGGCGGAGAGACTGAAAGCGGGACCAGGAGCATATGAACGATGCTATTCTCGCAGAAGAAGAGCCTTTCCTTTGTGATCTGTGGCTTCGTCTGAGTGAACGAACTACGAAAGATGGCTTCGTCAAAGCCGCTTCATGTACTGTTTGTGGGAGCGGGCGCCGTTGGATGCTTTTATGCCTCCAGAATCCACAGTGTATTTCCCCCTCCTTCCAGTCCAATGTGATTAAAAAGGCGAATGCTAAGCTCGTTAGCCCGCTGCTGGTGTACTCGTGTCCTTGGTGTGTCGGTCAAACTACAAGACCGTTGCACAATCCGGTGTGCAGATGAAGACGCATACATTTGGAGACTATCAGTTCCGACCGCACGAGGTGTACTCTTCGATAAACGACGCAGCAACGTCAACTAGGGCGCCCAGCGAAGGGTGGGACTATGTCGTTGTCACTACGAAGGCTCTACCGGATATCACGGACGACTCTAAAGACATTGAACCTCTAATTCGAAAGGCACCCAACGGCAAGACCTGCATTGTTCTAATACAGAATGGTGTCGGCGTCGAAGAGCCACATCGTCAAAGGTTCCCAAGGAATCCCCTTGTCAGCGCCGTAACCATCATCAGTGCCGAGCAGATCAGTCACGGTGTTGTCCGACAGAACCGGTGGACGAGGATCAGCTTTGGCGCCTACTCCGATGGGCTCGGTGGCAAAACACCTGAAGCAAGCGAGCTGAGGATACGTGGAGACGCTTGCGTTAAGCAGCTTGTTGAATTGTACTCTATGATTGGGAAGCTTAGGGATGCAGAACATTACGATGAAGTAGGGTTGCAGCATGTACGGTGGCACAAGATCTGCATCAACGGCTCCATGAACCCGTCGGCGGTCATGGCAGGTGGTATCGGAAATGCAGACATGGTCATGAACCCAGAGCTGCGAGAACACCTTCAGGCATGTATGTATGAAGTCTTTGACGCCGCGCCGAAGATCTTGGGCGTGGAGTTCCCGGCGAAGCTGGCAAAGCCAGAAGCAATTCTCAAGAGCACGGAAAGAAACAAAGGGGGAAAGCCGAGCATGCTTGTGGATTGGGAAGCAGGCCGCCCGATGGAGCTCGAGGTCATCCTCGGAAATCCTATACGAATTGCTCGCAGGCACGGCGTGGAGATGCCTAGGTTACAGAGCATGTATGCTCTGTTGAAGTCGGCACAAGCACAACGGAATGCTGCTAAGGAGACGGCTGCAAAAGCAAGCTTGTAGGCCTTGGCTGGGGGGGAATGGACACCGATCAAGCTACTCGCCTCACCTTTGAGATCAACATCTAGAATAACCCTGTCAAGGAGACTTGAACTGTACATAAAGCCGTGCGACAGTTGCTCCGGGTACGCGTTGGCCTTGCCAGGCCCAGCACAAGCTGGTGAAGCCACGCAGCACCCCCAAAAAAGCACGCCATCATGCTTAGTTTACAGCGTCACAAGGTACCGCAGCTGTTCTAAAGCACATCCACCGTTCAGCCCTGCTACCGTTGCGTTTCCCTTCCAATGTCTTTTTCATCGCCAACCGAGGACATGAGTTCTTCGTTATACTTCAGAAACATCGCGACTGGTCTCTGCTAAACGTGGTGATATCGTGTCAAATTGTTTCCTTGGAAGTTGGCAGGACCGTCCCACTGTCACGAAAGTTGCTTATGGGGTACTCGGTACCTGCATTATATTTGCCCTACCTAGCCCGTCGACTAGACCGGGGCGAAGCTTCAGAATAGTCTTGGCAGTGGTTAGCTCTCTGGTCCGTGATTCCAGACCTTGTGTCTCGCTTAGCTATGAGCTTTGGGGGCTCACACCTGGACAAGCAGTGAGCCCAGTTGATTTGGCTCGCCGTTGTCCCACTGATGATGCAAATGTGAGTTGGCTCAACTTGAGATAGGCAAGGGTGTATTCGAGACGCTAGGGTGTTGCGTCCCTCGCACGGCCTGGCTCTGCAAGTGCACGCGGTGTAGCTACGTCTGTCACAAGATGAGGCGACGGCCCGAGTAAGCCTCGCTTAAACTTACCTTTGCGTCATACCGCGAGTAATCTTGAATACATCGTGCTGTCATATCAGTCCGCAACGTCTCGTGCACCACTGAAAATGGTCATTGATTACTGGTTGCTCTGCTATACGGCCAGCGAAGAGGATCGGATGATGGCGCGCACCAACACTTCCAACAAACCTCGTCATTTCCTTGCAAGTGAACGTACACACGTCCATACAAACCAGCTTGACGTTTGTAAACAATTACGAGACCGGAGGGAGGAGCTTGCGGGTCATTAGCCGTGGATGTATCAAGGATTGATCGTCTAGAATAGTGCAGTTGCGAGAGCAGAAATGACCAGAACCCCAACCATTGCCTACGAGTGCGTCACAAATAACACGTCCGCTTGGTTATAGCAGCACACGCTATGGAGGAGTAGTCGTGGCACGGTATTGATGCGATTTCCAGGTGTGATCCAGGCACGCCGGTTTCGCCAGCAAAATAATAAGCCCCTTTCGCAAGCCTTGAGGAGGTTGCGTGCATGAATGCTCAAGCCTGAGTCAGCTCCTGCATAGATCTCATCTCGCAAGCCAAGTTCTGCAACCGCGCAGAGCCCCAGCAAATCTCTCACAAAAAAAAGGGTGAGCTTTCGCCCAGACAGCATCCGGTCTCTGGGTCCCATATTTATAGAAAAAAATACCAATGACGCCTTTGCGGGTGGAAATGTGTTGAAACAGAACATTTCCCAACGGGTGTATAGTTTCCAGCCGGCCGCGGCACGCAACCGTTTAGACGATTCTCTGAAGTTCGAGCTCATCTCGAACAAGCGACGAATTTCTTTGCGGAGAGCCTTGGAATTTCATGCGGGACAACTTGAGGAACGAAGCCGTGGCTGCTTTCGCCCGGCGGGATCTTGCATGCGAACCGATTTCCGTCGAGTCATGGTAATTCAGCACGAATGAATCGTCCAGTTTCGTGACTTGCAAAGACGGACATTATTCAGCAGCAGCGGACACGAACTCGGTCTTCGACAGCTAGCCACGCGCATCAGGCTCGCGCAGGATGACGATCTCTTCTGGGGTTCTGTATTAGATCAAGTTCACTGCACACCTGATCACATCAGTGATCATGTAGCCGCCGCCACGTCCTAAGAATGCCTGTCATGTTGGATGACTTGCTGGGAACAGCCTTGTAGGGTTCAGAACAACGTTGCAGCAGCGGAGAATACCCACCGTCTACACGGACAGAGTTCATAACTCAATCGAATTTAATCACACTCCCTTACCAGGCCTTAGGGCCCAAGAAACATGACTCGGTTGGAGTCCTGAAACTCGCCCCCCGTGGGGTAAGGTGTTGTTAGTGTACTGGCCAACTTATATGCCTTCCTTTCACGTTCTAGTCGATTTGAAGATTGACAATACAATTGGCCAATTCACTGGAAGACTGAAGATAAGTAGAATGTGAAGTGAATCGCTTCTACAGATTCGGCAAGGCGGCTCAGTACTTTATCATCATCTCCTTATTCTAGTCAGAGCACAGTCAGTGTCAGGACGAGTATCAAAAGTCCGAGATGCATCACAGTATATGCGGCTCAAATTAGTACAGCTAAGGGCGCAATAATAGACACCAACCACTGCTTAATTTACCCAATCGGATCGTCACAAGTACGATTCAATCACAGCGAGTCCACCTCGTCGACGTGCGAGATTCCTGAAGAGATGCGGGGCTTAAGGATGCCATCAGGGCGATAATGCTACTCAGGCCGTCACCCTCGACTTTGATTTCATTCGCGCGTCAAGCTTATCTTGGGCATGAACAAAGATTGCGTCGTAGCGCGGCCTGGCCTTCTGAGAAAAGCTTCGGCCGTCAATAATGTCGAGGATAGGCAAGTATTTCCTTCAGAGATCGGCCGGGCGGGCAGGGTGACTCTGGAGGCGCGTCGGCAGCGCGGCAAGCACGTCCTGTATCCGGTCTAACGATACGAACGGGAGGAAAACGTCGTCCTCGAAGCGTTGAACACACCCGGAGCCGAGGCGTTGCGGCGTGGGAACAAGTAGGAAGCTGGCAAACGTTGAATGACGAGCGTGGGCGCACCGTGGAACGATTCTTTGCATGGATGCTGAACCACCGATAACGTTGCCCTTTTGGTCGACGTACAGCACGACAAGCATGTCCCGAAATTGCCGGTAAAATAGACTTTTTTCCTTCTGGTGGGGAGTGTGCGTGTACACCCTGTGCACAGGCATCCGTGCTCGAGCGACGCAACACACTCGAACCTTTCCACGTCAGGTCGCCACGTTCGCGAATGTATTTAAGGATTTCGGACCACTCTTGTTCTGATAGAAAAAGGGGGGCGGGGTTGGAGGGGCGCAATCATACACCTTCGTCTTCGTTTCAAAAATAGGACGTCGATGGCGTTGCGAATTCACGAACGATTGCGCGAATGGGCTGGAGCGATAGATCCCGGGACGATGTGACTACGGTGTGCTGTCTCATGACCTTTGCAGCGGATCAAGCTCATCGTCGAAAACGCAGTAGTAGACGATCTGCGGAGTGTTGCCGGAAAAGAAGAAGAACGTGCGACGAGGGAGACGAACGCCTGTTGAGGAGCGCTCGCGTGGGACTGCCTTACCTCCAGCCTTATCCTTGCTTTTGCGACAGTTGCAGAGTTCCAGCCTTGTCCTTGCTTTTTTGTAACGGCTTTTGCCCCACAGCTGGACACCCTTTCGAGAATACACGTGCTATGCATGTCAACTTCAAAGTGAAAGGGGCTGCCATTCCCATTCGTTCGCCGGCCGGCTCCGTCGCTGCTGATACGTACGTCGTAGAAACGCAAAGGTGCACGTCCGGAAGATTGTCCCTTATGTTTTCTTCTGCCGTGGATGGCGCCCTCGACCAAGGGCGGCTTCGCGACGCCTCCAAACCTGGTCGTTGCGCAATACAGTTCGTGAACATCGGCAGCGGCTTTAGGCCCGAAGATGAAGCAACGAAGAGCCCACCCGTGCATGACGATCAGAACGGACCGGCAGTGTGTCGGGGAAACTGTTCAATCAAACGCCGTCAGTCGTATTAGGCATCCTCTACGGTCATTTCGTAGTACTCCACCGCGTTCCACTTTGGCGGATACCCACTCAACGTTCTAGGCCAGTGCGAAACGGCTGAGCCGGTCCTGACCTTCGTGGGAACGCACTGTGGTAGTGCTCGTGCCTGGGCATTGGTCATAACTGGTCTTTGCACCTAGTTTCGATGGCCGATCCTGCATGCAAGTTTCGCCATCCTTCTGTGCGGCAGGATGAGCACTAGGGCGCTGCGGCACGAGCAGCCGCTTTGTCGTTTGGCTTGCGTTTGAATCCTTGATGAGGCAAACATCTACCATGCGTGCCGAATATGTCTTGGGCTGCACGACTCAGAGAGGGCAAGGATGTTTGCAGGGTAGAATAACGGTGTGTGATGAAATCTTTCTGAGCATTCCTTACGCTAGATTAGTGTTCTGAAATTATTTACATTAGTTTGTCATGTTTGACAAAGTATGATGAGTTGAATAAGATTCAAACTGCGGCAGCAGAGCCTCAAGAAGCTTTCATTAGTTGGTTCGGCCGACTTCGATTGACTTCATCGAAATGCTTCCCCCAAGGAAAAAAGTTGGTGCCAAAGAAGACCAGTATCCGTTGGCGTTAGGATAAAGCGATTACTGCTTCTTCTTGTCTTCAGGAAGATACGACCTGTCATCCTCCCCCTCTACTTCAAGAACCATCTTTTCCATCTCCTTGCTCTGGCGGCTCCATTCTTCCTTGCTCATCTTCTTTTCCTTCTGGAACAGCTCTTCGTTTGGCTTGCGATAGCTGCCAAACAGGCGGTCCGAGAGGGTGGTGAATTGGCCATAGTTGTAGTTGACTGTACATTGTCAGCAATTGGGATCGTGTGGTGGATTACAGGCTGCACGTACAGTAAAGGTGGTGCATGGTGTGACAGGCAGCACCGTTGATGACGGGCGAATTGGCAATGTACTCGCCGTCGTGGATCATGATGGTCCAGATGTTGATGAAGACAAACAGAGCAATATACGCAAACTTTTGCAGCGGTAGCACGAACGGAAAGACATGATAGGGGATCGATTGGGCGAAGCCATCCAGGGGATGAAAGGCATGCGACGCGAAAGGCGTGGGCATGATCCACTTATGATGGGGCTTGTGTAGGTGCTTGTACACCAAGGGATGGTGCAGACCACGGTGGATCCAGTAGATGAAGAAATCTGTGAAGAGGAGGAAGATGGGGAACTGGAGGACATTGTACCACATGCCGGGTCCCTCTGCGGTCGTGTCATACATCTTGCTGTAGCCACGGACCTCAAACCAGAAGGCGACTGCTGTCAGCAAGGCCATGCCCGGCAGAGACTGTAGCGTCTGCCATATCTCCAAGCGGATCTGGTTCTTCAAGTACTTTGGATGATTGAACGTTGCCTTGTCGAAAACGAAGACGTACGAGAGGGAGGCGAATGCGAAGTACAAGACTGCTCCAAATACCCTGGGGTACGCGAATTAGCTGGAAGCTGCGACGCCGACGTTTCGAGGCGAAGGGTTGGTGCTTACCAGGTGATGGCAAACAAGCTCAAAAACTGACGTCGCGGGTCATCTCTCGGCCAGGAGGTTTGGTATGCGGCGTCTGATGGTGTGAAGGACAAATATTGGCTGGCCGGCTTATACTCCCAGCGGTTGTGTTGCAGGGCCGGTATGTCTTTGACGGTTCCTGCGAGCGCGCTCGCGTTGTTTCCGAGGAAGCCGTACGGGCTCGGGGTCTGTGCGAGGGGAAAGAGGGAAGCGTAGATAGGGTCAAACAAGAAGGTATCGAAGCCCTCTAGCACGATGTCCATGATGCGATAGAGCGGGCGGAAGGCGGCGGTGGAATGCGGTTTTGAAGTTCTGTTGGGACCCCTATGAAGCCCAGCGCTGCTTGGAAGATGCGGCTCGCGCTTTGACAGCTGTCAAGACCCTTGAGATGCTTGACCACAAGAACAAAAGGACGGGCAGCAATCGATTGCTGAGGAAAACGGTCGAAGATGAAGGAGCGAAACGGCGACAGACGTGGTTGTATATCGCAACGGAACGGATGTCTTTTGCTCCACTTCGGATCACGGAGCCAAGCCTTGATTCATGGCGTGACGGACGTACGACCACTTTATTGCCGAGCAGCGAGAACTTTTTATTCTGCTTCCTTCGAACGCGGGCGCGCTGCACGCCGGGTCTCGTCACGTGCAACTCCGCCAGCAACACGCAGCTTCAGGACCAAGAACGCTCTGACTGCTCACAGCCGTAGCGTCGTCGACTGTGCGATTTCCGCTTCATGTCTTCGCGACCGAAAAAAAGACGTGCGCGTCTGGCTGTGAAGCAGCGCAGAGCACGTGACAGAACATAGTGCCGCCTCAGGCCGCAAAGTACCCGCCAGGCATCTCCGCACGCCCCATTCGTCAGGCACGGGGTTGGACAGCGGAAGCCGTCCGGCCCTGTCCGGCAAGCGATTACGTTATGCAAAAGAGTGTTCTGTTGTGCACTCGCTGGACTGGACACAAACTACGGCGGGATTGCCTCAGCTTGATCACCGTCCAGGTACTCCACGTTCGTCTCAGATGGTGCTTTCGTAGCGCGGGACGTTTCTTGGGCCAATATGGTGCACGTTGGGGCGCACGCACAACCTCGTAGTCCACATAACCTTCCTAATTGGGCCCGCTCGCCTCCTGCTCCGGCGTCCACGGTACACGCTGGGCACGCTCCTCGCCGTTGCTAACTATGCGGATGCCACGCACACACACACACACACACACACACACACACACACACACACACACCACCTTCGCATCCAGTTGTCTACTGTGGAAGGTCGCAAGCTGCACGAATCAAACCCACTCGAGCCCTCTCTTGTTTTCGAAACGGCCCGAGTACCCCGTTGTGCATCGCGTTTTGAAATGAAAGAAATCCGCGCTGAACAAGATATTTTTCTTCTCTGTGCTCGCCTTTGGTACGTCCTCCGAATGAGACATTTGTTTTCTGAGCCTAGCCAATCAGCCTTGTGTTGCTTCTTTCACGGAGGCCTAAGATGCATCCCACACACGGCCAGGTCCGCACTTCATTCGCTGCCCATTCGCGGCTCATCCGCCACAAATCTGTGATGGCTCCCATTATTGCATTTGCCCACCCATCCCAACAGGATCATCGACGCAGAGGCGACAGCAATGATTGAGGCGGCCTTGTCGTGGGAAGTCCAATCCCTCACGATCGCGGCGCGGTGTAACAAAGGCTGCCAGCGCCCTGCGGTTTTCGACCCGCACCAAACTGGAGAGGGGCGTGAAGAGTGGCACAACTTCGGCCATCATCTCAGCAGGAGTAGGTCTGTCTTGTTGCCAATTGACGCAGAGATATGCACCAAGCATGCTGCATTTCTTGAGCTCCTTTTCCTTGCAGGTTTGAGGAAGCTGCCATGCCTCATGCACGCTCATGCAAGATTGGTTCGTGGCCGTGTAGCCGGTCCGCGGATTTCTACGCTTCATTTTCTCCACAGCTGTATGACGCCCCAAGATAGCTCGCGATAAGATCAGGAATTCCGACGGGGAGGGGGGGGGGCGGGTGGCAAGTGTCAACACTCCCTCAAAGAAGGGGGGGGGGGGGGAACATGAGGGATAATGGAAAGACAGGGCGGGTTGCATCGTACTGGACGCTTATCTCTGCTGTGGTTGCAATAATTGCCGCTAAGAGCCGTGCATTCCTGGGAGACTGTTGGAACGATTTGGACTCCCCCGTATACGCTGCCGACCCTGCCATCTGGCGTGGTGACATCAGGTTTTCCTTTGGTGATGTAGCTCCGTCAACTGGCACTGGATGCTTGTGCTTGTGCTTGTGCTGGTGCTAGTGCTGGTGCTGGTGCTGGTGCTGGGGTGCCACACCGCGTTCCGGGGCTTCGGGTCCATCATCATTGCCCACGCCGCAACGGACTAGGGAGGACGAGAAACCGGGCCAGTCGTGGACGCTCCAGCTAGCTCCGCGAGAAGCCTCTTGTGTCCTGCATTGTGCAAAGCGTGCATAATACTGACGGGATAGTGGTCCAGGTCTTGACCGCAACCTGCGGGCTGGATGAAGGGATCATGCCTTCTCCCGCACGCGTGCTCATGTCTTCCCAGCTGTCCGCCGACTTGTCGACGCCCTCTGGTGAGATTTGAGAAGATCCTCAGTAAAAACTGTGGCACCGTGCCGCACACAGGGGTTGGTTGGGCCACTTTTGTGGGATTCTGGGCCCGCAACCACGAACATGTCCAACCAAAAAGAATTAAAAGAACCGGTCCTTTTTTTTTGTACGAAGCCTGGACTCCGTAATTGCCTTGAGCTTCTCTGCGCCAGCTCACGTCTGAGAAGCAAAAGGGCAAAACGGGGACCCCCCACATAGCTCGACTTTCCTGCCTCTCCCTCTGTGTGTTTGTGTGTGTGTGCGCCCCCCCCCCCTTCAGCACCCAAGCGACAAAATCGCGATCTTAAGCAATCTGCAAAGCAAACATCGGCCGCACTGGTCTGCTGAAGTAAAAGTGTCTTTGCTCCATCTGACATGGAACTTAGGTAATTGGCACCATTTTCAGACGTTCGTGCTTTTGCGCTTAGATCACCCTGTCAATGAATCGGGTCGCTTCGTCCCCCCCCCCCAATTCAAAGTTCTATGCGATGGGATTGGACTCCACTAGCTCACGAAGGCGAACTGAAGACCACGGACCACTTTTGGCCAAGCCATCTTTCATAGACACCAACTAGCCTTCAATAAATTGTTTATCATTATAAAATTCACACAACAAGAAGGGTATCAGCAATATCGTCACAAAAAATCTTCACAATACCGCTGTGTTCGGGCCAGCCGAAGTTCTGTTCACATCGTACTGTTGAACATATCAAGTGGCCTCTCGGCCATCCGAAAAAGACAAGCAGTGTCGCTCACAAGGTGCTAGGTCACTCTGCCCTGTTTGCATCACAGCAGGTCTCTTCTCAGGAATCGTGAAGAATAATTATCCCCACACGCAGCACCACCGTCGCTCTTCGATCGGGTCATGCCGATCGAATGGCACGTATTATCCGTAGCCCAAGATACAAAACCCCCCGAGCTCTCATCATAGTTTGTATTAGTACAGTATAATCTGTCCGAGCATAACAAGGAAAAACAAAAATTTTCATATCAATTCATGACGTCCGAAGTCTCGTTAAAAGTCGGCCGTGACAGGTTCCCCGAGGCTACCGGTCCGGAAAGACCATGTTGCCATAGTTCGAGTGGTCCTCAAACGAGGCCTGCTGCGGACCATGCATGTGGTACTGGGTCATCTCGTGCGCAGACATGTATGAGGACGATCGACTGCTCCGGTCGTCCTGGCTCATGCGTGACGGCTTGGTCGAGGAGTAAGAAGAAGTGGAAGCGCTGGACGAAGACACCGTCCAAATCCTCCGGTCCTTTCCTCGACCCTTGATACCCTTGTTTGAGTTCTTGTAGAGCTCGGCGAAGTATTCCCACAGTTCCTTGTCTTGGTAGGTAACCGGGTCACCTTCTTTGATGGTGGCGAACTTCTGAGTCAAGTATCGAAGTGTGTTGGAGTGGAATTTGTTTTGGTGAGACTTGAAACGCGTCAACCCCCGTACAACGCATGTGAAACGACCCTGGTGGTCTGGAACTGCACTCACCTTCAGGTTGCCTAGTTGGGTGAATTGCTTTCCGCAGTCATCGAGTTTGCAGGTAAACGGCTTGATTTGGAGATGAACAATCTTGTGCGCGCGCACGTTGCCACGCTGGGCGAACGACTTGCCACAAATGTCGCACTGGTAAGGTCGCTCCCCCGTGTGTCGTCTTTCGTGGGTCTAATTGCAAGGGTCAAAAAAAAGAAGCAATCATGCACTGGGCGACTCCTCGGCTTACCTTGAGGTTGCCAAGTTGAGAGAAGCGCTGCCCACACGACGGTTCTTTGCACAAGAAAGGCTTGACACCGGTGTGTGCTCTGGTATGGATTTCGAGATGCGTCTTCTGGTAGAAGCTCTTGTTGCAATTGGGCATGCTGCACTGATATCGCTTCCTCGACTTCGTCTGCTTCGCATCGGGTGCCGTGACTGGTGCTGGCTGAGTTGGTTGCGCTGATGTGTTGCTCGACTTGGTCTTGACCTGTATGGTCCGCATGAGGCAGTCGATATCGGTGTGGAAAGACACGCCGCCGGGTGTCTCTGTGGTTTCGACTGGTACAGTCGAAAGGCGATCTTGCACCGACGTAGCTGCCGGGAACGTCTGCCCATGCATCCGGTCGACGGGTGAAGGTTCGACCTTGACGGTAGGACTTCGGTGGGTCGCAGGAGCGCTAGGTCGTGAGTCCGTGACTGTGACGGAAGGGGTCATTTCGCCTGAAGTTTGGGGAAACGATGGTGCCTGTTGCATTTGTGGCTGATAAGAGAAGTTCATCGGCTGCTGGACTGGGAACTGGTTCATGGATGAAAGGTCAAATCCATACGAGCCCGATTGGTAGCTCAACGACGGGGCCATGGACGTGTTTGTTGAAAACATGGGCATGCTGAGCTCGACTTGGTTTGTCTGATAGGATCTTGAGGTTGGCGGCTGGGACGTGGGAGCCATATTTGGCATGCCCACTGGTGGCATGTTCACGGCTTGACTGGAACGTCTTTGTTCCTGTGGCCAAAGGGTGCTAGGATGTGCGACCATGGCAGTCATGGCGACAGATTGACGAGAACCAAGTTCTCTCAGGGCAGGACAAGGTGTGCAGACGAGGAAGAGAAATGCAGAAGCTGATGTTTGACAGGCAAAGCAAAGCAAAGCGTGGACGTGATGAGACTGATATATAGGTGTATGAAACCAGCTTCAACGCGGCGGACGTGGGGAGCAGAACGACAATGTGATGATCTTTTTGGACAGGGACTAGGTCGCTGAAGACTGCAGAATGCAAAGGCTATGAATGGAGAGACTGAAGATAGGAGGAGAGACTCTTGTTACATATCCCCACGAGATAGCAACAAGGTCCAAGGATGACGACGAGAGCACGGAGATCGAGAACAAGGCAAGCCTCGCTTCCCTCTCCCCATGAAAGACAAGGGACAGTCGTATCCTGGCCAGTATCAAAAGCCCATCGCTGCGCATTGCTCGGGCCGCCGTGGGCGCACAATGGGAAGAGAAAGTGGCTTGTTTTAGCCTTTTAGGGATCCCAGCAGGATCCATTAAGTGAGTGGGATATCGGACAACTCGTTTGTCAGAGCGCCGATCGCTGTAAATTACGTATCTTTACACTCTGCTCCCTTTTGGGGCCTCCGTCAGTTACCCATCCTCCAATTTGCCGCCAGCTTGTATCGAAATGACCTGGGCCTCATCTTCTGTGACCTGAAGACGAGATTGTGCAACGACAGCATCAGCTGCTGTGCCTGTGGCTTGAAGAGGCACTTTCGGGGCTTGCCTCTGTGCCTCCAAGGCCTACGGTCGGGTCGTCCTCCACGGCAAGAACCAGACGAAGTCCGCTCAAATCAACTGCCTCTCTTCTCCTTGTCTGTTCGGCGTCCGGAGTAAGGGCTGGCGTTCTGGTCTTCGCCGCAGCGGCATTTCCGCCTCTCCCCCGCCTTCATTGCGCGCCCGTTGGTCCTCTCAGCTCTGGATGGACTGACTGCCCGTCCTCGTCGTGAATTTTTGAGCACAAGGACAACGAGGAGCATTGCGATGAAAGGGTTGAGACTATGCGCGAAGTGCTTATCATTCCTCCAACAGACCATTGTTGTACCTATTTCTGCTGTGAGCCATTGTCGGGCGACCGTGCCAGTGGCCGCGCCCCCATCTCGCTCCCCCAATCTCTTAACTCACTGAGCAAAAGCCTCATCGCGAACACGCGCACACACATACACACACACACACAATGATACTGACGGAAAGGCGACACTTTGCTGAACCGCGACATAGATTACCTTTTTTTTTCTTTCAAGTACGCCTCCACTCATGAATATGTCTACCCGAGCTTTGCGACTGTATAATGCAGAATTGTTGGTCGCCAAGCGAGTTGACAACGGAGCTATGCAAACGGCGTTGCACACCCCCCTCCCAAAAAAAGCCTCGCCCGGTTACGGCGGCGACAACAATTCTCCCTACTCAATGCAAAGATGGTTTTGTTGACAGAAATGACAGCGGACGGTGCGTTCCTTATTCGACAGCTATAGTCGGCCCATCGACCCGGGTCCCCCTAAAATAAAGGCTGAGACCAGCCAGTGTGATCCGACAAGGTCAGCATGCATGTGCAGTTGGAGTGTAAAAGCTGGTCTTGCCAGACAGCCAGACAGCCAGACAGACTAGGATCTCGCCTTCCGGCATGGCGATGGAATCTGCGGACAGTCACCAGCTGAGCGTTGCTACCATGTCCTTCGCGGCGCAAGGAAGACGCTGCAGTGCGCGGTGCAAGCGGTCGCGGAGTTGCTCCAACGATCTCGAGTGCTGCGAGCTGCCCAAGAGCGTCGGGAAATATCATGCATCCACGGTTTGTCATTGATGTGACAAGCGATCGCGGCTGTCCTATCAGCTATCGAAGTCATTGTTCAGATGCGTGGGAGAAGTACGCCAGCGTTACCGATTACATGGTCTTGGGACATGGATCTGATTGGGACTGTGGCTGATTGGCTTGCGCCGCCAGTCCCCAGCTTTGGCAGCAGACGCCTGCAGAAGACGTGCCGGGCTCTGGGTACGTACCTTGTGAGCTGGCCTCCCATCGGTGGCAACATGGCAATCGAGATGCTCCCATGGCCTCCCGGCAGGCGCGGTGTTGTGGTGAGCATGTCGCCGAGATGCTGTCGTGCGGACGCTGCCTGCAAATTTGCTTCGAAACAGCGGGCGACGAGCGCAGCGGACGTTGGGCTGCCACTGAGCCCGCGCCGCCTTACCAAGCTCAGATTAAACCATTCCTCAAGACCTTCCTGGCCCGCTTCCCCGGCCCTTTGCTCAGCGAAACCACCCCTGACGACCCGTCTACCACCGCCACTGCCACCACCACCACAACAAGAACGTTTTTGCTTTCTGGCTTTCCCGAGAGCCACCCGTTCATGATACTCGTCGCATTTGGTGCGCTGGGCCCGGAGAATTTTGTTTTTCTCTTCTTCATGACTGTGTGACGGCGACCACGATTGTTCACACATGGTTGAAGGAAGTTCAACCGTGGCCGCTTCCCAGCTGTACAAGTACGCATAGCTCCAGATCGGAGAGCGCTCCGCCAACCTAGATTCAGGACGGCCTGGCGAGTCCTGGCTCGGGTCTTTCCTTTCCGCCCTATTTTGCCAGTGCTGTTGTCTCGTTTGGCAGGTGTCCCTATTTTATGCATGTCCCTAATCGTCATGGCTCCATGCAACAACGGAACAATCCCGTGGTCATTGTTTCCCATCTCAACTGCTCTCAGCCGGCGTCTTGAAACGGCTCGAATAATGGATGTCTTCCAGTCCGACCTTACTACGACGTTCAAAGCATTCACTGTTGCTAGCGTAGTCTTTCCCCTTGTGAGCGAGATCAGAGGCCATGTCTCGGCTCCTAGTCTGCCACGTCGCTGCCCATTGCTTTCGCGCGTATTGGCATTGCCGCTCACAATAGTTCATCGACGAGCTCCCATGCACTTTTGCCATGACAACCTCCGGCGCTCCAGCCATGGCGGGCCTTCGATTTTCTTCAGTAGTCTTGACATACGCGTACGAACTCGTCAAAGCTCCTCTGCCCAGATGGGCAGATTTGTGACAACGCGCAAAGAAGAAAATGTCGCATGGCAATCATACTCTGCAAGGAGGCTTGATCCATGCCGGCTCTGTGAGCCACGGTTTGCGGCATCTAGTTTTCTCCCTCCTCGCCACGAAACTCCCAATACGACACCGTTTTGCAGCGTAATGATGTGGGGCGAAAGGGAGAATTACAACAGTTTGTCAGAACATGTATAGGCAATTCTGGCGACAGGTCATCTTCATGCAGAAATTGAGACAATGACAGTGCAACCCCGGCGAAGCCACAGAAGCACGAGGTGAAAAAGGGCAGTTCGTGAGGAGAAAATAAAACATTCAAAGTGAGGCTGGCACGCGATATTCCAGACGTGATCAATGGTACCCTAAGATCTCGTTTTCCGTCCCCGAAGTTCTCCTGTGATTCGACGTTGGCTTGCACTCTTGCATTCGACATCTGGTAACCGACGGGCCGGAGATCACTGCCCCCATGTAGCTGCTCTAATGATCGAGCCAGTCACACAGCTTCAAGAACGTGGATTGTAACCATAGTAAGGCTGGTTATACGACTTAAGCGATCTATCATCTTGTTTTTCCAGATATGACACCCCCCGGACATTTGAGATGGTGCTAGTGACAGGCCCGCGGTGCCGGCGTTTGGCAGTGAGACCTGAACCGCTGCGCTGGGTTATCTCCCAGCACTGGAAGACGAATGGGGTAGGGCTTGCTAAAATGTTTTCACATTTCTGCGCGGGTACCGATGGTTAAAATAGTGCACACCTGTTAAGACTCCACAAAGGTACGGAAAGACGCCCCAAAAATCCAACGCTGGGTGGGGGGAGGGGGGGGGGGACAAGGAATACCCCATTGCGACGGCTGTTGACAATGGTTTATGTCAGGCGTATCAGAACAGTCACCGCCGCGGCGTGCGACGCTCCCATGTACTGCAATCTGGGCAGTCGCCGTTCGCTGTCAAACGAAGGAGGGGTGGAAGAAAGAAAAGGTAGAGGACCACGCAAAGCTGGCATATACCCGCGTGGGAGCCTCAGTTATTCGACGCTGGGAGTAGTCCGAGCACGACGTTCAGGATGGTGATTACGGACCGCAACTGGGACAGGACGGACGTGTTGGGCGTCACGACCAAACATCTCAACCAATCTGCACCGTGATCACCGATACTGCACCCTTCGCTATCTCGCATGATGACAGCTGACAACCTCGATCGCTGGGATCAAGCATCCAACAGGTGTCGAACAAATCATCGCATCCGGCCGCACCCCGAGGAAATCTCAAAAAAAAAGGCCCATCATCCTGCCTCCACCCAAGTGGCACGGCCGCGACGACCGCAGGCGAATCACGACGCCTGGGACGTGTGCCCACGGACTGCCTGTGACAGATCCTCGTAGATCCTGCCCGCCCATACTTGTATCTCTTTTTGACAGCTGGTCGCGACAAAGAGGGACGACCCTTTTTGCATGCATGGCGTTTCGCGTGCTCGCACGAGCTGTCGTGCAGCTCGCCGGACGACCACAACCTTTTCTTTTCTTTTTCTCTCGATAGTTTTTTTTTTTTTTTTTCTTTTGTCTCTTCCTCTCTATGATTTCCGACGTCGTGGATACTCCCCGTCGTTTTGGCCCATCTTCAACGTCTGAGCCCCGGCGCATAGGCCGCAAACGCCCAGCGGACATGTTGGTTGACGACCAAGACCGTCCGACACTCCGTGCTGCTGGTCTCGTCGAGCCGAATGCCCAGATTCGACATCTTACGACCGTCGTATGCGGACGATCACACAGGTGAAGGAGCCTCGTACGTTGCCAGATAGCGGTCTGGGTCCTCAGCTGCGACCACGACAGTTGACGTTGATTCACAAAATGCCTCCTTGATCATGCCTCCACATTGTCTATCACCACTCGGACGCATATCCGTCCGTGTGCATCAATTGGAGCCGGTTAGGCTGGGTCGTTGCCCGTCATGTCCACATCAAGCCACCGTGCACCAATTCTCAGAGCGTGCCCCAAGATTGCGAGAAGAGGACAGCTCATAATCCACTCAACGAAGGTGGCAACGTTAGAGAAGGCCTTCTAGCGCGCTCACTACTGGACCAATGTAATCATTCGCCTCTCGTTGACAGACTGCAGGACTCGAACGAGAATTGGCGTGGTTTTGCCAAGGGGGGCTTCAACAGCACCGGCAGCACGGTACTATAGACAACGATCAGGGCTGAGTGGTACATAAACGATTGATTGCATTGCGCTTCCTCTTCGCCAATAGTCCTCAGCACCTGTTCTCGACCTGAATTCGAGGACCCGCCCCCGTAAAGACGTAATTCCCAAACCGAAAAAGCAACCCAGGATACTTTGAACAACGGGAATTACATGGTCCGTTGAGAGAAACCTGTCGAAGTGACCGTATCCAACCACGCCATGAACACTAAGTACAATGGCTGCAACACCAGCATGAATGGCAACTTTGTAGCATTTAGGAGAGCATACCTAAGGTATCCACATTTTCTGCTACTGCTGCCGCAACAGCAGCAGCATGAGAGACCTTCCTGTCCACCGCCATTTTATCCTTGCAAACCCACCGCTTTTCGTAACAGTGCATCGCAAGAATACCTTACACCGTTTTCAAGAACTCTTTCATTCCAAACTGAATCAATCACCCGTACACCTGCACTGGCCTTACAAATTTGTTCAAAGAGGAACGGGGAAAAAAGAAATTTTCGTTGCGATTGCTGTTAGACTCGCATGGCATACAGTGGGATCGGCATTGCAGGTTTGCCTCAAAGTACTGCGCCGACCACGGATTCGACGAATCTAGTGACAGCCTGTGCCCGCAGAAAGCCCAAATGCCTAGTATGGTCCAACGTAAGGTTCGTACCTGAAGATGGTGAAGTCAGTAAATAAAGATGCTCATGTACAGACAAATTTGGTCCACGTGGGTGAAGACGAGATTAGCAGAATATACGAAACTGAAGAATGTTCCACTCCTTGCTTCTGTATGGGATAAATGCAATTGGTTTGGGCCAAAATCAGCGAGCACCTGGTCGCTAGCCGTGCATTCGCACAAGCAGCCTGCTTCCATGTTGTGTCAGGCCCGAGGCAGGCTATCGAGACTGCAGCAAACGCTGAATAGCACACGCTGCAAACAAGACGTTCCAAAAAAAAAAAAACCTGACGGTGATTACCGCCAGACTGTGAGGAGTCCCTTTCTGATACCGTTTCATCTATCGTGTATCCCTTCACCTGCAGACAGCATGCGCAATGCGAGTTTGCTAGCAACACCTGCCGCGGCCTGAAATTGGAAAGCGGCTGATTGTGCACAATGCATGTGGCGGTGGAGAGATTTGCGGTGTGGTAATGACAGCTATTGGCCTCGTGGGGGTTTGATGGTCAACAAACAGCCCCGTTTCAGAATTTTTGAAGCCAGCGAGCCACGCGCAAATATTCCGTGGGGCTGAGCCGACTGCTGGAGCGATCCGCTGTCCGATACAGACACGCTCACGTCGAGGCAACAATACGCTCGCCGAGCTTTTCCCAAGAAAAATTGGACAGATCTAAATGTTGTAGGATATGACTCAAAAAGACCATGACGGGAACGGGGAAAACGTGGGTTGGGTAGGTCAGGATATGTACGATGACGAGAAAACAGAGATAAGCGAGGTAGAGAGAATTAGCGGCAGAGGCTGAAGCATGTAAAGTAGCGGGACAGGAAATTGTCCGCAGCTCTTGCAGAATCAAGACAACGTGGGGAGAATCCACGAAGATAAAAAGCCGGGCGGTTAGCCGGGCTTGATTGGACGCTGCTTTGCCTGCCAACGCATGTGCGAAAGGTACAGATGGGGTAATTGGCGACGATCGCTTGTAAAGCAGGCTCAGAAGAAGCAAAGAGATTATACGTACTTCCAAATACGGGCTCTCAAATCGCCACTTCCAGTAGCAAATAGCTTTCCGGTGGGACTGGGTGCGACAGAAATCACTGTTTCGAGAACGTGTCAGTCGATCATTTCATGCGTTGAAGCAATACTTGCTCGATACAAAGGCGTCGTGCGAATGGTGCAAATATGGCAAGTTGCCTGCTTATCACTGCTTTGATCACATATCGTGAGGCGCTAGCCTCAAGACATGGTGTTTCAACTGAACGTGTGGAACATGTATTTCTACCTCTCGATGGAAGATGATGGTGCACTGTACTGAATTCTGCGAACTTACCTGAGTTCTTGTGGCCTTGAAGCATTAACTGTGCGCTGCCGGTGGTAGGATCCCAGAACTGCACGCCACGATCTTTGGACCCGCTGAGCACCCACTGACCATCAGGAGTGAGAGCAACGCTGAGAACAAAATCCTAAGACAATTTGGTCAGATAATCGTATCTAGAAGCAAAGCCAGAATTGAAACACCTACTTTATGGCCGTCAAAGGTTCTGATGCATTTGCCACCACGGGGTGCTTGTCCCGGCATCACACCTCTTGAGGCCGTATTTAGCTCCCACATTTTGATCGTCTTGTCCAGCGAGCCGCTAACAAGGTCTCGGCCGTTTGGCGCAAAGGCCACGCTGTATACGCTGTCCTTGTGACCTACCTCGCCGTCAAGGCGTTCCACAAGGTAGCCATTGCTAGTTTCCCACACGCGAACACTCTTGTCGAGAGAGCCAGCCGCGACGAAGCGGTTGTCTGGAGAGATCGCCACCGTCGTAACACCGTCATCAATTAGCAAAGACATGATTTGTTTGCCAGTCTCGAGATCCCAAAGACGGACGGTACGGTCTCCGCTTCCGGAGGCGATGAAGCGTCCATTGCGGGAATAATCGAGAGAATAGATGTCCTGCTCATGCCCCGTAAACGATGTTTTGATCGTGCGAGTCTGAATGTCCCAAACTCTGATGACCTTATCCTCCGCACCCGTGGCGAGGTACTTGGCATCGGGACTGAAACAAACGCTGCGAATGTAAAGGTCACCTTCCTCACTTGGACCAGAGTCTTGAAGCACAGCTATTATCCGACCCGATTCAACATCGTAAATCTGCGCGGTGCGGTTGCAGCCAGTCGCGACATAACGACCGTCATGGCTGAAGCGTACACAGCAAACCACACTGCTGTGGACAAAGTTGTGCACAAGTTCGACGTCGAGAACTCTCCTCACGTTTGGATTGTACACAACATACCAATCCGGGCCTTCACGCTTGAGATGACTGGGCATCTGCTCTGGGTCAAGCTCGGCCAAACTATTGCCCACGTTCGGAGCAGACTGAGCCTGCAAAGTGATGCGGTTGGCCAAAACCTGAGGAGGAGTGGGCCGAGGCACCTGAGGCGAACCCGGGTAGGGAGCAGCTGTGTTCTGCTGTGGTGTTGCAGGGCCACCTGGAGGGCCCCTTCCTTTACCTCGGCCGGGACCAGGAGACTGAGTGGGCTGGGGAGCTTGGGGAGGATAGCCTGAGACCATCGTTAGTGATCATGTGTTCTGAGCTGATTTAAAGTCGTAGAACGTAGAATATTGCGGGGCGAACCCTTCGAAGATTGGTGAGATTGAAAGCGGACATGGCCAGGACAAAAGACGTCCTTCGTGCGAACGCTGTCGCAGTTCATGTTCGTACGGAGCCGCGCAAACTCTAGAGCCACGATACAGTGTCAAATAAGGGGTACCGGTATCCAACGCCCCGTCGTAGCTTGGACAGGGACATATCTTGCCGGCAAACAAAACAGTTCATGTTCAGTAGGGACGCATACCGTTTGATGGACCGCCATAGCCGCCGAAGCTTGGTGGGCCTGGAGGAGCACCGGTAGGATTGACACCAGCTGGAGGACCTTGAGCAATGTGAGCACCAAGACCTTGAGGCTGAGATGGCTCAGGTGGAGGAGGTGCCAGGCCTGGCCCTCCTTGACCGCCGCCGCCGGTCATGATCTGACCAAAGAGATTGTTCGGTCCGTGACCGACGGACGGAGGAGGTGGGTGACTAGGGTGGCCCTGTGTAGGACCAGCGATGGGGGGCCCGCCGCGTGCTTCAAGCTCTTGTCGTAGTCGCAGATTCTCTTCCTCATACCTGGAAACGGTGAAGGTCAGCAGCCCATAGTAACGACGCGACGCGGTGACCAGCACGTACTTCTGCTTGATCTGAATTTGTGCCTGCTCTAATTCGTAAATTTTGCGACGAACGAGTTCCATTTCGTGGACTTGGTTGTTCACTATTTCACCGTATCGGCGGTCAGCAAGCTCACAGTCGGAGGGCACGACGAAGCATTGAGTAGGAAAATCGCCAACGGGCAAGCGAGATAGGCGAGCCTCTTTAACGCGTGTACCTCTCAAAAGCACAAGAAGCTCACGCGCGTTGGAAGCGGTGCGTAACGGCGGCGAAGCTGGCACTCCTGAAGAGGCCTCACGATCGCCACTGTAGAGGAGGATGGAGGGCGGAAAAGGCGGAAGAAAGGAACGTACGTTGCTGTTCATATTCGACGGTGCGCGTCGCCTGGCCCTCAAACTCAGCGCGCACCTGGTCGAGCAGCTCAGTCAAGCGTGCATTGGGCGGTGGCGCTGGCACGCCGATCGGGGGACGATGCGAATTGTACATCGTCTCCTAGCAGGCCAAGGAGGTGGGGTTCTGGCGCGAATGAAGCGAAAAGGACGGAAATGGTTGACAACAGAGGGCGACAAGGCGCGAGGTGGATGATTGAGACGCGTGGCGGGGAGGGATCGATGCGGGTTGGACGGGTCGTTGGATGGAGTTGGGTGTTTGGAGTTGGTGTTTTGAGGGCGGGCGATTGTGAGTGGCCGTGGCAGGGAGCGGACGCGCTGTGTCGGTCTGGCTCGCTGGGTGTGCAGGTGAGGCCGCCGGGCGGGCTGTTCACGGCAGGCACAGGGCTGGAGCCGGCGAGACGAGAGCCGAGCGATGGACGCACGGAGGAGCGCAGTCTGGTTCTGGGACGGCGCGGGAAAGGAGAACCAGAGCTTCGTCGCGGGAACAACAATGCGAAGAGGGAGAAGGAGGCCAAAAAAGCTGCGTGGTGCCGAACGCACGCTTCCCTTCGGCTCACCTAACTTAAGGAGGACGTGTGTGTGAGAGGTGGTGGAGACGCTAAATTAGGCTTCCCGCAGTGCATGGGGCCGAGAGGCAGAGGGCAAGGCGCAGGACCCGCGGAGGGGGCAGCCAGCGGCGGCGGAAGCTGGGCGCTGTGTTGTCTGCTGTGCGAGCGACAGAAAGCGTGGGCGGAGGAGGGGCGGGAGGAAGAAGAAGAAGGAGGGCCGCCGACGAGAGGAAGAGGGAGGAGAGGCAGAAGAGCAAGAAGAGCGAGAAGAGCGCGAAGAGCAAGAACGCAGCCAGACGACCGTCGGGCACGCTGGCCGTCAACACCACCGCGCTCCCACGGTGGACGCACGCTGCGAACTCTCAACAGCACACCCTTTTCTACTCGCCACGACGCGAAGATGCCACTCCCCTCGAGCTTGCATACACCCTTCATTTCGCGCAGCCTGAGCCAGCCTGAGCTCCTCGCATATCCGCTCGCCGATCGCTCGCCCGTACGCACATCATCCTCGTCTCTCTGCTCGTTCGCCTGACAAAGCTTACTCACAGCACGCTACACTGTCTCCATGCGCCCAGCACGAGCAACCTACAGAGCAAAAAAAAAAGCCTCACCATCTCAAGCACGCCCCCCGCGCTTCAGCTCGGAACATGGCTCTGCTACAGTCTGCGCGGCCAGGAAGAGAAGCACAGCACTGCATCTCTGCACAATCCAGCGACCTGGGTTCCATCCATGCGTGTGCATGGCCCGCCAGTTGTGGGTGGAATAACGGTCGTATTGGACGTGTTGGACAAAAGCCCACGAGCTGTCTTCGCACAGCGAGAATGATGCGGCAACCGCCACACGACCTTTCCCTCCCCTCCCATCTCCTCCCGTCCCCTTATAACCTATCGCATGCAGCGCGTGTGATCCTCGCCGTGGTGCATGTATTACTGCAAGGATGGAGAAAGGTTCGGCAAGCTCCAGCCAGGCTGCCGACGCAGATTTTCCCCGACCGCTTGGGGAGATCCTTGCAGGAAAGCTGGCAGAGCACGACTCGGCGCATCGTCGCCGTGGATCGTGCTTCGTGGCCCGTCTCGCACGAGCGCAATAATCGTCTCGCAACGGTGCTGCCCGTGCCAGGGCGTGACTTGCAGCACGCATATGTCAGTCTGCGAACATGCAGTCACACTTGGGCGCCAACGCTGGACTTTGCACAGGCCGAGTGCCGCCGGCAGCGCGGGGGAACGAGAGACATGGCTCCGTCCACAGCTGCTTGCTTCGTCGAACGCTGTTTGCTCGGCGATGCAGAGCCTCCCTGTCGGCGCCTTTTGGTTCACAGCGCGGGCCCGCGGGACGACACAGCGAGACTCGATCGTTGGCCGTCAGCCTCATGGTCGCGATAAGATCAAGAAGTGGCGGTGCCCGCGTCGCCACGACCTCACCGCACAGCAAGAGTGCTCGCCCGCTTCCTGTCGTACCTCTTGTGCGAACTCTTTGTACACATGCAGTCATCCCGCAGCCCACGCTGCGTCCCGAGCTACCGACGCCTTCGAGCCACGCTCGAAAGACGCGACTGGCGCTGACCCAGCGTCGACCAACAGCAAACCAGAAATTCGAATCTGTTAGCGGTCGTAGGGAGCTTGGACCACTTGATCGCCCAGCGCGACGCCCATAGCTAATCGCTGAATTACCTTGGCAGGATTTGCTTTTCCCATCTTGTATTCTGCTCTTCTTTTTCTAATTGCCGCCTCTACTCGTTCGAATCTCTCGCACAATCTTATGGTCTTCCCATTGATGTCTCCTGTGTTTCCATAAGCTCTGCTGTTTCGACGAATCCTCGCCCGGTCGTCGCGCTTTCGTGCCCAGGGCTCAGAAATCCGTAGAGCGTAGCCACCACCATGTCTCCGGACGAGGAGCGCGATGGCTATTCCCGCACTGGTTTGCGAGCGGTCCTACCGCTGACCGCCGAAGAAAGCGCCATCTCTACTCGTGGGCAGGCCCTTCCTTCTCTCATCCACACGCTCTCGTCAACTCCGCGACGAGCAAACTCATGGCGCTACCTGACCGACTTGGCCCGGACCGATACTGCCCACGAAAGCTCCAGGAAGGGAAGACGGTTGAGCGAGAGCTCTAATGAGGATGACGAGGGCCTTTTGATGCCCCGGCGACCCCAAGCCGACCGACGACAAAGCGTTCATGCTGCTATGACGTTGATGACGCCGGAGATGCGAAGTCAGAGGTTGATCGGTAATTCAAACCCAAGATACCGGTGGTATGTCGCTGAATCGATGCACGAGTGAGGATCAGTGTAGTGACACAGAATTAGGGAGCAGTACTTCAAGACTGAGGAGGAGCTCAAAAAAATGAAGAAACCTATGTAAGCCCCACCATCCGCGAAGCGCGAGCGCGAGTCTAATCGGCGCAGACGCAAGTACTACGAACGCAATAATTCGCTCATTCAGCAATATCTTTACATAGACAAACTTCTCGACTCCTCGCTACCTCACACTCTTATCCAAGAATACAACCAAGCCGCCTCTGCTTACAATTCGGCGAATCGCTCAATAGATATTCCAAAAACGATAACCGAAGAGGCGCGAAGCCCCTCCAACGAAGGCACTCCAACAGCGGCGAAAAGCTACGGAAGTCTAGCCAACGGCGATACGACGCCCACATCTGGCGAGCCGAAGAAGATCAAACGAACGCCGCGAAATCTATACCGTGTACCCGACGCTGATGAGACCACCCCACTTGTTCGCAACGAGGGAGAGGAAAACGAGACGGGAAACCCTGGGCCAGTCATGCCGGAGTGGGTGCCCGAGGAAGAACCAGACCACGATCATCCCGTTGTCCGCTTCGCCATCTACCTGAACCTATTCGCAAACACCATCCTCCTCATCCTCAAGATCATCGTCACCGTGCTTACATCTTCCGTCTCTGTCCTCGCATCCATGGTCGATGCGGCGCTGGACTTCCTCAGCACGGCCATTGTCTGGACAACAACGCGCTTGATCTCAAACAGTGACCAGTACCAATATCCTGTTGGAAGGCGGCGTCTGGAGCCTATCGGCGTGTTGGTGTTCTCCGTCATCATGATCACGGCCTTCTTCCAGGTCGCGCTCGAAGGTTTCAACAAGTTAACGAGCCCAGACCACGCCCTGGTACGGCTCACCGTGCCAGCCATCTCCATCATGGCTGCCACTGTCGTCGTCAAATTTTTATGCTGGCTGTACTGCCGGCTCATTAACAATTCGAGCGTGCAGGCTCTCGCTCAGGACGCCATGACAGATGTCATCTTCAACATCTTCTCGATCATCTTCCCGCTCATCGGCTACTTCGCCAAGATATGGTGGCTCGACCCCCTCGGTGGTATTCTCCTTGCTGTCTACGTAATCGTCACATGGTCTAGGACTACTACCCAGCACATCCGCAACCTGACCGGCGCAGCTGCCAGCGCGGACCAACGAAACGTGCTACTCTATTTGACAATGAGGTTTGCGAAAACTATCAAGCAAATTCAGGGTCTGCAAGCGTATCACGCGGGGGACAAGTTGATTGTGGAGGTAGACCTTGTGCTTGATGAAGGAACCACGCTGCGGGACAGTCATGACCTTGGCGAAAGCTTGCAGTACGTGCTTGAGAGTGTACCATACGTAGACAGGTAAGTGCCTTTTCTGCACTTTTTGACCCACCACTCCTCGCTGTGAAAACGCGTCGTCCGGACGTCCACGTGCTAACATGCCAGCCAGAGCTTTTGTACATCTAGACTACGCTAGTTGGAACTTGCCCAGCCACATGCAGCAGCAGGAGTAGAAGAAAACACTAGAGAACGTACCCCTTAGTCTTGAACTCGTTGACGAATCCGTACCCGCCCTCCGTCGCTTGCAATTGTGAACGTGTAGCTTCGTCAGGTTCGGAGTCAGAGTCAACGATACGGATGTACAAATTGTCTTAAGCTGCTCGCCCATACCGTCGCAACGCGCGGAATCGATGCTCGTAACGATGCAGGTCGCTCGAACGCCCACCGCTGCCGAACCCACCTTTCTTTTTGGCCGTACAGAACATTCTTCTCTTTCCGTGTGCTTCCACGGTATCTTGGGTTGCTTGAGCCCTTGGCAATGGTGCCTTCCGCCCAGTGGCGCTAAACAAAAAGGACTTATTTGGGGGGGGGGGGTGGCTTTTCGCGTTAGACAGGATGGCTGAGCACTTTGTATGGAGGCAATCGAAGCGGCAAAAGCAAACCCGTGTACCAAATCTCGTAGGTCGGCTTTTGCAGGATCAAAAAGTCCAGACGCGCGGAGCCCCAACAGCAGCGACAAGGAGAGTGACGAAAAACCGAGTGGTGATGGTACATGTACAATTCTATCGTACAAAGCAAGCTAATTTTACTCTACAACCAGATCTGAGGGAGAAATAAAATGCGAAAAAAAAAATTTTTTTTCGCTGATTTTTTATAAAGCAGCATCAAATTTTTGCATAGCGTCCTGGAACAGTTTCTTGCATGGGACCTGACTGCCTAGCCGTGCACAGAGCAGGAATGCACCACTAAGCTTGCGGTGTAGCGAGTACGTCTCTTCAGGCGGCGGAGCTAACCTCTCTCTCACCATGAGCGGAATCAGCCCCCTCACACGGTCAGTGATAGTCTGGTTGCGGAAGTCGTACACGTCTGGTCCGTCTTCCTTGAATGGTTCGGCCAGCGTGAGTACCGAATCAATGTGCGCCTTGGTCATTGACTTTGACTCCTCGCCGGTGAGATAGCCTAGCTGGATGCTTAGATCTCGAATGGTAGACCTGTCGTTTATGGCTGACGCTTTGAGAATCCCGACGTAAGGCTTCACGAACTCCATCGGGTATTCTCTGCTTGCGCCGAAGTCCAGAAGTTCCAGCTTTTGAGATTCCGCGTTGAACAGGAAGTTCGTCCAGTTCGGATCTGTCTGCATGAATCTGAACTCGCAGATCTCCCTTAGTGACAGACGCAGGATTTGCGTGCCCACCCAATCACGCTGTTGCTGCGTGAGCGTCTTCATCTTCGTGACTGCGACGCCGCGCATCAGCTCTGCTGTGAGCACTTCCTTCCCACTTGCTTCGTCGATGATTTCAGGAACCGTGAAAGTATCCTGTTCGTCTGCAAGAAGCGTCTTGAAACGTTTTGCACATTCAGCTTCGCGAATGTAGTCACATTCCCAGGCAAGCTCAGTACGTGCGTTTGCGATTGTCTTGTCAAGGTAGAGACCCTTTGGTAGGAGACGGGATGCTGTGAGAAGGATAGAAAGATTATTGAGGTCAGAGTCGATAGAATTCGCCACCCCTGGATACTGCACTTTCACCGCGACCTCTTTGCCTGTTGATGCCATGACCGCCTTGTGGACTTGACCGATTGATGCAGCGGCAATAGGAATTTCGTCGAAGCTGCTAAACAGGTCGCGCCAGTTTGGGCCGAGGTTGGCAGAGAGAACTTTATCCCGTTGTGAAGCAGGCATGTAATCCGCGCTATCCTGAACTCGCTGTAGAACGTCTTGGATTGGCCCTGGCAGCATTTTCAGATCCTGAAACGAGATCATCTGCCCTAACTTGAGTGCTGCTCCTCGCATCCGAGATAGCTTGGCTACTAGTCTTTCCATGTTTGCAGGACTCAACATAAGCGACCCACCAGTGGTACTTCCTGTAGCTCGTCGTAGACTCTCACCCACGGCGCCGAAAGCCATGCTAACACCAAGTCCGCCATATTCCCAAAGTCTACCGAGACGTGATGACGGCACTCGGGATTCACGCATTCGAAATGACGGTGAGGTGCCTCCTTGTGCCGGTAAAGACTGAGAATCCTTCTCTAAACTCGCCGCCAAATTCTCAATTGTCGAGTTCGAGTCATTCTTTATAATTTTTGTTCCTAAACTCTGTCGCCCACTGGCCGGATCCCTTGGTCGCGATGGTTCGGTCTGTTTTCCAGGATCAACGCCAAGCATTCGAGATACTCGAGCACTGCGGAATACATTGACATTGACGCCCTCAGGTATATCTTCCGAGACTGTTGTGGTCGCTTTGTCCTTGCGAATACCAGGGGTGTAGAAGGTGTCAGCATTGATACCATGCTCATCTACCTTGCTGCCATGGCCTTCAGCAGTCTCGGTGTATTTTGGTATTTTCGCCCTAGGCAAAGATGAGTATTCGTGATTAATTGCCGTTGATGGTCTGTAGAACACATCTTGATCATGGCCCTGTGCGAACTTGTCACTTCCAGATGTGACTTGAGGATCCGTAGTGGTCACACTGGGAATTTGAGCCTCAGCTTTTCGCTGTGCATTTCTTGCATCTTTGGGAGAAAGATCATGCTTGACTGTGCCACTTTGAGGTATTTCGTCTTTGAATTCAATTTCTGCCGAAGGAATCGTGCCATCTGGGAGCGGCCGCTGCTTGGACTCGGCTTGCCGTACAAATATTTCACCTCTTGGAGGGGCTTCCGAGGTTGCATTGCTTTCTGATGGCGTATAATGATGATCTTGGTTGATCCCCTCTCTTCTCAAAGAGCTAGCTTCGTGTGTCGTCGCTGTCGAATCCTTGCGAGGAATTGGATCACTAGAGCGGGACTCATTCGTCGGTGAGGTTTGCGTAGAAGAATACGTATATGTAGGCGCTTGTTCATTTAAACGTTTTGCCAGTGCAATTGCAGCGCGAGCAGTAAGCGTCACCCGATCCGTCTGGTTTTTGACGGCTTTAGCAATTGTCGATGTCTGCGTGTAGACGTCGAGCTGTTGCGAGCGCAGCCGTAAGTGCTGCTTGGCTATGGATCGGGCGGCATTGAAAAGTCTGGCTGCGTCGAGGAGACGCCGACCTGACATTGATGGGATCGAGTTAAAGAACGCGCTACCTTGGTAGCGTTGTGCTCTGTATTTCCATGTGGAAGCACACAAGAGTGTTTGCTCAGACGTATCTGGTACGATGATGACGATCTTTCGTTGACGCACTTTTAACTAAGAGCTGCAGTGACCTAACTGGGGTAAGTTTCTGTGGCTTGCAGCGGGTACTTTGGGCAACCAGTCTCGGCCTTGCATTTACAAGAGTTGCAAACGATCCACCTCCATAACACAGGCTGTGGTCCGCTCGTCACGCAGTTAATGATCTCTTTTCACTTGTATCCACGATCAGAGCTTGAGATACATATGACTACTGCCTTGCGAATTAGCTTCCCCCCAACACAGAAACGAAACTTGATGTGATTCAACATGGGCTTATGGGACAAGGCCAGCACGTATGGACGCGATCAGAGAATTCGCGATATACGTGACTTTGCATGAAGAATTATGAGGTTCAGAATCGATTAGAGGCCCTGATAAATGTTAAATAACTAGTTTCGACATCATGGCCGCCTAAGAACGTCGAAGACGGTAACGTCCGCCCAGGTTGCAAATCATTGACACTGGGACGAAGTTAATTGTAACAATTCCAAACGTTAAGAGGCATAAATTGAACACAGATCATTCACAGTCATATCTTCAGAGAGATCTACTTCATTTGGCGCACGAAATATTGTATATTTAATACGAACAAAGACGTGATACTTGATGATCCAATTTGCATAACCTTAGCAAGATATCATGTTCAGTATGGTCAAAAGTTCACATAAAAGCTAAAATGTGCTTTTCATTTGTCACAGAAATGTCGCTTGTCGTTGTTCATACTAGCAACAGCAGCAGTGAGCATGAGCTGACCAAGCTCCTCTGGGTCCTGTGATTTCGGATTAGAAAACACCATGGAACATCTCGGACAGGCTATCAATGATTTCCGTGACTTTATCCAAAAATCTAGGTTGAAAATGAGGATCATTTCCTTTCTACCTTTTGGTTCATCAGACGGGTATGACATGATTTTGCTGTTCGAAATGCAGTAACAAGTCCAAAGTACAACCGTGACTGCTCGAAGAACGTGATTTATTCGTTCAACTGATCAGTATTGAAGGTATCATTTTTCAACAATAACAACATCGTTTGCACCCGCAAGCAACCTGACTAAGACGTCAAAGATATTGATAAGAACGAACTATGCGCGATCTTCAAGAGCCCCAAGCTTCACTGTTATTCGCTTTGACAGACGTATATGATGATACGCAGGGGTGGGTCATAAATAGATCACAACATTATTTCTTATTAGATGACCTTTGTAGATGATGTTGTCGTTATTTGTTGAGTCGGTGCAACAGATAGATTGAATGTGGGGAACAGAAATGCTCGCGTACTCAGCCTTAAGAGCTTGACCGGTCTTTGACAAAGGAACATTCGAGCCATCTCGCTATCTTAGCTCCAGAAGACGGTGTTTATCGTGGCCACAACCGCTTCATTTACCAGGATCAAGCTCTGGAAAAGTTAGGCTCTGGTTATGATCCCTCGCTGTCAATAAAATCTCCTGAGAGACGAGCTGTAGAGTGCTCATCACCGCCACTGAGGCAGCAACAACCTTAACGCGTTAGCTGTTCATTGCAAAAGCCATTGAAGGAGGAGAGGACTCCCCTCCATGATACCCACTCCGGCGATGAAACTTGAAATAAAAATCGCGTGCCTTCAATTTGCACCTGAAGTTGGAAAAGTCAACGAGAACATTGCGCGCGCAGAACGAATACTTGAGAAGAATGCAGCAAAGCTTCGTCCACCAGATGATGGGAAACCGCTATGGCTTGTACTCCCCGAGATGGCTTTTTCTGGCATGCAACAGGTCTCATATGTATAGATCAACAAAAATGGATGCTAACACGGATCAAGGATATAATTTCAAGTCGCTGGAGGAGATAACACCATATCTTGAACCGAGCTGTGCTGGTCCATCAACGCAATGGGCGAAATCTACGGCATGCAAGTACGGAATATATATAACGGTAGGCTATCCCGAGACTGTCTCACAAACTGCGGAGCGACGACAAGACGACATCTCAGAGGATTCTAAGCAACATGATGCACCACAAGCAAACTACAACTCCACTGTCACGGTTTCGCCGGCTGGTGAGATCATAGCCACCTACCGGAAACGCTTCCTCTACTACACAGACGAAACATGGGCACTCGAAGGCGACGGCTGCACCTCCAGTTACGGCTTTTACAACGGCAACCTCGGGCCTCTTGGGGATGTCGCAATGGGCATTTGCATGGACATCAACAACTACAAATTTCTCAGCCCTTGGACGGCCTATGAATTCGCCAATCACGTTATCTCGTCCAACACGCCACTTGTTGTTCTGAGTATGGCTTGGTTGACGAGAATGACAAAAGAGGAACTGGAAGTCGACAAGGAGAAGCCAGACCTTGAGACTTTGTCGTATTGGATCGAGCGATTCAGTCCTCTGAGGGAGAACACGGAGGGAAGGCAGACAGTCATCGTTGTTGCCAACAGATGTGGCATCGAGGAAGACGCTTGCTATGCTGGCACGAGCAGTGTGATACGATTGGACGGCAGAGGCGCTGTTGAGATATTTGACCTGTGCGGAAAGAATGAGGAGAGGCTAATGGTAGTCGATCTGTCGACGAAGCCGAAGTATTTCCTGCAAAGGGGCGCAGCTTAAATATTGACCCCTTTCCCTTACGCTCGGTCGATTCTTTAACCTATGGCAACCGTGGGTGTAGCGAAAATGGGACTAGTTCACGTTTAAGGACAGATAGAATCTTAGCAATACCTACGGCACTGCCTTTAAGAAGTCCACTCGTTATTGTGAAAGTATGAAAGAAGACAAGTATCGAGAAGCACTTGCACGCAAGCAAAGGAAAATTTTGAATGTGGCCGACTCGCGGAACAGAAAGAAGATTATGAATGATGACGATGATTTCCTCTCATTGAATCATGCTGAATGTACAGGTCCTCAACGTGAACGCCAATTATGCCATCCCACCGACCATGAAAGCAATGTGATATTCCATAGCAGCGGCCATGATGTCTTCCTAGCGCAAGCTTTGTTCCAGCATCACGCTTGACAAATCTTAGGCATCTATATTCCGTCAAGTCACACTTCCGTGGCATTCTAACATCTTTCCCGCGGCGTTCCCATATTGTTATTGCGACGCTTATGAGCCTGGGTTCGGGTTCATCTGTGCTCTTTGATCAGTATAAAGGTTCATTGATTTTGCCAGCCTTTATTTAGTGACGCGTGCTCACCTTCCTCTTGCCGCCAGTCATGGTGACGTTGACAAATCGTCGGGTGTACACCATGCGCTTGTATGCTCGGCCCTTGGGCTTCTTCTTCTTCTCCTGGGGCTCGACCTTTGGTGTCTGCGACTTGACTTTACCCGCACGAGCGAGCGAACCGTGGACCTTTCCCATGTTGTGTGTCTTCTAAGGAAGAAGGTTTTCGAGGTGTGTATATATAAAAGGCCAACCGGAACTGCTCAATGTGTTGATGTCAGTCAAAATTGTGATCCCTTGAAACGGTCTTGTCTTGCAGATATAATTCTGCAGCAGAAAACCGCGATTTTGATGCGTGGGTTGACTCACTGTGCGCGGATGTTGCGGTGTCTCTAAGTGGCGGCAGTGCGGAGGTCGAAGGTGAGCAGAAAATGATCTGGTGTGTGCAAATCGCCGCCTTAAAGGCCTAAGGCTTTTATGACGCCCCACCAGTTCCACCAGTCCCAATGTGGTAATGGCAGGGCAATCAAGCCCGACATGGGTGAAGGTGAGCCGAACACCACGCCACCATCGACGGGATTGCTCGCTATGAGACTGTCTTTTTCTTCCACCAGAAGTCAAGATCTTAGAGAATTTATTTCATAAGCTGCGATTGGTAGTTTCGGGTACGTTTCATACATATTGCCTGTCGCCTTAAATACTATAGTCTCAATTATTTCGGGCGCGGGTTCTAACCTCCGGCTAATTCCTGACGTAGTACCGAGCACACGATGAAGCTGTCTCTCAGCTTTCTATCGCTGCTGCCTCAGCTTTTGGCGGCATCGCTTATAGGAACTCCCCAGCATATCTTCTCTAATCCCGAAGATGCCCAAAACAAGCCTCACCGCATTCCAACTGTACGCGAATCCGCCGCCATGGCACGTAAGATACTTCGGTTGGAGAGCATTGGGACTCTGTCTACCATATTTCCAGTCTCAAAAAGTGTTGAGACAGAAGAGAACAGACCTGCGTCCGTCGAGGGAATGCCTTTAGGAATTATGGAGTACTTTGCCGACTGCGAGCCAGACAGTGGCAACCCCACGATACTCGCGGTCACCATTGCGTCTAGTTTCAAGAATGTGGCTGCGGGCAGCAACATCACTCTGTCCATGAGATGGCATCCACACTACTTTCATCCATATTCGGCTGCCAAACTTCCTCGGTTTGCCCTGATCGGCACTCTCGAGGATATGACGGAGGAAGAGATTCGTGCGAACAACATCAAGATGTGCTTCTCTAAATACCACCCAGATTCAGTCATCTGGCAACCAGGGAATGATATACACGAGTCTCGCTGGGTCCGTTTTGTAACAAAAGAGGTGTATTGGTTCGGAGGCTTTGGCGACCGTGCATACATCGGCTGGATTCCTCTGGAGACATGGCAAGGGATTACCGAAGAGGAGATTAAGGCAGCAAAGCTCCCTGGAGAGCGCAGACACTTTTGGGATAAGTGGATTGGTAATTACGAGCTTTGATACAGAATAAAACCTTCGGCATGCTCAGAATGGATATTTTTTCTAGGCACGCAAGAGGGCACACTATATTGTCGCAGGTAAATCGTGAGCGACACAATTTCCCCACGACTTTTTATATTCATTCAAGATACTTGGGTGTGTTTTGGGAGAGCCGGGTGCAGCTTCTGGTCTTGAGGTAGAGATCGACCACCCGGTATCAATGCAGGTTCGACACGGCAACGGTGACGATGAAGGATGATTAGAGTTACTTGAGATATAAGCGAAGGATCAATCATACACACAGTAGCATTGGGTAATTTTCGCGTGATGGAGACACATTTTCGTTTGGACTCACTGTTCATTTGATGTCATCACTCCTTTGATCGTGACCATGAGAGACTTCTGAGAACGGAGATACAAACAGCTCCTGCCCTGTAACCACCTCAGTCGCTCTTACAAATTCTTGGTGCACAACCATACCGCACAGAACAGTTGAAGCTCAACCTTCTCCCTCGTGATGCGCTGACGACTTAACAAAGCATCGTTACAAAACGAACAGTATCACGGTGCGAAAATTGTCAACCGAGTATCCCACGCAACAAAAGAGGGCGACAATGGTTCTCCTTGCCACCATTGCTCGGACTTTTAGCGGCCACGCAATGTCACATCTTGGATGTCGCACCTTAGCAACTGCCAAGCAACCGCCAAAGTCCTGGATTGCTCGTTGGGTCCTACCTCCATGCCGGCCAGTGACCGAAGGCGAGTACCGCTTCCTTTCAGCTGCACGTATCACCGTATTCGGTCTAACGTTCTTTTGCGCTGGAATTGTCGCACCGCTGTACTTTATGATCAAGCGCCCATATCCTCCCCTTATGCTCAAACGCATGGCGGAGTTGCCTCCTGCAGACGCGGAGAGACTATTCCAGCGGGAGACAGAACCACTACCACCAGGTTATAAACTCTACTGAAGGGCGCAGAGCCCGCTGCGGGACGTAAGAGCCTTTTGACCCACGGTTTGACGAGTGTTCGGCTGACCTAGCCAGATAGCGAGAACTGCAATAAGAAGCGTAAGGGTCTCAATCATGGCCAGAAAGCACCCCATGCGAACGCCAAGATAGGCCAGCGACATGATTTCGTTGCGCTTCAAAGACGTGGATGGACTTTTTGACAGACATTCTAAAAATGATGAGCTCAATGGATGATGGATCAGCGATGTGGCGGGCCTTGGTACGTATTTGATTGGAGCATAAAACGACATCACAAAACGTTGCTGGAATTGTGTGTAGGAACGTGATAGCCAAAGAGACGTGGGTAGCGATAAAGAGCGGAAGCTGCTTACTGTGGCGACCATTGCCGGGCCCAAGACAAAGCGGTTTGCATGAAGACGGTTATGTTTCTATTCTGTTCGAGTGCTGGATGAGATCGGACGCAGCCTTACATCAGTATGTTTCTACTCAGCCACAAGCAACACGACAGCCATTCGACAGACCGAGGAGGCCGACAACGGCGCGCGGCCCAATCTCTTCGCGCGCACATGCAGGACCACTAAAAGTGGTATACGTCCCCTGCGGAATATGCCTGCTCTTGCCCTGTTTCATGTTCATTGAAAGGCGCTGGCGCTCGCTCCTGATGCTGGACTTCTCGACTCTCTCGACTCTCTGCTTGTTCTATGCGAAGTGGGAAACATTTCTGGCTGTATCGTTTCCTCCATCTTTCTTTCGTGAACCTGCACACGCACACACATGTTGTGAGCACCGGCTTTCACTCCCCCAGCGTTGGCCGTGTCACCTTATTTGGGGCCGCGCAACCACTCAATGCGCCTATACCTGTAGCGATAAATTTGCACCGCCAGCCAGTCTTTTGACACTCTTTCCAGCGGATCCTTCTTGTCCCCCAATCCGCGCGTCAGATCTTTATTCGGTGTCTGTCACCGTCGCGCCAAACGAAACAAAACTTCGCAATTTCCCGCATCCTGCACTTAGGTACTGCCCACCTCCTTCCGCTGACGACCAACTTGTCTACCGCGTCAGCTCAAAATGTCGAGCGCCGTAGATGCCGTTAATAATGTGAAGAACACTTTCTCCAGCTGGGACAGCTGCATGTCAAAGGCATATTGCAAGTGCGCATTACCCATTCTCTCTCACAGCTGGCCCGGGCGACTAACATGACGTAGATGGCCTGTAATAGCTGGTATCATAATTGGCTCTCTCATCCTTCTCTCCGTCCTTGTCTGCATTGGTCGCTGTATATGCTGCGGTGCTGAGTGTGCATGTTGCTGTTTTCGATGTTGTGCAGGCTGTTGTGGGAGCCGTCGCCGCGACCGGGGGCACAAACAACTTGATCCTGTGGCTCCTACGCCGTATGGGTCGAGAGGAGCATCTGGCCTACCAATGTACAATTCTCAATACCGATCTGCACCGCCACCAATCTACCAGAACAACACTGTTCCTCAAACAGCCACGTTTGAGGGTAAGGTGCATGAAGATTCTTTGCCTGCAATGCCAAGCTGGGAGAATGCGACCGAGAGACGAGTGGAGGTGATTGAGGACGTCAAACAGCCTATTGAGAGTCATGAAATGGAGAAGTTGAGTCCTACAGGACAGAAAAGCCCGACGCCCGTTCCTGGATACGCGGCCCCTTCACAACCTGCAAGCGCGATGGCTATTGGCAATGGACCGCACAGTCCCTACGCAGCCGACGAGCGAGACCCTTTCCTGCAAGGTGGTCAATCCACTGGAGTGACACATGATGGTTATCGAGGAGCATCACCTGGACCCGGGCAAGCTGTCGGCTATGGATATGCAAGTCACAGGCCGGGTGGACTTCAGAACTCGCAACCGAGTTTCAACTCGTACCACGATTCCAGGTCCGATTTCTATGCTCAGACAGGGCAAGGGGGTCCTTACGACCACCAGCCGAGACCGTCGAACTACGGCGCATCGTACAGCAACCTTGGACAGCAAGAATACGACAGACAGTACGGAGAACAGAGACAAGCAAATGGCAGGCCGTACGGCGAGCAACAGCCAGGCTATGGTCGGCAGAACAGAGAGCTTAGGCAGGACGTTGGGTACCAACAACCTGCCGGCTCACCCGTTTATGACCCCCGTCAGCCGGGCTACGACTCGAATCAGGGAGCGTACAGGGCATTCTCACCTGCCTATGGGGATCGACAGGATAGGAGAGCGCCTAATGGATCATGGAAAGATGTCTAAGCTGGCACGTCAATTGACTTGAAGCGTCTTGCATAGCATTTTTGATGATTGGCATAGCGTTCGGAGTATGGCGTAAGTGAGATACGTACGATTCATGAGTCTTGTCACATGTACGGGATTTCTAAGGACATGAGAGCGCAAAGTAGTACAGAAGGAAAAGAATTGTATGATATTTGCGCATTGTGCGCATTCAGATCAAACACATATAATGCGGCAGGAGAGCCGTGAATGCCATTCACCAGCAAAGAATCGATGGCGTCGACTTCGACCTTGTCTCGTGAATCATCGGATGATCAAAGATACATAAATCAAGTGAAGCTTCCAAGTGCTGATTTCGACGTTGGTCAGCGTGTCTCGTGAGCCGCCAAGACTTCGGTCTCCCGCATTTTGGATCACGGTGCGGCACTCTCACAACCTCGAGCAAAACCACTCCACACAAATCCATCAATCACGCACGATCGACAAATTCACAACAGCCCTAGGTACGGTCGAGCGGCGGCATCGCTCTCATCATCATACAACGGCTCCGACGTCTAATTGAACGATTTTTAGGTGCTTGCTCCCCGTGCCTAGTGCTCCTCACCTCAGACCGCAATCATGGATTCCGCAAAGCTTGCTAAGATGCAGGCCTCGGTGCGCATCGGTAAGTAATCACCGCTCTTCTTCCGTCACACCTACTTTGCATCATTGATATCAGATCCAGAAGCTAACGAGTCCCAAAGGGTATGTACAAACATCTGCACAGTGCACAGCCTCACGTCCGTCTAACGCATTTGCTCCCATCCTGCTGCCGCCTACTACGCACATAATTTTACAAGTCCGAGAAGAAGCTGTAATGCTAACAAATAACTGCCAGTGGCAAGGGTACGCCCAGGAGAAAGGTTAAGAAGGTTCACAAGACCTCCGGTGGTGATGACAAGAAGCTCCAGACCACGCTGAAGAAGCTCAATGTTCAGCCAATCCAAGCGATTGAGGAGGTCAACATGTTTAAGAGCGACGGCAACGTTATCCATTTCTCCGCACCGAAGGGTATGTCAAGTCAATTTCCCTTTTCCTTACCTCTTTCCGATGATCGCTGGATTTCAGCCTAAGCAGTCCTTTGCTTACAAATATGTCCTGCGCAGTTCACGCATCCGTGCCGGCAAACACATTCGCCATCTACGGCAACGGCGAGGAGAAGGAGCTCACAGAGCTCGTACCCGGCATCCTGAACCAGCTCGGTCCAGACTCGCTGGCCTCGCTGCGCAAGCTCGCAGAATCGTACCAAGCTATGCAGAAGGAGAAGGGTGAGGATGGAGAGAAGAAGGACGACGATGACGACGAGATCCCTGAGCTCGTTGAAGGCAATTTCGAGGGCAAGGGCGCCGATGTCGAGTAAACTAGGTGCCTCTCGAGAACGTGCTCTCTCCCTCTCGGTTAGGAGATGACGACGGTTGGATTCGTTTTCTTGCAGATGTCATCTCTCGTGAAGGCATTTACATGGATCAAGTCATATTGGAGTTTCTCTGTCTGAAATTTGCTTGTTACACACGTGGACAGGGCGGGCAAAAAGTCGTATGTGGACCTTTGCCTCTTTCTTCACCATTGCGGCACATCTCTCTCGCGTGCGCAGATACCGTGGACATAGAGGTGTATGATTACTACCGAGGAAGCGAGTTCAAAAGAAAATAATCAAAAGCCATCTAGGACACGGAATCAACCTGCATGATGACGTTGTGAGTAAAGTATTTGGTTCCCGTGACTGAGCCAGGTCTTGCGAGGAGGGTAAGAAGTTTGTGGAAAGGAGTCGGTCCTTTGACAAAGACCAAGCGTGCGGGGAAAGAGTACCACGTGAACCTCTCCCACAATTCTTTGGCTTTGATCGCAAAGTCTTGTAACCTTCGGACATTCTAGAACTCGATGTAGTCCGCTGTGGAAACTTATCACACCACTGCGCTGGGGCACAATCGAACCATACGGCCTCAAAGCCGGATCAACTTTTCCGCACAGTTACCCTACCGACTATAAAACCACGTGGACACGTGTAGGTAAAACGGCCATTCTTGATAGCAGCAAAAGCATCGTCTCGGTTCCCTGAAGCGTCAACCACCCACTTTGGTCCACAGATCCCGTCGTCAAACATGAACTCGGCAGCTTCGAATCCCAAGTCGGTGACCAAACCGACGTCTGCACCGCCCTCACAATACAACGTCTTGACAGTAAGCATCCACCGCGCCATTCGCGATGTAGAGGTTTCCTGTTTTTTTTTTCTAACGAAGTGGCCTTTTGCCAGGATTGTGGATCCGATTGCGCGCCTTCGCTTCCGAAGTGTCCCAAACATCAGGAGTGGCTGGACAGCCTGCCAGAACATTACCCGGCGTCGCCCAAGTACGCCCAATGGGCAATGAATCATTGAAGCGCAGAACAGTGGAATGGATCCAGCAAAGCTGATAGGAAATGGTCCGATCCTCCCCACACCCCACCAAAAAAAATTCACTCTGCGGCGTAGGCGGAACTGAGATCGACGGAGGTAAACTCATTGGTCCACCTATTTCGCAATTGTACATGTGTTTACCGGGCTCTTCCTTTCAATACAAGCTAGCGAAGAACATTGTACTTGCGAACGTAGCAAACGACGAGTTGAATAATTCAGGTTCTTATTGCTTCGACTATTAGTAGACTTCCTACCCTCCCCCCTTCCTTAATATGTCAGCGATCCTGCTCCCCGCATGAGAGACGCGGTAAACAAACATTTGGGTATGAACGCGATTCAATAAATACACAAACGAGATATCGATCTTAATTAGCTGCCTCCCATACGGCAGGTGCGAGAACAGGGGCTCTACGCGCCATTCCACTTGCTCTCCTTGGCCCAGTGGGAGCCGTCAACAATCCCTCCAACCTTGCTGGTGAAATAATCCTTGCCCTTGATCATGTTGACCGCAAAGCCGGGCAACTTGATGCCGAAGACTGCACCGACACCCTTGCTGGTCCCGATGGGAACAAGCTGCGTCTCCTTCATGTTGGCCTTGTAAGGGCGATCCTTACCGGTTGGTTTCTCACCCTCTGGTGCACTCAGATCTCGCTTTAGATTCGACATGACCACTGGAATGGCCGAGAAAATGTCCATGATGCCCCATCGAGCGTAGGACGCAACATCGCCGACAGTGTAAACAAGTGGGCCGGCAGCATCTACGCGTAGGGTCTCGGGATTGGCGAGCACGAACCCCTTCTCGTTCAGAAGAGCGGTGGGCACGAACTTTGTATTTGGGGTAACACCAGTGGCCGGAAGGTAAAGGTCAGCCTCCTTGCTCTCGCCGTTGGAGAGCTTGAGGGTGGCCTTCTCCATGATGGTAGATATGCCAGCGGTCTCCGGTGAAACGGACTCGACCTTCGTGTTGTAAATGATTTCGACACCGAACTTTTGAAGAAGGTTGGCTGCTTGGGCAGCGATACCTGGGCGCAATGCGGGCAAAAGCTTCGACTCGTTCGTGATTATAGTAATATCGACCTTCTTTTTGACAGCAGAGAACAGGCTCGGCTTGCCATTGAGCAATTCGGCCAGTTCGCCAGCAGTCTCGACTGCAGCGGGTCCGCCGCCAGCAATGACAATGCTCTTGACATTGGGAAGAGCTGCTTGGAATGCCTTCTGCGCGTCCTCAGTGAGTTTGTAATCACCATGCAAACCCATGATAGGTGAGGCCGTTCTTGTGCCGGTGGCAATGATGAGAGCATGATAAGTGATTATCTGCGTCTCGTTGTTCACTGTAGTGACGGTAACAGTCCTGGCTGCCTCATCCATGGCCGTGGCCGTACCTTGGATAAAGGTGAATTGACCAGCCGGGTATTTCTTGAAGCCACTCTCGATGTCATAGAAAATTTTCTCTGGAGGCATGAGCTTGTGCGAAGCAATTGCGCGAGGGGTCGCTGGACGAGCATAGTGCTTGCTGGATTCGCCAACAAGTGTAACGGTATACGCATCTTTATTCGGAAGCGTTGGTAGAATGTGTTTGAGGAAATAATGCGCGGAGGAGAGACCGCCGTAGGAGGCACCGAGAATCAAAATCGTCTTAGAATGGGCGGCTGGAGCTGCTGCTGCTGCCGGGACCTCTGCCACTGCCGGGGTTTCTGATGCTGCTGGAGCTGCTGGCGCTGCAGCGGCATCAGGAGCAGTGGGAGGTGGTGCTGTAGCCTCCGTGGTAGCCATTACTAGTATTGTCACGTTTCAAAAGAGAATAGAGGTGTTATAGAAGGGGAGTAGAAATACTAAATGAATGAATGAATGAATGAGGGAGTGAAGGAAGGGCGGGAAATGGCAATGCGAATATATGCGGAACAGGATCCAAGACGGATGTCAAGCATTAATTATCAGGAAGGGAAAAAGAAAAGGAGATGAGATTGGTCTGGTCTTAAACTTTCAATGGCTGCGACCAGTCGAAGAGGACGTTGACAAGAAAAGCAGCTAGTGTGTGATGGCGCTCGGGAAGTGCTGCCTGCGAGTAGTACGTTTCACTGGGCCAGCGCATAAAGGAGGGCGATCGTACTGATATATATTTGTCATGGTCAGTCTGGATGGATTTCAGCAAGACCAGTAGTGAGTTGGGATAGAGCTCCCACGAGTTCGTTCTCGCCAGACGGCTCCCGATGGTGATACCGCATGCAGATCATCGTTTTGGGGAGAGGGAGAATGTTTACAGCACGCACACGGACAGGGTCTGCAAGCCACGTTGAACCGGCGTCGACGAGGAACCGCATCCGGCTTAACGGACAAGGCCCAATGATTGCCGTTCTGCTGGGCATGCCGGTAGTGGTGGTAGAAGTATGTATTCGCGCTCATGCAAGTGCTAGCGATCCTGCTAGGACAGTGCAAGTGCAAGTGGTGTCTAAGTGCACAGCGATGCCATGATTCGTGGCGCTAACGGGGCTACAAGTATTCTTGGGACAACAAGACTCCGGATTGCGCACTGCAGATGTGTATAGACGCGGCTTGCAATCTTCCGGTCCCCAGTGGTCAAGGATGCAAGGAGGCAGAACCGAAATTGTTGCCAACGGCCCACGACCTGTACACGTTCGTGGGGCGTTGAAAGCTGTTGAAGACCATGCACACTTGAAAGACACACTTCGACCACGAGCAGAGGTGAGGAGTAAAAGGATGGGTCAGAACGCTAGTTGCAAGTGGTAGCCAACAGCCAGATTTCATACGAGAGCCAAAGGTGGCAACGCGCGTGCTGGAAGTCAGACAGGACGTGACCAAATGCTGAGGCACTGCACCGCCTTTGTAAGCACAGTCACCTCCGTTGGTGGGAGGACGATGCTGCTATGGTTCACGAATTCGCCATCATCGTCACCCGTCATCATCATCATCTTCTTCAGCACACAGCTCGGACAGGTCCGCTAGGGACGGGCATCAAAGCACGAAAACGGAATTGAGGCTTCAAGGCTTCAAGGCATCCATAATCGCACGGAGCAGCCAATTTTCAGTGTGCCAAGCACAGCGCACATCAATATCGAGACTTCGCAAGATTTGAGCACATCTACTACACCACACAAGACGACAACGCGAGAAAGTCACGATGCCGGTATGCATGACATGTAGTCGAACTGCGCAGAGATACATCTCTAACATTAGCCTGATGTAGTCGCACAAGTCTTTCCGCACCAAGCAGAAGCTTGCGAAGGCGCAGAAGCAGAACCGCCCAATCCCACAATGGATACGTCTACGAACTGGCAACACCATCCGGTACGTATAGGACTCTCTGAAGTTCGAGCTACGGAATATATGGAGATCGCAGCGGACAAAGTTGTCTGACGGGTGTAGATACAACGCTAAGCGACGACACTGGCGCAAGACCAGGCTCGGCATCTAAGTCTTCTCGCCTTTCTCCTCGCCGAGTACGCAGCACGTCAAATTTACTCCGACAAGCACGATGCAGAATATGGGCATGGACATGTGGCAGGCGACTGGAGCAAAAATGCATGGTCGGGGAGCTGGATGATTTGCCTTTTCATGGCCTTGAAAATGACTCGAGGCGGCGATCACCAACGGCACATAAGGCGTTTGGGAAACAAGTGTATGCAAGATCAATCAATGCTTGCGTTGTGACCAGCGAATTCTTTGCTCCATGAGCAAACTGTCTTTCTCTCTCTCTCTCCCTCCATCCATCCTTTCTTTCCTTCTTTCTTTCTTTCTCCCATGTTATTTTGTCTTCTACCGTGCTTGAGATTCAGTTATAAGACGCTGTTACGACTGATTTGTCGAACGAAGAAACTGCAACCCCCCAGTAAAGCACTAATACCAGTGAAAGTAATCAGCGGTCCGTAGCCCGTACCATATGCCATACCAGCTTGATTCAACCATGGTCTGCCCGCCACCAGGGCCTCCGATAAAGGTCCGGACACCACATTACCAACACCTCGCCCAAACGCTAGGAAAGAAAATATCAGGCCAGAGTCTGCGTTCTCAACTCTGCTCTGTGTGGCGTTGATGACGCCTGTCCACGTGCTGCTGAAAGAGCCAGCAAACAGGCCGTACACGATGCAAAAGAGGTACAGCAGCGGTAAAGACGTAGAAAACCCCCAGAGCAGAAACACACCCACCGTAGCACCAACAGTAGACACCAATATGCATGTGGTGACGTGGAAACGATCTGTCAGCGTTCCCATACATACGCAACCGAACACACTGGCAACGTTCACCAGAATGACAGTTCCCGCACCTACAAGTGGCGAAGTCTTCAGAGTCTCCGTGGCAAAAGTTGGCAGATAGATCCCTGGTAGAAAGAAACCCAGCGCCTCGACGACGTTGCAAGTCTGCAGCACTACGAACGTGGGCGAAAAGAGGAACCGCATATCAAACAGCTTTCTGTTCCTCGGCGTGTTCTCCAGCGGTAGTCTGGGCTTCAAATAATGAAGCAAGGGAAACGTGAGAATGAACAGGGTCAAGGACCAAATCCGCAGCGTAGTCCGAAACCCGTACGAGTGCAGAAGCCATTGAAAGACGAGTGGGAGGACGACGCCGGACACGCCTGTGCCGGCCCACATGATGCCAAAAGCGAGGCCTTTGCGCTGAATGAACCACTCGTTGACGAAGAGGATGGTGGGCGAATAGCATATGGAGCCGCCGATGGCGTACAATATGCCGTGAGTCACAATGAGCTGGGTGACGCTTGTGGCGAAAGAGGCAGTTGCCAGAGCCACACACATAATGAGAAGGCCGCCCAAGGTGGCTGGCCGACGTAGCTTAGGCCATCTGGTCAATGCAGAGAAGACGAGCGGAGCCGAGAGATACGTTATGCCCTTTCATCCAGACTTAGCCTTCTATCAGGTGTTGACGGTGTGGGAAGAAAAATGTACCATGCAGCACGTGCCTATGACCGCGATGTTCGTTTGACCTGGAAAGGCTCTCGTGTAGTACTCTTGGAAGATACCGAAGGAAAAAGAGAATCCCCAGACCAAAGCTGACAGCACGGATCAGTTTCATTCGAGTTGACTGCGACGCAAGAGGACGTTCTTCGGCTGGGGATTTGAGGAGCTCGAAACAGCTTCTCCGTACGGCTTGAATTGCAACTAACCTTCGACCATAAAGCAAGCCAGCAAGAACAGATAAGCGGCCCTTCCTCGATCCGCCGGAGGAATGTCCCTGGGCCCGTCCGCAGCAGGTCCAAAGTTCCTTTCATTGAACTGGCCGAACCCAGAATTTTCCTCCTCGGCGGGGAGCTGTGCCAATTCGAATTCGCCACTCCTCATTTCTGACGCTTATCCGCGTCCTACTTAATAGCAATAGCTTCGGTCCTAGTAGATATGCAAGAAAGATACCAAGAACACAGGTACGAAGGACCGTGGGTGATTTTAGGTGCGCACTTTTAGGTTATAACGACGATGAGTAATCGATTTTGGTAGGGCGTTAGATCGGCTCAACGTAGCCCGAAGGTATGGAACAATACTCTCGCTCGAACCTATGACGACGGACTCTTCGATCATTGTTACATCGCGAATTATTTTCTCTTTCTACCTTGAAATATTATATGCGCCGGGTACTAGAGCCTCCGCTTCGTTCGGATCAGTGATTGCGTATTATGTGTATCAAGAACGCGTGGTCTTTGATCCTAGTTCAAATAACTTATACAACTGAGAACGCTCGAAAACATGTGAACAGTTTCCTGCAGTAGATATCCCTCCCGAAGCTAACCATGTTCATACACATATATCATTTGAAAATCGACATGTTCTAAAGTCCGTCTTTCTTGTATCGATGTCCCGATGAACTATCCGCTCTTGTCACAAATATGCATTGTCATTCCCTGTACAGCAAAAAAAAGATAATCGTACAATCCCGTTGTCACTGAAGCATCCCCCCTCAGTTTTTAGTAACTATGACTAGTGCTGGACTTAAGCCAGGTACCTAAATGACTGTCATCAGCGAACAGCGTTGAGTGAGGGAACTATGACTGCGCACCTGTGTGTGGCAACAGCTACGTGCTCGAAATTTAATAGGCCCTTGGACTGATAAAGTGCCAATTTGCACCTCAGAACGGCATCGCTCATGCGTCGCTCATTTCTGGACACCAGACGGTGTGACCTTGCTTTTTAAGACGGAAATGCTCCATCCCTAACTTCAGCCAGGCTCGATAGGCTCAATGGATACATAGATTCTCGTTTCTCTTTCCCTGATCCACGCGACAGCGTCCTCCCAGTCGTCTTCCAAATCTTCGCATCCGAGACGGACGACCGTAAACTTTGCATCAGCAGCTTTGTGGTTCATGCGCGTACTGAAACGGAGCTGGAAAGTAGATCGATCGAGATCCAGATTGGTGAATTTGCTTTCCAGCTTGGCGCATAGCGCGTCACCGTTTCCACCAAGATCAATGTCGACGGGAAGCGAGGAGCCGTCGTACTGTACTTTGAACTTCATAAATTGCCCTAAGGTCGAAGTAGCGTGTGCAGAGACTGTGGGTTGATTGTGGTCTGCTCCAGCCTGGACCATTGGGGAAGTTGGAATAGGCGTTGCAGAATACGTCTGACGATTCCATTGATTGATGCTAGCTTGGAGGTTCATATTCTGACTGTTTGGACGAGCAGGATATTGTGGATAAATTTGTCTGATCGTTCCTTCAGAAAGCTGTGAGTCCATTGGAAGATATATACTTTGCGCTGGGTGAATCGATTCATGCATTGGTCTCTGAACAGCTGGGGCAATCGGGTGATGACTGGGCGAGTAATCTGACCCAGGCCGCGTCGGTTTATCTTGTGCCTTGTATTAATTCTTAAACTACAATGTTTCGCGTTGTTCAATTTACACGTACAGGCTTGCTCCCCAAACACGACATCTGATTGTAGATTGCTGTCCGCGAGTAAAAACGCATCGTAATTGGAATGCCTAGCTTGAGGTTCCCGCCAAGTAATCACGACTTGTTCAATAGCAGATAGAGTGGCTCCATGTTGCACGCAAGTCACACGCTCTGGTAAACGGCATACTGCCTTTCCGAGACGCAAGCGCTCGTTGACAATGTTTGCTCGTATCCAGTTGTTCTGAATATTGGCTCTTGAGATATAAAGAGGCCATTCATGATTATCTTCGTCAACAGCCAATATCATGCCTACAGACCCAGTCGATTCTGAAGTTTGGCTGTTCGGCGGCGTTGGTAATCTGATCTGCGATTCTTGCGGGACTGGGCCATGTGTGGCGCCGTAGCTCGGACGAAGGTCAAAGGTGGTCTGTAAGTTGTTGTTCGGACTCGATATCGGTCGTTCGCGCAGTATAATTGCATCGAAGCGTTTTTTGTGTCTTTCGCAGGATGCTTTGATAGCGGCCTCGATCTTCGACGCCGAGAAATTTTCCGAAAGGAAGACGACAACATCGTTCGGAAACTCCTCGACGTACTTCCTCGCGCGACCTAACCTCGCATCAATGTCATCTACGCTCATATCCATGCCATTTTATTCTCTTCGGCGTTGTTTCGTGGGGTTGCGCAACAATAGTGCTTTGTCTTGCGATAGCCAGAATCGCCGATAGGCGCCGCTCGCAACGTGATCGTATCAGAGCAGTGTTCTGCGCACACTAATCGCAATAGTTCGTTGCCAGGATAAGACAGCGACTTTAGGCAGCCGCTGGGTATCTGGGAGGAATTCAGATCGAAATGACTGATCGCGGGTGATACGAGCACCCCTTCACCGGTCAAGCCCCGACCGGAGCAAAGGTTGCTTAAAGACATTGGGCAGCTGCACAGCTTACCCTGGCATGAAGGAAAAATGGTTTGTTTTGAGACTTGTAATTCTATTCGTTGAAACCTTTCATGGGCAATGAATTAGGGCTGGTGAAACAAGCGGGGCAAACAAATCCCACCTGACCGTCGTTCATTCACAACCGACCAAAGAGACCGAAAGTGGCAGTCCACACGAAGCCTTAATCGCGTTTGCCTTGTTAAGGAATACATCCTAGAAGGACCTTAGATGTGAAAAAAAATCTACTCCGATTATTGAAGGGCCCGCAAAGTCATGCGTCGCGTTCAGTCTGCGCTCGTTGGCTCTGCGGTTTGCGGCATGAGCCCATAGTTCGCAACCATGAGAACCAGTTGGTGTCAACGCGAACTGAAAAGGACGTCGAAGTGGACTTTGTCGGGAAGTCCAGCAGAGTCGATGACTTGGAAATGCTGTTTTCTGGCATCTTGAGAAGTCGAGCTTGCGGGGCGTATCAGGCAGACAGTCTTGCCTGTTGATCTCAGCTCGTGTCCGTTGTGCATTTCAGTTACTCGCAGGCCAACCTGACGAGTTTTCAATCGAAGACGGGCAACGATTTCGGTTGTTACCCAGTTATTCCTTAGAGAGCTATCATAGGTAGCGTATACTGGTAATGTCTTTTCGTCAACCGTAGAGCGCACTCTGATCCATCGGGACTGAGAAGTCGACCTTTGAGAATGAGGCCGTGTCAGCTCCTCTAGGAAAACAGGTTCATTCTGCTGTTTCTGGATATTGACCCCGTTCACTCGAGAGCAGTCCTTAGTTGGCGCACCTCTGTTGTTTAAGTTGCTTATCGGGGGATCTCTAGTGTGAGAAATTAGCAGGAAAGTAGGGAGCATAACTATGTCAAATTACCGATCTAAGTCCTGTATCGTCTTCCCCTCATTGTTCTCACAGGATCTGTCAAGCAAGCTTGGGGCTCCAGCGCTGCTACCGATATTTCTCGACGAAGTGGCTATCTTTCTGCACGGATCTTTAGAAGGACGGTATAAGTGTGTCATATTTCCACAGGAACGTAAACGTCTTCCGACATGTGGTATGGTGAGAGTTGGAAATGGATCTGAGCAATTGCGAGGCGTTCAAAGCGAATAAAATACGAGATGCCTGCTGACGATGACGAATGATGGATGGGCGCGACATTCCGGCGGATAAGGCTGAGTGTGCAAGCGAGATTCTGCACATGCTAGGCCAATGAATGTCTTGCAAAAGGTCGCAAGGGTTTCGGCTCGCCTTAGGGGAGGATAATGTCCCGGTGTTTATGATCTGTGCAATTCAGTTCAACCCTGCTCTTGCAAAACCTGTCGCATTCCACTGTATGTCATTCTACATGCTCACTCAAGGAATAAACCTGGCAGACGACTAGCAATGCCAAACATGTAGCATCTTCTTAGACGTGTGATTTATGCTCGGCCTTTGTATGGCCGCGTACGTTGCCGAGTTAGCTGACAGACTAAAGCATGCGAGAGACTTATCAGAGGCGTATAGACCAGTTGAGACAATGACCGAACGAGTTTAGAGTTCTGAAGCCAGTCATCTCACTCTAAGAGGTGAAGAACATGTCCAAACGTCTGTACTCATTTGGATCTCGCGGAACGAGTCAAAATGGCGGCCATAACATGGACCGGGTGTAGGTACGGTCGTGTGCATACTCCAAGTTTCCATCAAGCAAGCTGTCCAAAGATGAGCGTTCATTTGGCAATCCAGTGTGGAGTTGGGCGAGAAACTCGAGAGGATCGGACTGTAGCCAATTCCACCCCATGCCCGTCTCTCCAGGCATGGACTTTTAGGGTGCAAGCCGATGAACCTGGCCTTTTCATGAGTTCAGATGTCATGACATACGGTAAAACCACCTTGATTAAGCTCCTCGGTAGCGTCTGCACTGTACGCATCACTGACTCGGTCAAGAATGCAGTCCCAAGGGGGACGAGAGTTCAGCTAGCCGAAGTTCTGATGGAGAATACCGGCTATGGAATTGTCACGCTCAACTCCTAAGATGTTGCTGTCATCTTCTATGACCAGGTAAAGACCACGAGTTGGAAGAACGAAGTGGCGAGCAGATCGAGATGTCGCTGGCAACATGACGGAAGCCTAAATCATTTTGTGATCAACCAGCTCAGTGATTATGGCCTATGAGAAGATCAAGAATTTAATGGAATCGATATCTAGGACGGACGCACTTTTCTTCTCCGTGAAGAAGGAGGGTTTTCCTCGACTTCACCAACCCTCCCGAAAATGCCTAGAAGTACATGGGAAAATGTTTGCGACATCTCATTAGATAGGGTTGAATATGTCTGTTTTCAGATGCTTTCGTAGAAGGTGAAAAACACTCTGGGGGCAGTAGCTATAGTTTTTCAGGCTCGGAGGGGTCGTCTCTATTACAATGTTGACTGTGATGCTGCCTGACGTGTGACCGTGTTATCGTGGCACCATAACAACGCAGCCGTCGGGTGTGCTTTGATAGGCTACCAAACATTGCGGCATGATGTACAGCGACTAAAAAGGTTCATGAGTATTTATGAGCGGAGCCTATAGAAAAGGTTTGCGAGTTCCGAATACGAATCGAAGGTGGACAAAGTGTCGCAGTGATGGCACGCAAATAATTAGAAGCTAGTACCATCCCCGACTGACTCAAGGGCTGATCCAGTCAGCAGGCTTAGAGCCATTGGAACAGTTATAACCAACTCTATCTGCAACACCTATGAACATTTGTCTTGCCGTTACAGTGCTTACCCGCATGACACCATGAAAGTCAGGTGTAGAGTACCTTAGAGACAATAAATGCAAGGCGCACCCAAAAGATAGAAAAGTCTTCAAACGTTACATCTCAAGAAAACCTGGTCTAGCAAATCATCGGTGTTTATCCACCTTCTATAACAAACTAGGAAAAAAAAAAAAACAAAAACATCAGTCGCTGTCTACAAAGCCAAATTTGGCACCGCCTCGTTCTATAGTCCAGATGATCTCAGAATGAAGATGAGCTGAATCTTCGATTAAATAAACTTCATCCTCTTAGCCACCGTCAAAGCCACGCAAACAAAGCTCAGAATGACGCCTACGATGCCAAAGAACCAGGCCAGGTTGTCGGTGTGCATTCCCGGAATTGGTACGTTCATGCCAAAGAGACCAGTCACCAGGTTGAGTGGGACCAAAATCGTCGCGAAGAGCGTAACCCGACCTAGCAGCTTGTTGACCTTGTTACCGGAGGCGATGTGCTCTACGTTCAGCTGTGCCAGGAAATTGTTATGCAGACGCGAGAGCAATTGTTCCGAGTGAGTGAGATTGTCGCGATAGGTAAGAATGTGATCCTGGATGTCGCTCAGGTACATTCCCACGCTTGTGCTTGGCGCCGCTGCGAAACCTTCGTTACAGCGCTTCGCAAAACCCTTAATGACGTCTGGCTTGTTGCCCAGGAGACGAAGAAGAGACATGGATTTCTTGCGCGACTCGGCAATCTTTCGCAAAATCGGTCGCGCATCTTCATCGCGTGCAACGAATATCTCGTCCTCAATGGTATCAACTTCGTTCTCGAGATCGCGAATGACAGGCATGAAGCTATCGACAATGTCGTCGATGAGAGCGTAGCAAATCCAGTCAGAGTTTAAGCTGAGATAATCTCGGAGACGACCGATACGCTGAAGTACATTCTTCGTGTGTGGGCCTTGATGACTGCTGAAGGTAAGAAGACCTTGCTTGAACACAATAGCATAATGAGAGACGGGTTCAAGGTAATCTTCGTCGTCCTTGTTTTGATAGAAGGAGCGGAAGGAGACGAAATAATAGGTCCTGAAAAGTTCGATCTTTTCGCGCGGATCCTTGGTGGCGATATCTTCACGGGTCAAGGAATGGACGCCAAATGCCTTACAAAGCGCTGCCACTTCGTCTTCAGTGGGGTTAAGAGCGTCAAGCCACCAGCACCCCTCTTCGTTAGAAGAGAGTTCAAACAGATGTTGGAACGTTTCGCCTTCCTCGAGCAAGCCTCCAATTGTGCTGGAGTGAATGACATCGTCAAGTTCTGAGGAGAAGAAAGTCCAAGAGCGTTTCTCGAGATGTTGTCTGCTGGATCGAGTGGTCTCAAAAATATTGTTCTGCTGGCAGATCTTGTGTTTCTCAAGCTCATCGAAGTCTTCCTCGGAAGTGGTTGGACCATTTGTGCGTCGACTAGCAGTAGAAGGCTGGGTGACATTCTTCGGTGTCGCTGGGCTAGCTTCTTCATTTTCCTTTGCCCGCTCCAGCTCCTGCTCCTCTACCAACTCATCCAATTGAGAGTATGCAATGCTATACGCGTCACTTCCACGATCATTTTGGGAGCCTGGGTAGCACACGTCCTCCTCAGCCGAGCTATGACCGCTGTCAGACTCGTCGTCCCGGCCGCTGAATGTAGGTCGCCGAGCATGTGAGCCTCGAGACGCTGTTCGCTTGAGCGCTAGATCGACGGAAGAAGCCGCTTTGCTGTTGACTGTGCCTGCACGTTCACGACGGCGGTGACCTTCTGCGAAAGCATGGACTGAGTTGCGAGTGGAGCGCGAGGAGCTACGAGAAGACGAGGGCGAACAGTTGCGGGACAAGTTTGGACGCTGACGACGCACCGTGCTGCGGCGAGCAACGACGGGGCTCTGAGAGCCGCGCCTGCCGAACATTGCTCGGGTTTGTCCTGTCGCAGCGCCATTGTCACTCGCATCGTCGTCTTCCACAATTGCATGCTCATTGTTTGCAAGGATCTGATCAGCCCTCAGAAGATCTGGCTGTCCGTCGTACATGCTAGCCAGAGTGCCACGGCGAGGGCGCGGCGAGGCATCGGCGCGCGGCATGGACGACGGCTGAGCACGGTGATCATTGAGATCTAAGAGTAGCTCGTTATTGTCGCCGTCACGAACGACCAGCCGAGGCACCGACTCCTCAGGAGCAATGTTGATTGGCGAAGTTGCGCTTTGCATCTTGAAAATGGTCCCTTGCAGAAGATTTGGTCCGTATTTCGGGAAATGTGTTGCTGGTTGAAGGCAAGACGCTTGTGAGCGCTCACCGTGCGAAGTCGAACAACTTGATTGGACTCAAGCGCGTAGGGGGCTCCCTACACGAGATGTCGATGACAGCAAGGATATTGGCTAGTCCTCCTCCTCTTCTTCCCGCGCCAGCTTGATCTGGCGAGTATACGTGGTTGCTGTGTTTCGCAGACGCAAAATTGTTTTGTGACGGTAGACGCTGCTTGAAATTCCAGTTATGGAGGCTTCTTATCACCTCCGAGGACCCAGATTTTTGGTCCTAGAAGAGGGAAGATGAAGGTGAAGTTGACTTTGATGCCCGCCAACTTGGTGGTTGCTGTGGTGTCTCAGACGTCGCTGACGCCCAAGAGGACTAGGACAGCCGAAGCTGATGAGATTGCGCAAACGAAGACGCGCTTGTGACAAGGACAGCCGAGATGTAAGTCTCTCGCCTGTTTCGCCAGCGACGTGCCGTAGCGGGGGAGCGTTGGGAGTCAGTGGTCTAATCTGGACCCGGGTGAAGAGAGTTCAAGCGGCGTATGCTTGGGATGGACGTGTGGAACAAGAGTTGACGGAAGTGTGCGACAACGTTGACCAACTGGGGACTTGTGGTGGACGAGCTTTGCAGGCAGCGAGCGCGCCGTAGTTGGGGATAAGGATCAGGGTGGGAAGTCCTGATGTGTGTTGCTGTGGAGAGCCGGACGGAAGCGTTTGTTGTGGACGAAAATTCGGTCGTTGACGATGGCTCGGGCGTCGCCGCCGCAGGAGAAACTTGCAATATGCCCGCAGGGGTGCGGGGCACTGGCGTACACGGCAGAATTGATGTTTGCCTGGACGTGACTCGGCTAGAACAGACGTCGATCGACAGGCGAGGGGCGCATACCAACGATGGTGTCAGAGCGAGAGATCCACGAGCGCTGCACGATCAGAAATGGCATCTCGTGTGTACGATTTGGTGCGAGGCGACCGAGTTGATGCTTGGGCAGGCCAAAGCGCAGGCCTGTGATTTGCCGGAGCGTCTGGATCGGCCCAGGCCCGGTGCACAGACCGGAGTCCACCGGTTGGCCGCCCTCTCATTCGTCCGCCAGCGCGGCGAACCCGAAGTCGACACGGTTGGCCAGCGGTTCTGGCTCGATTGGCCCTTTCTTGCCGTCCAGACGACTGCGACGACCACGACGATCACGACGACCACGACGACCAGACGGCAGCATCGAACCATGGCCGAGCACGTTCTGGACTCCATCCGAGACTTCTTCGAGGGCCAGATTGTACGCCCCCATTGCCTCCGCGTACGAACGCGGCGGCTGGACGATTGCTGACAGCCTAGCAGGACTTCGAAGGCCAGAAATCGTCCGAATTGCTCTACACGGCGTTGCTCACAGCCGTCGGCGTACGTGATAGCGACCCTTTGTTGCGCCATTCAGCTTAGCAATCGCTAACCCGCAGCTTTTATACTTGCAACAGCTCTTCTCCTTCGTCGTCGGCTTCATCACACAAAATATCTACTATTCAGTCTATGTCGGCCTAGGAGGCACCGCCGTCACCTTCTTACTCGCCGTTCCGCATTGGCCTTTTTACAACCAGAATCCAGCGCGTTTCTTGCCGAGCAGGAAGTACAAGGGTACCGTCAACGTGGCTGTAGATGTAGATGGGAAAAAAGTGCAATGAATTCAGGCGGCTCGCCGACAGTGTACGAGGATCAAATACCTACGCGCGCAGGGCACGACTGCATGTGGTCATGTCCGAATTTGTCACGATTGTAACATAGCATGGGACTGGAACTAGCACGAACCGGGTGTGGACCGTTGCTCGAATCTTGTGAAGTCTGGTGCGTCTACCGGCTTTTTTCTACCGAGCAGAAAAAATGCATCATCCCAGCGAAGTTCGCTAAGAGAGCACGATCTTTCGGGCTTCGAGTGCGTTGCCAAACAGTCGATAGGAGCTATTTGAATTCCTAGCCCTCATAGTAAACCATCGGCGACGACTGCTCATGCCGACAAAGAAATATGCCTCTAGTGCAAAGTCTACCTTGTCGAAGCGACAGATGGCTTTCTAGGACCACCAATGTGCTGGCATGCCGCTTCTTCTGACTCGACCCAGCCGCTTTTGTAATGCAATTGACGCTTTCGTTGTGTGAGGTTATCTCGTGATCCGATACTCTCTCAGCCCCGCCCTGCCCGATGCTTCTCTGCGCATGCATTTATCGTCCGTACTTCTGGAACTCCCAATCCCTGTTGTCCAGCGGGCAGACCTGCCTCGTCTTCAGCCACCGCGAGATGCAGTGGAAGTGGAACGCATGGTTGCAAATACCCCACGCCACGGTGCACTCTTCGGTGGCGGCACTCGACTGATTTGCCTGACACTCGATGCACAAGTCCATGATGTGGTTGCGGCAGATAGCGCAGTTGTCGACGACGATATCCCAGGCCCACAGCGCCACGGCGTTCCACTACGTGCAGTGATTAGCTGAAGCTCACCCAAGATACAGAAAGTGGGATGTTGAATGGAAATGCACCTTTTTGACCTCAAAGCGCGGCTTCTTGTCAGTGCCTTCGGCCTTAGCAGCTTTGGCTGTTTTAGGTGCTGCCGAAGGGGCGTCTTTCATGTCTACATCCGCCATGATGAAAGGAAGAGCTGCTGTGACAAGGTAAGGCTGCTGTTTGTCCTGACTTGTGGTAGTCCGGAGGGTGTAGGAAATGGGCTGAAATTTGCGATCGAAGTTCGGACACAAATTGGTCCTTTATGAGCCGCTTGGGATATGGAATGAAAGTACTCCCACAGTCACAGCAAGAAAGTTTGTGAGTTGTGGAGGCAACCGTACTGAATGAAGGTGCTGCGGCTTGGAGGCGAAGTCCTAACCGCAAGTGGCGTTATGGGCATATCACGTGTGCAAGGCTGAATCATTCAACCAACCTTTCACTACACAAGAAAGGGATCAGAACGACAAGAAATATTTCTCCTAAGTGTTTCTTTTAATCGAATTTGTGATTGATATTCGTTCTCAATGTTCACGATTGTTGATGGGCGGGTGTTGGAAAAGCCCACTTTGTAGGCAGCAATAACTAATTGACGTACAGGACAAGAGTTCCTCGAAAGTACCAGATCCAATCTACCGTCTATATTCGACTGGCCGCACACTTTCACTTTCCTACTCATGAGGATTTCCTGGCTTCTTTTGAACTAATGGAATCGAATCATTGCATGAGTAGTTCTTAAAACGATGCGGTCGAACCATGACCGATTCCCATTCAAGTTCCATGCATCATTCACACAAGCAAGATAGTGGGTAAGATCGCGTTGAAACCCAAGTGATTCCCTATATATACACATATTTCCCTGCTGTCTCATATCTACCTTGGTGAGCAGACAGCATGACTCCACGTGCTCCTCGAAAACGCCTCTTGAATGACAACCCCGAGTAATTTGCCCCATAAACATATCCATATCACCACGCCTGTTGTCTTATGAGAGCGAGATAGCGCCTCGCCGGCTTTCGCGCATGTGTAGCCATGCTTGAGATGCGCAGAAGACCAGAAAACCCTACCTGTCGGTTAGCGGCAATCTTTCTCCTAAATTCTTTGCATGCATAGAATGAGGGAAAGCTTGAGTCGTACGCCATAAACTGCCACGGCACCAAATACTGCAGCTGCGACGGCGCCACCATCCTTCGGATCTTCTGTGTGGCCCATCATTACCGGATTCCCTGACTACCCTCTGATATCAGTCACGGCCATTTTCGCACAAGGATACATGCGAACCTTGAACATGGAACCTATTATGGAGAGGATGACAATGGCGAAGATCGAGACGACAATGCATGACCAAGCATTGAGGGCGGAGACTACAGGCTTCATTTTGGCGAACTTGGACGATTTATGGGTTAGAGACGAAAGAAAGGCGTCGGCGAATAGGCTGAGAAAGTGCGAACGACTGACTGTTTGTTCTCTTGCAAGGCTATGTGATACTGACGTTGACGGTCGATGGGAGAGATAGCTAAGTTGATGCCTGAGGCGTATAAGTGCCAAGATTCAGGGATCACTATTCTAAGTAGCTGGCACATCCGTTAACAAGTTCGACGTGAAACTCCGAGTACTCGTCCGAGGTCTCCGTCTGGAGATCTCTCGTTATAAATTAAATGTTCCAGAACCTTGCAGCAATATCAGATGGGGTTCCACGTGTTGTGTTGATAGCATCAATTGTGCGGACTTACACGAGATTGCAGCCTTATACGAGATGAGTTTCGTGCAAGGTCCTTGAACGCCACAGGTTTTGTTGCAATCCACATGCCAACTTACCAGATGTCGCCCGAGCTTTTTACCCCAAGTGTGTTCTTGAGGCTGATATTGCCGGGGGTACTTAGCAATCCCCGTGGAAGATCCGTATCGCGTACAAGCATAACCTCTGTCAGCCGGTGCTCAGTTTGCTTCAAGTAATGGCCCAAAATATTCCCGATGCAGGTCGCAAAAGCTGTCAGCGGATATCTATCCTGTTCTGGGACAATGCGGCGATCAATTACTTGGGGTAATATTAAGCTTGAATCCTGCGTGACTCGCCCAGGCTAGCCATTGACACCATTCGGCTTGTATAGACGATGCTGGATAATGCCAGGATCATTCTCCGCGCATCATCATCATCGTGCTGGTTGACCTCCAGTACTCGGTCAGGCGGGAGCACATGATTTGAGGCCATAAGTACTCAACAATCTGCGCTTTTTTTTGCAGAAACACGCTCGTTTGGTTTTTGCTCTGTTCAAACATTGTTTATTCGAGTCATCGCGATTCAAACAAGGCCAGCGAAGCGAGATGGCGGCCATCAAAATAGTCATACTAGTTGCAACCATTCTTTCCGTCGCAAGAGTGTCAGCATACAACCCTCGACAAATAGAAGCAGGTCCAGCTGCATGTGCCAACTTAACCGGCTCATTAGGTTCCACAAAAGTTGTCACCAACCATCTTGACCTGAACTACCTCGAAAGTCAGTTCGAGTACTGGAATGCCCGCCTGAGTAGCTACGCACCGTCTTGCGTGGTTTACCCAACCTCCGCTCAGGATGTCTCAGTTGCTATTCAAGCTATCCGCAGTTCCGGTTCCCGCTTTGCCGTCAGAGTCGGTGGACACAATCCTAACCCCAACTTCTCATCCGTGGATCAAGGTGTCCTCATTGACCTTCGAAATTTGAACCAAAAATCATATGATCCGTCCACACAGCTAGCCACATATGGCCCCGGTCAATCTTTTGGCGAGGTCTATGAATACTTCGACCAGTTTGGAGTGACCGTTGTTGGGGCTCGTCTTTCTGGTGTGGGCACTGGCCTTGCTCTCGGTGGTGGCTTGAGCTACCTCTCTAGTCAGTATGGTATGGCAGCTGATGGCTTCCGAGAGCTGGAAGTTGTCTTACCCAGTGGAGAGATCGTTACAGCTTCCAGCACAGAGAATCCCGATTTATTCTTTGCCTGCAGAGGTGGCGGCGGAAACGCTTACGGCATTGTCACAAAATACACTGTTCAGAGTCGCCCATCAGGGACCTTTACTGCTGGCAACATTATCTACTTGTTTGACCAGACGGAAGCAATCGGCCAAGCTCTTGCTGACTTCACAAGATACAACACAGATCCGAAGGCTGCAATCATTGGCACCTACGAAATCCTCGGTACGCCGGACCTGAATCTTAACTTGGACAAAGCTGGCATTCTTTTCTTGGTGTATGACGGCGAGGATCCTGGAGATGTCTTCAAAAATTTCACAGACATTCCCAATGTCATCAACACGATTGGCCAGAAAACATACTTGGACGTGGTTAACATGCCCGTTCCTTTTGCAGCGCAGCTCTCTCGGGGAGATAATTTCTTCCGTGTCCAGGTTCACGGCATCGATGACGATAGCTGGAAAGATACTATTTCGAGATGGCAAAATTGGACAGACAGTGTCAAGGGCAGCTATGTCTTGACTTCTTTGGATTGGCAGCCTATTCCAAAGACCTTGACGGATGCATCAAAAGCGCAAGGCGGTAATGCAATGGATATGCCCGATGGGCCTTGGATATGTACGTGAAAACCCTTCATCCCGAATAAAGCTTCATATAATGGCTGGTTTTTGACGCTTCGATACTTGATTCGATAATGTCTAGCGCGTCAATGCACCACCAGGCCATCCTATGAGGCTGTACTCGGTCAGAAACCTTGACTAACACATTTCTTTAGGGTTCAATTATCTTCTCACCACTCCTCCAGGTATGGCTCAGGCGGATTATGATGCAATACAGGCCAGCTTCAAGGCAATGGTAGAATCAACACCCAATGCAGAAGGACTGCCGCTGTTTATAAATGATGCCGCATATGATCAAAATCCTCTCAAGACATTTTCGACATATTCAAAGCTTCAGGAGATCAAAAAGAAATATGATCCCGACGGGTTCTTTTCCAGCAAGACAGGTGGATGGAATTTTAATGCATAAAATATTCAAAGACAAAATTCCCTTTGACATTACTTCACATTAAAGCTACTTGTTCAACTTAGAAATGATGTTGTGAAGAGATATTTTCGACATCTGCGTGCTCTCTACTGTGATATTGCTTCATCTTTGCAGTGATGTGATCTCTTCGTCATGTTTAGTTTGATCCCGGTTTAAGCTCTGACTAGAGCTTGCATTCCGTCACATGCCCGTGACTACACAAGCTCGCCCCATTTGCCGATATCTGGGGAAGTCAAGGGTTTACAAGTCCGTTTTGTGCCTCGACGGCAACAATACTTATGCTGTTCGCTTTTTTTGCGAGAATCCCTGTGATTTTCTGCAGGGTTCAGGCGAAGATCAAAGTCTAGCTTGAGCCAACATGCTTCGGCGTGGCAGACTGATTTTAGGTGAAACAACGAGCAAATATGGGTATCTTTGCTATCAGATGGAAGCAAGAAACAAATTGTGATTCTTCGAAAGTTTGGCTCCGTCCTCCAACAAGTAAGTGAAGAGAACCACTCAGCACACGTGACTAGATGGCTCTTAACCTTAGACGAATCTAAGTGCCTTCAAATCAGCTACCGCTACTACTGACTTGGATACACATTTGGGTAGACAGGTATTGGTTTGGAATGTCAGGATCCGTTGACTCAGAATTGTCATTTCAAGGTTGTAATTCTATATTTGGTAATGTCAGCCTTGAGAGTCACAAACATTAGCGTGAACAACACGACTCATTCTCCTGTGGGTTTCTCGCCGCTAAAAACAACCGTCAAGTGGTTAAACACGACAGCTAGCAAAAACCCAAAGCCGCAAAAGGCACTTTTTGACCGAGCGCTGCACTTTGTTGTGCGAAACAACACTCTACAGGATATCGACAGCTTTCTCTTCTTACACTTCGCACGCTATGTCAAGAAACGACTTCCCCAGTCAATTGTTTAGATACTGCGGGACCGCCCATCGTGATGGCAACGGATTGCATAAGCATCCGTGGGTCCGAGATCTTGAAAGCAGGTGCCAGAAAGCACTATGGCAGTTGATCAAACTGACGGGCCTTTATCGTCCTAGACTTGCCAATGAACGTGATCTGCGGGAATATCTTCAGGCCTCCGAAGATGAGCTTAACAAATGTTGTGAGCGACTCACGCAGATGCCTCTGTGTTGGAGAGAGGCGTTCTGGAGTAAAAGATCAGAGCTCGAGACGAAGGTGAACAACTGGTGCGGCCTCAATTTTGGAATTCTGCCGCAACTACCTTGGAACCTCCCACCTCGGGACGCGGAGACGCCAGAGATACGTGGAATGGACGGTGAGCTACTAAATGACCAAAACGGGTATGCTGGATCTGCTGTCCAGCACTCCGGTGCCGCCGTGCTACTACGATCGCCAGCGGATCGATTCAAACCCAGGCGTACAGTCGGCCAACAGCGCCACCCTGGTAGCACGTACTATCCGTCTCGCAGGCAGGGGCCAGAATCAAGACCAAAACAGATGGAACATGCCTCTCAGCACCATCAACTCGCCGATATCACGGGAGTTGTTGGGAGGACGCCTTTCAATCTGAGCTTCTCCATGGATGTGCCCTTGAGTCAAGGCTCGAACAGATCTTCAACGCCTCGAACGCGTCCATCCACGTCGGCACCACGACGCACATATGAAGACTTAGTTGAATATGACCGTCGTGAGTTTGAGCGCGAAAGCATTAACCGTGATCCAGCTAGATACGGCGGGATTGTCAACGCCTTTACGCTAGATGAAGACCCTCTGTCACGGCCGTTACAGGGACTGCACAAGATCATTACGCTTGTTGACGAACAGAACATGCCTCAACATGAATTCAAGCTGATTTACAAGCAGGATGATGCACAGACTCGTGACCTAGTAACCATTCTAGAGACTAAATTGCAGGCCGACCGTGAGAGTCAAAGAAGTAAAAGCAGATCCTATGACGTTGCCATAAACGCTATTCGAAGAGGCGTTGTTCAGCAGGTCACCTGCAGCGATACAGCTGGAGGCGACATTTGGGTTACTTCTGAGAACCGAATTGAGGTTGTCCGTGTTCTCCTGGACTTGGTAGGCAGCGAGGTTGGTAAATGGACGTTATTCGGCCTCGGTGTCGGAATGAGTGAAGGGAGACTGTATCTGCTCCAAGTCTTCGACTGAATAATATGATGAAGCAACATGTGATTGACTCTAGGATATATCCTTCGACGTAACTTATCTTGTTTACATGTGCTGCAATCAGTATCGTAAACCCTCTTGTATAATCTTATACTGTTTCCTCTTCTTCTTGCTTTTGGGCCAAAGCTTAACCTTCATCTCTCCGATCCACCTTGCAAGGCTAGGGAAGAACCATACTTCACTGATATACATGATTGCAAAACTAGCAAGCGCAATACTGAGGATCGTAAGTTTGAAATCCCATGACATGTATGTAAGCTCCATGAGTTTGAAAAGCCATTGAGCCGGGTCAAGCAGCAGGTACGTCGAAAAGAAGAGCGCTGAAACCATGGTAATCACAAAGGGTACTGTGGCATCTGTTAGCAGTGTGAAGATGTCCTGGCGATAGGATGGACTGACAGTTTCTCGACATCTTTTCTCTGAACGGCGGTCCAACGCTCAAAACAATTGCGCTCAGTATATATAAATAGCAACTCAGAAGGAACAATGTCGTATTCTGGCTGTTTTTCGAATTGGAGTGCTCCTTGTCCAGCACAGGTGGCACGTACCATTCCTGTCGCTGAACAAGCCACCAGCCAACAAACTGCGCTATTACTGTTATTGTTATCTGCCCCAAGAGCGGCGTGAGCACTTTTCGGCTCACTAGGCTAGCTGTTGGTCGCTTCTTCGCTAGATAACGATATGGGCCCGTCCAACCCATGAATATTGCGATCGGCAAGATAAGTGCGAGGTCGATGTACAAGAACTGAAAGTCTCCAAGATTGGATGCCGAAGCATATAGGAAGGAGACGGAGGTGAACTGGATGGCGGAGTACAAGGACATGTACTTGAAGCAACTGAAGCTAGTCACAAGAGCCGCACGTCCTTCACGAATGACTTGAGGCACACAGCTTATGTCGAAGATCCTACTGGTGAAGGGCGCTGCGACAGATGCTTCAGCCTCGGATAGAGAGATACCCACGTCGGCCGCTTTCAAAGCACCACAGTCATTTGCTCCATCGCCACAGAAACCAACGCAATAGTCAATGCTCTGCAACTTCTCAACCAGCTCATGCTTTTCGTCAGGTGACATGCGTGCAAAGACCTGGCCACAAACCAGCATCTCGCGTAGAACTTTCTCTGGCGCGTAGTCGATGATCCAACGAAAAACTTCGCCTGAGACAGCCACAGAGTAATTTTGCAAATTCATTATATCGTACGGAAGGGAAGCGTCTCCTTCCGCGGGTGGCGGTAATGGTTTGAGAGTGTGTTCATCGAGCCGGTAGATAGGATTGTCGACACTTTCCCAGCTTAGTTTCGATAAGGCTTCGCGAGAATTACCCTCCACAAAATGTGGGATGAAGCAATGAGCATTCGGGTCGATGAGATTGCACTCGCGAGCAACGCTAATAGCTGTGAGGATATTGTCACCAGTGCACATAACCTTCCTGATATTGGCTCTTCCAAGCTCTTCAATGATGTCGGCTGTTCTTTCCTTGAGTTTATTCTCGAAGATGATGAAGCCCAGGAAATTGAGATCGGATTCAGCCTCTTCTCGATTCATCTTCTGCACTTTCACCCAGTTCATCTTAGGAAGATGTTTTGAAGCACAGGCGATGACGCGAAAACCTCTATGGGTGTAATATGCCAACAGATCATCGTAGTCAGACGGGAAACTTTCCGGTCGACAGATTTCTTTCATGACTTCTGGCGCACCTTTTACGTAGATATCGCCGTCTTTGGCACCAAATTGTCGCACAACAACGCTTGCCCTTCGGAGCTGCGAAACAAACTCAAACGTCTTCAGGACACCGAGTTCGATCGGCTTGCGAATTGCATCGCTGGTATTATCTTCGGCATCGTATTCAGCGCCAGGCGGTGGGCGTGCCACGGAAGGTGTCAGTTTGACGCTTTCTTCATCCTCATGGGACCCACCCTGATCGCCCTCCTCAAACTGCCAACCTGTAAATTCAAACATCTTCTGATCCAGAGGATCCCCCAATAATTCTCCATCAATAAGCCTAAGGGAGTGGCATGTAGCCATGGTGTGCAATATTGCCCGGTTCGTCTCATAATTGATCGTAGGATCACGCTCGTAGGATGATCGTGGCAAGATGGCACTCGCATCCTCCAACATATCACTGAAGCTATTTTTCTGCGCGACACGCACACCAAGGACATCCAGCCCATCTTCAGTCAGTGTACCGGTCTTGTCAAAGCAAACTACATCGAGCTTTCCTCCCACGTTGACACGCTGCGGACTGATGCAGAAGATCTGCTTACCTTTTAGCCGATTGAGAGCGAATTGCGTTCCAATAGTTAAGGTTGCAGGTAGAGCTGGGGGCACGACGATGGTGATGAGGTCCAATGCTCGGACCACAATCAAATGCCACTCTAAGCCCAGCTTAACGAAGTTGATAAAGGATGCCACAAAGCCGATTGCCGCAATCAAGCCCATAACAGAGATATACCGAAATGAGTCACGGTAAAACTTGAATCCAGACGGCTTCGGAAATAGCATCGAGCGTACGAGAGCGCCCTTTGTTGTGTTGAAGCCGGTTCGCACCACCATAGCTAATGCGGCAGCTTCGTCATCCACGTCGTCTTGCGGTCTTCTTGCTCTTATGATCTTAGTACCGCTGAAAAGAAGGTGTTTCGCAACCTCAGGATGCACTGATACTGATCCTGGCGAAAGCAGCTCCAGTGATTCGTCCGTGGCTGGTGTCTTCGATACAGGAACAGATTCGCCTGTCAACATACTCTCGTTAACAATGCAATCGCCTGAGAGCAACAGACTGTCACACGGAAACAACGACAAGTTCGGATCCGTGACCTCGTAGACGTCTCCCGGCACTAAGTCGCTTGACACAATTGTCTGCCAGAAGCCGTTTCGTAAGACGCGAACATCACACTCGAAACGGCTCACCTCTCGCAGTCTTCGCATCGTAGCCTTCGTTTCCACAAGAGTGGTTACAATGCTCACGACGCTGATGATGAAAATACATGCAGCGTAATAATAGTACTCATCCACACTCCACAGGAACAAACTCGCGATCTGGAAAATGTAGAAGGGATGTAGGACTTCATCAGTGAGGAGCTGCGCCGTTGTCTTCTCCTCAATGTCAATCAGGTTCCTGCCAAACAAGAGCTCGCGGTACTCTTTTTCTTCCTCATCTAGACCTTGCCGCACAACTTTGATGCCCGTCCATGCTGGGTCCTTCCAGGTGTTTCCTAGAAGGAATTTGTCCTTCAAAGGATGGTAGCAGAAGCGGATATAGCGATAATCCAGCATGTGCAGTTCTTTCACTATCGGATCGTCATCCTCGTCGTACTCCCTCATGCCGGATCTCTCTTGAAAGCCAAAGATGGAAGAGAGCGATTTTCCATATGCTTCTTTCTTGATATTCTGCGTCATGATTTCGCCCCACTGGTTTTCAATGACCACCCAGTCTGCGTCCCGGAGTGGATGTGGCGACCCCACAAGTTTTATATGCCATCTCGGCACCCATCGTAGAGCAAGCCATCCGAGCCCCAACGTGCATACCGATATTGTCGTGTATAGGGCATAGCCTAGATAACTTGTCTTGAACCCAGCAAGCACGATCGTGAGGTCCTCGGTAAGAATATATATCTTCTGCTGCAGTCTCTCTCCCCTTGTATGCCTCCCACTTCTCGTGCTACTGCTGCTGGATATCCTTGTCAGTAGCAATGGCCTGTCAACGCCACCATTCACGCTGTCAATGCTGCTCTTGCGTCTCGATCTCGTCCTCGCAAGTCCAGCCTCCAAGTCCGTCTCATCGTCTTCAGCAAATCGCTCATCGCCGTTACCCTCCACCTCTCCGCCATCTGTCATTGCTTCCTCCTCCATGTCCCCGTCCTCCCCTTCGTTTAGTTCCTCGTTGAAGAATTGGAAACTGGCATTGCTGTCTGAACGAAATCGACGGTGTGAGAACGCGGACACGCTGGTAGGAACACTTTCGGCGAGAGGTCCAGAAAACATCTCGTCGGTTGCCATTTCTACGTCTGTTATAAAACTTGCGCTGCACCAAAGCGCCGACTTGATCAGCTTTTCTGGCACTCGATCTTGCGACAGCGATGGAGATAGAGACTGAAGGACCTACTCGCTCATGTTGGAGCCACGACGGTAGAACATATTGCTCCTCCGTCTTCTGGACGTGTTATCAGCAGCAAAGCTGCTGCGACGGCTATCCGCATTGCTGCCATCTTCCTCGTTGTACGCCATGTTGATAAGAAGAGCGATTGCCCTCCTTGTCGCTTCAGCTTATAGCATGCTGGTTCAAGAATATAAGTAGTCCACTACCTGAAAGCCAGCTGCAAAAGCAATAGATGAGAAGTGGGGGCCCAGATATTAAGGTTGTCGAGGTTTACAGAGCGTAGGTAGCTTTCTCCGTCAAGATTGAGCTTCGATCGGACAGATGCAGATCGTTGCGCGATTCTGCACTTATGTCATCACAAACACATTTCGGGGACGGTACCTAACTTTGTAAACAATAATGATGGAACCAATAGATAAATTTAATTCTGATAACGATATCGAGAATAGTTTTATGGAGTTGCGCATTTCGCATCAAACTTGGATGTAGCAAACCTCATCACGTGCTACAATGCGATTGAGGAGTTGGGCATACGGGTCACAAAGCGTCAGAAGGTTATGTGATCTTTGAATTTGCATTCTGGGGATGTGATCTGGACCCAACTAATGCTCATGGTACCTTGCCGTGAAAAGCCATCATCCCAAGACACCTGCCCAAATGAGTATAACGAGATTGTTCTCGAGCATGGTACAATCCCTCAATGGTGAGTGTAAAAGATCCGCTCGCTTCCGTCTTTCCCTCCTCTATGCGCAATCACACACTTTTGTGTCCATGCGACGCTTTCCAGCTGATCTTTCCTTCTATATGTTGGATGGATACAACATGACACGAACAGAGGCACCTGTAGAAAAGCCGTTAGTCGTTCAAGTCGCACCTCTAAAGAGCCTAAAATAGAACTCTTGGGCGACGTACCGAAAGACTTTGGTGGAAGGTTGTTGCGGAATTGTGCGCGGACGATACCAGAGTTGCCGTGTGTCCGTGTGATCTTTCCCCAGATGACTCGGAACTTGCTGCCTCGGACCTCTTTCTGTGCGCGGTACACGTATGCGACCTTCTTGCCCAGGTAGAACTTTGCGGCCTCAGCGGTGTTAACACCTAACGTTCGTCTCGTTAATGATTCAACCCAAACTATCGAGGCAGATGGATCTGCGACGTACCCTCTAGCTGCAGCAGACTTGTGCCGGGGTTGGTGTTGCGCTTCGCCCTCTGGTAGCTGATGTGCCGCCCTATAAAATCGGTCAGTCCCATATTCATGCTTTTCGTCGTGCTGCCAGGCCACCAAGTGTGCGATGCCGTCTGAGTCTCTGGATAAAATTCGAATCTTCCCCTTAGCTAACCGTGCTAATATCCACTTGCAGGATACATTCTATGCTCCAAGGCAATTTTACAGTGCCAAAGGTATTGCCGTTCATTACGATCTATAGGGAACGAATAGATCTCTTACCCTTCACATATACTACAGTTGTCAGGGTTAGCGGGCTAATTCCACAGAATCGCGGTAAAGGAAAGAATACTCACATCTGCTACCTGCTTCCGGCATCTTGAATTGAATTACACAACGACTGCAGCGCGCAAGCTCTTGTGTATGTGATTATCGAGGGTTGAGTTGATGTTGCCGATGAGTGCGAAAGTGTGTGTCTCTCCATGCACACTGCATTTTCGAAGTGTGGATTCTTGGCATTCGTGATGGAAGCTACGCCCGTTTAGGCATAGCGTTCCAAAAGCACATGACCCGTGTTGAGAAATTCTCAGCGCTCCCTTTTGAAGGCTGAACAACAAAGCACCCAAGAAGTTCTCAATAAGAATAATTATTGATTAATTCTAGCATAACACATTATAATCATCTTTCTCAAAATCATAGCCCATTAAGCAACTTCTGCGCTCCAATCGCGTCGCCCATACCGAAGAAGTCGATCAAGACGACGTTTGGATATCTGCCGTAAATCGACTTACACAGGCTCGCTTGCGCACCAATACTTCCGTCACCGCTGACTGCATTTGTTTGCCCAGCAGCTTCGCGGTCCGGGATCAGGATGTCCGTAAAAGGAATCTCCACGTCGAGAAAATGGTTAACAATGTTCATGCTTGACTTCCCGCTGCTATCCAGCTTGTTGGCACGGTCGATTTTGCATTGCGCGAAATTGGGATCTGTCGTGTCGAACGGGGTTTCCCAGTAGTAGTTGAATTCATCGAGGAGGTAAGGTACCAGTTTCTCGTTTGCACCGTAGTCTTTTTGCCGCATTTTAGTCTCAGTGCTGGAATGGTCAGAGGCTCCGCACGTACCTATAAAGACTACAAGTCTTTGATTTTGAGAGATCATATCGCCAAGCGTTGGCCAGCTTGCCATGGGCAGAGGATTCGGACTTGTGCTAGGAATGAAGGCCAGCTTGTCGAGCCCGACCTGTTTAAAAACAGCATCGAAATCACTCATAGGCGCATTATCCGGGTTTGTCAACAGAAGTGTCACGACCTCTCTTGGGTTGGCATCCAAAAAACTCTTGACCGTCTTCAAATAATCTTGGACCAGTCCGCCAAATTCTAAAAGGCAGTTTGTGTGGCACATAGCCAACACATCACCGAGACCGGGAAGATCTGGTATGTCCCATTTGTGGACTTGTGACTGCAAGAAGCGTATGCCACCTCCAAGCTGATCGCTCAGTGACTTGATCTGGTTTTGCGAAGGCAGATCGCCGACGAAGGCGGAGTCGTGGTCGCCTACAAATGTGATGTCTGAGTATTTGCGGCTGCATAGCTGCGCGTAGCCATTGCAAAGAGGATCTGCTCGCGAGAACAATCGGTCCAAAAGTGGAAACGCATGTATCTGGATAGAAAATGTAAGGAGCGACAGCAAAACCCCGAAGACCTGCATGGTGAATGACGGTGTCGAAACTACGTTCTGGCAGGAGCTCGATAGAACGGAAACACAATTACAAGGCCCAGATCTCCCTATATACCATTTTTACCGACATGACCACTGAGAAAAGACAGACCACACGAGGCCTATAGAGCAACACAAGGGCTCAGCAAGTGAGCGCTATGGGCCAGCGCGTGGGTGTGGTTGCGCCTGCTCGGCGGCGTATGCTGTAGGAAGCTAGAAGCACCGCCATGTCAGGGCCAAGCGCTCAAGTGAACAAAGTCAGCCTACACCAAAGCAGAGACACCTTCTGAAAGCAGAACAAGTCATGCTTCTCTGATCAAAACCCCAGAAATGTCTCTCGGGGATTCGTTTGCTTGAAATGCATCCGATCGCATGTGCTCAGCTTCTTTGCAGTCTGATTGGCCACGAGTAAATGGCCGTTCTTCCCTATAGGGGCTTAGGTTTCAGGGGAGATGAAGCGGCGGCAGATGATGATTAGGCGACGGGAATTGCCTGCAAATGGCCTTGAGCGTTTTATTGACGCTGTTGTTTGGATTGCCTACCAGGTGTGCAGGTCACGACAAGGAGTAACGTGAGGCCTGCTGCAGTGCAGTGGGGGTCATTTCGTGCAGAAGCCCAACGATGTCCTCTTGTCTTGAAAGCTGCTGCAACCTGTCGGATTACCCTCCGGCAGCTTTGATCATCTTGGACACACCCAAAGACGTAAAGTTTAGACAGAAGAATGAAGGAATGCTATTCTTTCGACTCATTAGCTCTTTATATTGCATTATTGCTTTGTCCGGGGGCACGGGCTCTGCTCGGGTGTCACACGTTGGTACTGAACATGCCTGCTTTCCCTGGTAATGTCGATCTCGTGGTCATCCGCCGAAACGCGTGGGCACAGCCCACGGTAAAACATCTTCCTTTCAGATTTTCAGCTCAATTTTTTTGACACTACCAAATGCTGTCGCTCTTCGAAACGCAACAGCATTAAGCCATCCTTTCTAAGAGATCGAAACGTGGAATTTTTCCTTGTTATTGAGCAAACTCGATGCGTTGAACACTGGCGTGCTGGTACTTCAGCATATCCAATAGGCCAAGTATTGCTACGCTGAACACTGGATAATTTCTTCGTCGATCGAATGAGCGGAAAACAGATAATGCCAGCTAAGATAGGTTGAGCAAGCCTAGAGCTGAATTTTCGCTACTCTCTGATGTCACTAGAGTATCAAGCAGCCCGAAGAGACATGACCTAGTTTCGTCTCTTTACTGTGCTAGAAGCTGTATATATATGTCGTCGCTGTATTTGGTGGAAAATGAGCGAAACCGTCCAATTCGCGATGCGTTTTATAGACCTGTCACAGTTCACTGTTAGAGGAGGGATGGGAGATATCCGTACGTGTACAAAATGGTCAGGTCCTATCGACCTTGACCAGCAACAGCAACGCAAGCCCGTGATTGAATCTAGAGAATATGGATTCTTCTCCTCCGATAGTTGCCTTCGGAGATGGCTGAAGGATAGACGGGACGTGCAGAATTGAGCTTCATCACTCCGTAGTCTCAGCGATGTGCAGGGGCTGTGTCTTCATCGGTAGAGAAGGAGCGACTTGCGATTTGGACTATTAAGCTTTATCTTACAGACGAGGGCCAAGAATTATCTGCAGAAGGAGCGTCCAGAAATAGAATTTCCTCCAATCTTCGTCGTCCAACCCATTACAGGAACATGACTGAACGCATTTTTGACCTCGCTGGTCCCGATGACGCTGAGCCCGGCGATAGAGTTTTGCTACAACAGAGCCATCCCCATCAGATGCAAATATCCAAAAAATGAAAAAGGGCACAATGTCTGTACAATGCGATGGAATCCTATGCGCCGAAAATGTGATCCAGAGAGATGCAAAAAGAAGATTTTGGGAACGAGCGTATGCTGCTGCCGCTTACCAGCAGAGCATGACGCCGACAGCAACCAAAATTGCGAGCACGCTGCCGCCCAATCTCTCTGGATGAATCTTCGTGCCGCCGCTTGAGCCCGTGCTTCCAGAGCCCTGGGTGAAGCCTGAGCTCGACCCACTTTGCGCTGCGCCCGAGCTAGATGCCGTGCCGGAGCTCGATGCACTACCTGATGAGCCGTCATTCTTTGCACCTGCGCCAGACACGCCAGGAATGCTCTCGGGTGTGGAGCTTGCCGCCGCAGAGCCACTTGGATTGTAATTGGGATTGTCGCCCGACGCATACAGCGACTTCAGCACAACTGACTTGTCCGACAGCTCAATGGTGTTATTCGTAGCCTCCACGTTGGTGTAAACATAGGTGGCCTTTCCACTGCCTTGAGCGCCAGCCGGAGGATTGTAGCACTCCACGTTGACGTCACTCACCATGGCATAGTAGTAGCCATTCTGCATATACGGTGAGTTCCAGTCGATCAAGCCACCGGCCCAGTCAATGGTGCCCTGTGCGTTGGTGGGCAAACCTGCTGGCCAAAGTGAGAGCATGATTCTGGCTGGTGTTTGCGGGTAGGCATAAGCGTTCGCGGTTGCATTCCATGTCTCCGACCGATTCTTTGTGCGCAAGACCTTGCCGTCGACCAGCCAGTTCAATTGGTCCGGTGACCAGTCAATAGTGTACGTGTGCGTAGTCGACTCGGTGTTTGAGGCAGTCAGGTTCAATTCGTTGTCATCTGAACTGGTCAGCAGCCATTCGGGAGCAAAAAGTGTTGACAGTACATACAGTTTGTGATACCCTGGAAGTAGTAATTCGATTGCACGTGCTGCGTGTCCACGCCGACGAACTCGAAATCGATCTCGTCCTTGGCATCACTCATAAGGATGAAAGCCGTAACGACACCTGCGCCTTGACTCGTCGTCAAAGTAGCCGAGATCTTGCCATACCAGACGTAGTGTGTGCTAGCCAAAAGCGTACCCACAGTGTCTGGAGCCATGGTAAGGAGAATAGAATTCTTGTTGTACACCACGGGCTTTCCACTCGAGACCCAATTGGCCTTGGTCGCGTCGCCAAGGTATTGTGAAATGTCCGCAACGTCATCAAGAGAATTCAGCTTGTAGTCCTCTGACTGGCATTGTGGGTTGGGCACGCATGAGTTGAGGTCGAAAGAGTACCTTGGGTCACAGCCACCCAAGCAATAAGCGCCGACACCACACTGTCCGTATGCTAGATCATGCTGTCAGTCCACACAGTATACACCCGGCTGTAGATTGCAACTTGCCTGAACAGCATGGTGAGTCCTGAGGACACTTGTTGCCCTCGCCACAAGTTGGAATGGACGCAAGTACGGTCGTGGCACAGAGCGCCGTTACCACAGTCGAGAGAAAACGGGTCATTTTGCGACGATTGTGATGGTGGTGACGATGCAGGTCTTGCCAAACTGCAACAGCCCGTCGTACCAGATGAGCTTATGAACGCGAACTGTCGAACCAGAGAGTTGGATCTGGTTCTTTGCTCTTTCTCTTCTGATTCAGCCTTGCGGCTTGTGTCGCGGCGATCCGGAATCTAGGCAGTAACGAGCGAGAAAAATATGGACGACGCAACAGCAATCTCCGTTTGGTATCCCAAGGAAACGACTGGTCGAGGGATTGCCAAGGGGCAAGCAGACGGAGATGTCAAGCGCGGTAGCGAAGCCAAAGCGTGCCCGAGAAGCGAGTGAATCGAAGCAAGCAGAAAGATATTAGATAGGGTGATGTAACAACAAAACGAAAGCAATGTTCGCACGCACGACGCCGCGAGATAACGGGCCAAGGCGATCACCTGTTCTCAACGAAGGACAGATGGTTGGAAGAGGGGAGCAGGCCAGCAAAAGCAGGAAAGGCGATGGAGAAAAAGCGCGAAAGGGTTGGCGCCCCCTGCACCGTTCGCTGGGGGTGGACTCGGTGGAGGCTGTGCTAAGAAAAGAAGAAGGGAGCAGCTTGGCCGCTAATCCCGCACACGGCTCGATTCTATCACCGAAACGGACGGGCGGGCGAGGGCTACAGCGCCAGGATTGGTGCGTAGCTTTTGAGCTGGCGTTTTTCGATGATGGTCTGCAGGTTCATCGTTCAGACCTGCTCGAACTGCTTGCATGCTCGTTCAACGCCCTTGGTGGCGCTACCGACGTGCAACGTGATCGTCTCTCCCACAGAGCGTCATTCCAGACGGGCTTTGGTGTGGCCGTGTGTCGAACGCCACTAAGCTTCACGCCAGACGTTCATGTTGCAGCCGTTCCGTCGTCTTCGATGTCATGCCATCCATACACGGGAGACCGCAGGGCACGAAATTGGCCCACCCTTGACCAAAAATCTCCTTGCGCATCCGGATCCTTGACCACCGCCGTTTCCCCACAGCGCCTCTTCATTTTGGAGCGTGCTTCAATAATCCGTTTTCTCTCACCAGCTTTGACGACGACTCAACAGCTGTAGCTCGTTGTTTCTCATGATTTCCATCTCCAGAGCCGTCGATTCTCCAGATTCGATGTGCGAAAAGCCGGCATTCAGGGACCATGGCACGACAATGAATACCCCTGACGTGGATCAATTTGATGAGGGCATTTGTCATAGAATGAGAGGCTTTTTATTTCTATGAACATCCTTATCCTTCTACATCCAGTGGGCTCCTTGGGGTAGCGTACACTTCCGCACTTAAATATTCGCGAGACCCCCATGCGCAAAGCAGGGTCTAGGTTGTAAAACACAAGCCGAGATAGTTGTAAACGAAAAAAAAGGTGAATGGTCTCGTGAGATGGGATATCGTGAACCACTCGACACGGTCTGGTACCCTTTGCACTTCTCGTCGACGTTGTTCTTTTCAGAGTCGTTGATAGGCAATTATGACACCAGAGTGCACTGATTCGTCTGTGAGCTAGTCTTCGCCTTCCTCAAACTCCGTCAAGCATGGAGAAATACGGATGGTCTTGCTGAATGAGAAAGCTTAATCATGGAGGTTGACCTATGCGGCTCTTCGTTACGATGCGTTTGCGACATTGCTGAGCTTGACTAAGGTGATCATAAAATCTACAGCGAAGCACACCGGATGATCGGGTTATGAACGTCCCTCTGGTGATCCAAACAAGACGCAAAGAGGATTTAATATTCATCGCCATGCGTTCCACCGCATTCCACAGGCCAAACGCCTTGTGTGAAGATGTTTTTGGCGCCTCTTCGACCACGGCCTTTTTTCGTTGAAGGCTCTCCGATACCTTTAGCTCTCAGATGCGACATCATCATGGTGAACAATCCATTCTTAGTCCATGACTAGTCATATCAGCATGGGAGGGCATATCGTGGTCGAGTTAACTTAGCCGTTCGACTGCCTACGTAGCATAATCGTCGCTTTCAGACGTCGCATCTAAACCGTAAGAAGATACAGTAGACTTTCAGCATACGGAGTACAGAGATGTACCAACATGAATTACGACTTCGTGTGCCATTGTCGCTTGTCAAGCTTGTCAGTATTGTGATCACCGGAACTCCTTTGAAGACCCCACAGCAGAATCACATGGAGGTGACGCATAGATCGCCAGCGACCTCGAATCTCGTGTTTCATGTACAGTTATTGGGATCTGAAGCCGTGCCTTTTATGCGAAACTTTGGGATGCGCAAACAACACGCTAAGCCTAAAATTAGTGAAGAGCGGCTCTTCCCGACGTGGCGCAGCACTTCCCTCCCCTTTCGATTCCCCAGGGCTGAGCTGGTGGCCGCGCAATCCAGAGCAGGCGCTTTAAAAGTCGAAAGCGGCCTCTCTGCTGTTTCTCTGCTGCAAGTCTACCGCTCATAGTCTGAAAGAAGCACAACAATGGCTCCGCTCGCTGACACCAAGACTGTTGAGCTCGTCGCCAGGGCAACAGAACAGCTCTCGCGTCGCAACCTGAGCGTGAACAGCACGCAAGCCGTGACGTTGGGGATCATTGCAGTGTACGTGGTCGTCATCGCTCTCTTGTGGAACATCCCCGTCGTGAGAAACGTTTTGTGGCCTTTCAAGGTAAGTTAGAGCACACGTTGCGCCTCTTCAAAGTACCGCAATGCTGACACGCGAATTTCAGATGTTGACCATTGCTTTCCATGAGTTCGGTCATGCGTTCGCGGCGGTCCTGACGGGCGGCAAAGTCGAAAGCATTTCGCTCGATCCAAACGAAGGTGGAGTCACCCATATGCGCGGCGGAAAGCAGGCTATCACTTTGCCCGCCGGCTACCTTGGATCATCCATCATCGGAGCTCTGCTAATCTTTTGCGGCTTCGACATCGTCGCTTCAAAAGTTGCCAGCATCGCTCTTGGCGTTTGCTTTCTACTTACCCTATGGTGGGCACGAGTATGTGAGCTTGTTAGAGCGGCACCATGAATGCGTACTAACTATTCGCTAGCGAGATTGGCTTACGATTGTGACGATTCTACTTGCCGTGGGCTTGCTCGTGGCTTGCTGGTTCATCAAACATGCTGAACCTCTTCGCTTCGTCGTTCTGTTCATTGGTGTCATGAGCAGCTTGTACTCGGTCTGGGATATTTGCGACGATCTTATCCTCCGCAAGGTCAACAGCTCAGATGCCAGCGTCTTCGCGAAGCGATACGGCGGCTCTTCGCGATGCTGGGGTGTTATCTGGAGCTTTATCTCCGTCTTTTTTATGGTAATCGCCATCATCGCCGGCATCGCGGCCTTTCATCAAACTTGGGCGCAACAGGAAAAGGATTCGAAAGGGTTTATTCCAACGCGTTAAAGGACAGTGATGAGGAAAGATAGCAGCATCGGCTATTTTCGTCAATACCGGATCACTTTCGGAACGTTGTGAACGCACTTCAAATAGTTCACTCCTCTAGGATCGACATGCTAAAGTACAAAAAAGCTTTTCATGTGGTCAAACAACAGAGCTATCTATGCCCTTTTCGCTTTGGCATCACCAATCAGGTACCTCGCCAATGAGATCGAGGCGATTTTTTTAATCGGGAACCTTGGTTCAAGTCATGTGGCCTACGAAACAAATGAGCGAGTATGAAAGGCATGTATAGTTCTACGATCATTGGTACATGTTGTGCCATGTTTACGATAATTGCCGGCATTGTGTCTCGAGGGCTAGTAGCTGGGGAAAGCTTTCTTCTAAGCGGCGAGTCTCATCTATTGCAGCTTAGCCTTGGAGGGATTGATTTGAATCAAGTCGATTGTGGCCTATCCCAGACATCTTGATTAACAGTCGAGCTCCGACGTAGAAGTGGAGGGGTCAAGCGTGGGTTTTTGCAAACCATAACCGGGAGTACGTTCACAGGTTGCCCAGAAATAGAAGCCGTCAAATTTCTTGTCTGTGTCGTTTAGACTGCCATTTTATGATGTCTCTGAAAGCCTCATAATGTCGTTCTTACCTGAGGATTTCATCTCATCAAATTTACTTGACTGGAACGTCGCCCAGTTGTTGCTTTCCCAGTGCGCTCACACCATTCGAACAAGGGATACTCAGTGCACATTGTTCCTATTTCGTTGTGCGAACTTGACGTTGATTTTGTTCGAGGCGACGCCCGTTTTGTGCGCAGGAGGCAATCATCTTGTCGGACTTACTGGTCTGCAAAACGTTGAGATAGATATTCTTCACAACCTGGAACAAAACTCTTATCGCACAAAGTGTGCAGACCAAGGGGGGTTGCTTAAAGAGCCAGAGGTCGAAACGCGACACAACGGTTTAAGTTTGTACATGCAGCCTCCCAGGTCAGAGTGCCTCTTGTCGCGCAACACGCGCAGGTGATGTTTATTTTTTTCGCTGGCTGATGCTTGAGTTAAGTGATTTCATAACCCCACATCACTTCTTCTCCAGTCAGCAAGCCAAGCCGTATGGTCGACTACAACAATTTTTTAGCTGTGTATCCGATGTTTTATCGCGTTACGTGCTGTCAGCCGACTGACTGCCCAGCGGGTCAATTTGTAGGATGATGTAAGCCTCGACGTGATACCGTATCAAGGCAACGTTCAATGACACAAGATGATCCATTTGGATTAGCACCAAGCAGGCCACCTGTGCAATGCAGTGCCATATATACAGCGAATGCTGATCGGTGAAAGTTCAAGCACGATGAAGAGCATACCGCAGAAGATTGAAGGCTTCTGAGTGTGGCAGGAAGCTCTCTTCGCAGACAACTGCGGTAAAGAAGACGCAGGGTTGCCAAGCAGGTCCCAAGCGGTGAAGCACAGGAGAATGACGATTCTCAGCCTGATGCTCCTGGAGACGGACATGCGAACAGCTGACTGGCGACGGAACATTATGATCGGAACAAGGTTCAAGCAGTCCACCAGCAACAGTCCACATTCTGTACCCATGCTAGACGCAAGCACAGATTCAGCAAGCGGCAAGCCTTGGTCGCCTTTTCTGTTCTTCGTACGACATGTAGCTGACACGTTCGAGCCCGGCGTCGGAGTTGAACGGGGCCGAGATCTGCTACTGTAGACTGGAACGCTGGGCGGGCAGGACTTCACCACGGTCATCAAAAAGGCCACAGGCTCTAGGTTTGATGTCGCAACCTTGTGGCCCCGACGGCGCATCTCTGCTGCCGTGTGAAAGCTTCGCAGCCCAAAAACGAGAGGGGGGAGAGAAGTACAGCGCGAGGTGGAAATGCCAGCCCAGCAGTGGCTTTCTGCGAGTTGGTTGACCGTTACGCAGCTCGTAGCCGTCTCCCCAACGGCAAGAGGCCCAGACAGATCGGCCTCGGGAGTGTCCTACGCAAAAAAGAACGGAGTGTCAGGGCTAAAAATATAAGCACTATCTGCGCATGGCCTCATTGGCTTGCTGCACGCCAAACGCACCCGCTGGCCTGCTAATGATGCCAACTCTCTCGGGGCCCCATTTTCGCTCTTGGAACTAGGAGCAGCAGCGCTGGGAAAACGTACAAGAGTGGAGCCCAGCTGACTTTTCGCGAGTGAATGCATTTCGATAACTTTTCCGAAGTCTTCGACGTACATTCGAGCAGTGGTAGGATGTCGTTGTCCTCTGTAAGCTTTGGCGCAGGCACCGAGTTTCCCGGCGTTGCTCTTGTGACCGGTGCCGCCGGCAGCGGTGAGCAGACTGAAAAGAACCAAACCCGCCCTCCTTTGCGGATGATCACGGTGCGCTAACGAGATGAACGATCGTCAGGCATTGGCGCCGCTGTTGCGAAGGCCTTCGTCAACGCAGGATGCAAGTGTCTTGCCATCACGGACATCAACAAGGAAAAGCTTGAGCGCACCCGAGAAGAGCTCATCCAGCTCAACGGCGACGTCGTCGTCCTCACCGCGGCCGGCGATGTCGCCGACGAGCGCTTCGTCAACGCCTTTGTCAACTCGGTCGTCGCTGAGACCGGGAGGATAGACTACGCCGTATGTTCTCTCGCACTGATCCGCTCTGCGTCTAGACTTCTCGAGAGGTCGCTGCTCACGCGAACAAAATTTCCCCACAGGTCAACTGCGCCGGCATCCTGGGCAACAACCAGTCGTCGACCAACACCTCGCTGCCCGAGTTCGACCGCATCAACGACATCAACTACCGTGGAATGTGGCTCTGCTCTCGCGCGGAGCTGCGGGCGATGCTCAACCAAGAGCCCTTGCCGGATCCGTTTGCGGACCCGAGGAGACCCCCGACCAGGGCGGCGATCGTGAACATCGCCAGCCAGCTGGGTATCGTCGGACGACCCCGCTGCAGTATGTTTTAAAAAAAAAACTGGCTTATGCTGACACGTGCAGTCCGAGCGGTGCTCTTGGACACTAACGTCGCCACAGCTGCTTATTCGGCAAGCAAAGCCGCCGTCATAGCCATGACGCGAGGAGACGCAATCGACTATGCGGAGCACGGCATTCGCATCAATTGCATATGCCCTGGCATTATCGACACGCCAATGACCACCAGCGACCCTCGAGTGGCCAATATGCTACGAGCGAGCGTTTCCATTGCGCCCATGAACCGAATGGGCAGGCCGGAGGAGGTGGCCGACGCGGCCCTGTTCTTGTGTTCGCAGAAAGCGAGTTTTATCCAAGGAACTAGTCTGGTTGTCGATGGTGGCTACGTGCTTAATTGATGTGTTGGAGATGTAATTACGCATGAATTGGAGTTGGCGTGTAGCTTGGGCGCAAGATACGCTCTATCTAGTGTACAAACTTGGCGACTTTTTGGCAGACTTTAACGGAAGACGAGTCTAAATATATGAAATTGATACAAGATCTCTTAGACGCCCCGCTATGCTTGTATGAAACCCGCGTCTTGCAGCATGAACTTTTCAATGACAAAAAAAAAATGTGAGGGTGGAGGGAGGGAAGAGACGAAAGGGAAACGCAGGAGCCACATATCCGCTACAAAGCCTTTACGTATGCTCTAAACTCTGTAACGTCACTAGTTCTGCATATCGCCCTTTCTTCGCCAACAATTCATGGTGGCTGCCCTGCTCTACAATGCGACCTTGGTCAAACACGTAGATAATGTCCGCCTTCTGAATTGTGGACAACCTATGTGCAACAGCGATAGTGGTCCGTCCTTTGGCCGCCGCGTCCAACGCAGCCTGAACCACCTTTTCAGACTCTGAGTCTAGAGCAGAGGTTGCCTCGTCGAGGAGCAGGATCTTTGGATTTCTAAGCAGGGCCCGTGCGATCGCAATGCGTTGCTTCTGACCACCGGAAAGGAGTGTGCCCTTGCTGCCAGCTACCGTTGCAAAACCATCTCTGAAAAAAAAAAAAACGTCAGACTTGTTTCACGAAAGATTATATCTGTTAACTTACGGCAAGGACATAATGAAATCATAAATATTGGCCTCCTTGCAGGCCTTTTCAATTTCTTCGTCTGTGACATCATCCCGGTCGGCACCCATAAGAATATTCTCGCGAATGGTTCCTTGATAAAGAGTTGGCTCTTGGCTCACAAGTGCCAGATGGCTGCGATATTGGTTGAGATGTAAGTTGCTGATGTTTTTACCATCGACGTAAATGCCACCGACCACTGGGTCGTAGAAGCGCTCGAGAAGGGAAATAGTCGTGGATTTGCCGCAGCCACTGGCACCGACAAGTGCAACATACTGTCCAGGCTTGACGGTCAAGTCTAATCCCCGAAGGACCGGCTGCTCCGGGCGCGTAGGGTATCTGAAGTGAACGTCTCGGAACTCAATGTAGCCCTCAACATTATCGATTTTCTCTCCTTCCTCGGACCAAGAGTCGATGGCTGGCTTGCGATCGAATAAGGTTTTAAGCTCTTGCGCAGCTTGCTTTGCCTTACCCATATCTGGAGCGAAGGAGAAGATCGTGCCTGCGGACTGGGCACCAAAGATAATGGACGAGAAGCATACGAAGAACTGGAACATTGTGTACTCGCGCTTTGCAATCAGCGTACCGCCGTACCAAAACCCGAGGGCGATGCACAGGAAGACGAATGACTGCGAAGAAGCGTAAAGCGTCGACGACTTGGCGACGGAGATGGTGCTGGCTCTAGTCTGATCAACAAGCTGCTGGTGGTACTTTTCCCACACATCTTGTTCGCGAGCGAGAGAGGCAACAGTGCGAATAGCTGATGTGGCTTCGCAGGCAAAACCTGCGGAGTGTTCGTATGCTTTCTTCGAGCGAGCTTGAAAGCGAGCAAGCATCCAGAAACGCAAGAAACCGCAGCCGAGAAGAACTGGGAGGGTAGCCGTGCATACCAAAGCGAGCTTCCAGCCAATGGATATCGACACGACCAACGCGGCAACGAGGGTGGTAGAGACTTGTACGATGGTACCGAGCGTCTGACCGCTCAATCCAGCCAAATGTGTGACGGAAGTGGAAAGGAAAGACGTTAATGCGCCTGCGTTATTCTCGTCTTTGTCGAAGAATGCAATGTCTTGTCGCAGCATGGTTCGGAAGGCTTGATCTCGGGCTCGATGGATAAGGCGCTCCGAGCAGAAACCGAAGGCCCATCCTAAGCCAGCCAGAGAGAGGAATTGCGTGCCAGCAAGCATGAGGTACATCCCGGCCCAGAAATTGATTTGACTGCGAAGTTCGTGATGATCCGGAAGAGAGAGAGCCGTGATGGCTTTGGCAAAGAAGATGGCTTGGGTGGGATTGCCTCCACCAGCAACGACTGAGCAGAGGAAACCAAAAGCCATCATTGGCCAATCGTTCCTGTTGAAGCTCCATACAAGGCCCATCAACTTCCAAAGAGAGTAGATCTTTTCTTTCTCTTCCTTCCTCTTTGCAAGCTCTACACTCGCGGCGGACTTGCCAGATTGTAATCGCTGCAGCTTCTCCTTTGGCTGAGTACGCTGGCTGTCCGTTGATCTGACACGCGAAAGCTTCCCGCTGCCCGACGAAACAATCCTCTTCAAAGTTGACATGGTTTCGTGGTCTTCGCCATTCTCAGATGAAGATTGATCCAACTTGGCCTCTGAATCCTTCGCAATCGCCATATCCTCGTCGCTGGTGTCCTCATCGTCATTTTGTTGTTCAGCAGCAATACGTTGTGCCTCGACAAGATTGAAATATGCACCACGTCGATCAAGAAGTTCGTCGTGCTTGCCCTGCTCGACAAGCTTCCCTTGCTGCATGACTACGATGTTATCTGCGTTCTTGATGGTTGAAAGACGGTGAGCGATAACGATTGTCGTCCGACCTTCCGCTGCACGGTCAAGAGCAGCTTGCACAACACCTTCGCTTTTTGTGTCCAAAGCCGAGGTAGCTTCGTCCAGGAGAAGGATCTTAGGATCGCTCACGATGGCTCTGGCGATGGCAATTCGTTGCTTTTGACCTCCAGACAGTAAGAAACCGCGCTCGCCCACATTTGTCTCATAGCCTTCCGGTAAGGTGCTGATGAAATCATGGGCATTTGCCATCTTGGCCGCGTTTTCAATCATTTCGCGCGCCTTTTCTGCATCCAAGTTCTCAAACTTAGTTCCAAGAAGGCCGTAGCGGATGTTCTCGTAGATGGTTGTCGAAAACAAAACAGGCTCCTGTTGCACCAGGGAAACGTTCTGTCTGAGCCAACTCAGGTTCAAAGTCTTGAGGTCCCTGCCGTCAAGCAGAATCTCGCCCCCGACCGGATCGTAGAAACGCTCTACGAGGCCAACGATTGTTGACTTTCCGGAACCGGAAGCACCCACCAAGGCAGTTTGCTTGCCAGCTGGAATGTGAAGGCTGACACCATCCATGACGACGACTTCCGGTCTCGAAGGATAGATCATCTTGATATTGCGCAATTCGATCGTGCCTTCGATGCTCGCTGGCTTCTCACCAGACTCATCATAGGGATCCATTGGTGATTTGCGGTCAATAGCAGCAAAGATCTTTTGTCCGGCCGCAGTTCCAGCGGTGAATGCCTTCATGTTCGGCGCAACATTGCCCATAGAAAATGCACCAATCATGACGGCGAACAAGACAGTCAACACGTCAGATACGCTCATTTCGCCCCGCACAAGGAAGCGTGAGCCTTGCCAGAAGGACAGAGCGTAATTCAGGTAGACCAAGGTCATCATGATCGCAATCATAACGCCGAGGGTTGCCTGAAGTCTCTTGGCGTAATTCTCTGCCTGTTGAAGATGCTTATCGTACTGCCTGGCAAGCTTCTCTTGCGTGTTGAACGCCGTTGCGTTCCGTACCGAACTTATGACCTCCTCAGCCACACTGCCTCCTTTTGCGTATTCAGCCTGTGAAAGGGCTGTCCACTTGATGATAAAGGTGGAGCCGCCAGCCATAGTGAAAACTATCGAGAAAACAATGGACATCAGAATTAAGGTCAGTTTCCAGTACTTAACAAAGGCGATCACAAAGGCGGCGATGAAGGTAGCGAAAGCGTTCAAAGTCAAGCCAAACTTCTCGGATATGCCGTCTTGTATTAGGTTTGTGTCGGCGGTGATGCGCGTCGTGATCTCGCCGGCGCCAAGCTTGTCGAAAAAAGCTATGTTTTGACTGAGCATGGCTTTCAGATATCGCTCCCTGATCTTCTGCGTGCAGTGCTCGCCGACGTAGATGAAGCCGAGGGTGGCAATGTACGTGGTAACCCATTCCCCGATCGCCAGATAAACGAAATAGAGGACAAGGTGCGACAATTCGCCGACGAATTCATTGTACGTGCTTTTCCCGTTGAAGTAGTTTGAGAAGAGACCGGTAAGGTTGCCGAAGACGACGGTCATGAGAGGCATTGCAGCGCCTGCTGCGATTGTGCATACGCAACTGATGGCCCATATTGTCCAGTCCGTCCGCGTGGCGTATCTGTACAGTGTGAAGAATCCCACCTTGACGTCCGGTATGTCGACCTGTCGGCGCAAAATCTCGGCCTCATGCTCAGGCAGGTGCTTGAACGGATCCTTGTCGTCTGAGTTGCCGACTTGTACCACTTTTGAGTCGAGCTTGTTCAAGTCCGCATTCGCGGGTTGGTCCTGGGGACCAGGTGGTTGTACAGGAAGTGCGGCCTGCCCCTCCGCTGCACGTATGGCCTCCTTCTCTTCTGCGAGCGCAGGCTCGCTTGCCGAAGGCGAATTTCGCCTGCCTGGCAGCAACGACTTGACGGACAAGCGCGATCCGCGCTTGTCATCCTGCCCAGGCATCCTTTTCCGCGCGAATGCTGCGGGTTTCAGGGCTTCCTATGCCTAGTTCGCCAGATAGAGAATCCGTGTGATGTTTTTTCTCGGGTGGGTCGCGAACCGTGTAGCCGATGTGAGCAGGTGTAGAGATCAACTATGAGCCAAACATTAGAACACAGATGGGAAGAAAGCCAGGGAACCAGGCGAAGGAATCAGAACGGTGGCATGACGGGCTGAAATAAGTATTAGGCAGAAGGAAAGAACGGACAGAAGAGGAAGATAGCTGGTGGCGTCATGTAGGGTACATCGCAAGTTGTACTCTTTGGCTCGCATTCACCGTTTAGGACGACCCGGGGAGCGGGATGATGGGCAGCACATAGCACAAGTACAGCAGTGCATAACATCTCGGCCCTTTGCTTCTCCGCGTGCGCTAGCACTGCTTTTGGCAGGACAGCACTCGCTTAGCTTGTCGATTGGGGCCTGGTGTACGAGGTTGCGGGGCGTGTTTGCGACTCTACCTTGGCTAGGGGGAGTCGTGCAACCTTCGGCGCCGAGCAGCGTCGGTAGTCAACAGGGTTCACCGTATCGCCTCGCACTGTTGCCGCTCGACATGAAAGAATGCGAGCGAGTAGGAAGTGCGTCGGCTGCTGCTTGGACGGGCCTAAGCGCCGTCGAAGCGGAATCGCTCAGTGCTCAACCCTTGCGCACGCGCGGGACGACTGTGGCCTCAATCTCGGTTGTGGGCTGTGGACGTCGAACAGCTCTCAAACCCCGGTGCCGTTTAACGCGTGGCCACGACGGCGAACGTGTGGCCGTTCTTGTTCATCCTTTTGCGTGTCTCATCAGCAGGTGACGTCGTAGACCCGAGAATTAAAGTGTCTGTGTCACTCGCATCTTAGCTATGTGTCCGTGTACGGAGATGCTGCCGAAGGTGTCTATCTTTCTCTTCTGTTGGACCGCAGATCTAAAGTGAAGTCCGAAAATAACCTGGCGTGTTCTTCAGCAACAGGTAAAGACGGCGTCGAACATGGATCCGCAATCCAACCGGCCTTTTGCTTCGGCTTCCCAACCGGGGCATCGAGGATACTTTTTTTTTTTGGTAGGTTTGCAAAATGCGGAACCAACCTTTCCAAACGCCTAAATCGACGCTTCTGTCATTGTCTTTTTGAATGGCGGAACCGAGGAGGCCTGTGAGTAGTCTCTGAGCGTCAATCTTTGATCCATTCGATACATGCATGGCCGCGAATGCTTTGCAAGCCACCAACCGTCAGGCTCATCTCTATCGTCGATGCGTCTTTGCTGCGTTCAAGTTGGACGACTGACTCACCATAGCAGTACGGCAGAAAAGAAGACCCGAAGGGGTTGTCAAATAAACAATGTTTCTGGATGTTAGACTTTTTGCAGATCCCCCCCTTTCTTTGATAGCCTCGCTTGTATAAGGTAAGCTGGTTGTGCTCTGGTTGACGATACAAGACTAGGAAGCAGCACTCCGGTCTCTCCTGCGTCTCACTCACTTTTGAGACTACCAGCGGGGCAAATACATTTGATAATATTTGAAAAAGACTCCTCTTTGACCGTGACGTCTCCATTTCATCGTGACCATGCTTGTATAGCTTCTACACAAGCAGCGCCGTCACCATACAGAGGATCCAAACTGTGACACGTTACTGTTCAACACCTGGAACGAATGGAACGAACTATCTCTCGATGGAAACACATTTGGCGAATAATTGCTTCACGGTAGACGCGTAGAAATGTTCTCTTTTTATTATTAGTCTACTATTTTTATTGTTATTTTATTTTATTTTACTTTTTTTTTTCTAATTTTGAAGGCTCCCCATTTAGCTGCACGTAGTCAATGTTTCGGGAGGCAGAAGGCAAAAGGAAAATGATGAAAAACTGCTCAGCAGGCGCTGCTGCTGCGATCTTGGGATTCAAACTATCGATCGCATTTTCAGCGTGGCCAAACAGGTGTGGCTGGCGGACGACGTGTTACAGGTCCCACACGATTGGTGCACAAAGGGTATGAGCCGAGTGATTGCAGACAGGTTTTCGATCTAAAGCTGCAGCACATGGAAGCTTGCGACGCACTTCAGCATCGACACAGCTCGGCGAACGTTCGAACACCTTTCCCGTGAGGTGAAGATGCCGGATCACCGCCATGATCTCAAAGCATGCCTTGCCATGTCAACCAGCCAAGGCCAGGGCTGGAAAGGTCACTACGAAACAGGCTTTGCTGCTTGTGTCCAGCGACTCTCAGAGGAACGAGAGAAGGACGTCGGCCACGTGGACGGCTGACTGTCATGTCTGTCAAGAGCGCATGCGAGACTTTCTGGCAAGGGCAGAGGACGAAAAATGTCCAGCAAACGTCTTATGTGCGGGACGGGCAAGCTGTTTGGCGATCGAGCCGGTGCCAATGACGACAGCTGGCCGGGGGCACCAGCAATGCAGGCGGGAGGAGGTCGGATGGAGGTGATTTGATGAGGAGCAGCACGCTATCTTCGAAGTCAGCCCGTGTCATGGCAATGGCCGGCGAGAAAACCACCAGCAGAGGCGAGGGCTCGTCTTGCAGTGTGCATCAAAGGAAGAAGCTTCCAGCAGAGGCTGTCTCTCGTCGGGTTTCGGCTCTTGAAGCGGCGGGCACGCTTGTGGTGTACGGACGCACTGTGACGCACGAAACAAAATGACAGCATTCAACTTACGACAACCAAGAGCGTTCCGGGTGCAAATGATGCACAGCCACAGCGGAGGGCGACGATGCTTGCCTGATCCGGACCAGCCACGGCGCCAGAGCTGCCGGTCCTGTACAGTAGTGTCGCGCTGGCTTCCGCTTGCTTTCGCTGGTTTGCGCGCCCGCATCGTCTTCAGTAGCACCAGCAGCTGCAGTGACTTAGTCGTGGCTTTCCTGCCCGGCCCTGTCGTGGACCTGGCGCCCTTCCTGCTCGATCACCGAACCAAAGCCCGCTGAGGTAGCTCCGTCACCACTAGCACTGGTGGTTCGAAGCTGGAGAGCCCAAAACACGACCTTCACCACCGCCCAGCTCTCTTTTCCTTTCTCTCTCACCCCTTCCACTCATTCTTCATCGCAAACACGCCCTCCACGACGTTCAATTCCGATTCTTTTCTTTTCTTCTGCATTGACTTTGCTGCATTGCTACCCTGCTCGGCTGAGTGGGTCAACAACTCACCACCATGGCGACGACCGACGGTCGCGAGGGCGAGCTCAAGACTCAGGGCCTAGTGGAGGCGTCGCAGGATCCCGATTCCAATGTCACCTCCCAAGATGTGGAGAAGAAGATTCTGGAGGAGTCGAAGAAGGCAGGCGTGCCCGCATTTCACTTCAACCCCGACGCTTCGGCCGAGGACAAGAGGGCTCAGCTTCGTGAGGTACGTCCGTCCATTCTTACCTGTCCACGACAGCCTGAAAGCAGGTGTTAACTGCTGCGCGCTCCAGGCTACGGCCAACATTAGGCCACACAGAGAGCACAAGGCTGCGACACTGGTATCTGACGTCGATGACGGCCAGCCGTCTGCCTACTCAAATGATCTCCCTCCACCTTCGAAAGCCGGCGCGATCAGTCCTGTCGAAGTTGCCAAGCAAGACAACGCCGCGAATGGAGATTCCATAGGTCCAGGCGGTTTCGACTATAGCCGCGTAGGTTGGGCGCCTCGCTTCGGCCTTCCCGTCCCAGAAGGCGTTGATATGGACACGTTGATGACAGACCAGTCAACATGGCTGGAAGAGCGATTGCAGGACAAATTCTTTGGTGATTGGTACCACAATACTGCTGTGATTTTCTTCTGCGCCTTTTCGTCTTACACGGTTGCCATTCTGGGCGGTGGCTTGGGATGGCTGTTTATCATCCTCGCGGTGTGCGCTACCTACTATCGCACTTCGATTCGTAGAGTGCGTCGTAGACACCGCGATGACATCAACCGCGCCATGCAAAAGGCCCGTCTGGAGACCGACACGGAGTCGCTCGAGTGGATGAACAGCTTTTTGGTGAAGTTTTGGCCTATTATCCAGCCGATGATTGGAGAGACCATCATCACGACTGTGGATCACGTCTTGTCGGAGAACAAGCCACCGTTCCTCGAGGATCTCAAGTTACGAGACTTCACGCTCGGCACTAAACCGCCGCGCATGGAACACGTCAAGACGTACCCGAAAACGGAGGAAGACGTTGTGCTCCAAGATTGGAAATTCAGCTTCACACCCAATGACACGGCAGATATGACGGCCCGCCAATTAAAGGTTAAGATCAACCCGAAGATTGTCCTCGAGGTTCGTATTGGCAAGGGTATGGTCAGTAAAGGCTTAGACGTTATTGTGCAAGACATGGAATGCACTGGTATTATGCGGGTCAAGATCAAGCTACAGCTCGGCTACCCGTTCGTCGATCGTGTCGAGGTTTGTTTCTTGGAGAGGCCGCATTTCGACTACGTCTGCAAACCACTGGGCGGTGATACATTCGGTTTTGATATCAACTTCATTCCAGGTTTGGAAAGCTTCATCCAGGAGCAGATTCACGCCACTCTTGGACCCATGATGTACAACCCGCACGTGTTCCCGATTGAAGTCGCGAAGATGTTGGCTGGCAGCCCGGTCGATCAGGCTATCGGTGTCCTCCAAATCCATTTCCACGGTGCCCAGGGCCTAAGAAACCCCGACCCGCTTGCTGGTACGCCTGATCCTTATGCAACCGTTCAAATTTCCGGCCGACAGGAGCTCGCCAGGACAAAGACCATTTCGGGCAACGCCAACCCACGATGGAACGAGACCGTCAACGTTGTGATTTCTTCGCTCAAGGATGACCTCAACCTCAAAGTTTTCGACTACAACGAATTCCGCAAGGACAAGGAGCTTGGTGAAGCTATCTTCCCCTTGGACAAGTTCGAGACGGAGAGCGAGTATGAGAACGAAGCTCTTCCTCTCATGGTCAGTGGCCGCGCACGGGGGCAAATTCAGGTTGATCTCCGCTTCTTCCCTGTCTTGGAAGGCACCAAAACTGCGGACGGCAAGCAGGAGCCCCCGCCAGAGTCTCTCACTGGCATCTGCAAGTTTACGGTTGAGCAGGCAAAGGAGCTGGATGCATCAAAGAGCACTATTGGCCAACTCAATCCATACGCCGTACTTCTGCTTAACGGCAAAGAAGTTCACATTTCAAAGAAGCTCAAACGCACAAACAATCCTATTTGGTCGGATGCTTCCAAGGAGATGCTCATCACGAATCGCAAGACTGCTAAACTGGGCCTGGTCATCAAGGATGATAGAGAACTTGCCACCGATCCCGTGATTGGCACATACCAAATCAAACTGGATGATTTACTTGATCTGACGTCAAAAGGATCCGATTGGTTCCGTTTAGCTGGTGTTAAGACTGGTAGAGTCAAACTGTCCGTTCAGTGGCGACCGGTTGCCCTACGCGGCGCCATTGCTGGCTCTGGCTACGTTGATCCCATTGGTGTTATGCGTCTGTACTTTAAAAACGCGAGGGATCTTCGAAACGTTGAGACGGTTGGTAAATCAGACCCATATGCACGCGTGCTCCTTTCCGGTGTTCCAAAGGGCAGAACTGTCACCTGGAAGAACAATCTCAACCCGGATTGGGACGAAGTCATTTATGTTCCTGTGCATTCCGAGCGCGAAAAACTCACAGTGGAGGTCATGGATGAGGAGAACGTGGGCAAAGACCGCTCTCTCGGCCAATTTGACATTCCCCTAACGGAGTACATCTCGAAGGACGCCGATGGCATGTACGAAGTCAACCACACTAATGAGAACATAGCTCAACCGCTCCTTTCTGGAACCGGTCGCTTCGTCAAGGGCACCGTCAACTTCACCTGCTCATTCTTCCCGACGATCCCCACTATCAATCCAGAAGAGGAAGAGGCCGAACAGAAGGAGCAGTCATCTATCAACGGCGATGTTGCACCTCTCACGCCCAGCAAGGCAAGCTTCGAATCTGCACGCAAGAGTATTGAAAACACTCCTGGCAAGATAAGTGGCTTGAGTGTCCGAGACAGAAGCGACACCAGTGCAACCGTAGCTTCCGAAAATACAACCAATTCAAAGGCTCCATCCGACCTCGCGAAGAAGCTGACAGATGGCGAGGCGGAACAGAGCGAGACAGCCAGCGTGAAACAAGTCGTCCCGAAGTTGAGGTTGACCGAGGAGAATTTATTGGAATACGGTCGGTTCTCATGGTGGCATAAAGATGATCCCAGTGAGTTCTTAAAGATATATGAGTGAATGCGCCGACAATGGATTGTTGGCACAAAGCATTATTTTATCATATTTTTAAGAACATATCTGTGACCGTCATTCTTTGTGATGGACAGACTGCTAACGATGTGTAGAATCTGGATTGCTTATTTTCAAGCTTATCTCGGCTGAGCTCTCTCGAACCAATGTTCATTTGGAAGTGCTTATGGACGACTATGTCTTCCCAGCCTACTCCAGCCATAAGGTCAAGACCAAACACTACGAGTTCAACGAGGGTCAGTATCATCTTTTTTACAAAGTTTGGAAATGCTTCTAATGCGTTTCGTAGTTGGTGATGCCATTGTTCGCGAGCTTGATCAGTCCAGAATCACCCTCCGCCTGATTGAGGACGTAGATAAAGAGGGCAAGGGTGACACTCAAGTTATCGCTAAACTCACTGGGCCGACAATCAGTACTCTTCAACGGTGCCTGTACAAGCCAACTCAACTTACCCTTCGGGACAACCATGGTCAGGAAAGCAAAGTTACTGTGAGCCTGAGATACTTGCCCATCAAGATGCAGCTCGACCCAAGTGAGAGCTTTAACAACATGGGCAAACTCCGTGTTGACGTCATGGACGCTGCGGACTTGCCAGCAGCAGATCGCAATGGCTACAGCGATCCATTCTGCAAGTTCTACCTCAACGGCAAGGATGTGTACAAAACCGATAAGCAGAAGAAGACTCTGCATCCTGCTTGGAACGAGACGTTTGAGGTTCAGATCCGATCTAGGACTTCTGCTAAATTCGAATGTCATGTATTTGATTGGGACTTCGGGGATAAGGCAGATTTTCTGGGCAAGACCACGGTTCCGTTGGACATTCTTGAACCTTTCAAGCAGCAAGAAGTGTCGCTTGGCTTGGATGGGAAGTCCGGAACAGTCAGATTGCGACTTCTGTTTACGCCAGACTTCGTCCAGCGAACAAGACAGGGCTCCTCGACCTTCCATGGTACATTCGCTGCGCCAGGCAAGGTTGTTGGTGCTCCTGTCAAAGGCGTTGGTAAGGGTGTCATGGCTATTGGTGGCGGCGTTGTCAAGACTGGCTCATTCATCGGCAAAACCTTCAGGAGAAAGAGCTATCATGAGAAGGAGCTGCCAAATGTTTCCCGAAGCGGCACGGCCACACCAAATGGCGAGCTCAATGACACGCCAGTGATCTCTGTTGAGAGCCCAGATGCTACGGCTTCACCAAGCACTCCAGTCTCTGGACACAAGCGCGATAGGAGCATGGGTGCCTCGTCTGTACACAGTCTCGCCGGAGGTGCTCCTAGCGCTGAAACTGGCACTGCGAGCTTAAGTATCTTGTCTGCTAGTGGCTTCCCATCTTCAGCTAAAGTTCGTGTCGAGATTAAGCAGGAACGTCCTGGAGGTTCAAGCAAGGAGGTTCACAAAACCAAGGCTGTGAAAGCTGAGGACGGTTCCGTCAGTTGGGGTGAGGGCGAGAGCTTTAAGGTCCAATGTGCAGCAGATACGCCTTTCCATATCGAGGTCGTCGACCACAGCACCTTCGGTCGCGATGAAGAATTGGGTAAAGCCACGTTTTTCATCTCCGACCAAGGCTCGGGCAGTGAACAGACCATCACTGTCGGCGAAGGCAAGGTGGTGATCCGCAGCAGCTTCCAGGCTGCCGACGCTCAGAGCACAGCAAACAGCCCACGGAACACACTTAGGAAGAGCATGTTTGGAACCAAGAGAGACACCCGGGATCAGAGGGAGAGAAGCACTACTCCCGCATAAAAGCTTGAACGCAACACGGAATGCGTTTTGGTCTTAGAACTTTTGTTTGGCTAATGTGTTCCTTTCCTTCACTTTCGCAGAACGGCTTTGGAGATGGACGTCTCATCGTGGCCCAAACCGCCCCCGACGTCGTCTTTTGAACTGACCCAGAACGATGGACGCTTGACACCTTCACCTCCGCCACCAACAACGCATAAACGCAGCCTCAGGACATCGCATTGGTGTTATCACTAAAGAGCTGCTTACATTCGTCCTTTCTATTTCTACCCCGATCGAGATACCATTTCACTTTTCACTTTTCTTATGCTTTCTTTAGGTTCCTATGACACTTGGGGTGGTGGATACATAAAATTGGTAGGAACAGGCTTTAGGGAATACTCTTATTTTTATTTTGTGGCATGGAATCCTAGGCACGGGACTGTGTATATAACTAAAATGAGCGAGTGCGTAAATAGTCTTTCTTCAGATGAATGTGCCTATGTTGTCAATGGTTGCGAAACTTGATCAAGCCCAACCGCCAACTTAGAAAGTCACCCACGAGGTATTAAATAGGTAAAGACTATCGTTGACTACTATACGTTTCTCAAGTCTGACGTATCCAGTCGGCTTGCCTCCAACCCGTAGACTTTGTGGTTGTAATGTGGTTGTAATGTCTGGGTCATGAAGCAATTTTGTCGTGGTGCTGTTTTGAGGCTGTGCAAAAAGGCACCGTCCACAGAGACACTTTTGTCAGCTACCAAGACTTGCCCAAGACAAACTTCTGCAAGCGTATGGCGTATGCAAGACTATGCCGCGTGATTTGTCACTACACGTATCTTGTGAATGATCCTACTTCATCAACAAAGCCTCTTTGCCGCGTAGGGTCTCGCAGCAACTGAATGCAGCCTTCATAAAGGTCCAGGTACAGCAATCACGAGCAACAAGTGCGTGGTCTCCGAGCCCTTTTTCCACCATGGCGGCGGAAGGACACCTCGACTGCATGTTCGACTGCGGCCTGCATTTTTCGAGCTTAGAGTCCTTGTATCTTCATATAGAGCTCCATCACCGCGAGGACAACACGATCTCTGGTTTCGCAGTCCAAGAAGGAGCTGCATCACCTCCAGCTCAGTCTCATCAAGGCAATAGTGGGTATACCCCATTAGGATCTTTAGGGCAGCAGACATACACGTCAAACGCACATTCTACAGTATGCAAGTGTCTGGTGTTTTTTTCTTTTTGAAATATTGGCGCACGACGTTCTGACATTATTTCAGGTTCAGTCTCACCAAACGGTGACATTCTTCGACGATGTCCAAATGGAAGGGGAGCACTTGAACCAGGATCAAACGGCCGGTGAAGTTAACGAAGACTTCGTCCTATGTTCCGAAAAGGACTGCGGCGAACTTATCTTTGTAGCTGATTTGAACGATCACCTTGACCTGCATGAGGCGCAGAAGGGTAGCCTCGACGATGACACATCTTCAGTGCCACAGTCAGACGACCCGTCGTCGTCCTCGTCGTCGTCTCCCTACCCAAATGATGCTCAAATTTCGTCGCGCCATGATCATAGCAGCACCGGAAGGAAAATCAAAAGCCGTTCTGCCAAAGACGAGGAAATAAGAAGTCATATCGGCCGCAAGTTCCTACTCATGTTTGGCACTGACAGGCGTGGAAGGGATCGCGTGCCGTCAAACAAAGCACCCATATGTACGCAAAGGTTGGGAAAAGCCGAGCTTGGTGAGTCGAAATCGTGCATCGCTCGAGCATGGCCTTACCGCCATCAGATCTGGAAGCAGGCCGTGTTTCTCTAAAGCAATTGTCGCAGTTGGAGCAGCCGCTGACCGGGTTCAGGCCCACACGCGTTCGAAGATCGAATGCCCAGTTGGATGTACAGAAAACTCAAGGAGGGCCCAAAGATTACGCGAACGCGACGAATCACCCGAAACGGCGGCCTGATTACTCACGAGTCTGTTGAAGGGCAGACGAACGGAGTCTTGCCAATTCTGAGACAGTTGGTTGAACTGGATCCTGCCGTGTACATAGCCTATCTTTGCCATCCGTACGTAACACAGATTGGGAAACGGACGTGGGAAAGCGGATTTTGCGGTTTTCACAACACGCAAATGGTCATCTCGTACATCCAGAACTCAAAACATCCGGCGCACACGCTTTTCCCGGGCTTCATTCCTGGCATATTAGACATTCAGGACTGGATTGAGACCGCATGGTCTGAGGGGATCAACGAGCATGCAAAAGAGGAGTTTGGCGGCCTGCGGGGCACGCGGAAATGGATCGGTACACTCGAAGTCGACACGTTGTTCCAGTATCTGGGTATTCCGCATCAGATTCACCAGTTCCACGACACGGTAGAAGTTAACAATCAATACGCGGACCAGAACCTGTTGGATTGGGTCGAAGAGTATTTCAAAGATGCAGCTATGGATCCAAAGCAGAAGGTCCATTGCACGCTCAAGCCACCGATCTACTTCCAGCGGCCGGGCCACTCACTCACGATTGTTGGCATGGAAAGGATGCGCAACGGTACACGAAACCTACTCGTGTTCGACCCGATGTACCAAGTGCCGACTTCGATGCTGCAGCTCATCGAACGAGGCCGGGTTAAGGAGCTGAATACTAAGCTCCTTCGGTTCTACAGACGCTCGCAACTTCGTTTGCACAGTTATGCCGATTTCGAAGCAACCACGTAAGTTCTGGTCTGTGTTGAGATGTGGAGCCCGAATAACCATTAGCCAGATTGGAAGGCGAGCTGCCAGAATATCCGGCGTGGGATATAGGCCAGAAGAGAATTTCAAGTTCGCACAGGATTCTTTAGGACCTTCGCGTGCCCAGCTCGTAGCTCGGGGCATTATGCGTCGTGGGCAACGTGAGTGCCAAATTTTGATTTATCATAGCTGCTGATCGTAGCTCCCGAATATCTATTGCTGCCTAACTACCGCGAGCTTAGCTTTGCTTAGAGAGATATGAGCGAGAGGTGTTTATGTTGGACCTTCCCTAGCTCATCGGAGACTGACAGGATGCCACCTCTCACTGAATATTCCATAAACCTTATGTATGACACTGAGAACGTACGTGCAGCATGCATTTACAGGATTAAGGCAAAGGCGCGTAGATAAACAGGTTTATGACAAAGATCTAAACCCTTATGACAACCACGAAAGATACAATGCCGCGTCCTGTGTCCAAATTTTTTACGTTCCCTGCTGTGCTTGAAAACTTTCTCTCCATTGCTCACCTGCTTCCGTTGCAGCTAGTTACTGCTTTGTATGGATGGAAAGCTTGCTGATGTCTGCATGTCAAAACGTAGGCTTCGACCGTCAAATGAAGGTGTTTTAGAACCAAGGTATCGTCGTCACGCGAGCGATTGGCGGCCCAGAAAAAATTTATTGAAAATTGTGCGAGGATAGCAGAGCGCCTGTGTATCCGCTGGCAGCTCGTGGAAAGCCATGATTCGGCCTGATTGACAAGCAGTGAGCGTCTTGTAGTTCCGCTAAGTTCGGCAGGGATATGACGCTCTGATGCTGACGACGTCGGCCCATCTTGGTTGAGATTAGTCCGGAGCTAGGAGTAAACGAACGAATCTTTTCGGTAAAAAGCTGGCCCCTTCTTTTTTTTTCGCGAGTTCTCCGAAAGTTCTGGTCGTTGAACGTGTCCTGCTAGCTCTCAAGCGGTAAATCAAACGTCGTACCTGAAGGAGAGCAACGTAAACAAAACATTTCTTCTTCTCCACGACTGACCGCTCTTGACATACTTTACTCCTGGATAGAAGACACGCTGCTGCCTGTGTCGAGAGTTGAAGAACGCATCCGTGGTGGGTACGGTGGAGATTTTTTGAGTCCTGTTCCGAATGAGAGCACATTCATCAACTCGAATGAGCATATGCAGCTCTCCCTAACTCTCCCGCTCTCGTCCTGGGCGGTGATTGAGAGCCGAGAAGTCTAAATAACCATGACCTGTTCGGCGACGCTGTTCAGAATTTAAACAATCTCTTCGAACATCATTCTACGCGGCCACGCGGAGATTGGGGATTGTGACACGTAGTCGTGTACACCCATACACCCACACACGGTGTCTTTCGTCGACGTTTGTGTGCCGACGTTGATATTCTGAGCCTATCACAAGAGGAGCTACCCAATAATAGGTATGGATGGGCATCCTGTCCATGCTCTTGGTTCAAGTCCATGGCCCTCAGAGCATGCATGACGATCCTGTTCGTTTTATGCTATGCGGTGGATGCGCCCAAACAAAGAGGGAAAGAAAAAAAGCTTGTGCAAAGCTTGTTTTCCCGGCCCATGCCGTCCATGCCTGCACATCCCGCTTCTGATTTCTATTTCCATTCTCTTTCACAGCAAGGGGAGGAGATCGGGCACGGTGACTAGCTGCACGCCGGTCCAGGGACTCTGACAAACTTCCGACGTGTGATTGGCTCTCGACGCGCTGTACCCGTCCTCTGTGATCGCAGCCTCCTTGAAACACGCGCCCACTGGCCACCTCCAAACATCTTGAATCCCCATCGTCAGTTCGCTCAACCAATTGCGCTGTCGCGAACACGCGCCTCAGCCCCCGTCAAAATGTTCTCCTACCACTGCGACCTGCAGATGCGTACGCAACGGAACGGGATCCCGGGCGTCGGGTGAACACCATGGCCCAGACTTTCCAACGGCTCTTAAGCGCCACGGGAACGCCCAGCCTTGTGTCGCCGATCGTTTAAAGGAGGTGGCCTGTGAACTGTGCCCCAGGTCGTGCCGTGGAGGTACAATCTCTGGATTTCTTGTCCGTCATTTCTCGTCGTTTGTCTTTTTGGATGCTTTGACTTAGAGCGACACCTAATCGTTTCTGTCACTATTGCTTGACGCAACTTCTTTACAGCGAAGACGTACGGACCGTCCTCGAGCACCAAAAAAAATGCGCCGCTTCTGGAAGTCTTTGGCGTTGGCTGCCGCTTGTAAGCATATGCCATGTGTCTTTACAATCAAAGCCTAAGCTGTGCTGACCGCTAAAATCCAGCTTTTTCTCATATCGCATCCGCAGACCCAGAACCTTCAGCTGAACTAGTAGAACGGCAGACCACGAGCAGCAGCAATTCGTCAACCTGGGTTTACCAGGGCGATGTAGGTGGGGGGAACTTCACTTTCACGATTACTGTCAACCCGCAGAACGATGACCTCTGGTTCCGCATGGCGGCTCCATCTGTCTATTCATGGATTGGGGTCGGAGTAGGCAGTCAGATGAAGGACGCGAAGGTCTACTTCATGGCATATCAAGGATCAAGCTCCGACAGTATGATAGACTCGGTACGAATTGCTCGAATCTAGACTGGTTACTGACGAACATGTACGCTCAGAGTTGACCATATCAGCTCGGGGTCCTTGCAATAAATGCGAGCCCGGTTACCTTGAGGGATTTGGTCTTAACGCAGCCACACCACCAGCAGGCGATCCAGCGCCGTTTGGCATAAGTAATAGCACCTACTACTTCTCCGGATATGTCGCCAATGGAACCCGGCGTGCGGGCATCGACCCTACGAGCACCAACCAGCCGTTCATTTGGGCCGTTGGCCCAGTCTACTACGCTCCCGATAGTGACAAGCCCAACGCACCGTTGAGAGAGCATTCTCTTTACGGAACCTTCCAGCTCGACATGACCAAGGCACACGGCACCAAGCTTCCCGCATTGGGAATCAAGGAGAATGGTGTAACGTTTCAGGGCACAGCAAGTAGAGACCACGACTTTGGCAGTCCAGCGCATGCTGCGCTCATGGGGTTTGCCTTCGTCTTCATCCTACCACTGGGTATCCTCGCCCTGCGCATTCTCAACCGCGTCAAGCTTCATATGATAATCCAGGGTATTGGCCTTGTTTTCGTGACTGTCGCCTGGCTAGACGGTTTCTACATTTCGAAGAAATATCAACGTGTATGTGTCCAAAATCTGCCTCCCTTCTCAGTCTACCTCATGTGATTCAATTCCCGACATATTTACGCTGACTTTCCCTCCCAGTCGATGCACTTCAACTCTCCTCACCAAGTCATTGGCATTCTCGTCTACCTTCTGCTTCTTGCACAGTGGATCACGGGCTTCTTGCACCATCGCAAGTACGTCAAGACGCAGCAGCCTACTGTCTTAATTAAGCCGCATAAATACGGTCTAGGAGCCGTTGTGCTCGGCCTCGGCATCGTTAATATGGCGATAGGCTTTCCCTTCGCCAACGCCGGCAACTACAACACCTTTTACGTACCCATTGTTATTGGCATGATCATCGTCATGATCATCGGCATCAGCCTCAAGAGGTTCATGAGTGGCAAGCGCAGCAAGAGTAGTGTGCCTTGGGGGGGCCCAACCGGCAGCGCGGTACCACAGACACAAGCACAATACGGTGCTCCTATTCAGCCGCCGCAGGCCTATGCTGGGGTGAACCAAGGAGGCTACTCAGGTCTTCAGTATGGGCAGCGGAACGAGGTTGAATTGGGCCAGATGGGACCACCCCCGGCGTATAATGGTGAGGCGACGAAGCCGAGAGAATTGGTCTGAAGTTTTTTTTTCTTGATGTTGGTGATATGCGTAGGGATTGCATCTAACGGTGTTAATTGTAAAGGCTAACGTGACGGCGGTTGCTTTGTAAATGCATATTGAATCGAAGCCCAGATAAGAGATCATGGGACATGTCTTAAAATTTCAGTAACGACTGTAGACTTATGTTCAGACTGACACTATAGTCTGGAAAAGCCACCAAAATGGCGAAAAAAATATGTGTACGTAAAAACTGGCAACGTTTCATAAGCATTTCATTCGTGATGTGTAATCGTGACTGGAAATTTATGTGCTGATATCTAGAGCATGGGATCGATAACAAATCATGATCCTTGGGTATCTTCATCGTCGGTAAAATCAACGTCATCCTGCGCTGCGGCTTTAAGATCCTGTGTCGAAAGACCTAAATCGTGAAACCGTGAGGTATTAGTACCTGACGTATGTTTTGCTACGTCAGTCGTAACAGTGGAAAGCGCGGTCGTAGCCTTGGTAGCAGATGGCCGTTGCAACGGTATGCTAAAGAGAGCATCATCCTCATCTTCATCCGTGGATTCTCCACTATCGTAATCGAGTCCGGCGGCCTCTCTCAATACTTGGGTACTCAGTCCCAAAATTTGCAAGCCGCCTTTGCGGGAAAACAGATCGCTCCCTTGTCCCTCGTCGGGAACCACTGCAGGTGTATAGACCGTAGGGTTTAAACGCAACGGCGGCGGGGGCATAAGAACATTGTCGGAGACTTTGGATTTCTCGAGGGCCTGGAAGTATACTTCCTCGTCTTCATCCTCGGTATCATCGTCCCCGGCTTCAATAGCTTCTTGGAGAAGTTGTGTGGAGAGCCCGAAGTCGTGGTAGTCTGAAGTGAATGAGCACTGTGCAGCAGAGAAGTTTGCGTATGTGGCTGTCATTTTGGGCGAGGGTGTTGCAATTGTTGGACCTCGGCTGAAGCTCCTTAAAATCGACCTTTCGGAACGTGATTTACCTGGAAGAGAGGGAGCATTTGGGGGTTTTATGACAGATATGCTGTTGTTGTTTTCAGATGCTTGGTTGGAGTAGGCAAAGTCCCGTACAATAATGCCGTCTTTGGGATTCAGTATTGGGGTTGCGGTTCTCGGAAGACCCGCCTCGGCTAAATCGTCTGAGGTGAGCTCAAGGTCTTGTGTAGACATAGGAGGTAGAGAGAGAGAAGCCACTGGGGATGCAGCCCGGGGCGGCGGCTGCGATATCTCGTTAAGTATTTGTGTGTTTCCATCCAAGAATTGCGACCAGTTGTCGTCTGGCGAGCGCATGGTTTTCACTCTCTTGGCGGGCGGCGTGACCGTGCGCTGGAGAGGCAGACATGATGGTGCTTGTAGTTTGATCGCTGCGGCTGTGGCCTTGGAGTCAGAATTCGTCGAAATATCGCCAGGTTGTGACGCATGACTAGCCGAAGCATGTCCCGATGGAGAATCTGAGCGGTCCAAGGGATGCTCGACTTTGTCATCGAGCTGATCAAGCAGAGCCTCGTCGAACGACATGTTACTAGAAAAACTCTCGTGTTCGGTATTCACATCGCTTCCGTCTGTATTTCTGTTCTCCTTCTGATTAATCTCCTCGTCATCTCTCTTCCTCTTCCTGTCACCCACGCCCAACCAGCTCTCCATACCACCCTTCATTTGCTTCTGCGTCAAGCTATAGCCAGCTAATTGCGTAGCTAATCCGATGCCCAGTTGTTTCCTCGCTTCTCGTTCCTTCGCTTCCTTGTCCTGCCTTGCCTTCTCAGCCTGCTTCCTTCGCTTTTCACGATCTCTGGCAGCCTGCGCGCGACGATCCAGCTCCAATGCGCGGGCTAGCTTGCGCTGCTGGGTAGGCGAGAGCGGCCGCGATCCTGATTTCTTGTACTGGGCCTTTGCGCGACGCAGCGTCGTCGCCTGTGGCGGTGGCATGTTCTGTTGCGGGCGTGACGGGTCTTAGGCGTGGTCTTAGGGCTCAGTGAGAGGGGGAGGTCATGCTTATCCGAAAGCCCGAAAATAGCTCGTGAAGCTGAAAGCGAGCTAGCAAGGCCCCAAAGAGTGCTGCTGTCGAGTCGCTCGGAAGGACAAGCTAGAGAGGGCAGACGAAAAGATGAGCCGCATCACAGGCTTGGGATGCGCGTGTGTTTGCTTTTGACGGGCGGGAGCGAGGAGTGAGATGCAGATGGGGTGGCGTTTTCGCGAAAGAGATTGCGGCCGTGTTCCGGAGAAACGACGCCAAAGACACGCCAAGAAGTCGCGCGGTCATGTGCTCGCCTTCTCCCCTCTCGCCGACCTCACGTCTGACACCGACTCTGTTCGTGCATCCTCCACGCAATCCTGATGGCCGCTTCTGCAGGCCCAACGCAATGTGCGTCTACAGCCATGGCGTGGAGAGCCAACAGTTATCTGAATGGTTTGAAATTCCGTGGTTCATCGCGACTCCGTCTTCTTGTGCCTACCGGACCGCAGGACTTGTCAATCATGAACGGGAATCAATATCTCAGCGCCTTACTTGGCCTTGAATGAATCTAAGACAAACTCCGTGAGTCCCCTGGGTATCTGTCAGCCCAGTTACAGGCTCGAGCTGGCGTCTCGCAGGAAGCGAACGTCCTAGGTTGTCCACATCAGAGATCGTCCAACATGTGGCTGAGGATTGCCGCCTCTATCCCTGAACGGCAGGTCAGGCCATGAGATAGATCCGTTCACTTAGTACGCTACACAAAATTAGACGGTCCGTGGAACTTCCCTGTTCCAACTGTGTTGCAACCTTTGGGAATCGACGGCAGCACAACCATTAGACCTGCAGCAGGCACTCCATAATTGCTGCTCCTTTGCCTAATGCATTGCAACCTTATCATTCTATGAGAGCTTTGGCGGCAAAACTAGGTGCTCCGTAAGCCAAAGGGCTTTGAGCACTGTTCTGGAACCTCTAGGGGATTTAAAATCATCGCGTAGACGAAGAATTGATAGCTGTCAGATGACATACAATTACAAACACTTTCGCATTGCAGTCTCTCTCTCATTCTTTTTTTTTTCCCTCTTCTTGAGCAAACAAAAAAAGGTCATAGTGGTAAGAACAAGCGCAGCATTCAGGAGAATCTCGTAAATTTGGTTAAAACTCTCAAGACAGCATTCTACTCAAATAGTTTGTTGACTGCAAGTGGTGCAGCATGAACACTACCCATGTACTCCATCCATATCAAAAAAGCAACAGAAACAGAAAGCATGGTACCAAGTTGCACCAAACATGACTTTTAACATGCTTCCACTCGGCAGAGTCTGAATCTCGAATAAAATAAACTGCGAAACCGTCGGCCATCAGAAACCGCCTTAGAATGTCTCTACAACAGGAATTTGCTTGCTTCACGTCTTCTGACCGCAAAGCTTCTTGAACTTCTCTGTTGCCTGTTTTATCTCGGTTGTAAAAAAAAGCCTGGAGATAAGAAGAACATCACACGATCTCGAATACATCGCCAATGCAGGAGCGACAAGATCTAAAGCCACTTTTACGTCCGCGTGAAAGACTCGCATCTAAGCAAGGCCGTCCCAAGTAAGCTCATGAACTGCGCAACGACGAAAGACAAATTTGATCCATGAAGAGGATATGACACCAAGCAGACGATATGTACTATCACATACGATCATAGATTGAGGAGAATTCGGGTCCCCGTCCGCTCACCCCTAGACAAGCCTCAAATCGGCCCATTAGTACTATGGTGGGTGACCACATGGGAATACGGTGCTGTTGTATGTTTTACTTTTTCTTTCTTTTTCTTTCTTTTTTTTGCTCTTACCTCATTTCTTCCTGAGGATTTATTGCATACATCTTTACCTAGTCTATCAACCATAGGAATGACATATGTGTCAAGAATTGACGCAAGGACTGGGGAGGGTATGATTATGTGCTTAAACATCGTTGTCATTACGTATTTGGTGCTTTACATTCGAAATTTTTGATGCTTTGGAGACTGCTAACCCCATGTCATGCTCTATGGATATGAAACAGCGATATCATTGAATTCAAGTCCAAGTTCATCCGTGAGCTAACTAATACGGTTTCGACTAGCATTGCTGAACAAGCTGGAAGCGTGGTCTTAGCGCGCCGTCATCTGAGATAAAAGCGGCCAGTCCTTGGACAATGAAAAAGGAAAACAAAGCGCTTCGAGGCCGTACAGATAGCATGATACTTCCAGCTAATAGCAATACTCAACAAATACTCCCAGAATATCAATTAATCGTTCTCCTCCTCGTCGTGGTCACTAACCGTTCCCAAGTATAGCTTTGGCATTTCGAAGTCCGAACCATCTTCATCATTGCTCTCTTCCTCAGCTGTGGTGACGTCTGGATGAATCTGCACAGACGCGATGTCCGATTCTGGAATGGCTGCTTCGGCAGCAAGTACAGGAGTCTCGACAGAAGCATTTTCCTGATTATCCATCCGCGTTCTCTTAACATGAGTGGCAGGTACTTCCTCCTCGACCTCCACGCTGCGCTTGGTGCCAGGGACGGTCAACTGCGTGGTTGCGAGATCGCCAAATGAAGCACTTGGCGTTGTTTCCTTTTGTTCCCGTCTGGAATTCGCTGTCCAGTCTACAGTCATGGAGTGCTGTATTTGGTCTTCATTCTCTTCCGCCAAATCATTACTTTCACTATCATCATCAACATCTCCAGCGTCTTTGTCATCTTCTGCGCGAACCGCCTCTCCTTGCCTTCCGGTCAGAATAACTGGCATCCTAGGCCTCAGAATAGCCTCGGTAACTGCACTCTCCGGTGCCACAGCAGCCAAGAAGGGTAACAAGCTCTGCTTTTTTGGTGCTGGGTTTAGCACTGCTGCTGCTAATGCTTCAAAGTTATTCGACAGGATTGAGGTTCGGTCCATCTGCGTTCTTGTTGTGGTTGACAGGAGTTCTGTGGGAAGTTTATTGTAGAGGATAGGTAATAGGTCACGCGCGGCCGCGTGCAGTCCGGGAAATGTTTCTGCAAGACTCTGTTGCAAGTTGAATGATGTGCTTGCCCCGTTGGTCACCTTACCCAACTTTGAGTTATTCGTAAGTTGGGTGTTTATCATTTCCGTTGTCTTGACCTGTGTGTCTTCCCGCGCAGGGAGCAAATCCTTGCAGCACGCTTTGATGATCTTGTCTAAGCTCTTTATACTGCTTTTCTTAAGAGTTGGGCCCACGATGTGCAATAGCTGGGCAATGCATCGATATATCCCGGTGCGAACATTCATTTCAAAATTCTCGGCTTCGAAAAGCCAAGTTATAAGATCCAGGAACTGTGTACAAACTGGTAGCGAAGCGTTGCCAAGGCGTTCGAGCAAGATGCTAATCACCTCCAATACTGATACATGCATATCGGGTAGTAGGGCAAAGAGCTCTTCCCTCTCTTCTCTTGCTACCTGTGGATTGTATCTCATCCTGAGAGCATCCTTCGTTTGTGGTGTCTGCACGTAAAACACCCGAGTAAGAAGATCAATTATGCGGCCAAGTGGCATTTTGACCGAAGTGACTGTAGGAGTATATATATACGCCTGCAGCAGCGACAACAAAATCTGAAACCTTTGCACGCCGGATCGTAAACCAGCCCAGCCAGGAAACCCAGTCTTCTCATCTGCTTCAGCATTGGGTTCTGCAGCTAATTCCTTGGATGCTGTGATAGTGGATCGTACTCCAGCAACGGACTGCCACTCCTCAATCACGGCACGGAACACTTGGTCTAACGTTGCATGGCACGAGTTGATCAGCTCATCGATCCCTTTCTCCCACTCCGCAGCGCCACCACCCTTCTGGGCACATTGGTGCATCAGAACGAGTACGCGGGCCGCCGCGTCTTTCGATCCCGTCGAACAAATCGCCACCATCTCCGCATCATTGAAAGGGTCATTGCACAATGTTGCAACAGCCAACTTTTGTATCTGGCTGACATACGACCTGAATGTCGTTGGGTGACGAGGCAACAGCTCAGCAAAGCTCTCGAAAACAAGCTCCGATACTTCACTCTCCAAAAAGGTCCCATCCAATAGCTGCATACATGCAGTAATAAACACTGGCAAACTGGGGGTCGTAAGTTCCCTCACCAGTGTCGCATTCTCCCACGTCAACATAAACGCCTTTGTCAATGCCACGATTGCGCATTTCCTTGTTGTCAGCGTGGAGCCAGATTTTTTCAGGACATCAAGCAGACCGCGGATCCATATGATGACGCGTTCTTTGTCCTGCAACACAGTGTTCGAGCCGCCAAGATCCAGAACGGTTTTGATGAGCACAACAGCAGAGAAGCGGGCTTCTGGAGTGCGGTCTTGGAGCAAGGAAGTGATGCGTGATTTCAGCCAAATGGTTTCGGGGTTGTTTTCTGAAGGATTGAAATTGGAGGACACCAGTTGGGAGGTAATAGGTCCGACGATCTTGGGGAGGCTAGCTGTCGGTGTGTTCTTCAAGCGGTAGTTGGCAGACCGAAGGGCGCGGTCATCAATCTGTGAGGGAGCCATAGGACTTGGAGTGAAAAACCGGTCTCATGTCAGCCTTTAGGTGATTAACAAGAGGTTGACCTTGAGCCCGCGACGGTCTGGAGTAGGCCAGAAAATTTCCCGTCATGAAAAAAAAGTGGAGCTGGTTGAGGGTTTGCGGGCGGCCCGAACTTGCTTGTCCCCTACGGCACACCCCAGCGGTTGATCCTCGACCTGCGCACTCATTACCAGACTGTGCGCACCACTTTTGCGGACATAGCAATGCGACCGCGGTTGTCCCCTCATTCATGACCATTGGGTTCTCTCCGTCTACATCTGGACTATGACCTTGCAATTCCAGGTCTTGGACGACTTCGTGCTGCCGATTTGCTAACGGCGCACAAGCATATAGACAAGCATGACGGTACGTGTTGACTGCGTCTCAGGTTGTACCCCTGCGACGTCATTGAGCATCTGTGCTAACGCCGATACTGACATGACACACCACAAATGCAGACAAAGGAGCAAGAGAAGGCAGCGAGGTATATTGCTCAGCTGGAGCAGGCGAGGTGCACCGCGCAGTGGGACCAGATCCCCGAGTTGACGCGCAAGGTGTTGAAGCATGCACCCCAGCGCAAATGTACGAGCAGACCTCCTTCTTTATCCCGTGCCAACAATGTCCTTTCCGTGCGTTTTGAAGTAAGGGGGCTCTACTGATAGCAATTGCAGGCCTAGTTCTCACCGCCCAAACCGAATCCCAAGTTGCAAATTACGAACCTTCCAACGAACGACCCTCTACAGCGGGGACAACCGGCTCCGTCACCACGTCCACCCTCGCGAAGCTCATACCACCCCTCTTAGCCGCAATCGAAGACGAACAGACGTACGCCGAAGATGCCTTCCAAGCAACAGTCTGTTTGGGCTGGATTCACTGGGTCCTACACGAGCCACAACTTGCCATAGCCCGTCTTCCTAAGGATATCGCACACGAAGTCAACAATGTCACGAATGGCCTGCCTCCACAGCAAAAGTATGGGAGTTGGCTCGCAGTATGCGCGGTCAAAGCAGCGTATATCAAAGGCTTCTCACAGGAGAAAACACTGGGTCCGTTGGAGGGGCTGGAGACCTACACAAGCATGCTTCCCTTTCTTTTGGAGCACCCTTTGACTCTGGGCTCATATAATCCTGAGCTGAGGCTATGGGCCGAAAGACTACTGAGTCGCATGGTTGCCGTGGCGATGAAATCGAAGCCGCTAGGGGAGTGGATGGAGTTAGAGAAAATGCTACAAATGTTCCATTTATGGATTTCGCTCTTCAAAGTTTCTTCGACAAGTGGCTCAAAGGATCCGCATATCAGAGTCCCACCGTCTATGATTGAGTTGGGATCTGAAGTCGATTACTCAAGGTGGGATGTGTGGATGTCATACTACGATACATTGTCGGAGATTCTGCTGAGAGGCTACATTTATGCACCCACGTATTCTGATAAAAAGCCCGACCTGGTTTTTACGCCCGATGGCATGGACGAGACTCAATATCTGGCTAGCAGACTTCGGCAGCGCTCAGAGCTTAAACAAGTCGAGGCAAGCATTGAAACGAAGCTCCTAGAAGAAACACGCTTCCCAAAGTCCACAGAACGAAACAGCAGGGTCGAGAGGTGGGTGGATGCAGTCATGCAAAACTGGCGCATATTATGTGGCCCATCATGGACGGACGACGAACTCGGCGAGGGTGGCAAAGACGCCATCGCCAGGGGCGTACTCGATATCCTGTACCGAGCTGCGACTAAAAGTTTCCACTCAACGCAGATTCTTCGGTATCTGTTTAATGTTCACGCATATGTCGCCGAGTTCGACCTCGCTTTCAAAGCCTTTGACACGTATGTTGAACTTGTGCAGAAGGGCAAGGACCGCGAGGACAAAACAGGAGAGCCGGATTACAGCCTCGACAATGATGACACAACGCTGCACACTGTCTCTTCCGCGATACGCCTGCTCTGTAGATATGGCGACCGCAAGGATGTCGAGAAGTCAAGAGATGTGGCCCAGAAATTGCAGGTCTGGTTGCAAAGGGCAACGGCTGAGGCTGAGGCTCAGGAGAGTGCAGATCATACTGCTTCTGTGCCTGTACACGTACCCGTTTCACCGCAGTCTGTGGCAGAGGCATACACAGCGCTCGGTATATGTGAAGCTACGTGGGCGCGGCTGACGTACGACGCGCCTAGTCGAAATGTACATCAGCAGAAGGCGGTCGATCTGTTCAAAACTTCTCTGAAAGTGGCATTTGGGAATGAGCCAGATCTGGATACATCATTTCAACTCGCCCTAGTGCTGGCCGAGACAAGGGAACTTTCTCCAGCGATCAAGGTCGTCAAGCAAGCAATGTCCAGGCCTGCGCGTGGCGATTTTTTGTCACCGCTCACAAACAATGGCTCGACAAACTCCATGCAACGTAGCGAGTCGACGAATTACATCAGGGAAAGGAAGTTAGTTCCCTTCTGGCACCTGCTCACCCTTCTCCTGACCGCTAAATCGGATCTCCCGACTGCGGCACGAACCAGCAACGCCGCATTTGAGCAATTTGAGGACTACTCTGTGCTATTTGGTCCTCAGTCTAACTTTAAAAGCGAACATCTCCAGGAACTAGAACTCACGGAAAAGGAGGGCGCGTCACGGCCAAAAGGGCTTGTGGATCGGATGAACTTGTACGAAAAGGAAGGTATCATACAAGTTAAAGTCACCCAAATTGCACTCAAGGAGGAGTTGCAAAATGCAACGGACGCAGTTGAGTCCAGCGCAGAGTTGCTGGCGCTGTATGCCAGGCTGTTTGGCGATCCAAGGGCTGAGGCGAAGACAACATCGAAGATCAATACGTCGAGGGCGCCAAAGAGTGCAGTAGGGAGCTTAAGACAATCTGTGTTCAGCAGAATTGGACGAAGTAGGAGTAGACATGGTGAAGAGCGCCGGGAAAGCGTTCCATCTGTGCCTAGTGTGCCTGGTACGAGGCAGCCCTCTATTGCAACGACGAATGCGCCGACGATTCAGGTCACGAATGAAGACGGCTCGATGTCACGCAGTCAGAGCAAGTCAGGCTTCGGCAGGAGCAGATCGCAGCACTCGGTCGCAAGATCCAAATCCCATGCAGGCACGAGCACACCACGTCGAAGCACGAGTCACGGCCGCTTACAGAAACGTAGTGAGAGCCAGAGCCGGAAGTCTGTTGAGTCGATGCCGAGACAATCCACCGAGCAGGTTCAAAATGGTATGGCAACTAGCGTCGATTATCCTGTCGTGGCTGTCAGCAGCAAAAATAGCCCACCGGTTGGAAGCGAAAACAAGGTATCAAATTTCTCTCTACCGAGACCGCCGACCACCAGTGCAGACTCGCCTTCTCCTATACAATTCCTGAAGGATGTGGCAAACAGCTTGGATCCCATCTCCGAACCTTTTCCTTCAGGAAAAAGCGACCAAATCCCGAAACAAAACTTGCGTCCCCCAGTCCCGCATTCATCCATGGTGAATATGACTCCCGAGCCTCTGTTTCCGTTCGTGCAGGAGCGACGGCATAAGATGTCCTTGCTGGTGGAGTTGTGGCTATTTATTGCTGGTCTTTATACACGAGCAGGGGTGTACGATGATGCGAAGGCAGCAGTCGAGGAGGCTGCAGAGCTTGTAGGGGAAATGGAGGCCGATTTTCCGAAGGAGGATTCTGGTGCAAAAACTTTTGCGACGAAAGGCTGGGGTGGAGGAAAGTCGGTGGAAGAGCTATGGGGAGATGTTTGGACAGCGGTAAGGTGCACTTTCTTGGTTTAAACATGACGTGAGTTGTGGTGCTAACGCATGAACGACAGAGAGGCAATTTGTTCGCTGCACAAGAACAACCATACGATGCGATGGCGCAATTTGAAAAAGCTCTGTCGCATTTCCCAGACCATCCAACGGCCATTGTGGGACTCTCTGAGATTCTTCTCGACATTGCCACCTCGAAGATCCCGCCAGAAGCTCCTGAACCTCCCCTTTTTCCAGACACCTCGTCTGCCACACCGAAGTCATCGGCAGCAGCACCCCCGACCAATGCACCTTCTACGTCCCCCGAGGAGCTCAACAGGCTTGCTGCGAGGGACAGGGCCTATGGTTTGTTGAGCAGCCTGACCAAACTGGGTACGGGCTGGGACTATAGCGAAGCGTGGTTTGCGCTGGCGAAGTGCTATGAAATGAGTGGACAGGTAGAAAAGGCGAAGGAGGTACTGTGGTGGTGTGTGGAATTGGAGGACACGCGGCCCATCAGAGCATGGAGCTGTGTCAAGGCGATGGGTCAGTAGTGAGGGGCTACTTTGTTCTAGTGCGCAGAATCTTTACGTGCAACTCGAATCGATTTCATGTTCTTCGCAGATTTTTATTTTCCTGCTCTTGGTTTATCCCAAGTGCTGTTCCGTACACGTCGAAAAGACCACTCCATCAGGCCCCCCCCTGGCATCACCGATTGGACGACCCTCAAGCTCGTGGGCTCGACGACCCTCATCATCTTCTCCATGGCGGAAGCGCCGTGTTGCACGGCGTCTCGGATGTGAGTCTCACTTCCCGGCTTGTACGCGTGCCTCGCAGACCGCTCTGCAGCGACGCAAACGAGTTCCATCAGCTTGGCACCCAGAGCGCCGACGTCGTTCTCCAAAGGGAGGGAAAGGGAGATGGTAGTCTTCGACAGCTTCGAAATACTCCGGATCACGACGGAGACCAAAAGGTCTTTGATCGGAGTCGGCGCGCCGCCGTGTCCTGGACTCGTTCTTGTCCTTCAGCGTTGTTGCGCCGGACTGAGCGCTCAAACAAGCACGTCCGACAACGGCGACGACAACGACAACGACAACGACAATGACGAAGTTTTGCTCTTGCAGGATGTTCATCAGAACAGGGACTGCGGCGGTGACGCTGCGGGCGGCGAGACGACGAACTATCAAGACTCCAGCGCTTCCACGATCTTTTCTGCCCGGTATCCCCGGCATCCGCGCGCGGCCTTTGCGTGAGTTCCGATGCCTGACTCGCAAAGGATGGGGGCATGAGGCGTCAAGAGCAAGGGGGGATGGGTTCCTGGGCCTTCTTCGGCAAGGTTTCTACGATCCGAGCGCATAGACTGGAGGTGCGAGGTAGCGGGCGAAGGAGCGAGGAGAGAGAGGAAGTAGCCGGGACGTTTTTCTCCCAGTCGGAAGACCAGGACGCGGCCTGAGACGTGACGGGCACCGTTGATGCGTTCTTGGTCCGGAGGAGACGACGCCATTTCGGTTATGAAATGCGAGCAAATACCCCTTCGGAGCAGGGGGGAAAAGCTCTTGACTTCGCTCGCAATGACGCAACGTCACATTGACATTCCCAAACGGTGGTTTAAATGACAGACCTTCGCATAACGTGGCGTGCAATCTGTCGCGATGTTTCAACAAGTAGACTCACTTTTTTAAATATTCCCAGGAGTACTTACGACTGGTCTTCTCACGCCAGGTGAAAGATTGGCGTTTTGGCTAGGTAGCCGGTCTTCATCTTGAGATCAAAAAGCTAGCCCGAGGAAAGCTGATCGCAGGCGATTGCCAGGCGCTGCATTCCCAGACTCGTCTTACCCAGTCCCTGTGCACAATGTTGACTCCGAACAAAACCAAACTATCGATTTCGGACCACCTTTGACCCGCTCGTCTCAAACGGCACGGTCAGATCGAACGCCGTGCCGCAAGCTACAGGTCAGCTCAGTAGCGCGGAGCGGCGAAATTGACGATAAAGAAATGTAGCCGACGCCTCGCGTTGTTTGTGATTGTCAAAAGCAGCAACGTAATGCGAAGGGCAACAGAGAAAGACGAAGGAAGTCGCAATAAGTGACCGAAACGTGCAGAAAGCCTAGACGTACGAAGTACGAGTATGCCCGCCACAGTATAGTGATCCAAGAATCGTTCTGAACGTGGCATTCCTTGCCGGGGCCAGGGTTAGCAAGAAGCTGGTCAAATGTCATCGATTCTCACCACAAAGAAAGCGGATCAGGTTTAGTATATCGAAACCGTCGTGCTGCGTTACTGATTTGTGTATGTCTAAGTGGGTGGCAAGACCTAGATCAAAGCAAAGACAGAAAGACACAAGAAAGAGAGAGAGAGAGAGAGAGAGAGAGAGAGAGAGAGAGAGAGAGAGAGAGAGAGAGAGAGAGAGAGAGAGAGAGAGAAAGGCTGTCGCGACAGTTAACGCAACTGCAATCCGTTCGACCTGAGAAGAACATACGTTTACACCGTTAACACGAAACATGAAAAAAGATACGGGGTGAAAATGGGTATCATGTCCTCCATCTCTCATCAACATCATCACGTCCGCAACGTCCTGGTCTCATCTCCAAGGGTACTCGGAGGGGTACTTCCGGCCCGACGCGCCCTCCACATACCTCGTGCTCTGTCGTAAGCGATCAATATCTGGGTCGTAGCTTCGGCTCCTGCCCGGGTCCTTCCTGCTCACGCTCAGATATTCGTCGCTGTGTTTCCTATAATCGTAGCGCGCTCGACGATCGTCGATGGGTTCGACGTTGCGCTTCGAGTAGCGCACGGTGGGCCGACCGTTGTAGTTACCTCGTTCCTCTGGCGGCGTCGCCCTCAAGTGATCGCGTCTCGGACTCGCCGTGCGTGTGCTCTGCATCCTCGAGATGCGAGAAGCCATGGGCGGTTCGGTGGATGGTGCGAAGCCACCCGAAGGCTCTGATGATGCGAACAACCCGTAGCTGCCATGAGTGGAGTGGGAATGGCGTCGGGGTCCCTCGTACTCGCGTATGTGCGGAGGGAAATAGTCGCGTGGGCTGACTGCCGGTTCGTGGCTGCGACGATGGCGAAGTGTTGGAGATGGTCTGTTGCGACTACCGGAGCTGTCGCGCTCCCATTCCCTTTCGCGTCTACGTTCCTCGTGCTCACGTTCCCGTCCACGTTCTCGTTCCCGCTCTCTCTCGCGCTCTCGTTCACGTTCACGTTCACGTTCTCTTCGTTCTCGGCTGCGACTTTGCTGGCTACTCGTGCGGCGCGTCATAACCGGTCTCTTGTTCACGTAGACTCCTTCTGAATCAGAATCAGTCTCGATCATTTCGGGACTCTTGTATCTGAGTGCTGGTCGAGGCGGTCTACCTTTGTACTGGGGATAGCGTTCTGTGGGCGTGATGTCCTCGTACTCATCTTCGCTGTCGTCAACGTCGACTTCGTATCTCTCTGCCGGACTGACTCGTCTGGGACGTCTAGTCGGAGGCGACGGTTGGTGATGATGGTGGCTCGTGTTAGTTGGATTGATGAAATGCCTTACGCTGTGCATGACGGCACGCCCTCGATCGGCAAGCCCCTGTCGTGGACTCCTTGCGTGGTTTGTTTTCGAATAATTCCGCACCACAGTCGGCCGTCCCGTCTTGTCTCGAAACATGGGATTGCGGAAGTAGTCCGCAGCAACCCTCTCGTCGCCCGACAGCTCGCTCGCTGAAGCATCGCCGAGGGATAGGCTCCTTCGTATCTGTGGGCACTGCATATCCCGCCAAAGCTTCTCGTGCACCTGGTTGTACCATTCCGTCATCGCCGGGTCTGGTTCAGATGGGAAGGCGGCGTCGGGCAACACCTTCGGAAACTTCTCTCCGGTTTCCGGGTCGACGATGTCGAACTGCTCGACCGCGCTTTGGAGGAAAGGCACATGTTCCTCCGGGCCGAGCAACAGCTGTATTGTCTGCCATGTAACGAAGCCGCGTGGCTTCAATGCCGGGACCGTAGGTGGCGCGTGGCCGTCGTTGCCCTCTGGCTGAATCGAGTGCAGACAGCCCAGCGCCTTGTAGATGAATGCTATCGAAGAGGCCTGCGTCTCGACGAAGAGCACATCGTAGTTCCCGCCCACGGCTCTGTAAAATGCGGCGAGCTGCATCGGCGTGAGGTCCGGGCAGTCCCGTATCCCTTCAAAGTGATTTGCCTTGTAGAGAAAGAACATTAGCCGCTCTCGATCACCGCAACCGATCGCGCAAAAAGCGAAGCGCTCACGATGTAGTGTGCTATGCCCGCCAGCAAGCTGTTCAGCTTGTCGGTCCCGCACTTGTCCGACTTCACCAGGTAGCCCCAATACTGCAAGGCCTCACGATCCTCGACCCTCTTCTGGTCGGCATCCTGCCCGTGTTCGTCCACAGAGTCCACTGTCGCTTGTTTCGGCGTTCCCTTTGGAGACACGTCTTCAGTGCTCGGGCTCGGCCTCGAGGCACCGTCTTCTGCCGCCATGACGTACGAGAAGCAGCGAGTGTTGGTACGTGTTCAGACGGGACATTCGATGATGTTGCGTTTTACTTGCGCGCGGTCTGAAGAGGAGCAAACGACGAAAAGACTGGCGGGCGCAGCAGGAGGAGGACGCGCGCGCGCGCAGGACGGCAAGACAGCGGATCGTGTTGTTCAAGCAACGATCCATGTCATTCCCAAGGCAATAGTCATAAGGTGCGGCCACGCCCAAGGCACGCCTGCACATCACGGGTCTGGAGGCTTGACCGCAAAGCGGGCGGGCGGGCGGAGACGAAGCAAGGCAGCAGCAGCAGCAGCTAAGCGAGCAGTCGACAGACGTGAGTCCGGCCCATGCGACTGCTGACAGGACCAGGCTTTTCTGAAGGCGATTTCACCACTCGTCGTCCGACCGCGAGACAAGCTCCGCTGGGCCTCACACGCATCCCGCCAGCAGCAGCATGCCAGATCACACAGGTAGCGCCCCCCGCCACTGACGCATGTCCCTAGGCCCGGCTGGGATCAGCGGGGGGTCTCCGGCACCCACGCTTGGGCATGAGGGGGCGTAGCACGGCGTGGCAGGGCGTCGTCGGGCGAGGAGAAAGGAAAAGCAAGCAGTCAGGCACAAGGAGCTCAGGGACGCCCCGTTGGCTCCCACATGTACACATCACTTGTTCACAGGCCCGAAAGGACAGGCTGGCGGCGGGTCGCACGCGAAGCGGGGAGCCAGAAACCGTGGAACCATGTCGTTCACAATTAGCGGCTGTGCAGCCTGGCATGCAGCGCCCATCTAAGCTACATCCACAATCCCTATGCTTTCCGATCGTTGTTTCGCTTCGTTCGTCATGTGATTACCCCTTCTACTTCGCATGCTTCGGTGCTATCGTTGTATTTTTTTTGAGGGGGGGGGGGGGGGGGGGTGCGATTTTGTTGGAATCCGCTGCAATTACGACGTTAATTTTTAAATAAAAAAAAAAGGTCACTACAATATGTCGTCTTGCTTTAAAAAGGCTCGTACATCTGCCGCACTGCATGCAAAGCGATCCGACGCAGCCGCCTAGTGCTCGAGAAGTCTCAAGCTGCCCTGCACGACCACATTCTCCAAGATGGAGCCTGGCGGAATGTCGATGGTGCTACCCTCCGTCGCAACAATAATGACCGTGCCCTTGAGCGTGACGCCGCGTCCCAAGTTGACCGCGCCGGTGATGGTCAGATGGTCAAGCTCGACAATGTTGGGGATGCTTGGAATGCGAGCCTGGAAGCTGGACACCTTCTTGAAGTCGCTGCCAAGCTTGATCAGTGGCGCGGGTCCAAAGCGGTTCGGGTCGATGACCAGTTGGCCGTGCTCAAGCCTGTACAGGTTGGACTTGACGAGCATGAGGTCCGAGCACGTCTTGACGGGCAAGAAGCGGCGTCGTGGTACGTTGACGCCGTGCGCGTTGTTGAAGTGGCGGATGGCCGCACCCACCGCCGTCTCGAGCTGAAGGACAGAGACGTCGGCCTCGCCCTTCTTGTCCGCCGGGATGGACTTGCCGTTAGGGATGATCTCCATGGCAAGCTCGTTGTTCTCGACCACGCGCTTGACCGCATGAAGGTTCATCCAGATGTTGTTCGTGTTGAAGTACTTGAACTTCTTGATCGACTTGAACTCGTTGACATGCTCCTTGGGCACCTGGGCGATTTCGAGCAGACGGGGCTGGCCTTCGTAATCGATGATGGTACCACCTTTCACGTCCGCCTTGGTCTTGTCCGTCAACTCCATGATGTACTCAGCCTTGGTGTCAACCATGTGCTGCAGGATGCGGAGGTCGACAACGGCACCCAGATTGTCTGCGTTCGACAGGAAGATGATGTCGATGCCCCGATCGATGAGCTTGTCGAGGATGCCGGAGTTGTACATGGACTCGAACACGTCACCATGGCCTGGGGGGTACCAGTCTGAAATCGGCGAGTCGTAGCTCTTTGGCGCCGGCAGCAGAGAATCCTTGAGGATGCGGGGATACTTGGATTGGTTGAAGGTCATGATGTCAATGTTGTGGCCCTCGTACTTCTTGATGATGTTTGCCGTATCGGCATCCGTGTTGAACGAATTCATGAGCACGAAAGGCACATTTACATCATATGTACGGTTGAGATACTCGATCTGTCGGACAGACAGGTCCAAGAAGGACATGCCATCGCGAACTTCAATAACTGACTTTGGACCGACGCAGCCCATGGAGGTACCAAGACCGCCGTTCAGCTTAACCACGGCCAAGCGCTTGAGGTAGTCCACGGCCTCGGTGTTTGGAAGATCGGCATATTCGACAACTTGACCCTCCTTGGGTGGAGCAATACGGTTCCAGTCGATCACATTACCTTTGGCCTTGTCGGTAAGGTAGCGACGGAACAGCGCGAAGAAGTTGTCCATTTCCGCCTCAAATCGCTGTGCCTTATCAGCTTCTGTTTTCATACGGTAGTACAGAGACATCTGCGTACCTTCTTCTCGCTTGGCTCTTTCACAGTATCTATGAGGTTGTTGAGGGCATTGCGCATTTGCGAGGCCGCGATATTGGTAGACGTGTTCTCGAAAGCCTAGGCAAGTCATATATGGTTAGTAAAACGTTGCAGTGCAGTCTAGATAGTATGCCTTGTAGGCCATTGACGTAACCCGGAAAAAGGACTCAGCTCCAAGAGGCTGCAAGCCGTTCGGAGAGCAGCTGCGCAACGGTCTCGAAAGAAAGGTTCTCAGTCATCCTGTCTTGTGACTCCATGATCTTGAGAGAAATAGCCATATGGCGAGCATTTACCCAATTGGACAGTCGCCGGTGACTGGCGAGGCAGTCTTCACCGCTTTGATACAGCCAGCAGTTCAACTCAGGGCGACATTCGAGTCCAGAGATAGTTACAGCAGGGACGCTTGTAAGCTACGGCTTCCTCTTGGGCTCGTGCATTTTGGCCAGGGGCAATGGGTCCATTTCGGTTGAAGCTCATGGCGTGTTCTCGTGAATTTTTCAAGGCGGTGTATGGTCAACTGTAGGGGTCCTTCGAAGGGGTCAAAGCGGAGACGGCGATGGTTCTGTCAAGTTCGGTATCTGCTGGACTCGCTCATCCATCGTTCGCGACGCCATCTGCATGATACATTCCAAGAGAACCAAGGCAAAGATATGTTTTGGCAGGTTCAAAATGGGAGAGCAATGGAAAGAACTCACCACATGCGATTGGGTTTTGCCGTGGTGACGCTTGGAGAACTCAGCATCGCCATTTGCGTCCTTGGCCCCGCCGGGCTTCAGGTGCGACGGGATCGCCTTTGAAATGCCAGACATGATTGTAGGGTTCGAATGTGCGCTCGCCTTTCGAATCGGTTGTGGAAAAGAGAATTGAAATGAAATGTGTCCTGGCTTTTGAGAAAATCTGGAGTGAGGGAGAGCACAGGACAGGTGGGGGTGGAAAGACAAGCTGCAGGTCGAGATCCCTGAATGGATTCACGTCACGCTGCAGTTGGATTCGATTGGAGGTGATGGACTGCCTCTGACAACGTTCCGCAAGCGTCGCTGATCGTTTATAGAGGCCTTGCCGGCAAAGGAGAAAGTATGGGCTGGAGGCGAGGGAAGGAGAGTTCGGACTTGCCCGGCCAAGGATGCCGTTTTTATTTCATCAGGTCGGCGCCATTGCGCGTCCTAAACAATTTTCTCTTTTCGATCAGCTGTCCCGACGGTTTTCAAAGTGGCTGAACCAATATTCAACGGTGTTGGGGCGCAATCCCATGCCTTCTCCTATGCCACAAGAGGTGGTAATTTTTTTTTTTGTTGAAGGATCTCGAGCTGATGCTACGTTGTCTCTTCCCCATGGAGGCGTGGCGAATGTGATTTCACCAGCAAAAAAGCTCCACCGTGGTGGCATTCTAGCCGCTTGCTTTATTCCACATCCGGAGGCCGAAGTGTCGCTCGCTGTCGAAGCATCGCGAAATGCTCACAGCCAGATCCTCCAAAGGCCGGAAACGTGCATGTATGGTCCCAGCAAATGCGTTCACCAGTGGCGGGGGTGGGTTCTTTAGCCAAGCGATAGTCTTTACGCTTCGAGGGCAAACAACCCAACAGAAAAAAAAAGCCAGGCTGTCGGTGTGCCACGCTCACAGCCTATCTGTGATCTTCTGATTGCGTCGACGTTGGCGACTTCAGCTTCTTCTATCCATCCCACTCTTCCGTCTCAGCCTTCGGGCTTTCATCGAGTTATCTGTCCTGTCTCATTACAATCCGTCAGAGACCCACACGGATCATGACAATGCACGTGTTGCCAGACTTGCTCGAATTGGCTTCGTGGGGGTCCACCTTATTGAGCCTCGCCAGCCCTCAGACTCCAAGACGGCGGCCATCGTGACCTATGGTCGTGCTTCCCATTAGCCACGTTAATTTGGCTGCTAGCTCAGGAGGTCGGAACCGGCCCTTCGAGCATTGATATTGGACCAACCGCGGTGCCCGTGCTTTTCGGAGCGGTGGGATCTTCTTTTGTGTATCACAAAGGCTGAGATGAGATGACAGTTTCACAAACTTTCTGGTTCCTCAGCTGCTACGCCCGAATTCTATATAGGCATGGTCCTGCGTGTATATATATATAACTGAGCGGAGAGGAACATACCGAAGTCAGACATGTCCCAGAATTGTGGCATTTTTCTACGAAAGCCACAAAGTCTTGCAGTACGGAGGACCTTGTACACAGTAGAACATCTTGTGGTGTGGGACTGTGATTTACTCCACTTCCCCTGGTCTTCGGAAGACATCCAGGCCGGATAAAGACTTTGCACTAGCCCCCAGGTGTAAGGGCTGTGCCACCGGACATGCTTGACAAGCAGCTGTAGATGAAGGAACAGCTCTCCCGGCGTGGACAGACTTTGCTATTGTAATTCTACCTACGTGGAGAAGAACGTGAGACCTTTCGTGTCCGCCGGACCGTCGGACGGCCTCCGTTGAACGGTTCATCATCTCGAATGCACACGTCGTATCCTGCCGACAAGGCTGACAAGCCCATGCCCATCTCCCGTCAAGATGAGGCATGGCTTCTTCCCCGTTCGTCACCGACGGAGACGCTTTCTATTTGGCGGGATGCCGTCGACGGGAATGAATGCGCCTTGAGGCTGTGGGTCCCAGATGAGCAAGCTCTAACGCAGCGGCCTCGGGGCCAAGGGGTTGTCTCAGCCGCAGAAGCTGGCGGTCCTTTGTCAAAGATGACGGCATCAACCAGAAAGAGAACCACCCCTCAAGAGCGACAAAGAAAAACCAAAATTCAATCCGTCGAGGCTGAGAGACGATGTGCTCACCCTGTGCTCTTCCTTACGTAGAGGATTCACGCTCGCCTGCACGAAGCACAGAGAGCTCTCCTGCCGACTGTCTCCAGTCTATTTTTGCGCATGTCTCGTGTAGACAAGGAATCGCCCAGAACAACGCCACCGGCATGGCGACAACACACTGAACCGGTAACAAACTCAGCTTCACTGCTGCGCCCACGTCTGCAGTCTTTTAATTTTGACGATTCGTCTACCTTCCTCGCCATGAGGCCGTAGATGCAAATCCTTTTCGTGACTTCTCCTTCCTCTCTTCTGTCTCCCGACTCGTCTCGCGCCCTTCGTACAGCTCGACCGTTTGTTTACACCCGCACATACTCCTGACTCTTCATCTCGCCATCCATCGACGAACGAGTCCCACACGATGCGGCAAGCGCTGAGCACACTGCAGAAGGTGAAAACGGGCGTACATACGCTGCAGGCTCTGTTGATATTCGTTGCTGCTTGCATAACGTTGGCTGTTTTTGTTCAGCAAGGCAGCACAGATGGCAGGACGAAATGGTTCTTCGCAGGTCAGACTGGCAGATGCACACACAAAGGGAGACGACGCTGACAACGCAACCAGTGTGCTGGCTCTCGATACCAGCCCTGATATATCTTGTTGCCGTGCCGATATGGTCAAGGGCAGCCAATGTCGCCAAAGCGATGTGGTTTGCCATAGTTGACGTGCTCTTTGCTGTACGAAGCCTCCCCCTTGGCCTCTCCTTCCGGTCGAGCAACATCAGAACTAATGAGTACAAGATCTTTTGGCTTGCTGCGTTTGCCGCGGTGCTATCATGGAACAGAGATGGCACTATACAAGGCGCCAAGGACAAGAAAATTCCTACCGATCAGGCAAATTGCACGACGTTTGCGTACGGCACGGAAAAGAAGTGCTCTCTCTCTTACAGTGCCAGCAGCGTTGGCGTCGTCATATTGTACGTCCCCACCTGCGAGTGTGACATTCGATGCCTCTGACGTTTGACCACAGCTTGCTCTTCCTCATCTCGTCCGGCATATCAATCTTCTACACGGTCAAGGTGAAGAAGAACCCGCAAATGGACGATCCATGGCTTGCGCCCGAGTCAGCTCAGCCATACAAACCAGCCATGAACGATGCGGAACTCGGTGATCCAAAGGATCCGGTGTGGGACGCGAACACGCAGGACATCGATGGCCCCCACGATGCAGACAGCGATGACGGGCGGATGGATGGACGACACTACGGAACTGACACGGAGGATGGGCGACACCCGGGTCAGCCAGTGCAATGGGGTGGCCATGGACCATTTGACGACGCTCATGCTGTGCCTCCGTATGAAGATACCGAGTACCGCGGTGCGAGCAGCTACCAACCGCCAAGCGCGCTGAGCCCAACCAACGTTTATAGTCCCCAAAATCGAGATGCTCCAGAGTATGGGAGCTCCCGCAGTAGGCAGACAGGTGGATACTCGTTCAGTGCGCCGCATACGGATGCATGAAGGCGACATGAAGGGGGAATGCATTTTCCATGTTTTACCTGCAAGAGCAGACTAGCGGGTGCATCAAAGTTATGTTGTCATTGTTGCTTAGCGGCCATGGTTTCCTTAAATACCCGAATACGACCACATTGCCTGTATGCTGGACAGCTCAACCGGGTGAAACGGCAAAGAGCATCCGTTTCCGATCTGTAGAAGTGCTTGCGATGGCGTAGTCCTTTGAGGCTAGTCGTGGTTGTGGGCTGCAGAACAGCCCACAATCGCTTGCAGCTGTGCACGCTCGGCTTGCTGCCGAGACTAGTGACCGCACAACGGGATCGACCCATGTCTCATGATGTTGTGGACAAGCCTTTTGCACACGCCCTGGGGCCGAGTCATCGCAGGGCGAGGGCGCTGTCAGCGAACCCCTCCATCGCGGACCAAACGGGGACGAAAGCGAGCTGTCGATTCACACGGAAGTTCATTTCCTCCACACGTGGGTTCCCCAGATTTCGATGATCTCGCCTCGCAGCGGCAATTGGCTCGCTTGCTGGAACGCGCCCACGTATCGCTCCCGCAGCTGACTCGAAAATCACCGAGTAAGTCCGTGTTCTTCGAACGACCCAATGACAAATGCAGGGTCCCGGCTCCATGGCCAGCAGCAAATAGGCTGTGGGCAAGAAACGTCCTGTGTGACGACCCAGACGTCAGATATCAAATTCCCACCTGTGTTCGTCGACGCCGCGTCCTCCGAGCATGCTGTTTCGAGGTGCATCTCGTCCGTGATACTAATCACTCACCATGGCGACTTCAGGGTTCGATACGAGTGTCATCCTGGGCGATGTAAGTGATGTTTTTGAAGGCTGAGCCCCCCTGGTTCTTCCCCTTCTTTGTCCTCAATGTTCTCGCTTCAGCTGTGTCCGTTTTCCACTTTGCTAACATCATCGTTCCAACATCAGACTCCCGACTTTGGCTGGCTTGAATATGAGCTCGACTTCCTGAAGCCAGACTTCTCCGTCGAGTCGCCGAAGAATACAGACCATTCCGGAAGCTCTCCGCAAAGCCTGACGGGCACGACGGAAAGCAACGACCCTATAGTCCGTACTCCTGGATCCGAGGGCGATGGAACGAGCTTTCCCTTCCACCGCAGAGACAGCGTCACGAACGAGGATAAACCGCAGGACGATGTGTTCGTGAAGCCTCCCATCCCCGACCGGTTGAAGGTAAAACAGCAGCTCTATCCACTCCCTTTCACCAAGAGCCCCAATCATGATGATATGAGCGCTCTTCAGGCACAGTTTCCCAGTATGTCACCCTCCCCTACCCGCCTCCATACGGCACGGCATCCCCATATTCGGATGCGAAGAAACTGATTTTCGCCGCAGCCGCAAGTGGATTCAGCCTAGACAGTCCGGCGAGCGTCCTCGAAACTACGTACAGTCTCGTGCTGGGTCCATTCTTTCATCAGTTGATTCGAATGTTCTTTCAAAACATCCACCCGTACTACCCCGTCATCGACGAGTTCGACTTTGACGCCTGCTTTTGCGCGCCTGTCGATGATGTAGCCCTTCGTAATAGTCGAGCCTGCGTGCTCGGCGTCATGATGCTGTGTGCATCCATGGTAAGTCGAAACATGACAATCAGTATGGTCAGCTGCTGAGTTTTTTACAGTATCTTAGCTCCCGACAGCTCTTCGGCTACTCAAGATGGACACAGCACTCTTTGCAGCAATTCGCTTTTCGAGCAGTCAAGGTTCGAAAACACCGTTGTCACTTGTGCCAAAATTCTGATCACTAAACCTTTTCTCCTTCTAGGAGCTGTACGAGAAGTGGAGCGAGACCGGCGACGACTACAGCCTGACACAAGCATGTATGCTCCTCAGCTACTGGAGTCCGTGCTACGCCGAACCACGCCACAACTGCGGCGAATGGATACAAAAGGCGTTCGTCCACGCAAAACTCGCAAAAATCGACGAACCGTCCAGTGGCTCCATCACAGACCGCAGCCGTCTGATCTGGATCTCGTGTATACTTCGCGATCGCGCTCTCAGCTACGCTGGGCGACGACCGCTGCACCCGTATTCGACAAGACCGAATTGGATTCGCGTTGACCGCGAGGACTTTGGTCTCGAGATATGCCTTCCGCGGTACAGCAACATCACGTCGCGGACCGAGACTGTCGACGCGTTTCTGGTCTTGTGCAGGCTGAGCGAGATATTTGCAGATATGGGCGAGTTCCAGGAGAGGCTTAGGCCAAAGCTACAGGACAGCAACTTTGAGTTGGGACGGAAGGACATCCTGAAGATCTCACAATTTGACATACGAATACGGGAATGGATAAGAGGGTTCAAGCATTGGAAGACTGGTCCTCACGCTCCCACTATACTTGATACCAAAGGCCCTTCCTATCTGTGGAGTATTGTTGGCGAGTATGTGTTCTCGTCTGCTCGAAGCATGGCGTCGTATCTTTCCGACTAACTTGCGAGAATTAGGTCCGCAACCGCATCTCTCTACCTACCATTTATCCGATTGACCTGCAAGACGGATCCGCTAGCCTCCAAATTTCCCGCCACCGCCATGCAGAAGCTCAAAGATGCATCGTCCAAGGCCGCTGAGATCGTCCGAGAATTCCTGGTCGACGTCAAGCCAGAAGAGATGCCGCCATTCATGGGCACCTGGCTCACGCTGCCCATCATCGTTCTTTTGGTGTCTCTCAAGTGTCGCGGACCCGCGCAGTCTGGGTCGCCGGAGTCTACTGCCGACATACAGAGGCTACGGTACCTGCTGTCCGCGCTCCGAGTGTTCCAAACGCGGTACAGAAGCGCTAAATTCATAAGGGAAGTCTTGGACAAGGTCTCGAAAGAGCTCAAGCTCGGTGTGTGGGACAGCAGCTCCACAAGTGAGACAACCGAGCCATTAGACGAACCTGTACTACTGCTTAAGGCTGCGATAATGATGTTTGAGGCCTTTCGAAATGATACGACAGGTGCTGCACAGCGTTAAAGCTTCTTTGTAATGTATGTTAGCATTTTCCAGGCGTCGGTGCAATTGTTGGGACTGGTGGGTGGGGAGCCAGACATAAAATGCGTGAGCAAAGGTTCAATGAAAGCTAATGTGAAACTTAGCCAAATGTTTTTTTTTATGAAAAAAAAAAGAAACTTAAACTTTTTGATGACATACAACCTCCCATCAACGATTTCGTATGTCTTGTAAAGCAATGCTTTTGTTGGTAGTCTTCCAACATCATGAACAAGGGCCCATGGTTAAGCGAGACGCGAAGAATACATCCATCACTGTCTGCTCGGGAGCGGGAAACGACGGCCTTGCTTCCTGCTTCTCTCCCTTGACCGCGGGAATCTAAGGCTGCCCGGATCGAGTTCGCCGGTCGAGTTATCCTCGAGTGACCGGAGGGTCAGACGGGCTTGGACGTCCCCGTTCTTGCCTTGGCGATTGTCTAGCCGGGTCAGAGAAGGGCCATGTCGATGCTACTATGAGAAGTGAGATCGCCCAGGCTGAAGGGGACGCGTGCTTTTCTTGTTACTTTGTGTCTTTCTTTGTCTCTGTCCTTTTCTCCAATAGCAGAATGAAGCTCGATCACGCGTAGTCGCCGGAGACGAATCGGGGCATTAATCTCAAGTCGCGGACGATTCTTCGTGGCAGCAAAACTTTGCAGCGAGCGAATCACGCTACATGGTTGTGGTGTTGCTGAAAGACGGTGTTTCGTTCAGAAAGAAAAATGCCAGTCAATGGACCATCACTGCTATGCGTGTTGCGGAGAGGTCGGGCAACATTCGGTTCATGCCGAGCAAGAAATCGGACTCTTCGGCGTTACCGAAATTGCCATTACTTTTCAATCGAGGGAAGAACGAAGGCTGAGGGGGCACCAATGTGCATCTGGAGACCAGATTCACATGAAACGGTCGCGCTTCACATCGCCGGTTAGCAGGCTCGTTGAAAAGAATTGTGCAATGCCGTTCGAAAGTAACGAATACGTAGTCCAAATCTTGATATATTGACCCACTGTACTGGTACATAGTCCGAGTTTTGTTCAAAGCGCCAGGCCCAATGCATATGGTATACAGATTTTCAACGAATTTACCCAGACTTTGCTCCTGGCTTACTTCGCCCCCGGCTTCCTCTTCGTGAGCTTCTTCGACTCTGTGAAGTTGTCTCAGTTTTGAAATGATCGGACTGTATCAAACGAGTGCTCAATGACTTACCTGCCGCCGTACGCTTCTTTGGAGCACCCTTGCCTCTTGCTCTCTTCGCCTCTACGGCCTCCAACCGCAACTCCTCCCGCTCATCCGGAACCAAGCAATCAGGATAGTCTTTTCTCAAGTTCTGAATAACGTCTACCTTCGGCGGGTAGTATTTTGATAGTATATGGCCCTTTAGTCGCTGGCGCAAGACTTTATTGCCCAGTCGTAATCGGTCGGGGTTGAATGTGGTATTGAATATGGAGCATTGGAGCTGCACGCAGGTCAGTCCGAGTGCACGAGAGCATTAACAAGTAATAGGGAAAATTTTACCTTCATCAGCTCCAATATCCTTGAGCGAGCGACCGACATGCTGATACTGCTGTAGAAGAGGCGATGCCACCACTGAATACCCGGATGGGGAGATGTAAGTGATGCCTCAGGCCGAAAGTTTCCTGATTGAGAAATTATTGGTCGGACTTTTTTTCGGAGTATGTACGGGCTACGTAAAACTTTGAATAGAAGTAATAATGGCTCGAAAAAATCCTAATATCATAATAACAGGCACTCCTGGTGTGGGGAAAACCAGTCATGCTGAAGCAGTTGCTGAGGCTTGTGGTCTAAAGCACCTCTCTATCAACGAATTTGCAGAACGAGAGGGCTGCTATGATGGTCGGGACGAGGAGCTGCAAAGTTGGATTGTAGACGAGGACAAGGTGAGAAAGGAAAGTTCTTCTATAGTCTAGGAAACTTTTACTGATCATGCGTCCTACAGCTGCTGGACGCTCTCGAGTCCGCAAATATTCCATCCGGGGGGTTCATACTGGATTGGCACGCTTGCGATCTCTTTCCAAAGTCCTGGATCGATCTCGTGATTGTTCTCAGATGCGATTCGACCATTCTATACGACCGCCTGAGCGCTCGCAAATATTCAGCCAAGAAGCTTGAAGAGAACATGGACGCCGAGATCATGCAAGTGTTGCTGGACGAAGCTCGCGAAGCGTACGATGAGGAAATCGTCGTGGAACTCCAGAGTGATTCGTTGGATGATATCGACTCAAATGTGGAGCGAATACAACAGTGGGTGAAGAGGTGGAAGCAGGATCGTAGTGCCGAGGAAGATGGCGATGGGGAGTGAAGGTCTTTCACTCCGTGTTCTCCTTGAGCCACTCTTTGAGCTTTTCCAACGCTTTGCCGCGGTGCGAGATCTTGTTTTTTTCCTCTTTGGGCATTTCAGCGTACGTTTGGCCCATTGGCGTATATTCAAAAGCGGAGTCCCAGCCTGCAGTCAAAGGTCAGCATGTATCTTGATCGAAGGGGAAAATAAACAAGTGTCCAACGCACCGAAGACGGTAGGGCCTCTTGAGGGCACTAGTTTTCCCTAAGCACAAAGTCAGTTCCAGCGCAGGAATGGAGGTTCTGGGGGAGAACTTGCATCTGTTCGGCCTTGGAACAGGATTGGCTCATGCCCTGGCCCTTCTGAGTACGCAAAGGTAGCTACAGCTTGGACAGATTTATCCTCGAAGCCGTCGAGCATTTTGTAGAGATCATGGGGCCCAAGGGCCTTCAAGAACCATTTGCTAGCGAAAAATTCAGTATATAAGACATGAACACGTTAGTGAGACGCTTACATGTACGGTCCTGGAAGGTCTTTGTACGCTTTGAAACATAAACAAGTATCTTCTGTTAGGACAGGTCCACCGATCTGCATCATCTAATGTCAGCGTCCTGTTCAACATACAAGTGTTTCTATTCCGCGTACGATTTCCGCAGCTCTCTTGCATTTATCAATAGAGACTTCTTCAACTGTGCCTTGTATTTCGACCAGGTCTAGACTCTGATTTTTGAGTACCACAGTGTCTCCTAGGATGGCTTTTACTTCGGCAAGCTTGTTGGCGTTGCCGGTGATGAAATTGAGTTCGCTTGGTGCCATGTTGCTATTCAGATGTAAAATTGTAGCTACCCTCGTCTCAGAATTCCAATATTTATAACCGTGTATATATGGGCGAATCTATGAACTGCTCTCGAATGTACCGGTGGTGACTCTTCAATCGTGGAGCGTCATGCAAGATAGAGCAAAATTAGACCTTGCTAGTCTGCATTTGCTCGAAAATTGCGGCAGAAACTGCCGAAATAGGCGAGGTGTGCTGATGTTGCCTGTGATCAAACACCTCGTCCCAATAGCATTCCATTCGCATTTTCAGTCCATTGCGCGTTCATTCCTCGCAGCTTATCAATTCAAGCTTCAAGATTCAAAATTTGTTGTTTATCATCATTACATGGCTGTGAAAAGAGCGGCATCTCCAGGTGAAGGCATCGTCATCTTCCCGTAGGACCTGTCAGCCTTGTGAATAATGGATCTGGCGCATAAAGCTTCTCTCCATGTAAAAGAGCTGACGGGTTGGGACATTCCGGTAATATTTGCTGGGTTTTTCACATTTATTACCATATGCGTGGTATGGACACGGCTTACGAGCGGCGTGGCAGTAAGCTCGGTGTCGAGTACATCCAAGCCGCCACCATCATTACCGTATTGGATACCGCTTTTGGGCCATCTTCCGCGATGGTTGTTCGAGTATGACAAAACACTAATGGAAACGAAGTATGCTGCATGCATTCCTCTGACAGCTGCTACTAACTCTGCTCAGAGATGCCTTCGACACGGGCATATCTACCTTAATTATTGCCACAGAAAATCATCACATCGTGTCAAGTGCAGATTTAGTTGGACAGATTCGGACGACACATAAGGACCGGATATCTGATACGCTAGCTAAGATGCGTTTTTGGCGCAATGTCTTCAATGTTCCCAAGAACGAGCTTGGTCTGTACCACGAACTTGTATCCGCTATAAACATCCCCATACGATTCCACCTGAACGCTAATCTTGGAGTTCCAAAAACCCCAGAGGAAAATCCGCTACGGAGAATCCAGGGAAACATATCTGACCTTATCACATTCAATGTGCATCCGATCGATCAAGAGCTGTGGGAACGAGTTAGCGCCATCAGACTGTCCGAAGATCAAAAGCTAGCCGAAGTATCACTGTTGTATGTCAGTGCTCAAATCATTTTCCAGTATTGGCTGACGGATATCCAGACCGTTGGTATTTCTATTTCTGACGCATATGACCACGGATACGTTCGTATCGGAGTCTTTGTTGTCTGACCAAGATCATCCGGAAGTAGGACCACTCCTTCTTGCGTTCGTGCAGTCTAGCTCTTTGCTTATGACTGGCTTACCGCGATGGGTGCCCCATCCGACGCTTCCAGCCGCTCACATCACCAGACGGAATCTCATGAAGCATCTCAATGCGCTGCTTGACATAACTGAAGACGTCGAGCTGCAGAACAACCTTTTAGCAGCGAGAGGAAGGATGCTTGATGATCACAAAGCACCTCGAAGCATACGCACAATCGAATTACTACGTTTACTGCACGGAATGAATACTCCTCACATTATAGCATTTTGGATGCTTTTACATATCATCTCAGACGCAAATCTTCTGGAACGCATTCGTGTAGAAGCAATCAAAGTTGTTGACATCGTCCAAGACGGGCCTGTGATGGGATTCTCAGTGCCGCCACGGGTTACCCTTGATATGTCAGGATTGCTTGGAGACAAAACACCGCTGCTGAAACGGTGCTGGCTTGAAAGTGCTCGGCTGTATTCCCGTGGGCAAGGAGCGTGGACAGCGACGGAAGATTTTGATCTGATCGGACAAACTGGTGGCGTCTTCAGCACTAAAAGCCGATGGAAGATCGCTAAGGGAGATTGGATCGACGCACCGTATTGGCACAGCAACACCAGTGCATCGATGTGGGAAGCACCGGAGAAGTGGAACCCTAACCGACATGTAGAGGATGAAGGCAAGGACCTGTTGTTCGATACAATGGTTTTCGATACTCGTAAGTGGATGTGCGCGTAAAGTTTTGTGAAGTTGCTGACCACCTCAACAGCTGGCCTTTTCGGCATGAATGAAGCTATCAAACCCGCTCGTCTCTTTGCATTAGCCTTTGTAGCCAGTGCTGTGTTACTATACGACTTTGAGACAGATCCCAAGAAGGGGATACCCGATTCGCAATTCGCACCCGGTGTTGCTCTACCCGCATTCGATGTCCGCGTGCGTGTGCGAAGGCGCGTCTATGCATAAGTTCATATCTTGTTAGATACAAAAGCACAAACTAGATGTTGTTTCCGCAATGTCTATCTGAAACCTGTGTATTATTGAATACTCCATTAATTTCAACCATCAGATCACCAGGGTCCGATCGAAGCATGGTGACATAGTTCCTTGAATGCGCGATTTCAGTGCGTGATTTCTCTCTCGAGCTACATACACCATTCTGTTCATCTCACTGAATTCCATTAGAATGCCGCTCTCTCCTTCAATCTGATTTTCATGAGAGTAGTTCTTAGCCGAGTGGGACAAATTAACTGTTCCTCCTACGCGATCCTGACATCAAAATTCTCAGAAATTGCTGGCGCCTTGATCGAGTGTACGTCGACGCCATGATTCTCAAACACAGTGGAACAGATGTCCCAATGCTAAAGATGGAATCAGCAGAAGCACTATGGGCTAGGATGAGAATCGGTACTGTAACATCAAACGTCTCGAATAAATCTGTCTACTCAAGAGCGGGGGAGGGATGCTAGAAACAATAGATATATACAATGGATAAGAGCACTCGTAAGCGAGTGAGAAAAATTCGCCAGTCCTACTCTACAACAGCACGGAATGAGTGTGCTTTTGCGGTTGTAGCCATTGGCTCACAAGAGGTGTCGCCCCCACTAGATGCATGTAGAACATGCCATTGCTCGTTTCTCCCAAGGTTTGCGTGACGTTATGAGGTACTGTGAACTCCATGTTTTCATCGCTGTGAACCATCACATTCATTAGTTTGGTCTGATTTCGCTCGGTTGTGCCATTTCCAAGCATTTCAGGGCAAAATGCTGCGTCCTTTTGATGTGAGTAAGACCCGCTTTTCTTCTGTGTGCCCACATACATGTGTGGCATCTGGTACGCACTGTGTGGCACTGCCTGCAATTCCGTAGGTGAAGGGTTTGCTATATTGACCGAGAGAGGCGATGCCGGCAGATGGCATTGTTGTACGTGCCAATCACCAAAGGCGCCATACGGCTTAGAGTAAAAGCTGTGGAGTAGTGTGTCTACGCCCTTTTCATTGGTGATTTGCTTGTCTACACCAACGAAATGTATTCTTGCGCCCTCGCAAGGTAAGTAGTCTGCGAGCTCGTGGGGTTCAAGACCCATCAACTTCTGTTTTGCAGCTTCTTCGAGCTTGGTGCACATGATTATGAACTGTGAAGATCGGAAGCTGTCAAAGAGACCTTCGCGCCAATGATGGGTTGATAATATCTCAACAGCGGCTTGCCGTATTGAAGGAACACGACAACGGGTGCCGGTGAGATGGAGTGCCGGGATCAAGCCCATGTCAATCTGAAAGCGACCAATATTATTGCAGAGGTACTCTTGAGGTATCTCTACTATGGTTCTGCTCAGGTCAATAACTTCTTGGAATTCCGGAGTAAACTTGTCGTAGTCCTCTTCGTATGGAGACAGACACGTGCAAGCCCATATGTATGTGCAAATTATCAGGCACTGTACCATATTCCCGGCCCGTATTTGCATTTGCGTAAAATTCATCTGTTCTCTTCGCGAGAATTCCTTGAAAGACTTCCTCCACTGTAACGTGCGAGCAATGAGGACTCGCTGCTCGGCATAGAAAGACTCATCTACACCTTGCTCGGTGTACGATACAGGCGTGCCGCGTGAGATAAAATCAATGGCCTCGTCGAGAATGGCGAAAGCTTCGTCGCGCGCTTGATTCATTGTCTCGAAGAGATAGTGATAATCATGCGCTCTTTCAGTCCCGGGAACATCGATCCAGAGCATTCGCTTCCCAAAAACCTTGGAGTGCAATGCGAGTCTAGAGAATGTGGAGCTCAAGTCATCCATGAGGTCTTGTTCTGAGTCTGTTCCACTGCGTGGTGATGAGTTTGACGAGCTTGATGAATCAGGAGATTGCGATTTCGATCGTGTCTTCCAATCCTGCAAGAGCTTGAGACCTCCATTGATATGTATGGCGGCAGCATCTTCGTTACCGGCAAGAAACTCAAGACACACAAAGAGCGCGACCACCACAGCTTTGACATACAACGGATCAGATGATGATTGCACCAGATGTCGAATAGCGTTGTTGTAGTCTCTCAGTATAGTCGGATTGACGTTCGCTATGGTATTCCCTTGGGCTTTCTCTACTTCAGCATGGAGAGAACTGACAGCCTGAATGGCAAGTCGAATCGCGGGCTCAGTATGACCGAGCTGGACAACCTTGACCTTCCAGAAGTCCAAGTCATCGTAAAACCCAGCAATTTTGGGCGCAATCTGGTCCGCGAAGAAATTCAGCTGGCCCTCCAAACCACGAGCTCCGATGATAGTGTTCAAAGGTTCTTTGGGTAAGATGTTGACAGGCCTGAGAGAGACCAAAGCGTTCTGGCTCACGGCATATCCATCGCACTGGCGTCCAGTCGAAGTGCACCTGTTTCCAAGTCATTCACGAGCATTTGGATTCTGTGCGAAGCGCATACCGCTTGCACGCGGGCTTTGCCTCATCGCACTTGATTCTACGCAATCTGATATCTGTCAGGAAAGGGCCGAGAAAGTCCAGCATACAGCGGTCGACCCACTTGCACGTCTTGCACCCAGATCGCGTCTTGGGCGCATACGCTCGTTTGCGCTCGCCTTTGCATTCTGTCATCGTCCGCCGTCCGCATGCGGACTGTTCGACATTGCTTTCGTGCTGCTATCTTGTCCGTTCCCCAAAGCTGGGGGCCTGGGACAGAACGACGGGATCCCGCAACCGGCCATCCCTGTGCGCTGCTGATGACAAAGCGAAACCGCTGCCAGTTCCAAGTAAAGGCGTCGACTCGAGACTCCAGCCCAGGCGACAGAGGCCGCTGCCTCGCCTAGTCTCTACGTGTCTTATGCGCTGTCGGCGACGTGTCCTCTTTGCAGTTGGAACTGCAGCGAACGCCATGTTTCGATGATCCTGAGTCCAGAGCTAAGCGCGCGATAGCTCAGATACCTGACTGACGATGCTTCATCTGTGACGTGTGTGTGTGGACCAAACGCTTACTGCTCGGTTTGGCTCTTATCGTATCCAGTCTCAAACATCACGCTTCTGTGTATACAAGGAGCCCCGTTCACATCTTCGTCGCTTCGCTTTGCTCGCTGCATTGTGCTTCTTTCTCGAACCTCCACCCCATCGGTCGGAAAAGCCGACAATGGCACTCGTTAATACTGTGATACAGGCTACTTTGCTGAGCATGTTCTCAAACATACTCGCACAGATTCTAGACTCTTACCAAAAGAACGTATGCAAACTTTTCCCTACAAGAGGAATGGCCATCTTTTGTGGTAGACTGGCTGACAAAATGTCTGGCATAGACGTCTCTTTCTATAAATTTTACCCCAGTGCTACACTTCGCCGTCTACGCAGCCCTTTCCACTCCTATAAACGTTGGCTGGCAAGATTGGCTAGAGAACACCTTTCCGAGCAAGAGACCGTCGACAGCGAATCAATCCAACTCGCACGAGAAAGCGAATGTGCCCGAACCAACCCACGATGGCGCTCTTCATATTCTGAACACTTTCACAAAGTTTGTACTTGATCAAACTGTCGGTGCATTGTTCAACATACCACTTTTTATCGGCATCATCGGTGCGTTAAAAGGGCAAAGCATGGAGCATATTTTGGGTAAGATCCAAGAGGTATGTTTGTGTGTGTGCGTGCGTATGTGTGTTTAAGCACAAAAGCACCGATGAACATCTCTGCAGAATGCTCAATGTGTCGATTAGGACAGTTTCGATATCTACTTCTCAGGCATGAAACTATGGCCACCCGTATCTCTCGTCAGCTATGTTTTTGTCCCGCCTGAGCACCGCGTCATTTTTGGAAGTATTGCTGGCGTGATCTGGAATATCTATCTGAGTTTGATGGCTCGCTGATCGTCTTTGTCGGACTCAGTTGGCTTGAACATCGACGCAAGGTATATCGGGTGGCTTGCTTGATACTCGAACCGCCACCTTGCTCACAGATCGGAACAATGAACAGTTCAAGGCGAGTCTCAGAATCAGATTTGGGTGCGGGCCGTGTTCGCGTCTCTTTAACTAGAACTATGTGAGCGGGGTGGCGCGCGGGTCAACGGCCTTTCTCGTTCCTTTTCCACGGCTTCGTCCATCCAATTGTCCCGAACAATAGTCAGCTAACACAAGCCTTGTTATTTTTGAGCAAGTTTCTGCCCCATCTCCTTGATTTCCCTGGCCGGACTAGGACATGCGACTTTGTGGCGGTTTCCAAAACGCATGGCTTCTAAATTAAGGACCCCGGCATTTTGCGCCGCAACCGGATTGTCCGCAAGAGGAGGGGAGAAGGTCAAAGAGGTCGGAACGATCCTAGCAAACGTGAATCAATAGGGCAATTAGAAGTGTCTCATCTGAGAAAAACTGGGAATTTAGAAAGGATGTCTTTGCTCTGATATACCCTCGCGATGTTTGCAAACCGGTGGATTTTGTTTTCTCATTCCTTTCTCTTCTGTCTCGCAGCTGCGCTGCTTTTTTTTTGGCAACAGGGTTCGATCATGTATCAGCCCTTTTCCCTCGTCATATGCTCCTGCTTCGTCTTAATCAGTCGCGCCCAGACTTGTTACTGGCCCAACGGGAGTCAATTGACCGCGAAAGATAACTATACAGCATGCTCATCGGATGCAGTCAGTCAGTGCTGCGCCATCGGGCACGCTTGCTTGAGCAATGGGCTTTGCTTTAATCCCACCAAGGGATCAGTGTATCGACGAGGCTGCACAGATTCGAAATGGTCTTCGAGCGCCTGCCCGCAGTACTGCAACACTATGTCTGGTACATCGTTCCCTTTTTCCCTAGTCTGGCCAAATCTGTTGGCATTGACATGGTAATTAGACTTCAAGCAAAGTTCTGTGACGCTTGCACCGTGCCCGCCAGATGCAAATGGCCAATGGAATTGGTGGTGTGGTCAGGACTACACGAATGTTTGCGGGTCAAGTAATCAAAATACGTCTATATTCAACTACCCTGCCAACGCCTATATTCTCAAAGTAGCCGGTTCTGAGAACCAAACAACAACGGCCATATCTGGGTCAGCTACGAGCGGTACGAATGCAGCGACGCCTCTTGATCAGCCTGCATCGTGTGCAAATGGATCCGACAAGGATAAAGTGTCAAAGATGACGCCAATAGCAGTTGGAATTGGAGTTGGCGTGCCTCTAGCAATGTTGGCTACCACAATGGGATTTTTCTTTTGGAAAGAGCGAAAGAGACGAATCATTGCTGAGAGACTTGGATACGCAGGACAGGTCATTAACCTGGCAAAGCAGAGCTATGATAAAGACGGTGTGCCTTCAGTGCCTGTGTTTGAGCTTTCTCCAGACACAGCCAAGGTGCAATTACACGGGAGCGAGAGTCGATCATAGCCCCGGCCACTTTTGTATATGGATCGACACGACTACAGCGTTGAAACGGATGATCTTATGATATGACTCCTTGTATGAATATGACCGAATCGAAGCCGACTTTGAAATATGCCATCTTGACTCGCAAAAAGAGAAGACTTGAATCAGGGCGGGCAAGTATTATCGCGTGCGTATGCTTATGTTATTTGGTAACAGTCCCATAAGGAGTGATAATAATCCTGGGTATCGCATCAACGCCAAAGTTAAGCTTCATGTTACTTAGGGCTTCGTCTTTGCCAGCATTCGTATCCAACGATGGTACTTCTTCAATGTCGCTGTCAAACGAGTAACTCGCTCGTTGCCAGCGCAATCATAGTAGAATTGGTGCATAGGTTGCAGATAACACCATCCTGAATGCGGTTCTGTGTCTTTCGCTGTATGTGTGGTTCGCTGTAAATTCGCTAATTTCACAAGATTGGGACAAAGGCTCGACCGTTGTTAAACTAAAGTAGATGAAGCTCAAGGATTTCCCCTGTTTGCTCCAGATCAGATGGCTAACAAGCTTGGAGTGTCAAGGCAAACTTGCTCGGAACAACATTTATCAACGGTATATTTCTCTTGAGAAAAGTGAGGATCTCGTCTGCTTTACACCTAAACTGTCTGAGTTTCAAGCTCCATAGCATGTACGTCGGCCAACAGTTCAAATTTGCCAGCGGCAGTCCATTGGGGCTGTGATCATGACACAACCCCGATCTTTTTGTACCACGAAATCACAGGAAAAGGTCATTTGTGTTTTCGAAGATTGATAGAAATCTTTGGAAAGCGTTGTGCCAAAGCGTCGTACCAAAGCCTTGGCTGAGGTTCAAACGAAGTGGTTTCGAGAGCTGGATGCAAACAGTCCAGCTGGTAAAAGAATTTCTTTAGCAGAAGAGTCTGGGTGCCAAATGCACGTGTGATAGCATCTCGTGGTACTTGGCTTTCATGGCTGAGACCAACAATTAAACTCTTCGGCTTGTAACCGCTGGAGATGATCGCCTGGCAGCTGACGATGCCAAACTCATACTACTCTGACCCTTCTTGCACCGAAGTTAGACTTCCAGGATATGCGAAAGACAAGCGTTAATTGAATCTTCACACAGTTGTATTGAACGATGCAAGCGATTTCATCTTCCCAATTGAAGTGATGTCATCAAAGTGGCGTAGTCGTAAGGTCTGATTAATTTCGTCCGACGTTGCCGCACCGGCAAACTATTGCTCATTAGGAGACTGTTGGAAGCACACGGCTGATAAGAGGTACCGCAGCTCATATAGACAGAAGTTGGCTCTTCTTTAAGCAACAGGTTTGCGTCCCAAATCTACACTCGAGTCAGCGGTGAAATAAAGAACTCAAGTTCGTCGCGTCATCTCGAGGTGCAACATCAGTGTTCTGTTCCGTCTTTCAAAAAGACAACAAAAAGTTGTGATTCCTGTCTTTTGCTTCTTCTAGTTCACAATATCCGACGCTTGAAATAATCCCACAAGTGAAGGAGCTTCTGAAACTCAGAGACAATGGCTTGGCTATCACCTGGACTGACCACTTTGAGAAATTGTACCAAGCTTCCTTCGATTTCCCAGTGTATATCCCAACCGATGTCCCGTCGTATCATATTTGACAATTTGCTCGACAATACAGTTTTGACCTGAGCCTTTGCTAACAATGCGCAATCGAGTTTCCCCACTTTCGCTTTAAATCCTACAAAGCGTCTTTGCACTTGTCAGCACTGTTCTTATGATAGGCTAGCGAGTTTTACAACGACGAACGTGCCTATTAATATGAAGGGTTGTGGCCGTAGGTTCCGCCTTGAGGAGCAAGACCTGGCGAAGCATATGACTGCTGCGGTGGGTAGTATGGCTGTTCTGTAGGAGCGTAGTCCTGTTGCTGCGGAGGCGGATAAGAGCTTTGCGTAGAAGCCTGAAATTCTTGCTCCTCGGGCTTTCCCACGACGGTCGCACTCTTCTTTGCATTTCGCCTCTTCATGACGATAAACACGAGGATGGTGATGATGATGATGATCACCACAAGAATAATGATAGCTGCAATGACGCCACCAGAAATTTTGGTCTTTTTCTTCGTCGTTGTCGTCGATAACTTGCGGGCAAACAGGAGCGGCGAGGCCTCGCTTGTCATGAGCAGAGAGAGCATCAAGAGAAGGGACTGAAGAATATCCATAGTGATGATTGCACGCTTGGGGAAGTGAGAAGAGGCTCAAACGAAGCCAAATGTTCGAAGACGCCTGCTTCTACGGTTCAACGGGAGCGCGAACAACAGGTAGACACCGACTGTAGGATTTGCCCATTCTTGTAGTCGCATCTGCACTACCATTTCGCTCATAATTCCACGAGCACGCCATTGGCGGTCTTTGCTATCGTGGCTGTCGTATTCTGGCGAGATTTGGGGCGGTTTTCCAGGCTTTCCCTTCACTACGCCACAGCAGCCAAAGCAGCCACAACAGGTCTTGCTTTCGATGATGGCAGCACAAGCCAATCGAATGTGGTTCTCGACTCGCGAAGGTGAAATTTCCAACCTGCAATCATGCACGAGGCAGTAAAGGCTTAGGGACCGATGTTCGAAAGCTCGCGCGCCAAGAATATTCGCGAGAAGAAGCACTTCTGGGCGTAGCCTGCAAGACTTGACCGCGCAAGAATAGATTTTCACCGGTCATTTCGTTCACCGCACGATGCGGACCAAAGGAGCTATTCCATGTCCTGTGTGCACTTGGTCGACGAAGGCGCTCAAATACGACATGGCTCATGAATGGGTTCATTTTAAAGATCGTGATACCTAGTGTGATCCTTGCTGTGTCGTGAGCGCGATATGCTGGAGCGCCTAGTTGTTCCACGACATATGTGGTAGACATAGTAAGCAACATCGCGGTTTATAACATAATCGACCGGAGGAAAAGATGCTTTGCATTCATAGTCGATACTCGAGGAGGAATGCCATGGGGATTAAACCACGTGATTCAGGCACGTGAAATGCGGCCGCGGACCACCTCGGTTTCTCCTCCTTTCCTCCTCACTGGATCAAGCTTCGACGAGGAAAGCGCTTACAAAGGACGGATCGGAAACGAGCGAAGATTCGAATAGATCAAGATGGTGACCTCGAAGCCGTTCAAGATCCAAATTTCGGATCAAGAGCTCGAGATTCTGCGGCAGAAGCTGGAGCTAGCGCGATTACCCGACCAGCCCGAAGGCTACACCATCAAACAGGGCGTTCCAGTCCCAGAAATCAGCCGCATCGTCGAACATTGGAAGACGGACTTTCTGCCGAAATGGAGAGAGCACGAGGCTAAGCTGAACGAGCTCCCCATGTTTACGCGTCCAGTACAGTCTCAGGGGTTTGGCACGCTGGACATCCACTTCATACACGCAACGAGCAAAGCGGAGAATGCCATCCCGCTGCTCTTCGTCCACGGCTGGCCCGGGAGCTTCATTGAGGCGTCCAAGATCGTGAGCAAGCTGACGGATCCTGGCGAAGGCAAGCAAGCGTTTCACGTCGTGGCTCCGAGCCTACCGAATTACGGCTTCAGCGAAGGCGTCAAGAAGGTGAATTGCGTTCTTCTCTCTGCCTCTCTCCTCTCTTCCTCTTCTCTCGCGCCGCGTATGACTTGAACAGCGCTGATGTCGCACGCCGCAGCGAGGCTTCAACCTAGCGCACTACGGCCACGTGTGCAACCAGCTCATGCTCGACCTTGGATACGACCAGTACGTCGCCCAAGGAGGCGACTGGGGCTCGATCATCACGCGAATCATGGGCCGCTTTCACGCCGACCACATGCGAGCCGTGCACGTCAACATGCTCGCGTTTCAGCCTAGCAACGTGCTGAAGCAGCCCTGGCTGCTCTTGACTGCGCTGCTCCCGAGCTTCTGGCCCACGAAGCTCGAACGGCAGGGCCTGAAAAACGGCGTGCAGTACACGGTGGACGGGAACAAGTACTATGAGATCCAGCGGACGCGGCCACAGACGGTCGCCTACTGCCTCAGCGACTCGCCGGTGGCCTTGCTCGGCTGGGTGTACGAGAAGCTGATCCACTGGACGGACGACTACCCTTGGACGCCCGACGAGATCCTCATCTGGATATCGATCTACTGGTTTTCCCGCGCGGGGCCGGGGGCCAGCGTGCGCACATACTTTGAAGCCCACGACGAAGATGCGCAGTGGCGCGGCGCAGAGACGGAATACCGCTTCTGGGACTGGCAGAAGGCGCTGCTGGGAACCAGCCAGTTCCCAAGGGACATCATCAACATCCCCCGCTTTCTTGCCAGGACGCTCGGCAAGGTCGTCTTTGAACGCCAGCATACCTCCGGGGGCCACTTTGCGGCCTGGGAGAGGCCGGACGAGCTCGTCGCCGACTTGCAGGACATGTTCGGACCGGGCGGAGGAGCTCATGGTTGCGTGGCCAGCGTGCCCAAGTAAATAAAGGGGCGGCGTCGGAACATGCTCCTTTTACAAACCCGAAGGGGCCGAATGATGCGAACAGGTGCGCTGTGAAATGGCTTTGAGTTCGGGCACGTTCATTGTCCACTTCTATCCGTACACGTCGACCCCACAAAAAAGGACATTTTGGTCGCGCACAAGTACATCTCAATCGCTCTTCTAATTGACCACTCCTTTTCCCCCTTGGACTAGTTCTGCTTTTTTCTCTTTTTCTTTTCTTTTCTTTTTTTTCTTCTTTCTTTCATTTCACGCCCGCATAAGAAAACTTTCAAACCTGGCTCTTGGGCTTGCCGGTCATGTCGTAGTATCTCGCCATCTCGAGGCCGGCCCGTCTAAAGTTGCACTTGATGTAAAAGCCCTCGTTCGCCTCCGAGCAGTCAAGAATGGTCTGCGAACGATGTCAGCCTCTTCCGAAGTAGCATCCCGCCGAAGCGGGCGACCGTGCCAAAACGATGCGATTTTTGCAAATCGATCGCGGCCGCGGCCCGAGACGCGGCGATCGCGTGTACGCACCTTGTAGCAGCCGACGCTCTCGGCGACGAAGTCCAGCGCCTGGATGATGCGCAAGCCGAGCTTCTTGCCCTGCTGATCCTTGGCCACGGCAATGTCCTCGATGTGCCCTACGGCGCCGAGCTCGTGAATGAACTTCCTCTCGACCAGCACTGTGCCCGTGCCGACGATGCAGTTGGCCTCCTCGCGGCTCGTGTCCACCACGCACAGCACAAAGTACTCGCCCGACCGCTGCTCCATCCAGTCGTAGCGCTTGTTCCATGCCTCCAGGCTGATGTCGCCTACCGTTGTAAGCACGCGGAGCACGTCGAGGAAGCCCCTGGCGTAGTCGCCGCGCTGGAGAGGCCGGATGATGTAGCCCTGCGGAAGGGCAGCCGAGACGGTCGGGGATATGAGGTCGGTGGAGAATAGCGGCTTCTCGCTCATTGCACCGTTCGCTTGCGTCGATGACATCCTCGAGGGTGGAAGGGAGCTGAATGCGTCGTCGATGTATACGCCCAGGGAATTGAAGACCGGCTGGCAGCGTCTCGGCGGTGAGCTATCGTTAGTGTGAATTGGAGACGCCGCCTGTGCGTCTTGCACGGATCAATTGCGCACGTGGAAAGCGGATATTCGTACGTCAAGAGCGTGAGCGGTATGCGTGTTCGTGGTGGAGGGTAGGAAGAGTATTGAAAAGACGGAATGGTGCAAGCTCCTAACAAGTTTCAGAGCAACCAACGTTGTCGAGGCCACATGTTTGTGCCTGGCAGATGCGGGACGATCTGCGGGAGGACTGGGGATTACGTTTAAGGCTGAGCAAGCGACCCCGTGGCGTTTTTGTTACCAAAATTAGGCCTTCCATCATAGCTTGTTAAATTGGTGTAGGAGAGCACGTCATAGTCGGACAATCGTTCCAGCACAAGCTCGCGCCCTCAGATAGTCACTGTCTGCATTCCGTAAGGCGTTGGATTGTCGAATCCTAGGCCACAGCGGGACGAGCACCACGGTCACAACGTATTGAATTTTGTCTTCAGGTTGAACAAATGGGAACATGACGCAACTAAGTCTATATGTACAAAAGCAATTCCATTTCTCCCCTAGTTCTCCTTTTCCTCCCAGTCGTCCTGCCTAATCCAAAGGACAACAGCTTTGCTATTACTGCAATCGCTAATGGGGAGTTGGTGTGCGTACGCTCGCGCTCGAAAAGCTAAACAAAACACAAGTGAAAGAGTTTGCAAAGATGCAGCCCTAGTAGCGACTTAAGAAACGCCGCCCACATGATGTTGATGAGTAATTGCAATGAACAGAAGGAAAGGGGCGTCCCAGTCGGCCCACCATACAGCAACAAAAGAGCCAAGCGATAGCAAAATCCAGAACATGTGGACGGGCCGGTTAAGCAGATCAACAGCAAAATGAATGGATGGAAAACAAAACCTTGGGTGTGGGGTATGCAGGGTCGTCATCAACTGCTCCTCTAAAAACTGGGATCATAAAACGCATTATAGCAACCTTTTTGTTGTTGCTCTTCTGTTCTCGCTCCTCCTTTACTTTTCGACGCTTCGCTCGCTTGCTCGCGTCAGCCTCCGTTTCCACCGTTCCGTGAGTGGGAGGTTGCTTGGGCTGCCAATCGATTGCTCCGTGTTCTCGGCATCACGCAGCCCGGACCTAGACTGGCTACTTTCGAGACGCATAAGCCTGTTCGCCGACGTAAAGTCATTGCTAGCCTCGAATGAAGGCCGAATCTTGTCCATGGACATTCTGGCACGGTCGAACGACGGCCTCGATCGATGCGACGTTTCTCTCGTTGCCGCTGGCATCAGAGGCTTGTCTAGTGTGTCCATAGCGCCGGTCGTTGGTTGTGCAACAGATCCTTGGCGGGTAGGATCAGCGTCGAACGTTACATACGTGTAGTTGGAGCCGTCACTACCTGTCTGTGTACGTGTGTGGTTTGTCGTAGCGGTGGGAGCGACTGAAGGAGGATAGATAGGCCGCATGTCGTCCGAAAGATTGCCAGGCATGCGTTTCCGTCCACGTCCCTCGGGAGCATCCTCCGCGCCAACTGTGGGTCCAGGTTAGTTCGAACTCATCTCACATAGCTGTGTCTCAGCCTGCCGCACAGCGAACATGAAAAGGACTCACCTGGAGAATCGTCTTCGGAGCTAGCTAGAGACTTCAGCTTATCTTTGTCATCGGGCGACGGCGGTATCAGTGTGTCGACGTCTTTCAGATAGTCGAATTTGCCCTGAGTTACTTGCTCTCGTATGATGTCTACGTCTCTCGGAAAGTAAATCTTCTGAATTGCCTTAACACAGAAGCGCGGCAGAAGGCAGAGGATGACCGTCACGAGGATATACGCCCAGAAATCCAGAAGACCATACACCTGGGCAGCGGCACCGTAGAATGTGAAGCCAACGGTGAATGATGTGTATACACCAGTCCAAAACCAGATGAGGAGGATGGAGATGGTAACAATGAGCAGAGTCAACCAGTCCCAGCGATATGTGTTGTTCAGGACGTACAAGTTGACCGTGACGACGGCGGCTGTCGCAATGAAGACGCCCATGCGACTGGTGTCGCTGACATCCAGACCGTTTTCAGTAAGGAAATTTGCTGGTGAAAAAAGAAGGTATCCCATGAAGAACACCATCAAAGATTGGTATACGCCGTCGACCATGTACAACCAGAATTTAGGCTGCGTCCATTCGAGGCGCTCAATGCCACGCGTGTAAAGCTGCGGAACGGCAAGGGAGACCTTGTCGTCGACATCCTGATCGAACACACCCATGAGGATGACGGGTAGAGAGGTAAAGGCTAAGTTGTACATGATGATGTACGAGTAATCGTAGATATAGACGCAGTCAAAGTTCGAATAAATCTGGTACCAGAACAGGGCGAAGGTCCACACCAAGTTCTAACGCAGTCATCAGCACAACACTCAAAAAGAAAGGAGACAAGAGAAACACTATTGAATAGAAACGAGGGTTTGCACGTACCTTGTAGAAGAAGTTGGCAATCGTCTCGGCCAACCGTCTGTACGACCACCGACCATGCACCAAAACAAGTCTTGTCAAGAACCTGAACTGTGCAATCGCAAAGTCGGATGACATGACAGCCTGACGACCCTCTTCACCAGCGATGCCAACGCCAACATGCGCCTTTTGGATCATAGCAACGTCGTTGGCGCCGTCGCCGATCGACAAAGTGAGGCAGTCCAATCCGTTCTTGACCATCTCAACAACGGCAGCCTTCTGAGCGGGGCTGACACGGCAACAAAGCACCGCACGGCACTGTTTGCAGAGCAACAAGAACTTCTGACGTAGTGTGTCGTCGAGACACAACTTGAGCGACTCGCCGTCGATGACAAGCGCGTGCGTTGGCGGTGGGGGCTGGTGCTGCGTCTGTGCAGCCTTGAGCTCCTCGTCTGACCCCGTCATGCCAAACAGCTGCAGGTTCTTGTCGAGCTCTGCCTCGGCCGTTTGCAAGCTCTCATCCTTGATGTCGATTACAATCAGGTCCATGTCGTTGTTGAGCAGATTACACGAGAAGCCAATGTTGATGGCTGTCTCAACCTTGTCGCCTGTCAGCACCCATAGCTTTATACCTGCCCGACCCAGCAAAGCGATGGCGTCTGGAACTCCGTCTTGAAGCCTGTCCTCAATGGCAGTGCCGCCAAGAAGCATGAGCTCCTGCTCGATCTTTTCGGCGACAAGCTCCTGCTTCTCTTCGCGGTCAACGACGGACTGCGAAGCCTCTGCGTACTCACGCGCCCATGTTTGATACTCCTCTTCCGAGAGCTCTCGCTGCGCAATGCATAGCGTACGCAAACCTTCGCGAGCGAACATCTCGAGATGCTCGGCTGTCGTCTGCCTGAGCTCGCGTTGCTCACCCTTCTTGAGGCGACCATAGATGATGCTGTCGGCTCCCTTGCAAAACAGGACGATCTTGTTGTCCGGCATGCGAACGATGACGCTCATCCTCTTCCTTGTCGAGTTAAACTCGATCATGTCCAGGACCGTGTACGTCTGCTCCGTCCCGAGCACGTCGATGATGAACTTGTCATCCAGTTTGCGCAGCATGGTGAAACCAACGTCCCTAGCTGTGCCCACGAGCGCGGATTCGTCGGGCGACTGAGCCTTGTACTCTATCTTTGACCGACCATCCACCGTACTGATAGATGGGACGACGCTGTGGCAAAGAGCCAAGGCGAGCATGAATCGCTTGTTGGCCGCCTGCTGCTCTGGTGCGTCTGAGTTGGCCATGTCCGCGATGAAGTCGGGAGCCACGAAACTCATCTCGTCCTTGAACAGGTATGGGTTGGCATAGAGCTCGTCCATCTTCTGGAGCATGAGCTCCTTATCCTCCGCAATCTGCTTTCGCGCTTTCGCACCCTCAACTTCGACATCTATGCCCTGCCGTCGCTGCATTCCGGCCAGAGCCTCTGTGTAAGCCTCGCCGTAGGGCACGCCATTGACGGTGCACTTCTTGAACTCCATGACGTTTTGGGTTAGCGTTCCCGTCTTGTCGGAAAATATGTACTCGATCTGGCCCAGGTCGTCCGAAATGTTCCACGTCTTGGGTGTGCACGGGTAGTCGAGCTTCTCGTAGTACATGAGCACGTCGCTGTAGATGAAGATGGCTTGCAGTGTGCGGATGATCTCCAGAGTAATGTACAGCGAAATGGGCACCAAGTTTTGGAACAGGATGATGGCTGCCCAGAACGTGATAAAGCCGTCGAGGCCGGCGTGATTGTTACCGTACGATCCGAACTCGAACAGCTTGTGGGAGGTGTCAGGCTTGCTCCACGCCACTCCCTGCACGATGGCAGCAATCAGGCACATGAAGAACAGGATGATAAAGTTGTAGATGACGTTCCAATTGAGATCTTTTGAAATCTTGGCACGCTTGCTTGGCGTGATGCCCGAGTTAAGCATGATCTTGGTCTCCGCGCCTGTGAAGACGACAACTCCGAGGACCCATTCAGTGTTGCGTATGGAACTGCCGCGGGGTAAAAGGTTGTTAATTGCGATGGGCTCCGCCATGTCCCGTCCCGAGTGATGGTCGTACCACTTCATAACGGCGGTGTAGCCATAAAGGTTAGCCTGAGGACCTTCGCTCTCGATCACAAACTCGGCCCTTTCACAATCCCTGGCGTGTCGGACTTTTCTACTGCACAGCAGCGCGTTTCGCAGCTTGAGGTTGGTTTCGCCGTCGAGATTTTTGGTTTCGATGTAGCAGGCGCCCTCGGGATCCGCGGTGGATAGCACGACGACGTCGGCTGGTACCTCTTCGTTCTCGTACAAGCGAACAAAGTCACCAACCTTGACATTTTTCCACGTGTCTTGGTGGAAGCGTGCCTTGCCCGACACCTCTCGGTGCGGGTTTAATATATCGCCCGTGTATCTTGCGGGCGGCTGGTGCGTGCCAGACGGTGCAACAACAGGTTCCACGTCTGGAAATGGCTCTTTCACCTCATGATCGACAGAAGGCTGCTGGCCAGGTAGTGGAGAAGGGACTGGCGTCATCTGGATGGCATCGCGATCCTCAACACCGGTATGGAAGGAGGGGTCCGAGAAGAGACTTTCCCTGCGTGTAGCTATCGACGGCCGCGAGGCATCCACACCACGCTCGGCGTACGACTTTCCCCTCTCACCCTCGGCCGTCTTCTTTGACTTGATCAGGTGCCACACCCACTTGATGGCGCGCGTGTTCGCTTTCTTGAAGCGTCTCCATAGCGAGACCTGCTCATTCGTCACGTTGACATTGTCCCAGTCAATCAGTCGGTGGACCGGGGCGTTGTTCAGCTCAGCGTCCAGCATTGTCCTCCTCCAATCTTCAATTCCATCTTTAAACGCCGTGATCGTCAGGATGACGATCAAGGGCACCGCGTTCAGTGCAGGATTGGCCACGCCAAAGATACTAAAGATCTGTTGCACAGGTTACCACGATTAGCATTCTCCTTTATCTTCGCCTTCAGAAGATATACGGATTCAGAGTCATTCGTTTCTTCTTCTCTTTTTCTATCTAGCAGCGGGTATCGTTGCAATGTGAGACGTCGAAACTCGCGTTTCAATCGACTCGATTCGTGTTCACAAACTAGAAAATGGACAGAAGACCGTAAACGATAGGTGCGTAATGTGCAACATGGCGAGCTCGGTAGGATGGGCCGAGTCGAACTTGCCGTCGAAGGAAAACAGAGCCGGGAAACAGCTGTGGGCAAGGGAGAAGACGCAGAAGAGGAATAGAGAAAGAGAGAGAGAGGAGGTGGGGGAGGGCAACAACTTACACCGAGAATAACAATGAACAAAAAGTACACGTTGGCAATGTTGTGAAATTGGAACCACAGGTTCTTGGGCACAAACGAGATGGGGGTGTACTTTGCCGTGCGTATCTTGTTGCGGGCGTAGTGAGCTCGCGGATGGCCGTTCTCGTCGAGGGCGTCGGCGGGCAAGGGAAGGTTGAAAAAGATGCGCCTGCCGTTGTCTTCCTTTTCATCCGTGTCTTCTCCGTCGTCGCCGTCGCCTTTCTGCAGCTCCGGGTCGCCGCCGGCGCTGCCGTCCAGAGTGCTGGTCTTGGACTGCCGTTTCTTCTCGATGGAGCCGACTCGGCGGTGCGCGCGGGCGATGAGCGACTGTCTCTTCTTCTCGCCCTTTGCGCCAGCGGCACGGTGGGTGGCCCAGCGCAGACGCTGCGACTTCCGAGGCGGCGTCGCGCCCTCCGCGTCGTGGTTGTGGTCGCCGGTCTGGTCGGCATCGGCCATGGCTAGCGAGTCGACCCCTGAGGGTTCAGAGGCGAGCTTGGGGTCTGTCGATGCGCTGAAGACAGGTGGGCAGTCGGGGCAGTTGGTCGAAGCGAGGAGGGAAGAAGAGAAGGAGGGAGGGAGGAAGGCGAGAGCGAGGAGACTGGAGCAGGTCAAGCTGTCATCAAGGCGGATCTCCTGGAGTCAAACAAGGCCTGGGCCGGGACGGGAGGGGAACGGCAAGCAGGGCAACAATTGCGATGGGATTTTGGAAGCCGAAGAGCACAGGTGGCTGTGCGTGCTGAAGCCAGGCGAATACGCAGGTGTCGATGGGAGAGGAAGCGGTGGTGGGCGGGATGCTGTGGAGGATGATGTTCGGACAGCGCTGGAACATGTAAGACATTCTTCACACATTGCCGTCGTAGCAAGCAAACGGGCCGGGGCAGAGCACCAGCCGCAAGCACTAGGGGGGGGGCCCAGCAGCAGACCAGCGAGCCAGCAGCGGACCAGTGAGCCAGCAGCCCTTCCCGGCTCGCTCGGGGTTAGCTAGCGTGCCCCCCAGTGTTTAATAAGCAAAGGGAAAAATACGGGCGCCAGTAGGGAAGGGCAACAGGCAGAAAAAAAAAAAAATAAAACTGGAATAAACATGAACGTAAACTGACCCCAAGTGCCCAGCGGTACATGGACTAAATACGTACGTCCTGAGCAATTCGTGGAAACAGCATGACTGCGTTCCTTTGTGTGTCTCTTATCTCGCTCATGACTGCTTCCACCACTCTTCTTGCTGCCATCCTCACAGCCTCTCCCCTCCCCTCCCCCCTTTTTCACGCTTCCCCCATCTCTGCTGCAATGCCAAGCTGAAGCGGAACTACGCGGGATCTGTAGATTGCGCGCTTCGCATGCGACAGAGCGAAAATTGCAACGACAGGACGTGTGCTACGCCGCAGACAGCTGGGCGGCGAAGACGAGTGCGGCGCCGTAAGATGAGCTCGATCTGTCTGACCCGCTTACTGGCTGTGCATATGTGCGAACGTGAGAGTGTGTTTTGTGTGTGCGTGTGTCTGTGTCTGTGTGCGAGTGTGAATGTCTGAGTAGTGCTTGTTCGTGCTGAGCGCTCATCCCCCATGGCCCCCGCAGAGCTGCGAATCTGATACTCGTTCTCTATCCATCTCCTGCGCTACTTTCGCTGCGATCCGTCCAGCGATCTGGTAATCTAATCTCCCATCTCCCACCACGAGGTGCACAGGTGGACGAGATTACCACCACGGTCCAGATGACGGAGCCACACTCCAGCTGCACCCCGGCCAATCCCATGCGTGTTGGATGCACGTTCACTTCCGTCGAATGCTGTCAGCAAGCGACCCCGTCTAAGAATCTGTCCAACGGTGCCAGCCAATGGCAGGCAAACAGTGCGTGGTGGCTCTTCCTGCCCAACCACGGCCAGCGAGGCGGTTCGGCCTCACATCTGCGCGTTTCCGCCTTTCGTCCCAAATAAGCACGAGGGCGGACTCGCGCCGTCGAAGAACGGCCCAAGCAGGAAGGCCAAAACAAAAAGGATGCGTTGCCGTTCAAACCGAGCACGAGGGCGGGTCCCGCCCTTGCTCTGCACGACTGAGCAGGAAGTGGATGCTTCCGTTCGGCGTCCGAAATTCACTGTTGGAGCCACATTTCAAAACTTTCTGTCGTCTCGGATCGTTTGATGCCATTCATCCGCGCGACGGCGCGCGAAAGGCTCATGGTAGCGTGCGCCCCTGCCGACCTGTGCGCGGGCGGATGGGTTGTGTCGTGTCGTCGTGTCTATTCCCAAGTTGGGCCCGCCTTTCAAGCCCACAGTTTGGTTTGTGCCCCTGCCCTTCGCTCTTCGCTGAACGAGCCGGTAGCGGGTCTATCACGTACGTACATGCTGGGGCCGGCAAAGGGACGAGACAAGCTTGTTGCAGTTTGGGAGTACACGCCCGCGCTGGTACTCCGTTTCCTCATCTCATGTACACGTAGTGACGATGTCCCTTGGACACGCCCCGCTCGAGGCGCAGACAAAAGGGGCCCCGGAGAGAAGGCCCCCAAGGCTTGACCACACCGCGTCCATGAACAGCAGAAAGAAAAAAAACGGGCAGTAGCAAGTGTGTAAAGATACGACAAAAATGAGTGATGACGAGCACAGCATGCCTTGGCCAATTTCGCCTGTCCGCGTTCGTGGCCAGGGCTCAGCCGACTGGAGACGAGGCTGCCCCAAACGCGGCTCACCCTTAAACCAAAGAAGAAAATCAAAGAAGCCTGTCGTTATTTCTAAGCGGGCGCCAGATGGGCCGGCTTACCCGCAGAACGGCAAGGCTGCCCGCGTACGAGAGGAAGCGTCGTCACTCGAAAAACTGGAATAGTCGGTTGCCCGCCACCCTCACGGCCACTACTCGCGCTACCGCTGATGGCCCAGGCTCGGCGCCGACGTGTGAGAGCAGCCACCGACCGGACAGACCGCATTTCCGATTGCTTCCAATAATCCGTAGCAGTGTCCAGCTGTCCACTGGGATATCCCATTCAACCTCGTTGACGCCCTTTCTCTTCTCCTCTCTCTTGCGCACCAATCTACTTTGTCGGCACGTGCATTCCCTGGGTGTCGCCTGCATCCCATTCGCTTCGGCGTTTGGAGGGGCTCCATAACTAGACCCTCTTTCTCTCTCTCTCTTCTCCACGCACAGGCAAATTAGGAGGGAGAGAGAGAGAGATTTTTGTGTGTGTGTGTGTCCGCCTGTGACCGTACGTTTCGTGTGTTTGGGCACGCTATGCCTGTCTTGAAGCATGGCAACCGCCGACGTGCAAGTACGAGCGTCAGGATGAACGATCCGGCCTGAAACGGTGTCAGCAGCTCGCTCGTCCTTTAATCCAATTCTTGACGCTGAATCCTTCCAGCCATTGCCAGCATGACGATACCTTGTCGTTCGGCACGGAACGCTTCGTGTACGTGTGGAGCATTCTATGCTGCATTTCTTGTAGCTTTATTTAGCCTGTGACGACATGCGGCTCATGTATCACGTGATCGCGTTCAACGTTCCGCACTTGCTGGGCGCGACAGCGTGAGCTCGAACTTCTTCACGCGTCGTGAATGAAATCGTGCGATTTTGTCCAGCGTCGTGGAAGCTCCCCAGCGGACGCATTTATTGTGCGCCTCCGCCGTCTTCGAGCAGCCTCTTCGTCCGGCGCAATCGATTCTCTGACGCGCTGATTGGCCGCGCAACTTTGTGAGTTCGCGGGCTTGATGCACACTCGTCTCTCACGTTCAGTCGTTTGTCTCCAGAGGGTTCGCCATCGTCATGTCAAAGCAGAACTCGACGGGTAACCGCAGCATTACTGATTGGTTCAAGCCTAATCCCACCATCGCGGCGGCGTCGCAGCGCAGTTCAGAACTCACCCCGAGAAACGTGCCGTACTCAGTGACGACGAGAACCGATGCTCTAAACTCGCAGGATCATCCCTCAGTCAAAAGACAGCGCCTTTCAAGCGAGGGACGATGGTTGTCTCCCTCGCCGCCATCCTCGCCATCGACGCTAGTAGCAAGTAGCGCAGAAGCAGTAGATGGCGCAGCATCGGCACTAACCGATGCGAATGTATCCTTTGCCTCAATACGCTCCAACACGTCCAGCAAACGAATCACTGTTTCAAATGGAGAAGAAGTTGTGCGGGGGTCCGACACAGAGACCGACGATGACCTAGAAGATCTGGATGCGATCCTGAACAAGGGCAGACTTAAGCCCAAACCTCTCACTACAACAAGTCATTCGAACGAAAGCACTGTGCCGGCTAATGTCGTCCCGCGCCCGCAGGAGAAGAAGAGGATACACAAGTTCAACCTCGGTGCGCTGGTCGAAGAGAAGCGGCGACAGACGGCTATGGAAGTCAGGATTGCGGAAGCGCAGGCAAATTTGCACGAGGCGGGCGTGAGTGAGGACGCGGTTCGGGGAACGAAGGACATGACGCCCAAAAAGGAGACAATCAAAGCTGTGCTTGCAGAATCAAACGACGCCGAGGATGGCAGCAAGGCCCGCCGCGTCATGGACGCTCTGCAGCGGACGGAGGCATTCGAACGAGAGGACGTTTGGCATTTCTTCGAGGATCGCCCTCCTCAAAACAAACCTCGAAATCCGTTTCCGAAGATATCGCACCCGAACGCCATGCTACAGATGATATTGAATGATCCCCAACGGCGGCAGCAGGCCTTCGCCTCGGGATTCATTCAGAGGATTGCCGAAAAGATCCCCTTACCAGAGGAGCTTCTGTCCTGGCTCATGATCGAAGTGTGTCGGGAGTCGCGAGACGTTCTGGTCTTTGCGTACATTGAGACGCTGAGTCAGGCTGCGCGACCCAGTTCTGCTTTGCTGAGCGAGGAAAGTCTAAAGAGATGCTTTCAGGCGCTTGGTGTCAGGTCGGAAGCCTTGGACTTCCAGCGACCAGTACAGCACACTCGAGAACTAAAAAAGAAACAAAGCAGCGTCGCGGGCTCGAATATTGTGTTCTTTGTGCATCTGCTTCAAAAACTCTGCGTCCGACTGCCCTTGCCATCCAAAGATCTGGCCGCACATTTCCTCATCCGCTCCTCGTTTGACCAAAGCATTCTCTCCTGCTCTCAGGCACGTTTCCACATCGAGCGATGCTTTAGAGACCTTCTTGATGCCTTTGCTGAAGGCCCCGAGCTAGATGAAGCCTTTTCACGGATATTAAATTCCACTTTTGAATCCGTCCAAGCCCCCTCGCTGCGCCAGCAGCTGCTCGCCGCGCTGCCAGCGTCCAGCTTCAGAGCACACCACTTCCGCCGCCTGCTTGCTGTAGCATTTGCGTTGGACAAGCGAAAATTTCTGAAGTCATCTTTGCATAATCCCGCACTAACGGCGCGCATGCTCTTGCTCTTTGAGGCGTCGTCCCCGCTACGCGTCACCTCATCGACGGACTACAGCGAGCTGCGCGCCCGTCTCTCCATGCTCGACGTGGCCATAGACGTCGGCTTCTCTGACTTTGCATTTCTCGATCAAGAGACAGGCGGCGACAGCAGTGACAGGAGGCAAGTGGAGAAGAAGTTCAATCAAGGCATTGACAGACTCGCAAACGCGGTTCGCGACCTCACGGCGCGAATCGTCGACGCAGGAGCGGCGCACATGTCCAGGACGGAAGCAAAGATATTGGCGGAGCGAGTAGCGCAGCGGTTGGAGTTTGGGGTACGCACGAGAGAGCGGCCGCCGAAGGACTGGTTTTGCGAGATCGATCGGATGAACAAGATGGCGTTCATGAAAGGGTGGATGGGGAAGAACGAGGAGACAGCACCGGAAGCTGGCGTTCCCCAGGCGAACGAGGACAGGACGAAAGTTGAGGCCTCTGTACCGCCGAAGCCAGATGACGACGGCCCAAAGGAGCCCTCTGACCCTAAGAACGACCTTTCTAACCAGAAGAGGAACGTGCTGGATGTGCAGGCACTTGAGGAGCCTCCGCAAGGCACGTTCCCCGCTCATCAGATGGCGATACGAAGCACGACTGCCGTAGCGGCAGCTAAGAAGCGCAAGAACCGGATGCTTGTTGTGCGATTCTGAGGGCCGTCGAGGCGGACACCTGGCGCTTATACACGGTAATACTATGGGTACTATGTTTGAATTATACTTTCTACGCATAGCCTGCTCAATCCGCAGCACCGCGGCGAGGCGCGACTTTTTCACTCTCTTTTTCTTTCTTTTTTCTTATTCTTTTTTCCTTTCAATCCGTCTACACGTTCTGTCACGCTCGTCCGTCGGTGATGACGGACAAAGGCCATGACTGGGATCTTGCCTTTGCACGTCTTGACAAACCACCATTTGATCTTATGTTTTTTACATGTATTGTTGCCCTTACCTTCAGTCACTACGCTGCCGATACCTCTTTCTGAAGACTCCCTCATATCACTGCTGGCGAGCCAGCAGATACTTTGCTTGGCTATTCCCTGCGCGCTCGACCTGCCCATCTTTGTCTCTTCCGCGGGCGGGGTTCAGCCGTGGAGCATCCAGCCTTTTTTTGCGGAGGAAAAGAGCGAGCAACATCCATCGGAGCTCGACTCGATTAATTCTGAGACGAAACGGCTTTGAAAGATGTAGGGCCACGTTAACTTGGCTTAATTTCATTTTAAACTTATATCAGGGCGCGTGAACGCCTCGACGACGCTGACAGTCCTGGAATCATAAGCAGGTCCGACTCTTTCCGCAAACTTTGTCCTTGCGGAGCAACCAGCCGAGTTTGCGGGCGCTACGTCTTAGTTACTAATGGGCGTTGCTCTGACGCTGAATTTGTTGTGTTCTTGTAACATGAGGTAGCACATCTTTGTACTCTCGTCAATCTGGACTATAGAATAAAACAAAATGAAAGAACAAATGGAGAGGATGTGAGGGTTTGCTCAAATTCCCGACAAGACGCCATTTATACGATTTCGGGCCAAGTCTCAGTGCATCGCTGTACTCCTGCAACGCGGTTTGTGATACGTTGAGATGATGTTTCTAGGCCCAGCATCTCGAGAAGGCTGAAGTTACTTGTCGAGATATGATTCATTTCCAACTTGAAAACCTTTCCAGGCATATTAGCTATTTAAGAAGCCTCAAGCAAACATCGAAAGGACCAAAGTGAAAGAATCATTGTCAGAGCTACTGGTCTCCCAACTGGGCACAAAGTTGGGTACGTAGAGACTGAAGTTGGTTTCAAGCCACACAACTCTCCTCAGCTTCGCAATCTCCCTCATCACGTTTGTTATGGAAGTAGCATGGGCCGCGCTAACCCTGATTTTTGGCCTCTCACTATTTCATAAGCCGGATTCCAAGTTGGAGGAGAATCATTACCACCCAGGTCACTGCCGACAGCTAGAACGGAGACGATTGAAGACTGCCCAGTGAGCTAGGCGTGACATTTCGAACGTGTATTTGGGTAGAGATCAAGTGAGCACTTGACGACAAGATTCTGGCCACTCCACGATGACGTTGCTTGGAGGTATTCAAGCGATAGATGACAGTGGAAAGCGAACGACTGTGCTGCAAGGCTGCAGACTGGTTCTAGTCCCAAAAAGGATAAGCCGAGGGCGGGGGGGGGTTCTACAAAAAGATGATGGAACATTCGGGAGCTTCGAGAATGGTCTGAGCTTGAACGACACATAAACTCAGTTCTTGTTCAATTGATTCACGCACCAGATACCCGACTGATTTGCTAACCGCTTTCCTGTGCTCGAATCATAATTTTGTATCAGTACTTTACAAACCATGGCGGAAGCTTTGAAAGCCGAAGGCAACAAGCTCTTCGCAGCCAAAGACTTTGCTGGCTCGATGTACGTACAACAGCCCAGCCTTACAAGAATCATGCGATAGCACAGGCAGAACAGCTAACCATCCTGCAGCGAAAAGTTCAGTCAAGCTATTGAGCTCGATCCTTCGAACCATGTCCTATACTCCAACAGATCTGGCTCATATGCCTCACTAAAAGACTTCGACAAGGCACTGGAAGACGCAAACAAGACCGTTGAACTTAAGCCCGACTGGCCCAAGGGCTGGACTCGCAAAGCCGCTGCACTTCATGGCAAGGGCGATCTTCTAGGAGCGAACGACGCATACGAGGAGGCTCTTAAGCTCGATCCAAACAATGCTCAAGCAAAGGCTGGTCTGCAGTCCGTCCAACGAGCGATGGAAGCTGAGGCCGGTGCTGGTGGCCCCATGGGCGGACTAGGCAACATCTTCAACGATCCTCAGCTGATCCAGAAGCTGGCGAGCAACCCCAAGACGAGTGGTCTGCTTGCAGATCAGGCGTTCATGGCCAAGCTGATGAAGATACGACAAGACCCGAAGAACATTGGCGCAGAACTCCAGGATCCTCGTATGCTGCAGGTCATGAGCGTGCTGCTAGGCATCGACATGTCGTTCGCTGACCCAAGCAAGATGCCCGGTGGCGCTGCTGGTGCCAGCAAGGAGGCTGAAGAAGATGTAGAAATGCCAGACGCTCGACCTGCTTCGCCGCCTAAACCCCAAGCAAAAGAGCCCGAAAAAGCCCCAGAACCGGAACCGGAACCAGAGCCAGAGGATGAGGAGGCGATCGCGAAGCGGGAGGCAAAGGCAAAGGCGGATGAGGAGAAGAGATTGGGCACAGGAAACTACAAGAAGCGGAATTTTGACGAGGCCATCGTCCACTACAGCAAAGCGTGGGAGCTTCACAAGGACATCACGTACTTGACGAACCTTAGTGCGGCGTACTTCGAGAAGGGCGACTACGACCAGGCTATTGAAACCTGCCAAAAAGCTATCACGGAGGGTCGCGAAGTCTTCGCGGACTTCAAACTTATCGCAAAGGCCTATGGCCGCATGGGCTCTGCCTACGAAAAGAAAGGCGATCTTGCAAATGCAATTGACAATTACCAACGCTCCCTCACTGAGCACCGCACTCCGGAAATCCTTGCCAAACTCCGCGCAGCCGAGAAGGCCAAGATCAAAGCGGAGAAAGAAGCTTACATCAACCCCGAAGAAGCCGAGAAAGCTCGTGAGTTGGGCAACGAAAAATTCAAGGCAGCAGACTGGCCTGGCGCTGTGGAAGCATACACCGAGATGATCAAGCGCGCCCCTGACGATCCTCGTGGCTACTCCAATCGTGCAGCATGCTTTATCAAGCTGCTCGCGTATCCATCCGCAGTGCAGGACTGCGACGAGGCTATCAAGCGTGACAAAAAGTTCATCCGGGCTTATCTTCGCAAGGCTCAAGCGCTCTTTGCCATGCGTGAGTACAACAAATGCCTCGACGTGTGCGAGGAAGCTTTGGAGAATGACGAGGGCGGCAAGAATGCTCGTGAGATCCAGCAACAACAGGAGAAGGCTATTCAAGCTCAGTTCGCTGCCCGAGAGGGAGAGACTGAAGAGGAAGCGATGAAGCGGATACAGAACGATCCTGAGGTAAGATATCCATCGACAATTCGCTGCCAAGTCTTTCCACGCAAGAAAAGCCGTCGATGAATCATTAGTTTATGTGCGACAGACCGCTGACTCGTGTATTCTAGATTCTGTCAATTCTACAGGATCCGGTTATGCAAACGATCCTGCAGCAAGCCAAAGGCGACCCCGCTGCTCTGCAGGAGCACATGAAGAACCCCTCAGTAAGAAGCAAGGTCCAGAAGCTTATTGCCGTAAGTACCCATTCCGTCCCGAGCTCCCATGATCGACAAAGCGCAGCTGCTAACAGATGGGCTAGGCTGGTGTGATTCGTGTGGGTCGGTAGGAGGCTTATTATCTCGGCTGTGCGAAATAATCATGCGTCTGTGTGGGGTACCCCAGATTTCTATGGATTGCTCGAGGCCGTTCCAGGTTCTCCTCCGGTCCGTTGGGCTTCTCCCTGAAAATCTGGGGTAGCGCGTAGTCTGGAGGCGTTCTCCCTGAAAAGAATTTCGTGTTTGGCAACGACACGGTGATCAATTACGCCACTCGCTTGCGAGTCTTTTCGCAAGTTTTTCTGGAACAGGCGAGAGATTACGATCGATTTCAAGCATATCGAATAAAAGGTGTTCCACTTTATTTTGTTTCTAATGGTTCTAACTTTTACAGTACCCGTACAGCCCACAAGTACAGATCAATAAACGAATGCAACTTGGATCGTGTAGATACAATGCCAAAACTCAGCACATTGACTTCTGTTGAGCAAACGGTCACGAGACACGATATGAAGAGGCCCTGCTTGATGTTCTCGAGCCTTTGCGTCCTCCCCGTGCATTTGTATTGTAGCTCTTCGCGCCTTCTGAGGCGCGTAGCTCATCTGTTGCAGTCCCCACGAATGGTGAATCAGCCTTCTTCATTGAACCTCCATCAGTGGCCCTATCAGCGTCCATAGGTGCCTTGTGGGAAGTGCCCTGTTGAATCTCGACCGCTGCGTCTTTTGCTGCGCTAGTGACGAGATCCGTAACCGCCGAGGCGATGAACGACTTCCACGATTTAGACGCGTTCTCCGCTCCGACAACGTCCCTCCCTAAATCATTCTCAGCTCCATCCGGGGCTTTTTTTTTCACGCAACTCGATTTCATGTACACTCGACGAAATTTCTCGGGGCAAGGGAACTGGGTGGGTCGAGAAGAGCGCGGATGAAGGGGATTTTGTGAGAGGGCGTACCTTCAGGCTGACGATTTCCGGGCGAGGAAGATGCATTTCCTTGGGCAGCAGCAGAACTGGCACTCCCGCCGGGGAGATTGGTATTCCTACTGTCGCCTTTCCCATCTGCAGGACCCGCTGCCGATCTTGTGGTTTCGCGATGAGATCTTGACGGTCCCGCAGTGGAGACGGTCGCCGTTGAAACACGTGGAGTTGCTGTTCCTGAGCCGCCGTCGCGGGACGACGTCAAGGCACTTGCTAGCGACCTTGCGATCGATCCTGCAGCGTTCAGCCCGTTCTTGAGGTTCAGCACGTCCTCGGCCGTCAGGCTCGAGGGAAGCGGAATGCGGTACTGGCCCGCGAGAGCTACTTGGCGCGTCCGTTCGAGGGACGATGTCAGGTCCGCACGGGGGACTTCCTCAATGGTCTCGCCGCGTCTTTGACGCTGCGCTATCCGACGCAGACGCTGGCTCTCTCGGAGCTGGTCCGCGAGAGACGGACGGGGTCCCATAGAGCTGGCGGCGGCAGCGGCGCCGGGTTGTGGGGCAGCCGTCCGTCTTCGCGCTCGAGGAGCAGACGTCGCCCGCGTGGAGGTGGATGAACTTCTTCTGTATGTCATCGTGGTCGGCCTTCGCATCTGCCTATCCTCGACTGCATCCACCCTGCTGCTGAGCGCTTGAAATTGGCGCTCCAGCCTCTCGACCCGCGTGTCGAGCGTGACAACCGGCTCTTCGAGAACGACGCTTCGCCGTTCCAATTTTCTGGGCTTCCTCCTTTCCTTTGCTTGCGTTTCACCTTTCTCGTTCCTGTTCGTCGTTGATTCTATCGTTGCTCCGTCCTGCTGTTGAGCGCTTGCACCTCCCTCGTCTATAACCTCCATCACCGCCTTCGCCTTACCTCTTCTTGGTGTTACTCGTGCTTCCGGTACTTGGCCGTATATTTCTTCGGCCATCTTGGAAACGCTCAAAGCCTCGATAGAAATGTCATTGCAGGTGCAACGGAATACAGAATGCAACAAATTGCCACGACACTTATCGTCAAGCCACTTTTTCAAGTTTATGCACAACATTCGCACCCATGTCGTACCCAACGTCATGCGGGAGAGTAGCGTCGATCATTCGTGCATGGGCGACACCCTGGAAGAATCTTTCAAGCTTGAAGTCAAATGCGAGTTCAGGAAAATCATCTTCATCTCTACAATAACTTCCCTGTGAAATCTATTCTGATCCGTCGACTCTTGGACGAGCCAATCGACGAACAAGGCGAAAAAGTAGAAAGTACAGCTCAAATCATTCGAGCAATGAAAACTCACAAAATATTGTGAAAAAAAAGAGAGTTTCAAATAATCTGAAATATTAAAAACTCAGTAATATAAATTGATTTACAGAAACTTCCTTTTAGCCTTCAAGTCATGGTATCATTATTGTTTAAAATACAAAGAAGCCTCACCGTACAGCATAAAGATTGAACTGGAAGAATCGTTAATTTACGTTTCTTATATCCTTTAAAAGCCAACGTGAAATTTAAAGGGCCGCTAACTAGGAAAACCATATTCAGCAGTCTTTTTTTTTTTTAAAAAAAAAAAAAAAATTCAAGCCTCTGCAGTACCAAAGCTTGCACTCATCGCTTGCTCAAACTTTCCTGGCGTAAGAGCAAAAGTGTTCATTGGGGGAAAGCCATCGAGTTCTCCTGTACGGAGCGTACCGGCGCCAGATGGTTGCCAGTCTCGCCACTCGTCGCCACCAAGGTTCATGAAATCGAGATGGCTATTGATTGGTTCGGAATCTGGGTCGATGGTGGGAAGGTCTCGCAGCTCTGGGAAATGGACTGTTGCCAAATTGCTGATGTCAGTAGAATCCAAGTCCGAATTCACCCAAGTCGGCTTCTGCATGAAGTTAGGAGGCAGTGTTCCTGGCGTTGGCACGGGTTCAGTTGAGAGCGTGTGCCAGCTAGCAGTCTCGCTGGAAGGAGTCACCATGACGAAGCTGTCCGGTCGATCGAGCTCCGATTCGCTTCTCTTGCGGTTAAGAGTATTTGTCAGGGTAGGGTCAACCTGATCCAAATTCATGCTTGGACGTCTCACGGATGACAAGCTGCTCCTCGACTGAGCCCGTGCAACATGACGCCTTTTAACAAATGTTGGTGGTTCCATATCGTCAACATTTGTGCTAGGTCGTCGTGCCGGTACCATGACGCCCTTTGGCTTGCGGAAGCCATCAGCGTCATACGGATTACCGCGCAGCTCGGCAGTCACAGCTTGTAACACAAGGAACATTCGCTCAGCTGGATGATATGTGTAGGCAAGATCCTGCAGCGAAGAAGTTAGGCAGTCCAGATACTGCATGTTGTTGTGTCGGTCATTGCTGTCCTTGATATAAGCCAGCGCGGCGACCAATGCCGTGGCTGCTGTGCCGGCGTGCTGCAGTCCAGTGATGAAGCAATGCCGTGTCTCGAAGCGCTGTCTGTGTTGCCAGAAAATACGAGCTACCCGAATTGCATGCTTGGTGCACACAGTGCGAGAAAGTGCCGAAAAGTGATTATCCGGGATCTGTCCCTCTTGACTATCCGAGCCAGGCTCTTCGTACATTGCAAATGGCCGGTGGAGCAAAATAAGCGCGGCGTGATACTGCTGGTGCAATAAGAAGAAAGAAAATGGTGCGCTATTAATGTTCGATGGTTTCCACTTGAGCCTATCCGGCAATCGCTGGTACCAGTTCCCAAACTCACGATCCAAGGCTGCCATTCGTAGATATGCTTCTCGGTCGATGTTGGCATCCGTTTGCGAGCGTGGATCCATGTTTTCGGTGATCTTGCCAGCGAGTTCCATCAGATCAAGCAATGCTTCGTAGATCTGTGTTTCCAATGCCTTCTCAGGACCAGCGGGAAGGCATGTTCCGAGTCGTTCAAACTGCTTCGCTAGTCGTGCAACTTCTAGGTCGCTGCTCTTCATGCTTGTTGGTCTACCGAGGAACAGCGCCCAATATTTGTCATAGATAACACAAGCCCACAAAGTCATTCGTCGAATTTCAACCTCGCGTTCTGAGAGCCCTGTTAAGCCGGTGTCTAGATGCAAACCAATATCGAAAGCAATTCTGCGGATATTTGATCAACTATGTTCTACCTTTTTCTTGTAGACTGCACTCACCTAACTGCCATGCCGCTGTACAACCAGCCAGTGTTATCACGGCCAACTTGGCACTCCATGTCGCCGAGGAGCAGAAGCGCAACGACGAGTGGAATGCCGCCGGGTCGTTCCAGTTCTGCATCGAGCATGTATTTCGCCTCTCGGTGCAGAGTGCTTTCGTACTGGCTGATGGCAATCTTCTGCATATCTGGGCGGCTTTTGTCTGCGTAACGGAAACCCATGGCGAGCACACATATGTGCAAAAACCCAGAATAGAACTGGGTCCGTCCGTGTTCTCGGTCATCTTCGAATGCATCTTTATGCAAGACATGAATAACATTGTTGTAATAGCCCCAGAAGAGATCCATCAGGTAGTTGTAGGTTTCCTCTGAAAGAAACCTAATGACCTTCTCCGTACGTCGAGCCTGCTCGAGAGTCTCTCTGGTGTCTTCAGCTAGTGTGGATTGGCCTGAATGCACGTGGCAATTGGTTGTTGGTCCAAAATATCGAAGTCGGCCACTAAGTTGATCGAAGCTTAAATGGCCACGAGTCGAGAGAAGCCTACTGACCATGCCATCTTTCTGGGGTGGAGGAAGCATTGAAGGGGAAGAAGCAGATGCTGCTGAGTCGTTGTCTTCACCACGGTGCGAGCCATTCTCGTGGTTTTCATTATCAAGAAAATCATCGTTGAAACTGCCGGGGCTTGAATTATCATTTACCTTCGTAGCAACGGGCTGCTGTAGACGAGATTTGGATGCTGGAGACTGGTCTTCAGGTCGAGGACCATGTCTGGTCATTGGAGGGTGATTTGCGGGCGGAATCGTCTCGCCTCGTTCTTGTAGCATACCTTCGAGCAAGGCGACACGTTCCGTTAGTGAGCACATGTATGCCCGCGATATCGGTCTTCTCACAGTGAGCCCGGAATTTAGCAGATTTTCGCAGTCACTTACCGTCTGCGCTCGTCATCGTTACGGATTATGCATTCGATGCCTGATCTCTTGCATTGTGTACATTCTGTCTCTCCTGGTGGAACAACACACTTTCGTGGGTTAGTTTGGCAAGAAGAATGATCAAGAGGCGGTCGCGTACTCTAATTCTTCGATCTCTACAGGATGCACAGGCAACGGAGGCGCGGTGCCTGCACTTCTGCTTATTCTTGGAGGCTGTTGGCTCCGTCGTCACTTTGTCGAGGGCCTCTTCAGCCAACTCTTGGTCCTTCTTAGCAGTTGTCATTGTAACACGAAGCAAGAGCGTGACCAGCAACAACTAGTATGGAGAATGCGGTGGAAGTGGGAGAGTCGAACACGGGAAGGAAGGGCACAGAGAGGGAGCGGAGAGTAGAAAAGCAAGTTGTCAAAGATAAGTGGGAAAGACGGGCCACCAAGATGTGATTGAAGCTTTCGGTCTTTTTTTCTTTGGGCAGCAGTCTTCTTGTCGAGCTTGCGGGGACGAAAACGGGGCCCCAGCTCCCCAGACAGTGGTTAAGATTGAACAGGGGGACTAAGCCGAACATATCCTGGTGGTGTTCAAGGTTTGCCACGAGGTGCGTCAGACCTGCAGCCCCAAGCATATCAGATCTGGCCTGGCGTCGAGCGGTTCGTACAAAGAGCTCCGGTCTATTGGCTAGCCTTGCTTGTGGAAGCGGTCCGGGCTTCGAACCGAATTCCAAGGACCAAGGTTGTTCGCACCGGGTTTAATTTGGATCTAGATGATGGGAGGCACATTGTTGTCTCTGCCATCAGCACGGTTCAGTCACGTCCACGTTCCTGACCCGGCCCAGACTTCGATGTACAGCATCGTACTGTAGTCGACCACAAATGAGAAGACGCGTCGATCGGTTTGGCGAAGGAGGCGATCGAAAATTTGGACCCTCGTGAAGATCCGGCCCCAGACGGCATGCAGCGCTCTGGATAGAACGGCTTTCCAGTACCCACCAGGCTGCTCGTAAGCACGCTTCGCATCAACTCCGATGGTCACAGGGAGCAGGAGTGGAGGCAGGCGTTCTTAGCCTGACTCCAAGGCGGCGTCTTCAGCTCAGACGACTGACTAATGCACGCCAATCCAATGAGACCATATGCGGGGAAATTCGCCAGCAGCTCAGCTTGTGGCGTCTAAGAAGAATTGAAAAAAAAAAAAAAAACATTCCTGGTCCTCTTGCCGGACGGACGAAGGGAAATCCTGCATACAGTAATCGAAAAATGTAGAACAAAGCGTGCAACCATGCAATGACTGGTCATGGGAGCTGCCTGCAGACGTTCAAGACGAATTGCAAGGGACTGACTGCGGTTCGTGAGTGGAGAGAAGGCGACGAGTGTTCTGGCGCTACGCACACTAACGAGTCGACGTGTGCTGAATCGGTACTAGACGACACATATCCGCGTAGTTTCGGATATTCATTCTCCTTTGATTGGATTGGTTGTACACTAATGATTCAGTCCTACGTTAATCATAGTATCGTATACAGCCGCTCTCCTTGGCTCTTCCTGCCCCAGTCTTCAACAAGACGCATGGACTCCCAACTGCAGGTCAAACGCCCGGAAAATGCATACAGATGACGTCCGTCTCAAAACGTGACCACGGTGTGCATGTGGCCGACGGCGCGTCGCGTGTAATGAAAGCTGACAACAGCAAAAACAGGTGTGGGAATTCAAGCATTTGGCTGCGTGCGATGCCGCATCGAGAACCGTTAGGCACTACCTTGCGTAACACAAAAAAAAATTTCAAATTGCTGCCTTTTACTCGACGTCCCATTCGTGGTCATAATTGCGGATGTACGGACTCAGCATTTGGACGTTGCGTGATGCAGTGCCCTTGACATCACCGTTTCCGAGATATCTGAGCATCCCATGTTAGCCTGCGGTCATCATTGAATGCGAACAGCCAAAAAGTTTGTCCTTACGCAAAACGATTCTTGTATCGGTAGCGAATGTTATAATCCTCGTATCGTGGGCGCTTGATCGACTTGAGGAAATGGATCGTCTAAATTAGCAGTGTCAGCTCCTTCCACAATGTAAACATCTTGGCGGCGTATACGTACCGATCCAGGCCACAAGTAAATACGGTTCTTGACCTTCCCATCCTTGAACCATGAGCGACAATTCTCCTGCCAGACAGTTGTCTTGTGGAATTCGTCGAAATGTGCGTAGATCTCGTCCAGAGCCTCCTGCTTGACCTCAATCGCCTTGATGTGTTCATGTTGAATCTTCTTCATGATCTGGATCGAGTATTCAATCGTCGTCTCGATGGATGGAATAAGAGTGCCATTGCTCCATGTGGCTCCCGGTCCAACGATCGTGTAGTAGTTGGGGAATCGAGGCGCGGAGACGCCAAAGTACAAGTTTGGACCATTCGTCCAATCCTCATCGATGGATTTTCCTTCGCCGTTTATGACTTTGAAAGCCGGCTTGAAGGCGACCTGGAAGCCGGTAGCGCAGACGATGATGTCAAACTTGTGCTCCTCGCCATCCTCTGTAAGGATGCCATTCTCGGTGACCTTCTTGATACCACTGAACACGGGTCGAACGTTCGGCTTCACAAGGGCCTCGAGGAAACCGTCGCCGGGAGAGATACGTCGGCAGCCGGGAGAGAAGGTTGGGATGATAAACTTCTTCAACTCCTCGTGGCCCGGACCCATGCGACGGTTCATCTCGTCCGTGATTACCTTACGGAATTGATTAGACAGCTCTGAATTCTGTTGGTACATGCCAAACAGGCTGTTGATTTCTGCCTCGATACGTTTTCTGAAGTCAAGGTGGTATTCTGGGTCTGATGCGAATCTCTTCTTGTCCTCGTCACTGAACTTGTACTGTCTCTGACCAGGGTCTACTTCCGCTCCCTTTTGAAGGTCGCTCTGAAGTGCGCCTGCGCCGAATGGAGGGCTGATCCAGGTCGGGCTTCGCATGAACACCTCGAGGTTTTTGACAATTGGCTGCAGCGCCGGTGTGATTTGGACGCTGGTTGAGCCAACGCCAATGACGGCAACAGTCTTGTCCTTAAAGTCCACGCTGTGATCCCAGCACGCTGAGTGCATAAGGTTGCCCTTAAAGTCGTGCAAGCCTTCAATGTCGGGCCACTTCCACGTGTTCAAGATACCAGTGCCATTGACTAGAACATGTGCCCAGTCTTCGAACTTCTCTTTTGTGTTCTGGTCCTCAACTGTGATTTTCCAGATTCCCTCCTCTTCGTTCCATCTGTTCTCAATAACTTTAGAGTTAAGCTTCATGTACTTCTTGCTGCCTATTCCAAAGTCAGCCGTCCGACACAGGACACCACTTTCAATTGTGAAGCTAGCTCACCATGTCTCTCCGCGAAGTCCTCGAAGTAGCGCTGAATCTCATCGCCATAAGCGAAGAAGTACGACCAATCCGGTTTCGGGTCCCAAGTAAAGTTGTAGTCGTGAGACGGAATATCGCAAGCGACACCAGGATACGTGTTTTCATACCAGGTGCCTCCGAACTGCTTGTTCTTCTCGTAGAGTGTCAGCTCCCAGGATCCCGGGACCATCATTTTCTCCATCTTGTAGGCCAAGCAGAGGCCGGAGGCTCCTGCGCCAACACATGCTACTCGTAGCTTGCGAGGCTTCGAGTGATATTGATCCTTCAGGACTGTATATGGGCCTTCCGGCGTATGGCTTATGGGGTATTCATACGTCTCGGCGATCCCATTGGCACCTTCGATCGCGTTGGGCATGGTGCTTGATGGGGACATGTTGACGTCCTCTTCTGCTGCGAGGCGCATGAGAATAAATATTGACGAACACAAAGGCTGGGAGCTTGGTGAGTGGGAAGTCTTCACCTACGGCAGGCAATCCGGATCAGTCCAGCAATTTAATGAAGATCAGTACGCGTGCCGGAAGAAGTTTCGCAGAGTTTCACAGTGCTAATTGATCTTTATTACCGCTTGGGACAGTATCTACGACAATGTCGCTCCACTACAGCACGATAATCACGCGGAGATGGATTCTGGAAGTCTGTGGCGGGCTCTTTAGCCGCACTATAGCACCTCGGACTCGGCCAGACTCCCAGCTCTGACTTGGGCCTGGTGTCGGCTGGGCTTCTACTCAGCATTTGCCTCCAAGAGGTGATGGAAGTGATTTTGCGATGAGGGGAAAAACACATCCGAGACCATACGCCTAGCTCGTTTGCATGCAAGAACCGGGGACCTCTGTCACCTGCCCCACGATGCGACCCCGGCTTAAGGCTGCGTCGCAATGGGTGCAGCCGACTTTCCGCGACGAGGGGAATCGTAGAGGTCTGTTTGGAGGTGTCATGATGTTGCGTTTGTAACTTTGGCGGACAACACGACTCAAACGCTCGCGGCGGCGCAGTATCGTAAGTACGCAAGTGCGAAGATTATATCATGACCGTCTCGATTCCTTCCAGAGTCACTCCAACGAGTAAATGTGTTTTGAATGATCAGCAGACGAAAAATTGAGACTCTGGGCGGAGAAATGTTCTCCTGGCCTTGCTCCCGGACCGGAGCTTGCCTACACGGTTAGGCGCTACACTTGAGTCCAAATAATGACGAGCCAATGCTTCTGATATTTCGAGAAATCTGCCTGTTCCAGGACGCCAAGGCTTTTAAGATGTCTCTATATACACATACAAGAACTTGGAATCAGGGGTAATCATAGCCTTGCCTTCACCTTGCCTTCCAACGCTGGTGCATCTCTCTTCGCCCATTCCTTGACCAGTTTCCGTACGATCTTACCGCTGGCGAGTTTCGGAACCTCATCAATAAACGCAATACCGCCTACAAGTCGCTTATGCTTTGCAACTTTGTCATGCATCCACTTGTGGATATCGTCTTCAGACACTTTGCCCTTGTATTCATCCTTGAGAGTCACATATGCTCTTGGCCACTCCTCGTTGTTCCTGACAAGGAAAGTGTTAGCAGACAAAAGAAACTCGGTGCGCCACAAATACTCACAAGGTTATGCCAACACATGCAGCATCGGCAATAGCATCATGCTCAAGAAGCACAGCCTCAAGCTCAGCTGGAGCCACTTGCAGAGCATTTACCTTGATCAGCTCCTTCTTGCGGTCTACAATGTAGTAATAACCCTTTTCGTTGCGAACAGCAATGTCACCGGTCTTGAGCCAGCCATCAGGACTCAACGACTCTTTGGTGGCCTGCTCGTTCCTCCAGTAACCTAAGCAAACATTCGGACCACGTACGAAAATCTCACCAGGCTGGCCCGGTGCGACTTCCTTCTCGTCGTCATCCAGTAGTTTGCATTCCATGTTGGGATCCAAAATTCCGACCGTACCATCGTCGTGCCATTCCTCGAATGGAACGTGGATGGCGCCACACGTGACTTCAGTCATACCCCAGCCCTGGGTCGTGCGGATATTGAAGCGACGATATATCTCATTTTGCAGCTCTTTCGAGAGCGGTGCCGCACCACAGAGACAATGCTTGACACTGCTGATGTCATACTTGGCGGTTTCAGGTCTTTTACTCAGCATGACCAGAATTGGTGGGGCGACCTGAAGATTCGTAATTTTGTAGGTCTCAATGATCTTCAAAAACGGTTCGTATGAAAATTGTTTCATCACATAGATCGGAACGTTCAGTTTGATGGCCATGATCATGCACCAAAGCTGCCCATAAGCATGATAGAGAGGCAAAAAGCCAATCCATCTCTCTGCCGGGAAGTCCTGTGGGGTGTACTTGGTGCCGTAGAACTTGATAGCAATGTGCTGCTGGGCATTGGCAACGAGATTAAGATGGCTGACACAAACTCCCTTTGGTAGACCAGTGGTGCCAGAGGAGTAGTTGACTGTAGCAACAGTAGTTGCGGATTCATTTCCAGTCATCGGCTTCCATTGGTACTGGTCAGCTTCTTCAGGCGACCCGATGAATTCCCTCCAGTCTAGAATACCGTCGACTGGGGTGTTTGGACGGTCCGAGAATTGAAATATATGTTCTTTTGGCAAACCGCAATTTTTCGCAGCGCCCAGGGCCGTTTTCAACAGTGTTGGATGAACCAACATAACCCTAGCGCCCGTGTTGCTTAGTTGGTGTGAGAGCTCTGTGTTACTTCTAGTTAGAACTTTTGTCTTTCTTTACGAACTTTGCGAACCATATACCTTGAACTGTGTAGATTGGGTTTCCAGCACTGAAAACCCTTCTCGATCCCACAATGCCGAGGTATGCGGCAGGTACGAATATGTGGTTTGGAGTCAAGATCATGACAGCCTCCTGAGCCTGGATACCTAGCCTGTCAAGCCCAATAGCCAGTCTTTTTACCCAGTTGAACATCTGCTTCGGCGAAAGGCAGTTTTCCGGGTCTGAAGATTCGAGCCATATTGGATCCTCTGATATTGGCTTGCCGGGGGGGAACAAGTATGTCAGCAAGTCAATTTTGGGGATTTCAACGTCGGCTACGGGTGACTTATAGACCATCTTTTGCAGCTGGACGTAGAAGAGCTAAATGGCCTGAGAGAATAAAAGAGACAGATGTGACTTACAGAAATTCGGTGTTTTGCGGGGGTCTATAAACAATATAGCTTGTCATTGGTAGACCCGACTTATCGGCCATATGGTGAAGTAGCCGCGCCCGCATCCGGTTGCGGTTGTTGCGGAGTTGCTGGCTGGAGGTCGAGTGGCCGAGGTGGGCTCAGCTAGCTAAGGCAAACGAAAACCGATCGCCAGAGAAACTACATCAAATCTGAAAACTAGCCCAACAATGCTGCGACAAATAACATTCTTCAATCGACTGTCAATTGGAAGTCGTGCTCTTTTGTATTATCGCAATGTCTGAGCTGAGGAATTTCGACCGCCTGTTTCGTCTCGATGGCAAGGTAGCCCTCATAACCGGAGGTAGGCGTCCATAGCGTTGAAATTGTTGTCATTATCTCGTGTGCTTAGCTTTTTGGAAGGCTCAAGAGGACTTGGTCTTCATACTGCGACCGCTTTTCTGCTCGCTGGCGCGAAGAAGGTCATCATCACTGCGCGGAAACGTGAGGGCGAGCAGGGCATAGACCAAGCTGTCGAAAAACTCAACAAGCTTCCGGTGTCCGGCAAGGCCGTCGGCATCGCAGCAAATGTTGCTGAGACGGAACAGATACAGGCGCTTGTCGATGAACTGAAGAAGACGGAGGACAGGATTGACATCTTGGTCGCCAATGCTGGTGCAACGTGGGGGGGTCCATTCGAGCCGACCCCGGATTGGGCGACAAAGAAGGTGCTCGACTTGAATGTCAGAGGCGTCTTCAACCTCGTGAGATTGTGAGTACCCCTCTGCGTCAGTTGCGGTCAAACGCGCACAGCCTCAAAGTGCAAGCAAGACTAATCTACGTCCAGGCTGCTGCCGCTGCTCAAGGCTGGAGCCACACCCGCAGACCCGTCAAGAATCATTATCGTCAGCTCGACCGCCGGCACCAACGTACAGCATGTGGGAGATCATGGCACAATCATGTATTCAGTCTCAAAGGCAGCAGCACATCACCTGACGAGGAACTTGGCAATAGAACTGGGTCCAAGCAACATCACTTGCAATACCGTGGCACCTGGATTCTTCCCGTCAAAACTTGCAAATGGCCTAATCGAAATTTTAGGTGGTCAAAAGCAGCTTGAGCACGAGAATCCTCGACGGAGGCTCGGCGAGCCAGAAGATATCGCCGGTGTCATGGTCTATCTGGCTTCGCCGGCCGCAGCATATGTGTAAGCACCTGCGTCTCTGCTTCCAGACACCAGCTCCGCTAACGAGTGTTCCTAGCAACGGTGAGGACATTGCCGTGGACGGTGGTCTCCGCTGGGGAGCCGGACGTCACTCAAAAATTTAAATTTGGCAGCTATGTATACCGGAGACCACGCGGTCTACGAGGAAGGTCTCCAGATTCCAACAGTGAAATGGAAGACCACCAAGGCAGGCGTTGGTGCTGTTGTTTGTAGACTATCTATGCTGCTGCATATACTCGGCGCTCGAAATGATTCAATCCAGTCAATTTTTTCAACACACAAACACCCGAATTGCCCAAATTGAAGCGATGCATCTTATTCTTCAGAACAAATCAAACGTATTTGCTCGTGATTCCAGCAACGTTTTGAGCCCGCGACGCAAATAGTATCTAGGGTCGTGCGTCATGGCTATAGAACCGAAATCTGGCACCATAATTCCGCAATCTTCATTGGTCAGGATATTGATATCCGCGACTACGGGGTTGCGGGGCGAACCCACTCATTGAGTCGCTCTCCACCGTCGCCAGCGTTTGGGCAAATCGCCCATGTGGGGTGCTGGTCTAGTTTCGTCGCGCTACAAGCTGGGTCCCTGCAAGCGCTCTGCAACACCAGGTCTCAGGGACACTATTTGCATGACATGAGCAATTCAGCGCGGCTGCCCGGCATATCAGCACACCTGAGCCACAAGATGCATAAAATCGCGAAGTGTTGTGATGCCTAAACCTCAGTCCATTCACCACCTCACGCGACAATTATATCATCATTTTCCTTGTCTTCATTTTATTATTCCTGCAGTTCGTCGCCAAGTATTTCTTTGAGCCCAACATGGGTCTCTTCGTGCCCGCATTAATCGGTTCGGCTGCCCTGTCAGTGGCCTGGTTGGCGTACACGGTCGTGTACAGGCTGTACTTCCATCCATGTGCCAAGTTTCCAGGCCCGAAGCTGAATGGCATCACACCTATTCCAAGCATAGTCAGTCTTCTTCGAGGACGACTGCCACTGGATGAGAAGATCTGGCACGACAAGTATGGGCCAGTTGTGCGGGTTGGCCCGACTGTTCTGTCCTTCAATACCCCTCAAGCTTGGGAAGACATCTATGGCTTCCGACAGGGCGGCCTCAACATGCACAAGGATCCCATCCGTGAGTATGTCTGTCTAAGTGGGTAATAATACTGATCACGGTTCAGATGTTGGCTCTGTAGATCCAATTCCTGGAGTTACGACCTTGACCATGGCTGATGATCACAATCACGCGAGACAAAGACGTGCATTGGCCTATTCGTTCTCGCAGAAAGCGTTGTCCGAGCAAGAGGATATCGTTCGCGGATATGTCGACACCCTGATCTCAAAGCTTAAGCTCAAAGCTGAGAGAGAAGAAATCTTTAACTTGGTCGATTGGCTGTATGTTTTGTTCCATTCGGTGAAATGTCCATAAGCTCACTAATATTACAGCAATTTCACTACGTTTGACATCATTGGCGATCTTGCATTCAACGAACCTTTTGGCTGTTTGAAGGACGAGAAATTCCATGACTGGGTTGCCTTGATTTTCGAGACCATTAAGGTTGGAGCGCTGGAACAAGCAACTCGACGACTTGCCGAAGCTGGCAGTCCCTTCCAGACTTGGCTGGTGGAGAGGATCCCTAAAGCCTGGCGTCTAATGCGACGAAGCCACGTCGTTCGCAGCCGCGAGAAGGTTATGCGACGGCTTGCGCAGGAAGACATTGAGCACCGTGATTTCATCTGGTATATCCTGCAGCAAAGATCGAAGCACGACCTGAAGGATGACGAGATCGTCGTGAACGGTGCTTTGTTTATTGTAGCCGGAAGCGAAACCACGGCAAATTTGTTGTCCGGACTTTTCGCTCGACTGATTTGGAACCCAGACAAGTATAAGAAACTGGTCGAGGAAATTCGCACTGTCTTCAAGCATGAGGATGAACTCACTCAGGACAACATTCAGAATAAGCTCCCGTATTTCCAAGCATGTATCGAGGAAGGACTTCGAATTCATCCTCCTGTTCCAGCTGGTCTTCTCCGCACAGTCCCGAAGGGCGGTGCTTACATCGATGGCATGTGGGTTGAGGAGGGCACCTCCGTCGCGGTGAACAGCTGGGCTGCATCACACAATCCAAATAACTTCAAGGACTGCGACAAATTCATTCCCGAACGCTGGCTCGATCCCGCATACAGTTCAGATAAAAAGAAGGCAATGCAACCTTTCTCGCTGGGTCCACGTGGCTGCATCGGCAAGCATTTGTCCTACATGGAGATGCGCCTGATCCTTGCAAGACTTCTGTGGAATTTCGATATCGTCTCCGTGGACGGTGCTTGGTGAGTGACAAGATAAAAGTCGTTGAGTCGATCATGAAGCTAAACGTAGCAGGAAATGGAATCCAGAGGGTGAAATGAAGCACATGCGTGCTTTCAACACATGGGAGAAGCCTGAGCTCAACATCAAAGTGTACGTATTGCCTCAATGCCACCAACTTCGCAGCTAACGAGAATGCAGTGTCAAAGTCAATCGCGGCGAAAAAGCATGAGAATGAGGATAATCCTACTATGATATATGATTAACGCAGTGTATTGCTTCGAGGATGAACTTCGAGACTTTGCTGAACTCGATAGAATTTGCAAGGGCGTCGTGCAGTAAAATCAGTTGTAAATATGGATAGACAAAGGCTTGTTGCTTTCTTATCATGACAGTTAATCTTTCATGTTACGAGTGAAGTCATATCATAGCAGACCTAGCGGTTTCACGCTTCTGACACAAGCTCAGAGGCAGGGCCAAAGCGGGCAGGAGTTTCCAAATCCAAGCAGCTATTATTATGATTGGCATTTCTTCACCTTCTTCCACATGTCTAATACTCATGCTTACAAGGCAGGTTTTGATATAACTTAAGATATATTCACATGTTGCAATCTTAAATCTTGTGACCCATGCAAACTATTTCGGATTGAAGAAAGATCCCTTGCCGGAATCGATGATGTCGGTAGCCCTAGCACTATATCAATACTCGTCAAACCTGGATTGCAAGGTGAATAAACATACTTCATGACTGCAGCCATTTTTTCATCGCAGTACGGGATTTGGTCCCTGAAGTAGTGGTTCGTTCCATTGATCTCGACGCTTCTCATATAATCAGACCCTGCCTCCACTTTGTTCCCTTTAGAGTCGCTCATAGCTCCACCGTCGACAAGCTGGAGCCGGTCAGTCTCTGGAACAGATGAGAAGGCAGTGTAGACGTACCATTAAAACGACCTCGGCGATTTTTTCTACAGGAGTGAAATAATCGTCTGGGAACTGCTTCCAAGCCTCGCTGTCGAGAAGATTTGTCTTTACGGTTCCAGGGCAGATGCAATTGACGCGAATCTTGTCATTGAAGTAGAATGCTTTCGCAATTGACCTCATGAAGCCGACTACCGCATGCTTTGCCCCCGCATACATGGGACTGAAAGGGCTCGCTGCACAACATTAGCAATAGCAGCGTATCGGAGAATCGATTGCATATTTCGGAAGTTTCGAACGAGTCGTGGTATCTGCTGGCAGGCTTGTCTCGCCTAGCTGGGTGATAAAGAACTTGCGGTGCACTCACGATAAAAACCGCCGCAGCTGGCAGTCATGACCAAACTCTGCTCCCCAGTCCCGTAGTTATCTTTCGATAGTCTGAAATAATGCTGAGCTAAGTACGACGTCGTGACCACGGACTTGTAATCAATATCAATGCTTAGCAGGTCCGGCTCTGGCGGTGGCGATTGCTCGTGCTTGCCATAAAAGTCCCATCTTTCGACAATCCCGGCATTTGCAAAAACGAAATCTAGTCGCCCTGTAGATTTGAATATTTGATCGAAGACAGACGCGAGGTTATCGTAGCTGTTGACGTTTGTCTTATAGAATTTGCCGCCCACCTTGGCGCTGGCTGCATTTCCTCGCTCTTCATTCAAGTCGAGAAGGTGTATATCCCAGCCTCCACGTTTTGATAGAGCTTGTGCCACCTCCAAGCCCATACCACTGGCTGTCGTGCTGTCAGGTATGTGTCCATGTGCAAAAGTTGTACGACTCACCTCCGCCGGTAATCAGAGCTACTTTGTTTGCCGGCATTTTGAGAGTAACCAGGCGCTTGCACGTTCGTGAGAAACTAGGCACAGTTTTATCTGAGAGCCAAGAAACTGAGAATTTCTACTCTGATTTCTTTACTGTCTGTATGATTTAAACAACCACGGGCTCAGCCTTATTCTATAAGCTCCCTCGCAAAGATGATCCCTCCTGCGCCACAACATACGGCACGCAAAACGCGAATGAACACCGGGTGAACTGAAGCACTCGGGTGCGGATTCTCCGCATTTTGCTTTACGTCTTGGATTGGACAAATGCTGAATGCTGGACGCGGCGCTGTGATCGGGTTACCCTACGCTAGTACGTCGTGACATTATTGGTCCGTGCGAGACGCGAGTCGTCATGACCCCGCCCCTGCCCCTCCCTGACTCTGCCAGTCTCCGGGATAACTCATCCAGACATAACCTCGTAATGAACAGCTCATCCTTTTGCCAGCGCGCACAACAGCCGGAGTCACGGGCCTTCGATTTTGGAGTTCCAGATGATCGATCCTTGCCGCGTTAACGCCGTTCTTCTCCGGCACAAGATCCTTTTTACAAAGCTTCTTGATCAACTTTTTTAAATTGCAGACTCCCCTCTATCTTTTTCACCTGTCAGTAACAAGTCCCACCAGATTCGAAGTCAAGATGCCTCTCGATTTCAGCTCAAAGAACCTCCCACTGCAATTGTTTCTTAACAACGAGTACGTTGACTCGAAGAACAGCAAGAAACTTACACTCCACAATCCAAAGGATGATTCGATAGTTTGCGATCAAGTCCCTCTGGGTGGAGAGGCTGACGTCGATGCTGCGGTTGAGTATGCCGAAAAGGCCTTTCCGGCATGGAAGAAGCTTCCCAACAGCACGAGGAGAAACATCATGAACAAATTCGCCGACTTGATCGAAGAAAATAGCGTTGCTCTGGCGGAGTTGACCAGGATCACACTTGGGGCTCCATACGAAGCATTTGGAAAGTTCGAGAGTGGACTCTGCGCTGAAGCATTCCGATACAATGCTGGCTGGATCGACAAATTCGCTGGCGAGTCATGGCCTCAAGAAGATGGTTTCCTTAAAATTGTGCGGAATGAGCCTCTTGGTGTCACCTGTGGTGTTGTTCCGTGGAACGGCCCTCTGGGCACAATCGGCTTGAAGGCTGCTCCAGCTCTTGCTACAGGTAACTGCTTCATCCTCAAGCCATCGGAGAAGACCCCATTCGCGTCACTCGCTCTTGGTCAGTTGATCAAGGAGGCAGGCTTCCCTCCAGGCGTTTTCCAAGTCATCAGTGGCGACGGCTCCACTGGAGCACTTCTAGCGATGCACATGAAGATTCGCAAGATCTCTTTCACCGGATCGATTGCGACTGGCAAGAAGATTCAGGAAATGGCCGCGAAGTCCAATCTAAAGCGCGTCACTCTCGAGCTCGGAGGCAAGTCCCCAGCTGTTGTTTTTGACGACTGTGACCTCGAGAAGGCGGTGTTCTGGTGCGCAAATGCTATCACAGCAAACACTGGCCAAGTTTGCTTCGCCGCCAGCCGTGTATATGTACAGGAAGGCATATACGAGAAGTTCATCCAGAAGTATAAGGAGGCAATGGAGCAGAAAAAAGCTCTTGTTGGAGATCCAGATAAGAAAGAGACAGCTATTGGCCCCCTTGTCGACGAGGCACAGTTTAAGCGTGTCAGTGGCTTTATTGAGCGTGGACAACAAGGCCAAGGCAAGCTTCTCGTTGGTGGCCAGAGAATTGGCACGCAGGGATGGTACATCGAGCCAACAGTTTTCACTGACGTTGACCCTAACTCTGAAATTCACACACAAGAGATCTTTGGTCCAGTCTCCGTGGTTCGATCTTTCAAGACCGAGGAAGAGATTATGGCCCTGTCAAACAATACCAACTTTGTAAGTGACTGATCACGGCCATCCTCAAGGAATTGTTCAAGGCTAATTTTCCGTAGGGTCTGATGGCTGGTGTGTTCACCCAGGATATCAACAAGGCACTTCGTGTTGCCTCTGAGTTCGACTCTGGTATGGTTGGCGTCAACTGTGTGAGCTTGATGATGATGGTCGCTCCATTCGGCGGAAGCAAAGAATCAGGTCTCGGACGTGAATGTGGAATACACGCCCTGAGAGCATTTACTGAGCCAAAGACGATTATGATCAATCTCAACTAGGCATTTGCGAAGGCAATTCGAGATGGATTTAATACATCGATGCAGAAACAGGATCCTTTTCACGTACTAGATGAGAATTTATGTAAAATCAACATACAGGCACTCATGAGATCCACAAAAAAAGGGTTGATTTTGATTGCTCATTAAATCGTAAGATGCGATTATATGGAAATTCGCTTTGAATTTTCTGCGTATTCCCAATTCATGGTATCATTTTCGCTGCTCTCATCTTGTCAAAGACTGGCCACCATGCCTGTGCCGTATCTCTTTCTTCGGTAAACCCAGTAGAGTACCTTCCAAGGTGTTAGCAAGTGCTTCGAAATGGAGGACCACACCTCTCTTAATATCGTGGGCGAGACGTGGTAATGCAACCTAGGAGGGGCTCCTGCACGCAGAGGTCGGGCACTTACATTTTAGTCATGTCGAAGTATCGATCAAAGTCACTGTTATGTCAGTCATTTGTCATATACAGCTCGACTCTGTGGCGCTTACAATTGCGAAAACAAGAAATACTCGAAGCCCGGAAAGGTCTTCGGGCTATCTGCCAGTCCAGTCTTGAGGCCATGTTCTTTCTCGAGCCTTTTCCACGTTTCAAAATTGTCTTTGATGTACTTTCTAACCTCCCTGTCCTTGCTGTCGTCTGGTGGTGCCGTTCCCTTGAGACCAAAGTACTTGCAGATTACCGGCCAATCCTGCTCCCACGTAGTTGGGTACTTGCAGTCCGCAACATTGAAACTCTCGCCTTTTCGACTTGCGGGAAGGTTCAAGGAAAGATAGAGGGTTTGGTGAGCGATCATTTCCGAACATGAAAGGATGGACTTCGCTGTCCAGGCTTTCTTCGTGCCAGGATAAGGGCACTCTGCGCCTTCCCCGTTGATGGCCCGGTAGAGCGAGAGATAGAATGCAACGACGGTGCCAAGAGAATAAAAGTTCTGGTTGGGGACGAAACCAATAATCTACGCAAAAGTTTAGTCCTGCGACCCAAAAAGCAGTGAAAGATCACTCACAATGTCCGGCCGAGTATCGCACCAGTTCCATTTTTTGTCCTTCGCGTACTCAGTGATCCAGTCAATCTGAGGATGATAAAACAGCATGTCGTCATATGGCTTCTTTAACCGCGGCATGTCCTCCTTAAATGGCGTCTTGATGCCTGGGGTTTCCCCATAATCCGGTACAGTGGCAGTCAAGTGTATCCCGTACCACTTGGAGCCTGTCTGAAGAACTACGAATTCCAAGTTTGGGCTTAGATGATCAATGGCAGTAGTTGATCTTTTGAACATGTTGACCATATCTTCCAGCTCTTGCATGACGTCTGTGGAGGCTTTGAAAGCCAAAAAATAAACATGCGTGACCTTATCGATTTCAGACACCTTGCTCTTGAGCTCCGTCTCCAAATCATCTTGTGTGCCTTTGAGCAGGTCGATACCGGATACGATATTAAGCCTAGAATCATCAGGCCAGAACGAGTCCTTTTGCGACAGTGGCCTGTTTGTTAATGCGTGTACTTTGTCCCATATTCCTTTCCTCGGGTAGTCGTTGAGAATCTCGTTGACAAATGTCCAGCCTGTAACACCAGAGGCACCAAAGATGAGAGCGGATTTACCTGGCATATCTAGGCAAAAGCTACTGGACAAGAACGATAGTAGAGACAGATAGAAAAAGAATATGGAATGACGTGAGAACTTCTTGATCAATTAGAGTAAGTTTGAGCTACAGTACAATGTTGCGAGACACGCGCCCAAAGTTCAAAAACGCGTCTTGTGTACTCCACCGGTACCTTTTCCTGAAATTCCTAACTCCGTTTCGAAGCGGGGTTCATGATGTGTAGCTGACCTGCAAGTCTGAGGCCAAGCCGTGTAAACAAGGTACGATTTTCGATGGAGAATCTTCGCCGAAATATCCAGGCCATCGAGGATTCAGTGCCCAGCGGTGGGGTATGTCACCCTTGTCGCTGGGAAATATATAGCCGATTTACGGCGATTCAAGAGTTGCCCTACCCGATCAAGCGCATGACTCAGTTCATTTTGCTCGAAAACAACACGAAGGCGAAGGGACTTGAATATGAGCAGGATTGCACAAGGCTTCGGCTGTTTGCTTGATTATGTGCCCGATAAGTTACTCTATGCGTCCAACTTGAGCTTTTCCAGCAGTAAATCTATCTTGTTTAGCAGAATGCGGTAATTCATTGCGTCCTGAGCAAATTCATCGTCAATCTCTTCGCCATCGAGCGTACGTATAACGCCCTCAACACTGCTATCTCCAGCTGGCTTCTCGAGATGTGCATCTGCATCCATGACCTCTCTCCCTGGCAGATGAATTGTTGACTCATCCCCATCAAGCATCTCGTCTAGGCGAGCATCTTCAAAGCGGAGGCGAAATCGTTCAGAGAGATAATATCGGATGCTGCAAAATTGTGTCAAAGCGACGTCCTTAAAGCATGACATGAAACTTACTCGTCAATTAACTCAATTGTATCTGTTTCTTGCCTCTCCTTGACTCTGCCAGCACTTTCCTTAATGAGCTCCACGAACTCGTCTTCATCGATGTAACGTTCCAGCCTGTAGGCAATATATCGAGCCCCGAATTCCTCTAGTCTTTGTACTCGGGTGTCCCATCCGGCCCTGATTACATCATATATGTCGATAACATCATCAAGGCTTGTCTCGCCTCTAGGATTTTCGCTTTCCACAACAGAAGCCACGCCGTTGCCCAGAGTGCTGATGATTTGTGCTGCCTTTCCCTTGAGCTTGTCGATGAAAAGAAGATCAGCAGCGAAGAGCACGGGAATAGCTTGCTCGAGAGGGAAATCGGCCTTTTCGCAATACAGAAATGTTAAGACTATCTCTAGAATATCGGGGGAGCAGTCTACTGGAATTATCTGTAGATATGGCGTCTCTTGTGCTTCCTTAAAGGACGAGGAAAACATGGTGTTGAAAAATTCAGACCGAATGAGCATCGCGCGGTGCGCAGGAAATAATACACACTTGCGTGGTTTCCTTGTCCTCGATGGCGATCTTGATGTACTGGAAAAGCTGCCAATTGGTATGCCATTCGACGTTTCTGTCGGATCGTAAGGCCGTCCGGAACCATTTGATTCTTGTGCGTTGTCATTGTTGTGGTCCTCATTCTCGTCTTCATCTGCTCGAAGCAGAACGTCCGCAAAGATACCATTGCTCCGATCCCATCGGACTTGACCGGCTTTATCTGAGTCTACATGGACCTTGTGCTTCAGGACGTGATTGCGAAACCACGCCTCCATCTGATCTCTGCCTCTTTCAACTTCATCTGTCCGCCTCTGTCGTGCCAGTCGTCTGTTGTCGCTGATAAGGATATTTTCAAACAGCTGTTCGATTTCCAAATGCCGACTTAATTTTTCAATGCCCGTCAAGATCTCTTTCTCATTTGGGTCGTCTTCGAAATCGGCCCCAACTTCTCCAAAGTAAATAAACTTAATTGCAGCGTGGAGTGCCTCAGACGGTATTGTATTGGGAAGTCTCCATGTCGTCGTATCCGGTGCAGCGGCAAATTTCTTCGCAAAATACGGAGATCGTGCTGCGAGGATGAGCTTATGAAGCTCAAATTGCTCTGTGCCAGCCGAAAGAGTTATATCTGACGTCTTTGGATGTTTTCTGTTCAGTAGAGAAGTGATATGACCAGCGAATGGCTGCAGAGGGTTTGTCGACTTGGAGTAATCGTATTGGAGAAGCAGATTTCGAATACGATCGTTCAGGGCATTGTACACTTCATACTATTAGTTCGATCCGAGATGAACAACATTCTAAAGGCCCAAAACATACGGCAACGTTCACCCTGAAAGGTGTCGCGTTCACAGAGAGCACCCGACTCCAGGAGAAGCTGAACTACCTCATAATGCCCGCAAAGACTGGCCTTGTGACATGTGCTGTCAGCTGTCAATGTCCTTCCACAAGACAACGTCTCTTCTGTATCCGTACCAATATCAAAGGCGTATAGTCGAACTTGTCTCTTGCATTAATATTTACACCTTCCGTTATCTTCTCCTGGCAAACGCGGAGATCGCCACGTCGACATGCCTCACAAAAGACTCTAAAGCTGTCGGAGAGATCAAGGGGGTTCTCTTCTTTTAAGCGGCCAGATTGGATGTCTTTGTTCTCTGCATAGAGCGACGCTTCGATCTGGTGCTTGTTCAGAACCATTGCCACTAAAGAGTCGAGAGCAAGAGGGCAACGGCGGGGCTCGCTGCGGGAGACTCGCAGCGCGTTGCCGTGGGAACTTGACGATAACGAGGGCGATACACAATGCAAATAACTCGTAGACAAAGGAGATGCTATACAAGAAAAAAGAGAGGACCTAAATACTGTGACTATGTCTAAGTTCTTCAACGATCTCGATTTTCCTCCCATTTGCCGTCATCAGGGTCTCACGAAAGGAAAACGCGCCGTAATCGCGGGCTTAAGCGCCCAAGCCAATCGGCTTTGACCACCCCCGCCGGTGCCCAGGCAACGACTGCCTGTCAACAAAGTCTAACTAGACCTGGTTGCTTCGTCTCACGCTCGCTTGACACATATACAAGCAATGCAGTAACCTTCACTTTGCAGCAGCATACATGCACAGTCGCTTAGCATCAACATCGGTTCTACTAACATACAGCCAGCAGCAGAGGGTAGACGGAAGTCCCGCTTCCGCTTTTCATTGTTGATTTCTTCGTTTCGGTACTCATCATGGCGACAGCAACGACTACGACGTCGACGTCAGAGTCAGAAAAATATGAGGTCTTGGAGAAAATCGGTACGTGATTCATGACAGGCTTTTCAGCAGCGTGGCTAACTCGTCGTAGGGCATGGAAGCTTTGGAGTCATCCACAAAGTAAGAAGGAAAAGCGACGGCCAGGTATGGTCTCTCTGCAGTCTTTCACCTCGACCATTGCAATGTATAACCCAAACACAGATCCTATGCCGCAAAGAAATATCGTACCAACGCATGTCGCCCAAGGAGCGGGAGCAGCTACAGGCGGAACTCAGCATCCTGTCAAAGTTACGACACCCAAACATTGTTGAATACATCGAGCGAGACCATCGCAAGGACACCCAAGACCTGCATCTGTACATGGAATATTGTGGGAATGGTGACCTTGGCCAGGTGATTAAGCGACTGAAGAGCAAGAACCAGTACGCCGAAGAGGAATTCGTCTGGAGCGTGTTTGCTCAACTCGTCACCGCGCTTTATCGCTGCCATTACGGCGAAGATCCACCTGAAGCGGGTAAGAATGTAATGGGCCTGGGAAACACGGCGAAACCGACCAAAATAAGAGGGAAGTCTGTGCCGTGGATGATACTACACCGAGACATCAAACCTGAGAATGGTATGTGCAAGCGCTCGTAAAGGAAAAATTAACTTTGTAGCTGATTGCTTCAGTTTTCCTCGACGAACACAATGCGGTTAAACTGGGCGACTTTGGATTGTCAAAAATCTTGCAGTCCCACGATTTCGCCTCTACGTACGTTGGAACGCCGTATTACATGTCACCAGAGATCTGTGCTGCAGAGCGATATAGTCTGTACTCTGATATCTGGTCCTTGGGATGTCTTCTCTACGAGCTTTGCGCGAAAGAGCCTCCATTCAACGCGCGAACACACATTGAACTCTTCCATAAAATCAAAGCTGGCCGAGTGGCTCCCATCCCTCCTGTTTATTCTTCGGAACTCCAAAAGGTCATCTCCAGCTGCCTTCAGGTGAACTCCAATGCCAGACCATCGACAGCAGATCTGCTTAATCTTCCAGTGGTCAAGCTCATGCGCAAAGAACAAGAAGTTGTTCTTTTCGCACAAAAGCTGAACAAAGAGAAGATCAACATGGAACGAAAGATGAAAGAGCTTGAGGACAGGGCCAAAAGCTTTGAAGAAGAGAAAGCCACCATGCGCTCTGAGATTGATGCTCAAGTACGGCGTGAATGGGAAGTTAAGGCTCGACTTGAGATTGATCGCCAAGTTCAGGCGCAAACCACTCAGCTGAGATCACTTTTTGAGGCAGAGGTCAATAAGCGAGTGCAGGAACAGATTGCATCCCGCAACCTCCCACCACGCTCTTCGACACCAAACCCGGACGGCTATGAGCCAAAAGACGTTCCCTTACCCTTGACAGACCACGAGAGTTCAGATTTCCCATCACAGACCGATCTATCGTCTCTTTCGCTTGATTCGCCTACGGATGTAAAGCAACGGCCTGCGAAGCGAACTACACGCACTCCATTTGGACGTGCACAAACTATGTTTACTCGCGCCACAGCCCCGTCACCGATGGACGTCCAGATGGCGGACCCATCACCAATGTCCATTGCAAGTCTGTCTTTATCTCCGCGCAAGAACGGTAAGGGTGGGCAGAGCACGAAGCAGAGGGGCAACATCTTTGCTGCAGCAGAGGATCGCTGGGCTCCGACGAACGCATCTTCGCTCCCAAGCCCAACGCTAAGCGAGGCTGAGGGTTCTGATGCCGACGGAGAAGACGAAGAAGACGACGGGCTGCCGGCACTGCCCAGTCCAACTCGAGACCCGTTCAAGGCGGCTGCGAAGACCAAACGGCCAAGCCTTGGACGAGTGAAAACACTCCCCGCAAATAGTAAGCGGTTGGCCAGCACTCCAAATCTCTTTGCTCCAAATCAAAACACGACAGCCCGCAAACCTGCCAGCGCAGTGCCTGTCGTGGCAACGAGTCCTGCGCGCAAGGGCAACGCAAACCCGACACGGCCGCGACCTACCGGATCCAAAGTACCGATTTCGACAGGCGAAGGCGCTAGCCCAAGAAAAGACGGCATGCTGAAAACCGCAATGAAGAATCAGCTTCAAGGTCGCACCCTGGTCGAGCTCGCACAGGCCAGAGTAGCACCCGTTTCTTCGGTTACGGAAAGAGAGTCGCTCAAGCCAGTCAGTAAATCCGACGGAGCCACCAAGCCGCCTGTGAGCATCGCCGAGAACGATGCACCTGTGTGGGATCCAGAGCGGGACGAAATGCCTAGTCCGTTCCTTGTACGGACGAAGCAGCCAGCAACGAAGTCAAGGTAGTAATTATGAATGAATCGGAAGTCTGGATGACTTGAATGGAATCAGGGTTGAGAAATGCCAATTGGATACGCTTTCAAACACAGTTGGCGGGGGTTTTGGTCGGCGTACTCGGGCATGGCGTGGAGTATATTGGTGGTTATGTCCTGATGTTTCCGCATTTAGCCTTGACGGCGCACTGCTGGCTTTTCATTTTGTCTTGTATCAGCCAAATATGCTGCGTGATAGAGTCAATCTTCATCTCATTTCCTTCTTTTTTGTCGAATAGAAGATTCTCCATTTTTGTCTAAACCACGTTTGTTTGACTAAACAGACTCAGTGACAATATCTTTTGCCGGGGAAGTCATGTGTATGTTGTCTCTGCACTGCAACCCACATGCAGCTATCCACCAAGCCGAGCCACTTGCTAGTTCAGTTTGGCAGTCAGTGCATTCGGTGATGCTTAACGATCTCTGCCAAACAGCTCTCGTCTTGGCCTCAAGTCTGATCGCCGTAGGATCCTCAAGCTTCGCGCAATTTCCACAGATGAGCCCTGTAGGCAGGGTGACAAAGCATGCGCATGGTCGACGCCTCGAAGGAAATAGACTGCGGCAGACTTTGGCATAGTAACATGCCGAACAATAAGGTTGGCAGTGTGTTTCATGAAGTTCCAGACGAGATAGATGACCGTATCCGCTGAGAGCAGATGGTTCAGGTAAGGCATGTGCACAGCCCTGCTGAGGGTTCAAATAAGGATCTGTTCTGCCCAAACAAACCTTGATATTACAGTTCCAGCAGGTGAGTGTATTATGCACGCAAGTCACCCGGCGTAATTTTTTCTTTCTCATCTTGAGATCGCCGGCTGGAAACACAAGTTCTCGGATTGATTTGGAGGTCCAGCTGAGACGTATGAGATCTTGGTAGTGTAGTTCGGACGCTATGACAAGTAGGGCTTCCTCTAGGGCCAACACCTGCTCCATTTTGGTTGAGAGCCGACATGTGTATTCTTGCCGTCGATCTCTGAGACAAGTCAATTCGATGTGCTCATTCGACCTTTTCCTAGCTGATATTCTTCTCCGTTTCTCGTTCAAGTAGCTGATCATATAGATACACTCCCTCGGGACGAGAGTAGCGAGTCGAAATATAGTTCGCCGCAGTTGAGAGAGATGGAGGCAGTGTCGTTTCGGTAGCGCCAGAGTTAGGGCTAGAAAAACAATTAAACCTTCGTGGAAGCTAAACTTGATCTTTAGCACGGCCTGGGTTCTCGGCTTTTTTTAGAATACATACACTACAACCGCTTGCCATACCATGGCTGAGTACAAAGTGCTGCACACATGGTTTGGAGTATCATTTGTCAAATTTGCGGCCATAACATAAAAATTCGGGCCTCCATCTGGCGGGACTTGCCATTTTGCTATTCCGACGCATGTCGAATTTGATCGGGGAGTAAAGGTATATTGCTGAGCCTGACTGACGCTAAGCCCGACCAGAGCGAACAAGTCAGGGACAGCTAGAAGTAGATGCCATGGAACAGCAAACGTCAGTGCTACGCAAGCAACGTTCCACCCAAAGGCAATGAATTCCTAGCACAGATCTTTAGCTGCGACTCTATTTGGCTTCGCGACTAAATGTCGTACCATAGCAACACCGAGAGTCAGGGATGGCAGGATGATTGGTGAGTAAGGCGGATGTCTCAACTCGTTATGGTTTTTCACAAGCAATACTATGTCTATCGTACTTGGTGAACCTTTGGTGCCTTGAGGAAAGCAAATCAGCGGCTCAATATGGGCCAACTAGGCGTTTAGACTGTACCGAAGCTCGAAAGCCCTATCCAACCCGCGCACCAACACCGTATTATGGACATTGCAAACCGCCATGGTGTAAGCGATTCTTGAGGTTTCCATGCTTCCGGGACGTAGATATTGGCGGCTTTTGAAAGGCTAATGATATGTTTAAAGAACAGATGCATGTCTGGCTATTGGGAGGGGATGAGGCTGAAAAGGGCCGGTCCCGCCCGCGCCGGGTCAGATCGACGCCTTATAAGCACCACCAAGCGGCGGCCTCTAGACACACGGAACTGATGGTTGCGGATGCATCCTAAAGCGACTAAAAACGCTAGAGGACTGCGTTTACTGTTTCTTCTTCTTCGGCGGCGGCTGAGCCGCAGTTAAGAGCATATCCGAGAACAGAATACGAAGGATGTGCGCCTCGCGAAATGCCACTCCGACGTTGAAGGCTTGACCGGAAAGTCGCAAACAGCATAGCCAACACGATAGAACGTTACATGCAGGCGAGGATCCGTGTCTGGCCATTAAAACTGACACTTTCACACCGAAAGGATCCACTTTAGCTCCATTCTTCAACTTAGTTCACGGCTGCCAACTTCCTTGCCAGCTGTGCTGAATACTGGATTTTGTACTGCGCCTTCACACGGTTTAAAGTCACGCCACATATCCTCCAAGAAGAAGAAAATTGGGGTGCGGCTCAGGCTGTTTTCATTGCACAGCTGAAAATTCCAATCATTGCTTTTATACGCATTTGGCCAGACCTTAGAAAGTCGGAGTTCAATTGAATGCGTCCCACAAGCCACACACAAAAAAAAAGGAGGTCAACATGAAACGCGCATGCAATGAGATCATTTGGCATCAAGCTATTTATTAAAGACTAATAATGATCAGTTTGGGGGATCTGCGACGTACTCAGAGCGCTTCGCTTCATAGGAGGCGGTGGCGGAGGCGGCTTCTTCGAACGGTTGACTGGTGGTGGAATCGTCTTTTTTGGACCTGCACTGCCGTCGGTGTCTGCGTTTGTCCAGCTTGTTGTCCTAGCTGGAGTAAGAGCACCCCTTGACATTGGACTGTCGGAGCGGATGGAGCGATCATCAGGGTCGCTCGTCACTTGACGAAGGTTGCCGCGATGCGCTTGAACGAGAGCCGTAGGCTCCGTAGGAATACGCACAAGCTTGTATATGCCTTGGGTTTGGCCCTCCTCACTTCGTAGACTATCCGATGTAACGGTACGACTGTAGCTGGGTCGAATACTGTTGCTTCGCTGAGGGCTATCTCGGCCGCCTCTTGCAGGTAGAATTGGCGGCTTTTCGCGAATCGAAGACTCATCTTCCATATTTGAATAGGACCTGGCGGTATTGGACCGTGGTCGTTGCCTTTGGCCACTGTATGATATTAGCAATGCTTCCATCGGGACGCGTTGACATCGCATACCTGATCCCTTCGCCGGGCCACTCTCGCCTGAGGTTTGCGAGGATTTCGCGGCAACTATCGTAGTATGCCAACTCTGCGTCAAGAAAAGCCGTGATGTCAGCAATGCTGTCAACTTCCGCCTCCTTGATGTCCATCATGCGCCTATACGTGTCCTCGAAGGACTCTTCGTACTTGGCCTTCTGAGCGCGAAGTTCCTCTTCAACTCTGAAATCCTCCTTTTTCGCCTTTTGAACTTTCGCGAGGGAGGCATCATACGCGATTCGACGTTGCTCAAGCTTCTTGCGCGCAGCCTAGGTTTTGGGATTAACTAAAATATTGCGCGAGGTTCCACACTTGTCGCACTTACTTGGTATTCCTTCATCTGAGCAAGTGACCTCTCGAGGCCCTCTAGCCATGTAGATGTCGCGGCAGCGAGATAGCTCTCCTGCTTTCGCGCAATGCTCTCTTGGGCTCGACCCATAGAGATAAGGCAGTTACCGTAGTCGGATTCCGGCGCATAGTCCTGACCATGCGCGACGTAGGTCGCTCCCATGTGCCCCACGGGAAAGAGTTTCTCCCTGTCCTCTGTACGCTTGCCCACCCACTTGACGTAGGTAGTCATAGACTTGTGCATCTTATCCATGCCTGTCGAGCGAGATTAATTGATGTCGCGCCGCGACAATGGAAGGCAGTGAAACTCACCTTCATAACGCAGATCCATCTCGGCTTCCAGCGCCTTGAATTCCTCAGACGTATCCGTCTTCGCCTCGCCGCCCATTTTCTCGCCTGCCCATTGCTTAAAGCGACCGAGTTTCTTGCCTACGTCCATGGCGGCAATGGCACTATCAGCTTGTCCAAAGAATGTGAAGACGTCGTTGTCGCAAGGTAGCAACGGGGAAGGTCTGGCGGGCGCTGGCGAGATGTGGGGTGTCCCGACTTTCCTTTTTGCGTCAGACTTTCGTCGGCCCGTTCTTCAAAACGACAGGAATGTTTTAAAGCGAGCGGATGTCGGCGGGAAACACGGTCGAGTCGGCTGTTCCAGTTGCTCCAGCGCTGAGTAAGGGCGGCCCCAAAAGACTGTCAGACATCCGTTTCGCCAGCGGGCAAAAGTTCGTAGAAATATAAGGGACGATAGGGCAGACGTGGTCGCCACCAGCCAGGACACGCAAGGATGTTTGAACGCTTGCCTGCGGAGGTCGTGTGTCTCGTCGTAAACGCGCCGGGAACGAATGGCTGTTGCTCAACGATAAGGGGATGCTTTGTTGAGCGCTCTCCTCTTACAGCGCCCGTCCCTGATTTCTCTACGACGCTTCCACTAATCAACGCAACTCCCCGTTCTACTGGGCGCACCACCCTGGGCAGGCGGTCCAGACGGCGACCTACCGTCCCAGGCGCTTGGCCCGACGGTTTGAAAACGACTACCTGCATCTGCCACTGTGTCTCTTGAACGACTCCGGTCTACCTCAGCCTGCCTCTTGATGCCGTCAGGTGCAAGCTCGCCTGCAGAGTCGCCTCTGGCCCAACATCGAGGAATGCGCACGCCATTCCTGCCTGGCCACGGCTCGCCTCCTGAAGATTCTTGCCGCCCGTCCTCTTCACAGGTCAGACTGGGAGCCCCACATGCGGCGTTACGCGTCACGCAAAGGGAGAAACAAGCACTCTGTCGTCTTGAGTGGTCAGAAAAAATGCATTATGACTGCTTTTGGCCGGACGCTCAGTATATCATTTGTATTTTTAAAGCACAATAGCTCCAATTCATAATACGCCCCAAGATGACCATTCCAGTGAACAGCGATCTCGTTGTCCCTGTCCACGTCATATGCCAGCCAATGCAATTGAAAGTGTGAAGCCGCTCGACTCCCCTCAGTCCTACCGCTATACGACAAATGTCTATTCCTTCGTCTTCTGGGTACCACGCAGTAGACCAGTTCTCCTGGCAGCGATGAGACCCGCCTTTTGACCTTGTGCCGCGTAACGTGAGATTGTAGAAGCCTTGCCGATATGCTGGTGATTACCACCACCGTGGGGATGGTCGACTGGGTTCATAGCCACACCACGGGTCTTTGGCCATGAGTTGCGCTTGACAGCGAACTTATGCTTGGCACGCGAAGCCTTGAGCAGAGGTTTGTCCGTTCGTCCACCACCAGCAACGATACCAACCATACCACGTACGGAGCTCTTCACGACCTTCTTAGCACCAGATGGGAGCTTGATACGAGTCTTGCCTGAAATATCTAGTCAGTAAGTTCGGAAAAGAGTGCAGTGCGGAGAGACTTGCCCTCATCCGGGTTGTGGCCGATGACTGTGACATAGTTACCGCTGGTACGTCCCAGCTAATCTGTTGTTAGCAAAGAATCCTTGTGTGCGTCGTGATGGAGAACATACAGCACCACGGTCACCCATCTTCTCCTCAACGTTGCTGACTACGGTACCCTCAGGAACGGCACTGAGTGGGAGGATGTTACCGACAGTCAACGCAGCATTCTTTCCGGCGTAGATAAACTGGCCGGTATACATGCCCTCATTGCTTTGTCCTCGTCAGAACCTTTCTCCTTAATTATTTGTAAGCAATGACAGTTACATACGCAATGAAGGTCTCGTTGCGAAGCTTGTATCGGTATGGGTCACGGAACTGGACCTTTGCCAGTGGTGCGCCTCGACCAGGATCGTGGACAATTTGCTTCACGACACCTCGAATGTAGCCATGTCGCTCGGCCTGTCCAATTGTGAGCCAATGCCTCCTCATTCAAGCCTTGGAATCTAACGTACGTAGTCGAGGGATCGGAACTGCGCTGGTGCCTTGTTCAAGCTGAAAACAAATGGTCAATTGTGGTGCTTCGTTGACATCTTAACATTTACTCATACCGGGTGTGTGCGGTGAAGATCGAGCCGCGACCCTTTCTCTGATTCCTTTAGGTCTCATTAGTCCTGCTCTCCATTTTGCTGCTTGGTGCGCGAATATACCTGATAACTCTTCCCTGTCGATAGTGTTAGTGACCGTGTGGTATGGGAACTGAGCAGGCAGCCATGCAATCGCACAAGAACAGTGCTAATAGCATCAAGCCTTGAAGAAGTATACATACCATCTTGACAGGATTTTTGTCGCCGCCGAGATGTGGTGAGTGTCGTCGATGCTACAATTCGTCAAATCAAAAGTTGAAACTTCATTTTTGGGTGTGTGCTCGCAAGTGGGCTTGGCAGGCATCAAGGCATAAAGGCATCTGCCCTCGTCAACCTCACCTTTCCACCCTCGCGCATTGCAATTTGATTTGCGATTCGCAACGCCTGAGCACTTAATGTCGTGAAATCGATCGAGTAGTCATCGATGCGACAGCACGGGTCGGTGCTTTTGATACAAAGTGGCTTGCTGCAACGCTCTCATAGGTATAATGCTGTTTGTAGCTCTACGTTGTAAATAGCAGCGAGAATGACCACTTCACAGACATAGTCGGCAGTTTCCAAGGCTATCGACATGATCTGTCGTTATTTGAGTTGTGGTTTGAACGTGGCATGAGACGGGAAGTGTATTGAGGACCCTAAAGGAGACAGACCTCTAATCCAGGGTCGGCAACAGAAAAGAGCATGGAAATTCGTTCAAATGAGTTATGAATTTTCGTCATGAAGAAAAGAAGAGAGATTGAAATGTTATTGGATACCGTACAGAATGAGGGCGATGTCGCTGAATAGGTTTCGTGTGATCCCCGAATGTGGCTCAGACGATCAAGGCGGATATGTTACAATATTTGACCAACATCAGGCTGAGATGGCTAGTCTCTACCGCTACTGCGTCCGTTGCTCCTCGCGATTCGAGTTAAGGTGAGCGCTGATGCACAATAAAGCTCGCTTTCAAAAACCCGCACGTATTTTGCGCAATCTTCTCATCCGGAGGACATTTAGTGGCGAGCTTCAAGCTGTCTAATCGCACAGCATACACACATTACGACGCTGCTTCGGAATGTTTGTGTAGCAATCTATTGAAGCACAACGGTATATGCAGACGGTCTTGCGGTTGGTAAGAGCTTGCGGCGGATATAAAGCAAATGATGAAACGATTCCGAGCTCGGAGAACACTTCACGTTCGAGATCGCTTCAGCTGTGGGGGATGTTGAGATTGCAATTACATACTTTGTGTGCCCGTCATAGTACTATGAGCTGTGGCCTTGTAGGCAGCCAAACGTTGTAGATCAAGAAAATCGAAGATTTTGGAGAAAGTTAACGCTACGTGCTTCAAGTGGTGAGACAAATCGCCGATCGAATGTCTTGCCTTGTCTGATGCGCTGTTATGGACGCCCAGAATTTCCATACGTTCAACCACAGACCAACTCCACACGCTGAACACCACTTTTCGCGCACCATTTCGCGCAACCTCCACATCGATATTCTTTGCCAGCATGCGATAGCAAAATAAACTCCTGCATATCTACTCCGACGTTTGCTGACCTTTCTCCCTGTGCGCGCCACCTGTCGCACCTTCCCTCGCACACGATCTACCCTTTCAAGCAGGCACTTGATTACGCGCTGCCAGAATGTCGTCACCAATTTCAGCCGGCTCCTCGCCGCTTTCATCATTGTCTTCAGTTCCAGATGACGAGCCTATACCATCCTTCATGTTGAACGACGCTCAACCGGCGGCCGAGAGCGAGGAGTCCTCCTCTGAGGTCGAGGAGGATGATAAGTCTAAAGCTGAGAGAGAGACTTCACCACCACATGAAGAAGTGCTTGCAGACAATCCTGACATCGCAGTACGTATCAGACGCGTGATACACGTGTTGAAACGCGCGTGTAACTAGCCAATGTGCGGATTGTAAACCCGTATGCTAACCTCTACTTTTCGTCCACCACAGTTCATAGTGATGTTCCGAGCACGATTCAGCGACGCCTTCCCCCAGAAGCTCATGCACTTTGGACCGCAGGATATAGAAAATGGGGTAGTGGGTTCAATGCCTTCGCCACAGATTGAACATCTGCTGTGTGCTTTGCTTGGGCTGGTGCTGAACCGCAAGAAACCAGTTGAGTGAGTTGGCACCCCAATGGAGAAGAATGAAGATCCGCAGACCTTCTTCAACCCTTACGTTGCGAAGAAAGTGAGAATATAACTGACGAGCCTTCGGCCAACCAGAAGTGGACACTACGGTCGAGCCTTGGAGGAGGCCATCCAGGCCAATAAGGCGCAATGGCCTCGAGCATGGAACCAAGTCAATCCACTGCATGGTGGGCGGACTTTCAATAGTATGAGCCCGTCAGAGCGTGTAAGTCTTTCCAAGTCAGTAGTTTACCAATGTACTGAACGGTTCATGAGCTTGGCCTACTTCGAGCCCTTATCCTGTGGTCCTTGCACGAATCCGACGCCATCAATGCAATCATAAAAGAAGGTTACAAACAATCTAGACAACAAGATGACCTGAATGTGACATTATCAGTGCAGCCGTGGGGCAAGGATGGCCTGAAGCGCAGATACTGGCTTATTGAGGGAAGAGACGACACGCCCTTCCGCCTGTACCGTGAGAACAATCCTGCGCTAAAGAATGGGACGTGGTGGAGCGTGGCAGGTTCAATAGATGAGCTGAGAAAGCTTGGGGAAAAGTTGGAGAAAGAGACAGCACAATCCTCGCGCAGACTTGCTCAGCGCATCAACATGGCCATTCCGCGCTTTGAGGCTACAGAAGAGGTTCGTTTTCTAGGATTTATTTGGAGTCTATCATATTAACTCTTGATAGAAACGTCGACGTCGCGAATATCGTCTCGCCCGCAAAGCTGCGTTCGCTCGCCCAGAGCCTGGCTTTTCAATGTATGAAGGACGTACAAGAGGCAAACGAATGCGATATACATACGAAGAGGAAGACGACGAACTCTCAGAAGCGCTGGGGACTAGGCGATCAACGCGGAACTCTGGTGCCATAACACCTTCTGAAAATGCACGTCCAACTACAACCCTGAGTGGCCGCCAGGTACGCTCACGTGTTGGTGGTATTTACGGAGAGACGCTTCTGAGTGGCCAAATCACAGACACGCGTCCCTCTCCAGCTACAGACCTTTCTGATGAGCCTGTTCGTGCTTCCCGCTCTGGTCGAGCCGGCGTTTCTCGCCGAAGGATCGATGAAGACGTCGAGACGTCGTCTGAAGAAGAGTGGGACGGTGGTGATGAAGACGAACCAGATGAACCGGACGAAGTTATGGACGACTTTGAAGATGAAGATGAGATTAGCGAGGGCGACTCTTCGGACGAGGACATGGAGCCAAAGAGCTTGATTGTCACTCTCCGCTACGGGAAAAACCGTCCATTGTCCGCTTTCCAAGCATCGAACACAGAAAAAGAGATCGGTCCGGATGCCAATGCACCTGAGCAACAACCATCGGATCCGCAAGCTGGCCCAGCACCTCACCAGACGCAACAGGCAGCCGGGTCAGCGCACAGTAATGGATACCCAACCCCAAGCTCCACGACAAATAGTACTGGTGGTTACGCATTTTCGCCACCACGAGCACCTGTCGTCACTCCTGTTCACAGTTTCTCGCCAAAGCAGAGTGCTGCGCCGTTGAAGCAAACCCAACTGCCGTTCCAACCTGTGCCACCATCAGTACCTCCGTCTGAACCGCGAGCTCATTCAACGGATCATGCAACTTTGCAAAAACCTCCTTATGAGCAGCCTTCTAGCACTCAGACGGCACAACAACCTCCTACCTGAAAAAGAGTTTATGTCGCATATTTAAGGCGTGAACTTATTCCAGCTGAAGTAGTGCGCTTCTCTCGAAAAACTGGTATTCTTCGAATTCAGCTGTTGGAGCTGGGATTTCGAGGAGTATGCATGACGCCGGTTAGTCTGCTTTATAGCAGGTGTGAATTAGGATAGCGCCAGAAAACAGCTAGATTATTAAATCGCCAATCTAACTATGATCCATCTTATCCTCACTTTCGCCGTCGTTCCGATCATCTTTTGTAGTCCTACCATCCTCCTGGATAATAAAAGGAAAACTTAAGTGCTTCCAGTCCTCAATTTCCTCAATGACACTCCTCATCCTATCTCTGATACTCTCTACTGCATATGTGCCCAAAAGGAGCCGGAGAGGCGGGTATTTGCAATGCGCAAGCTGCCAGCAAAGCTCGGCACTTTTAACAGTGCTTACAGGTTGCCGGTCATTCAGCCACTGAACCATCCGTCGCGCATGTCCTGCAGGTGCATGAGCGCCCTTATATGGGTCACTTGCGGGCTTGACCTTGAATGCAGAGTACTTCTTCAGTCCGCCGCGTGCCTTAGCATCTGGGTCGTCGAGTCGCATGTGTCCCGGCTCCACAAGCGTGGCCTTGATGTTGTAAGCGTCCACCTCGTACAGCATCGATTCTATGAGTCCTTCGACAGCGTATTTGGTGGCACAGAAAGGCCCCAAGCCCGGAGTTCCGAGGGCGCCGGATGTAGAGCTGAAGATGAGGTAGCGGCCGTGCGACTGTGCGCGGAAGTATGGCAACGAAGCAGCAAGCATGTTGATGGTTCCGTAAACGTTGGTCTCAAACTGTGAGCGCAGCTCGTGATCTGACTGATCTTCACACGCCCCGATCACGCCGTACCCTGTACAGCTGTTGTCCTAAGGGTCAGTCCGTATGTCGGCATGTTGGACGCGGTGTCAAACACACTTTGCAATTATGTCGACCCTTCCCCAATGCTGCACGCTCTTTGCCATTACGGCGTCAACAGTTTCGCGCGCGCGGACGTCGCAAAGCATGGGAAGCGAATTCTGATTCATCCAGCTCCTCATCTCTGCCATGCTTGTCTCCTTCGTCCAACCTACGGCGGTTACTTTATCGCCATGACTGGTGGCTACGCGCACTAAGGACCGGCCCAAATGACCTGTTGCTCCAAATATCTAAGCCATTCCATTAGCATTTTCTGATCTCGACTCAAGGTGCTCGAGAAAAGAACAAAACAAGAGACGCGTACAACCCAGACTGCTGGCTTCGGCGGGTTCGCCTCGCTGGGAGGGTCGCATTGCGCTGGCAAGATAAGATTTGCTACCTTTGTAGCAGCTCCTGGAGAAAGAGGGGCATTTTCGGCCATGCCATGCTATTTGGAAATCCTATAGAAGATAGGGTGGGATGCACGAGCATGGCGGTTTTGCGGGGAAAGCTCGCGCCTTTAAATTGAGCCTCATCTTGGCACTGTACATGATCTTTTTCTACGTCACTCCATCCCTTTCAGTCTTCCGCCAATGCAAGATCAGACATCAGCATTCTTGCCTGGATATGCTCGCTGTCACTCAAAATATCATGAGGGAACCTTGAAGGCGATATGATTTTGGATAGCGCACGTCACTCTCTCTCCCTTTTTCGATCAGCTGGACAGTTGAAGTAAAACTATGAACGCTCTTCTGGCCTTCTTCCTTGGCCAGTTCTCGCTGGCTGTCTTGCTCTTCGCCTTCATAAAGTTCTTTATCTTCGGCGAGCCGCCTCCTCCTTCTCACCTTGTCCGAAGACGTGCCTCAAGCTTCGCGTTACGACGACCGCCCAGCCGGTCGCGAACAAAGTTTACTTCAGTACTACGGCCGACGCCGAAGATCACAACAGAATCTATACTGTCGAAAACTTTCTACAATGTCTCTGGTCATCAGCCAGAGAGTTTGGATTGGTTCAATGTGCTAGTGGCACAAGCATTAGCTCAACTGCGAGAAGACGCCTCGCAAGATGGTGCTATTCTCAAGAGCTTGAATGCGGTTCTAAATGGAGAACACAAGCCCAGTTTTGTTGGTGATATACGCGTCACAGAGATCTCTTTGGGTGAAGAGTATCCCATTTTTAGCAATTGCAGGATCATTCCTGTCGAGGAGAAGGATTCGGTAGCTGGAGAAGCCGGTTCGAGACTCCAGGCGCGGCTGGACGTTGACTTGAGTGATTGCATCACTTTGGGCGTCGAGACGAAACTTGTGCTCAATTATCCCAAGGCACTGGTTGCAGTGCTGCCAGTTGCTCTGGCTGTCAGCGTGGAAAGATTCTCAGCTACGCTATCACTAAGCTTTATCCCATCTGCCGATCCTCCTGCGCCGAAGGATGACTCCTCTAAAGAAGGTGGTTCCGGAAATTCAAGATCTCCAACTACTCTAGCATTCTCGTTCCAGCCAGATTACCGCTTGGACATCTCAGTTCGTTCCCTTGTTGGATCAAGATCACGATTGCAGGACGTACCGAAGATTGCTCAGATCGTTGAGGCGAGAATACACCAATGGTTTGATGAACGATGCGTCGAACCTCGGGTACAGCAAATCGTTCTTCCAAACTTATGGCCTCGCAAGAAAAACACACGTGGTGGGGACGAAGATGATGAAGCGATAGAAGAAGATATGGTAGACGAGCTTGCGGAACGAGCAAATGGAGGATACGACGCTATGCAAGATACTGGCTATGAGGATAGCTTGGAGGCGAGGATGGCAGCCGAGGGTAGGAAAATTAGAGAGGCAGAAAGAAAGGAGGAAAGAGAGCGACGCGCAAGAGATCAACCGCAGCCGACACTGCGTCGGCGTCCTGGTCACAAGTCACTCGCAAGCGCCGAGGGCTTCAAGATGCCAGGACACTTCGAATGAGGGCCCAAAGTCAAATCCCGTCATATATTCGATGCACCATCGTAGAAACCGAAATTTCACATGCATCTGATGGCGTGGGATCATCGACATGTTTTAAAGGTTTCCATGCAGGAGGGTACATGGAAGGCACTGCCCAGACTTTGGATATAGACAAGGATGTCCTACCGCTAGGAGATCTGGGGAATCAAATGGCATTCATGCATGTGTAGCAAACATGCGAAGCGTACGCTTGCGGTAGTCCCGACGCACCCGTGTTCGGGTAGCAAAAATCGGTTGCTGCCGAGTATCCTAGAGCGGGTGTCCCAGCGAGAGGCAGTCAAAGGGACGGGGTAAAAAGATCTGCACATGGAGCACAAGCCCTTTACATTCAATCAGCAGGCTCGTGGAAGAAAAATTATTTTCCAGATCGAAACTTTCGAGAAGGACCAGTTCATCTGATTGAGATTTGTTGCCAAGGCGATTTTCGCTCGAAGTGTTGCAAAGTTAGAGCAAACTCCAGTCGCGTTACCATCTCAGTATACCGTTCCACTATACAAAAGATGTTTTCAAGTCTTTCCGTTGACTTTTTTATTAGCAGCATCCAAATGATCGAGTCTTCAGTAAAATGACTTGCATGATCGCGGCTCTGCTCTGCCCATAAAGGAGGGTGGAAACATACACGCTGATTGGCTCGCTCCTGTCGCACTTCACGATTGTCAACTTAATGCCAACTTGTCAAATGATATCTCTGGAACGCCAGAGTCACTATTCATAGCATTTCGCCTCAATATCCAACTTCCCTTGGTCAGATCTTCCGTTCACCCATCATTTCCCCCTTTTGCGGAAAAGATTCTAGGCTTCGCCATTGCTACGTCTCTCAGCTGCCATCAGCGCTACCCCTCCTTTGCCATTTCCGCTTTCTGCTTCCAACAAGTGGCAAGGACGCAATCATGCCGCCTCCAGCAGATATTCTCAGCGATCCTGAGATCGCACAAGCCTACGAGGATGTTCGTAGCGACAAGTCAGAGACAAATTGGATGGTGCTCAAGTACGAGAGTCCAATCAAAGATAACCTAAAGCTCGATAAGACTGGAACTGGCGATATTCGCGAGATGTGCGAGACCCTGGGTGACGACGAAGCAGCGTATGCATACATCAGAGTTAAACTAGGCAACGATGAATATAGTGAGAGGACTAAGTTTGTCTTCGTTGTCTGGGCTGGTGAGTCGATTTTTTGCCTGACGTAAAACATGTTGATCACAAGACATACAAAACGTTCAAAATTCTCCCCGTCTCACGTTCGGGAGAACACCGAGGCTTTACATCCGGGCACCAAAGACATGCCATATTACCGGAGAGAGAAGTAAATGGATTCAATGATCAAGCCGAACGGGGAAAATTTGCTGTGAATAACGTCTTCGCTTAAACCTTGTATCGAATGAGCGTCTTCGGCGTGCGAGCTGACGATTTTGACTATAGGGCCTCAAACTAAGGTCATGAGGAAGGCGAAGATGAGCTTCCAATCCGGTCAGGTCAAACAGGTCATCAGAGCGTATGCTGTGGAAATTCAGACGGATTCGAAGAAGGATCTAGAGCCAGACGCGGTCACCTTGAAGCTGAGGAAAGCCATGGGCGCCAACTGTGAGTATCTCGTTCGCCAACCATGGCTGTACTGTGGCTGAACGCCGTGCAGACGACCGTCAAACGACAAACTATTAGACAAGCTATCGGAACGAGTGGGACACAGTCCGCTGTTGATAGATCATGAAAAAAGAAACGACGTGATCTCGCACGAGGGGCGAGTGGACACAAGTGGGCCAGCGTGCCTCGATCATCCTCCATAGCATCTGCGCAAATCGCGAAATCACTTCACCATTTCCTACCCATTCGAAATGTCGCAATGGCCGTGTGACGAGGCTGCGTCGCTTAGGAAAGAAAGCGGAGCCTAGCGTTGTACAACGTGGCCCACCCGCATACGCCAGTCATTTCGTGCATCTTTTTATTCTTTTTTTTCCTATATTTTTTTTTCCTGTTTGCTCCCGCGATCAGCACCCCCGTTTCAGCGCGTGTGCTGGAACACCGAACGGTTGGCCACAAGACCGGCGAGGCCGTTTAATTAGCCCCAAGCTGGCCGCTTTAGCTGGGTAACCCTCGTTGGGAAATAACTGCCGCGGGATTGCAAAAAGGTCAAAAGAAAGACTGCTTCCCAGCCTGATACGCGTGACATTCGACGTGCTAGCCGGGGTTGTGTGACTGTGTCCTCGTTGTGCCGTATGTTTCAAGAGCGAAAGAGACAGGGAGAAGAGAGAGAGAGAGAGAGAGAGAGCAAAAAAATTATGATTCTGTCATGACGTGAGATGGCTTATGTGGTGAATTGCGTCTTTTGCGATTCGTCTTGCTTACAGTCTGAAATAAAAAGGATTTTCGCTGATCGTATGAAACAGTCGGCGGTGCCCTATACAATTGAGGAGGCGCCGATTACCCTCTCTCCCAGAATGCCATAATCCGTCTGTTACTCTTTTTTCTCGTGGAGACAATGAAATTCGCTAGATGTACATGGTATGTTGCGTGGAGGCTCGCCATCGTTCCAACTTCGTATGCTTCGTGAGCCAACGATCTGCCGTAGCATCTCCAAACTAATCTGTGGAAAAATCCTGTCGTAATAATGCTCCTTCTTTTGAAAATAAATAAAAAAAAATAAATAAAAGACAAATAAGAATGCGTGCATCTGCACTAACGAGAAAGTCGCGGCAGGCGATTGAGCAGGAAAGAAATTTTGAGCCGTTTCGATCCGCCAGCGTCGCGAGCGGATCTTGTTCTGCCCGGTTCTTATTTTTGCTGAACTTGAGTAGTGTGAAGAGCACGCGCAGAAAGGTGGTGCAAAACAAAACCGTGCCGGGGTATCATATATCCGTCCCAAATAGCAGTTGTATGTCAAGAGTTTCCAAGAAGAAGAACTTTTTTCTTCTCCTGATCATGTACGCTCATCGATTTCCAAGACCTTTTTGATGACATCGACTTCGGAGTGTCCTCGGTACGTTTTCATTCGATGGCACCAGACCACTTCAGACTGTCTGAAGAGAAATTCCCCTCCGACCCAAAGCATATGCCCGCCTCGGTACTTGAGCCGTTCGTCGATGCTATTCATTTCCTCGACCTGACTCATGACCCATGCTTTGCTCGATATGCCTTTCATGTACTGTGGATTCTTGCCCGGGCGCAGTACCCATTTCATCCCGAGCGCCTTGTACAGTCGCTTGGTCGGATCCGAGTAGATCGGGAACGGGCAGTTTGTGCGTTTCCGATAAGAGTTGATCAACTCCGGCGAGCCAAGACCAATTATGGTGATTGATGTGGGCTTGGGCAGCGAGAAGTACGTGGCGAACGGAATGGCCTTTGAAAGTGCCCTAAGGTATGCTTGGCATGCCTGCGCAGGACGTTAGCCGGACAGCGTAGAAGATCGAAGCAGGTTTTTGACTTACGCCACAGAAAAAGTGCCGCACGAAGATGACCATCTGCTGCTCTCCGATCGCAGTATCGCCGGAATAGATGGACGAGAAGGGGCGGCCTTTCCCATCAGAGTCGAATATGGGGATCTTCCCAGCCTGCGCGAGCACGCCGTCGTCAGGTCTGGCGTCGGAAATGTCGATTTCATGCTGAATCTTCTCAAAGTAATCCTCGTAGTCAAAGTCACACTGGTAGTCTGTGCATGACTTGTTTGATCGTGTTCGCAAGCTAAGAGTCGAGTGGAAATCGTCCGAAGGACGTTGGTGCGAATAGCTTGTTGCGATGGTGGACATGGTGAGATCGGAAGTCCTGTTCGAGCGCCACGACAGTGGCGAAGAATTGTACGAAGAGTAGAGAGCGTGAGGCAAAGGAGACAGGTCGTCGTATTCATCATCTTCGCCCGCTTCCATAAATGGGCCCTCTTCCAACAGCTCCTCGTTCCAGGCTGGGTGCGAGTGAAGCGGTGAAATCTGCTTGAGGAGGTCGGCCTCGGGATTTCGCTGGCTCACACGAAGAGGTAAAACGGGCTCGGTGTCCTCGCTGCTGTATCTCCGTGGTCTGATGGCTTCATTTGCAAAGCTTCGGGTTGAACGAAGAGGTGAGATATTGTCGTAGACGTCCTCATAGACATCCTCGTCATCCTTATACAGCGGCGGTGAGCGGGACAGGTATCGGTAGATGTCGGCTTCTTCCTGGTAAGTAGGCAGAGGTGGTGTGTAGGTTGATGTAGTGGCGACCAGATCGTGATATGTTGACGAAGGAGACGGACAACTCTCTGTTGCGACGTCCTCTGAATGCTGCTGAGGATTAGGCACGGCATGTTCCTCTTCTCTAGCGATTGCGGGCAACTCTACGAGAGGGTGCTCCTCGAAGTGGTTTGGGTCGACTCGGCTCTCCAAGATATCGTCCTTTGGCGGTGGTGGCGGTGGCGGCGGAGGATAGACTCCCAAGATAATGCTGACATCCTCATTGATCTGAAGTGGTGCAGTACTCGTAACCGGAGTATCGATCGCGTCGTCCTTCAAAGGCCATCGTTGAGCGAATGAAAAGTCCGCGGATGGCGACGAAGCGATTGGCGAGTAGAGAGTCGGATATGGCGAAAATGCACTCTGCGTATTTACTGAGGGTCTATCCACGGGCCAGGAGATCATGGGCCTCTGAGCCGGCTTCCTTCTGAAGAGAGTCATTGTTGGGAGACACTGATCTCGAGGAAATCCCGAGTTACAGCCTCATGATGAAGAATATAAGCAAAAGCGAGGGCTATGGAAGAGCAGAAAGAGTGTTTGATATGCCCGGTCCAAAATAGAGCATTCGAACCCGTGCTGTTTCGCTCGCCAGCGAACTGCAAGAAAGGAAAGGAGCGCTGGTGCGGTAGCAGGCGATGATTAGCTGTCATGGAAAAGAAGGGCTGCCATGCAGCACGCCACGAAGCGGAGAAATCTACCAGCTGAACGACTCTCTGGAGCTACAAGCCGATACATACATGTATTGGTTGACGATGCTCGTGTACCCATGCTGAACCACGATATCGGTGTCATCATGCTGGACCGGATATCTGCCGCTAGGAACCAGCCCATGCCTAGCTGCATCTGCCAGGTACTATCCGATCGCTTTTTCAGGGCATGTGTCTGGCTGCGGAGCCCGTGGATCGTACACCTTTTTTCGGGAGAGTTTGCTCCTGTATCCGTCTTTTTGTCACAAGCCAGCGTACGTACTCCCCAACCGTCTCTCTGTCCTTTGTTCCCGGTCTTCTCAGGCGTTCACCGTTTGCCTGCTCTCCGCGTCAACTTTTTGTCCTCCAGATGGGTTCGCCGAGGTGCATGCGGTACGAGCCAATGAGGTGCCGAAGCAGGCAGACAACTGAGAACGCACGTCGTACAGCATCACGTACGAGGTGTGAGTGGTCTGCACGGCGCCATCTCTCAGCCCCACAGGGTGAGACTAGTGTCGTTTGTCCCTCTCATTGGTACGCCGCATTGGACGCGAGATTTTCTGCTCGCCCACTTCGGCATCAACGAGTGAAGTCGAGACATTCGGTGGGATTGGTAGAAGCCCTTGAAACCGGCTGAGACCGAGAAAACATGTTTACGGGGCAAGGCACAGCATGGCTCGATTTGACAGATGCGAGCGAGCCACAACAGCATCCCCTTTCCGTGGCCAGAGGCCCAGAGCCGTGGCGGCAGATCCACTGTGTTCGAGGCAAATCATACCTCGGCATAGGGCTGCTTTATGCCATTATTTATGCAAGGCACAGGCATTCCAAGCGCTTCAGCGTCCTTTTCCCCTTCAGGTTTTGCAGGTCGCGCCTACGGGCGAACCGGGTCTTTCGGCCAACGTTGCAGTGGGTTTCGCCTAGAAAAATGTCGAATGAGACGGGACGACGAAATTCTCCCTTACGAAGCTTTCGTTTCCCTTTTCCTTCTTGCGCTTCTGCTCCGGCACCGGTTCGTGCCCTGCTCAAGCAACCATCACGGACTGCTCGTTGCTCTGCGAAATTAACGAACGAGATCCTTTTCGTGTGCCACAGTTTTGCTTCCCTGCAGCGAAATCCAGTTCTTTGCGTTACGCCAGTCATAGCCCTCCATGTTGAAGGCTGAGCAAGCGCGCAGGCGTCAAACATCGTCTTCATTTGCTCGAGGTCATTGGCAGGCAAGGGCACTGAAACGCTGGGTGCTCCCGCAGCCTCGGCCAAGTGCAAATCGATAGGCGTCCTCGCTAGTCCAGTCCAGAAGCGTAGCCTCGCTGGCGTGGATGCCAATTTTTCCAGTCCTGAATCTTAAAGCTTAAAGGCCGTTCATGTTGCAGAAGACGGCCCCCAACGAAAGACCTTGCGACAGAGGCTTCGCTGGCACCACTGCCTGAACGCAACCAGGCACCGCAGGTTCTCGCCCGCTTATTCCCCTACGCCAGTCACAAATGCTCCGATGTTCCAACGACCGGAGCCCTTTCAGTCCAAAGTCGCAATTGATTCAGTTCTCGGTAGCTCACCACTGTGACTTGCATTTGAGTCCTCCAATAGACTGACGTACATCCCTGAGCGACTCTGCTTCGCTGGCACGGGCGTCGCTGTGCTTCGCAACACTGCTACCATTTTTCTCACATCTGACCCCAGATTTTCAAAACAGTCACAGGTTTGGCCAAGGATGTACCCTTAGCGTTCTCCATGTAAGGCGTTACAATGAGAGCGTAAGTAAAGCTAAGTTGCGACGCTTCCATGCTCGCGACCTCGCGATAAGCAATTGATGAGAGCGTGCGGACGGGTTCACTTGGGTTCCTACACGCCATCAGTGTGGCGTTGTTCCCAATTATCAGACACGACGTGCCTTATAACACCAAAACCGAGTTTTAATGCGCGTGTCAAACGTGGCGAGCGGAAAGAAACAAGTGACACGATAAAGACGGAGAATTGGACGACTTCGTCAATTTCTTTTTCTAGTTTATGCCATCAGAGGTCTGATTCTGGAAAGTGACGATCAGACGCATGGCACTTTGACTACGCAACAACGAGTCTCGGAAAGTCCAGAGTTCGGCCTTGTAATTACGCTGCTGTCAAAGCCTCGATCTCTTGCCCACCAGGTGCCAGCACTCTTTGAGAGACTGGCTTCAAAGGCTCAATTTTCGACCCGTCGTTCAAGGTGAAGCCATTTACAATATACTTCCAGGACCTGTGCTCTTCGGGCGCAACGCTCAATACTACCATAGACCGGTAGAATTGGTGGCTTTCTCCCTTCCAGAGTGCCAAAGCTTCAAGTGCTAACGGCACCCACTTTCGTAGTCCGTCCTTGTCGCCAATGTAGGAGTATTCTAATGCTGCATACATGTACGCCTGGCCGATTTGCGTGTAGAGATGTTCTTGCTCGTAAAGCGAAACGAGCGTTTCGGCAGTCGCCGTGGTAGCGGTTCGCCGCGGTGAGATGTCATTGAGCTCCTTCTCAATCTGCTTTATTGTGTCGAGTCGAAGATCTGCAAGTTCAACAAGACTCTTCGGTGCCGAACACTTCGAGCACGTGCATTTAAAACCCCATTCACGTTCAATGAAGGTTCGACGTTCAGCATGCTTCATCCCCCCAGGCGTGTAAGTGACCGTAATTTCTTCGCCAGGGTTGATTCTGGTCATGGCGTGGATACGATGCGTCAAGGAATCTTTGTCGAAGTAATAGGCTGTGTTCGGTCGACAGTCATGATTATATCGCGCTGCTTCAGGAATGATGGCCCAGAAATGGTCTTTAGCAGCTCCAGCGTAAGCTTGAAACGCGTTCGTCTTAATGCGAGATACGCTCGGATCACCTGGGAAGTGGTTGTGGAGGCTGTTGAAAAGCTCTTGTGTCTTTGGTGATAGCCTTTGGATGGCTAGTCTAATAAGCAGATCTCGGTCATCCAACTTGACAAACTGCATGAAATCGTCCTGGAAGAGAAGGATAGGTGTGTAGCCCTGAAGGTAATCACCTCGATTCAGCGTAGCATTTGCGAGCACGCCACGTCCTTTGCCAGGTATCACCTGAGGCTGCTGCTTGTATGCGTTGCCTTCGGGATGCTTGAATATTTCACTGTCGCTTGGTTCTTTGAATGCGGCTGCTTCCAGCAGACTTGCTACTTCTTTTGGGGTTGTAACAATAGATATCCCTCTACCGTTTGCGAAACGGTCGTTAGTATACACGCAGAAACCATTATTGGCTTCTGCAGATTCGATGCAGAATGGTTCGTGAGTCCACCGGTTTGGCGTCGTTCTAATCCCAGCGGCGGTTATGTTATTTGGCGGGGCGATGCCTATGACGGAGATGTCTTCAGCATTCTCTACATTGACGGGGTTCAAATACTCGTCGCTCCTATCGCAGGCGTTCTGTAGAATCAGAGGAATGATATACGGTATGGAACATGTATCGAAGTCAACGATTGAGATCGCATGGACCAGGCCCGCAATACAGAGAAAGGTGGCCAGGGTCTTCATCGCCGAGTCTTAACAAATTATCGAGGCTGGTGAATCTTCCAAGCTGTAAATGGCTTTATTTCAGGATTTATGTTTGGAAAGAAGTGCATTATCTGCTGGCGACCAAAGCAGTGGCTTTTCTGACGGTTAAGTCTGGAATCAACGTTGCGATACGCTTTGTGGGGGGGCTCTTTTTGCAGTCCCTATAAGTGTTTCGCGATGACTTGGGGAAAAAAGTTTCCGATATGTTTGATGGTTACTTGAAACGGCAAGCGTGCCGCCATATTTCAGTCGTGTTTCATGATATCTCAATGCTTCAAAATGTATTGTCAATTAACAATTGGATCTCAAAGCGGCCCGATCGAACATGAGTGTCGAAGAGAGGTCCATATTCATCTGCAATGACCTCAGGGTTGGTCTAGACGATGAATTTTTTTTTCCTGTTACATACCATATGACGCTTGCAAGTGATGCGAATCTATCGTATAACGCTCAAATATGTTTTCTTTTGAAAAGAGAAAGCCCTCCATGTGACAAGACATATATTTCCCATTACCGTGCCGGTAAGCTCAGCATGTCTCCGGTGCCGCCATTGTGGGCTCGCTTGCCGTCTCTTTGTCGGAATTTTTGCCAGCACCACTCTCTTTCCTCTTTTCTTGTTCTCTTAGCGCTTGCTTTTGACGCTTGTACATGGAGAACAAAATCCTGCTGCCATGGACTTGGGCTGCCATGAAGACAACGTGAAGAATCGGTGTGGCGACTTTGAAGTCGAGTGATAGTCTGTGCCATACAGAACCCAGAAAGACGAAAATCATGACTGTTTCCGCGGTAGTGCCCAGCACTGTGATGATTGCAGTGATGAAAAAGACCTGAGACAGAAGGTAATGGTTGTCCTTTTTGACGCGATAGAGTATTATAGCTAGGTTGGGCCAAAATTCGGCAAGGACATCAAATGCACCTGGAAAGTTAGCACATCGGTCCAACTCGACAGGGCAATCAGACGTTACCCCAAACAAGGCAGAGCATGTACTCAATTGTAGCGTCCTTTTGTTTTTTATACTCCAGGCTGAGCGCAACGGCAACTTCGGCAATGACTATGGCGCCGATATGATGTGCCATCGCGATGGGAGATAATTTGACACGGATCAGAAGCTCAAAGACGTACATGGAAGCGAAGAGCTGAGTGAGAACGAGCAGCAGGTCTCCCATTGTGACTTTGGAATGATGTGCCATTGGTGTGTCGAAGTCTTCGTTTCCAACGAAGAGGACGTGTGTCCATGGGTAGGCACCTGCGATCAAGAGGATGATCTTGATCATCCCTCCAATATGGTGGTTCATAAAGGTGCGTTTGGTCTCATCGCTGAAGTTTCGGTACAGGTGACCGTACAGACGTGGAAACAAGAAACCTTCGAAGACGTAGAGACGCAGAATCACCAGAATACAGACTATACATGAGAGAATAAGGCCAGAATAAGGAACAAGGATTGAGATTGCCTGGTTCTCGATGCGAGCAAACTTTGGTTGGAAGAAATGCGGCCTCTCTGAGCCCTCGGACTCAACGCCGCTGACATCTCGAATCAAAAGAGTAGGTGAAAAGAGCGCAGGCATGTCTGCCAAGATGGTGAGAGGGAGAAAAGAGGGACGAAAGCATATGAATGGACAAGTCGAAGAAGTCGAAGATGAAGAAGAAGAAGAAGAGGAGGAGGAGGAGGAAGTAGAAGAAGACGCAGACGAAGTGGAGGAACGTAAAGAAAAAGAGGAGGAGGATGAGGAAGGATACTGGTGGTGACAATATTGTCAGAAAGAATTGGAGCCCATATCAAAGAGGGATAGGCAGGTGCGACCCGACATGGTGGACACGGCTTCGGGATATGTAAATTAATTTGTTCAAAATTCCGAGACGCGTGTTTGAGCATCGAGAGCGGCAAGTTCCATGCGGCAGGTCGGGTATCGAGCAAGGGGGGTGGGGGGAAGGGCTTTCATCTTCTCGTCCTCTAGCGTGTGCAACTCCGCACTTGGAGCAAACGAGCGTGCAACAGCTGTGTTAGCGGCACGAGCTTGGTCGTTTCGAGCCAGAAGCAGCGTCGCTACTGCTGTTGCAAACCGAGATAGACGCGTAAAACGGCGGTGGCAGAAGCCGGACGTCGGATCTACACAGCAGTCACCAGAGCGACGAACAAAGGCGCATTCACATGGAACGACTGACGCCTGGTCTGGCGGTCGAGCCCCCCAAAGAAGAACAGTGCTGCCCTGGAGCGTCGTGTTGTGACATCGCATCCTCACACGAGGGTGCAGGGGCTCAGCTGCTGACTGAGACCGTATACGATGTGCAAGTGCACGGCGGACACGGTCGACGAAGGTGCTCAGCCAAAGCATGGGAGAGACAGATGGCGACGACGACGACCTTGCTTTGGCACAGGCTACTCCCACAACTGACGGTGCGTGTCCACCTAGACTGTTAGGGAATAGGAAGAAGAGCAGCGATCCGTTTTTGGACGCAAGGAACGACTTTTCCAGAAAGACGGACCAGCAACACATGGACCCGGTTACTTACGTGCAGGATTCAGTCGGCCGTTGGCTCGGTGGCGTAGGTGCGGGAGGGGGCAGTGCAAAAGGCAAATTGACGGCGGCCCCAAGCGCGAGGGAAAAAGGGGCTCTGATCGTTCGGGCCAAGGGGAGGTCTGCAATTGGTCTTCTTGCCGGGTGTTGGCCATCGGAGCATGGCCGCCGGTTGAGGTGAGGTTCGGCTCGAAAGCAGTTTGCTGTGCGCCGACTTTGCGGCTCTCCACAAAAAGGCTGGATCTTGCCAAGAGCACCCGTCTTGGCGATGAAAAGCTTGACTGCGACGTGCAGGAACGCCCGGAGCGTCGCTGCGCAGCCTGAGCTTCCAGGCACTCGTTTTGGCTGCCTTGCACGTGAGCCGCCGTTGCGGTTGGCCGTTGCCCGTGAGGTGTGAGCCCGGCCAGGCGTAGCACCGTAGAGAGAACAACGAAGACACTCTGTCCCGTCCCGCAGCCTCGCTCGCGATCCAACTCCCCTTCCATCCCATCGCCGTCGTTGTGCGCCCTCTTTCTCGCCTTCTGCATGACATCTGTCTAGAGCCTCTTTCGTGTCGGACACCTTGCACTGCGCACCATGGATCTCGACACCTTCCAGCAACTTCCCCTTCGCCTGGATCCTGCGACAAAAGCAGTCAGCGCCGAGTACGCGGATGCCAAGCTGGACGAGGAACTGCAAGCACTGAACCAGCTGCACCGGCAGTTGCAGCAATCGAATGCCCCAAATCACATTCCTCCCCCGCCCATTCCTGTTGACCAGAAGCGAAGTGCGCAAATTCAGAAGATGAAAGACACCGGCAATGCCGAGTTCAAGAAGGGCAAATACGCCGACGCGATCAGATATTACTCGCTGGCTATAGACATGGCAGCGGGCCGACCGGTGTGGGAGCCCAGCGGCCTGGTGCGTGAAGAGCTTTCGCAGCTGTACTCGAACCGCGCCCAGGCCCATATGGGCACCAACAACTGGCCCGAGGGTGCAGTCGATGCCCTGTGCAGTGTGGAGCTGAAGAGGCCGAAGAATTCAAAGGCATGGTGGAGGCGAGGCAAGTGCCTGCTGGAGATGGGACGTGCGGAGGAAGCGAAAGAATGGGTCGCAGAAGGATTGGAGATTGAGCATGAGCCAGAGCTGGTCAGCTTGATGCAGGATATCGAAGCGAAGTTGAAGTCGTCATGAGCGTGCCCGCTCGCTTTCACATGTCGTTTGAGCGCCGGTGTAGCACCGCGGCTCTTCAAAGTCTTGCGCTAAAGCGTAGCCGCAAGGGAGCTCGAGGCAAATACAAAGGTTCGAGGGAAAAGAAGGAACACTCGCATACTTGCAGGCGGCTCGCAAGGATCGGCAGACTGGCGCGAAAACCCTCCAGTCTCTGTCGTCGAGCAATTGCCATCAGTCGGTCAACCTGTCTTGTTATATGCCTGTCATGAGAGGACTGGCTTGCAGATACCTCCTGCAAGCGCGGCATCCACTCTTGACATGACGAGTCATCTCCACAGCAGATTTGAAAGAGAGCATTACCATAGAAATCAAACATTTTCTCAATCCTACGACTCCATTACCTTGATTTTTTGCTTTTGCAGATGTACTATTTGGGCAAACCTCATCGGAGCAGGGTCAACCGCTCCCGCTAGAGATGCTTACGAACACGGAGCTCGGACTCCGAAGTGCTGAATGGTATTACCAAGCAAGCCTAAGATGACGCACCGAAGCAGGATAAGAGTTGTGAACATGAACAACTCCTTGGTAAATTTTGATGCACGGCCAAAACCGTCACCGTGTAAAGCGCTCTTGGAAATATACATCTGCAATACGGATCATACGTACCTACGTACACGGAGGGCATTGCCAACCAACGATTTATTTTCCACAACCCTACCCTATCTATATAGCAATCTAAGAAACCATGACGAATAGCATTGGAGGCAAAGAAGAAAAGGTAGGCTCAAAAATGAAGGGAAAACCCGTGGCTTATAGGATCAGCTTGCCGAACACCGCACGGCCATCATCACAGACAAAGGCGGACACTGGAACCGGCCCGACTCGACGTTCCGCGACGTAGTTTCCGCTGATGCCGGGGCCAAGTTTCCGCCAGAGAAAGGGCGATACGTTCTCTACGTCAGCTTCGGCTGCCCCTGGGCGCATCGTGCGATCATCGTAAGAAAGCTGAAAGGCCTTGAGGAGATCATCGAGCTCGTTGAAGTCGGCGAGCTCGTCGAAGGAAAAGGATGGGCCTTCAACTCGCCGTCAGGACCAGACAAAGATCCTCGGTATGGTTTCAAATATCTACGAGAGCTGTATGACAAGGCCGACCCGAGCTACGACGGAAGGATCACTGTGCCGGTCCTGTGGGACACCAAGACGGAAACCATCGTGAACAACGAAAGCAGTGAGATCATCCGGATCTTCTTCAGCGCCTTCGACCAGCTCCTGCCAGAGGCTCGACGCGAAAGTTCAAAGGGCGCGGCCGCCCTGCTGCCGGAGGCGCGGAAGGCCGAGATCGACGCGTTGAACGACCGCGTCTACCACACCGTCAACAACGGCGTGTACAAGTGCGGCTTTGCGGGCAGCCAAGACGCGTACGAGTCGAACGTGTATCCGCTTTTCGACACGCTCGACTGGCTGGAAGAACGACTGTCGAAGGGCGGGCCGTTCCTGTTCGGCGAGCACCTCACCGAAGCCGACGTCCGGCTGTACACGACCATAGCCAGATTCGACGTTGCGTACTTCACTATCTTCAGGTGCAACCTCAAGATGATCAGATACGACTACCCTCACCTGCACAAGTGGTTTCGAATCTTGTACTGGGACCCAGACAGCAAGTTCGATGGGGCGTTCAAAGACACCACGAGATTTCCTGATGTGAGTGTGACTACGTCGGTTTTTTTTTCTCGTTGTTTATCTGGCCAATTCGCTAACTTACCTTTCCGCAGTACAAGTCTGGCTACTCGAGGGCCGCAAAGAGCAAGATAGTGCCTGCCGGGCCAGTTCCTGACATCCTGCCTCTATAGATTTGAATGCAACGAATGCATTGTATCTCGGGTTGGATAGCCGCGCCTCCGCAGTTCGATGCTAACTGTTATTTTTTGCGCACAGAGGTTCGCACTTTAGCAAATATTCTCGATCACCATCTTTAGTTCCTTTTTGGGTCGTGCCCGATATGCTTCGCCCACATGGCTGCTCCCAGTTGCCCAAATTACGCGCGTGTGTTGGACCGCCGGGGTTGAACAAGCCAACACCAAGGCTGAGTTGCATGCGCCAATCACAGTCCGCAGTTACTGTACATCCAACAAACAGTCTTGCTACTGACTGCCATGTTTCTGAAGGAACAGTTCACATGCTGTTTGTCTATCTTTCCACTCTGGACAGCACGTTTAGCGCCTTTTGTTTTCCCCTCTTTGCAGATTGTGCTTCTGCGTGCAGCTTTACAGCTTTGCATCGCTTAGCTCGTGCTGGTTGGGGCAAAGCCTCCACGACGTTGCTGCTTTTTTATGGCAAGGCTGCGGGCGACTAAGGATAAATGAAGACCGTTTGTTTCGTTTCACGTAAATCGCATCAGCTTCCCCGATCCTCAAATTCGAAATCATTGTAAAGAGCACGCCGTGTCCTCAGTTGCTCATTTCTCACCATGCCTCGCATCTATTCAAACACTGCTGCCTCACGTTCAGAGATCTATATCTCGGAGCCTACCTTGATTGGTTCTTCGAATATCGGCCTCGACCCAGGCTGTGTAGCTCCGTCGTGTCTGGCGATGCCTCCGTCGCCTTTCAGCCTCGAGGCTGGGAGGCCTTTTTCCCCACGACCTAGCACGTCCTCGGGATATTCGATTCACAGTCACAGTCATTCTAGATCATCGTCGCTCTCAACGCCCAGATACGCGTCCCCACCATCTCCTCTGGCACCCTTCACCCATGCTACTGCAAACCAGTCGTTCTTCTGTCCCTCAACGGGGTCGAAGAAGTGCAAGCAGGATTGCCCCGTCTGCAGACCAGCGCTCAGGCCGGAAAAGTCGAGTGGTTTCTCGAGTCTCCGACGCCGCTATGCGGAGTGGAGAAGTCAAAGACAGCAGCTCAAAGTCGAGGACAGACAGAACGGATTGCCGGAGATCCGCATTTCCACATTCTGACGCCGTGGTTGTGGTCGACGACTTTCATAGGTGCGGACAACCTTGCGCACTGAAGACGCTTCGCCATGGTCATACCCAGTAGATAGTGTCCACATTGTCCGCATGGGACATGGTGTCACCTCCGAGAAAGTGTTCAAGCCACCAAAGCGCGCGAAAATAAAAAACAGAGGGGTGTCGGATGAGCAAGGCTCGGTGATCTGAGATCAGACAAGCCGACCCCAGAGACCACTTTGTGGCAAACCTTATCGATCTCCGTGGCGAAAACCGGTTCTACATTCGTTTTTCAGTACTGTGTGTGGCTCTAAGCTTGCAGGACAGAATAGATTGCGTGATGGATTCGTCCAATTATGCACTCTAAAGACGACAGCGAAAATGTAAACATTTGCACGTTGAAGCTGTAAAGAAAAGGATTCGAATGAATAAGAACGACAGGAAACAGGTGGCCAACGCTCGACAGACGCGAGCCATTGCTGCGACTAGACACGGAGCAAATCAGGGCTACGCATTGTACTACGGGAGGAGTTTTGGGGGGAGGGGGGGGAGGGTGTTCTGGCCGAAGCCCGAGCGGCCTTTACAAGCGCCACGGATATATCGTTTTGAGCTTGTGACAACAGCGTCGTGCGAATTTCACTACATCTCAAGGAGACGCAAGGAAGAAATAAAATTCACGGGCTGTGCAGGTGCTGGGTGCAGGCAGCGAAATGGTGACGTTGCATTTAGGCCCGAATGAACGCTGTGCACTGTTCTCAGTTGGTGGTGAGCTTTTTCGTGCCCGTTTTTCTTCGCGGTCTGCCGAAGCGGAGCGGGAGCGAGCAACCTTTCCGCATGCGGAAAGAGTTTAAGATATCCTTTTGCAACCCCATCAACGAAAAATACCAGCCTCCGATCTTTCATCCTCCGCGCAGTACAATTGTCCCGGTCGTGGCCTGCCCTCTCTCTGTACATTCCTGCAGCACCTTCAGATTCCTCGGTGTCGCGTGTTGCTGTCAAAAACACCGTCAAGATGGCGCTCAATCCACAGGTTACCAATATCATCATCATACTGTGAGTGGCCACGTAGATAGTACCGTGCACCTCCGGATCAGTGTGCTGACTGATGTGATAGCTTTATGATGCAGGCGTCGAAAAAGGTGCCGTTTGAGGATCCAAACGTGCTCAACGCCGTCCGAGGACTTTACCTGCTGTCCAACGTCATCATTGCTGCCATCTACTTCTACGTGCAGATGCAGGTGAACAAAAAGAAGGGTAAGAGAAGACACCTTTCGTGGCTGCGACGTGCCTGCGGGGTTGGTTCAGGCCCTTCGCATTATACGCCTATTCCAATTCATGGCCAGCACCACTTTTGCTCCACAGCACGCGACACTAACCCGGTTCTCCTCACTAGACTTGACCGTCCTCAAATACGTCGAGCCACCACCGATGGGCTCCACTGAAGAAGCCAAGACCGTCACCACCACAATCTACGCATATGATAAGTCGCAGCTCAACCAGGCCTGGCGCGGCCAGCTCATGGGTGTCGGCATGATGGCCGTTATGCACCTGTACTTCAAGTACACCAACCCTCTGCTGATCCAGAGCATCATTCCCGTCAAGAGCGCTCTCGAGAGCAACTTGGTCAAGATCCACATCTTTGGCAAGCCGGCCAGCGGTGATTTGAAGAGGCCTTGGAAGGTGGCGAGCTTCATGTCGCAAGGCGACGTCAAGACGGACAAGAAGAGCATTGAGGCGGCCGAGAGGAGCGGCCGCGGTGGCGCCAAGGAGGAGTAGATTCTCCGCCTTTGTACATTACCCACTGGGTCAGGGTCTGGGGTTCTGGTGCCTGGAAATGGGTTGGGGAATGGACATCGGAGAACATGCACGGCCTTTGTCTGCTGCCGTCGGCATGATCGGAGCGCTGCATGCTGTATCTGTAGCATACAACGGTATTACTTGTAGTATGCTAACTCCGTTCCGCCGAAGAAACAAAATTTCTTTAGGATTATTCCTTGCGTTTCTTCATCTTCTATTCCGTCATGAGTTGATGTCTTGATGGCTGTAGCAATCTACAAGTACGAACTTGCACGCAATGACTGTTGTGAAACGCCCGGCTAACAGTAGGCCTTCACCCGGTCCACGACGGCTCGGGAAAGTCGTTTCTTCTCATTTCTGGGAATTGACCTGGGCTTAAGTCGTTGAATTTTGTTCCCCCGCGTTGATTCGCCTTCCTTCTCTCCTTTTGCCCTTCAGATTCTGCTCGTGGTTGGCGAGTTCCATGCGAGCCAAGTGGCATCGGAAAACGAACCGGGGTCCGCGGCCTCGTCCGCAGCCTCGTACGCAAATGCTCACGGATATCCAAAATCATCTAACCGCCTAGATTTGTCTTCTGCTCTTCGCCGGACCTTTCATCTGACCCGCTCACCCGCATCTTTCCTGTGTTTGCGTCGTCGAACCCCCGCTGCAATTGGGCTCAAGTCGTTTTGTGTTCCCCCCCGTGTCCGCGCCACCATGGCCGAGAGGCCTTCGACGCCGCCTCGGGCAGCACATTCTGGCGACCTCCCGCCGAATCCCCTGACGCCGGAGCAAGTGCGCAGGACTGTCAGTTGAAGCTTCTAGGTGTCTGCATGCGCGCAGGGCTGACGACTACGCAGGAAGAGGCGCGCCTCCGCGCCAAAGCTCGCCGCGCGCAGCACGACGCCGAGCGACCGCCCCCGCTGCAGGCTGGCCAAAAGCGCCCGCACTCGCTCATCTCGGGCGCGAAGGCGACGCCGGACAACGTGCGGAACGCGGCGATGCAGGCGCCCGCGAACGACGCGCCGATCCGGCCGGCGAAGAAGTTCGAGAAGAACGCGTACATCGAGTATGACTTCAGCAAGATGACGGACACCAAGGGCGGCTTCCTCTCCGATCTGGACGACCCGGACCGGGCGCGGCAGCGCGAGGGCGGCCCGGACCCGCTGGCGGGCAAGCCGGTGGGCATGACGGCGAAGGAGTGGGAGCGGACGCAGCTGCTCAAGAAGCTGCGGGCGGCGCGGGCGGGGCCGTTCGAGCCCGGGATCTCGGTGCTGGAGAAGGAGAGGGAGAAGGTGTGCCGCGAGTGCGGCAGCCTCGAGATCGACTTCCAGTGGGCGGACATCTTCGGGTGCTGCGTGTGCCACGCGTGCAAGGACAAGTACCCGGACCGGTACTCGTTGCTGACCAAGACGGAGGCGCGCGAGGACTACCTGCTGACGAACCCGGAGCTGGAAGACAAGGAGCTGCTGCCGCGCATGGAGAAGCCGAACCCGCACAAGAGCCACTGGAGCACCATGCAGCTGTACCTACGCTACCAGGTCGAGGACTTCGCCTTCTCCGACAAGAAGTGGGGCTCGCCCGCCGCGCTGGACGCGGAGTTCGAGCGCCGAGAGGCCGCCAGGAAGGCGAAGAAGGAGGCCAAGTTCCGCACCAAGCTGAACGAGCTGAAGAAGAGGACGAGGGTGGACGCGTTCGAGCGCAGCGTCGCGAGGCGCAACGGCGAGGACGCGGGCGCCGATGTTAAGTTTGGCGACAAGATCGTGCGCAAGGGGGACCGACACGAGCACGAGTGGGGGAACACGGTCGAAGACCCCGAGACAGGCATCGGCGTCAAGAGATGTATCGAGTGTGGGATGCAGTGCGAGGAAATCGAGTTGTGAACATCATCCTACAATACTGAACTATAGCACACCTGTAGCAAGCAAGAAGAAAGTAAAACCATTTTTTTGGTGGTATCTGTCACTGCATCTGGAAGATGTATCTAACATGTCGTGATGATCGAGTAGCATGATCGGCTCCTGAAGTGTGAGACCAGTATTAATTTCTCTCTTTTTTTTTTGTCAGTCACAACGAACTCGAGACTTTTGTAATGATTTCTCTTCGATCTTCTCTTCGCCCTCGATGGTCAATTCGTCAAAACATATTCATCTCGCCGGCCAGACCGACCGCTCAACGCCTCGATATAGTAGTCATATTCTAAGCCAACATTGTATCCGTAGTCATGATCGTACTTTTTTGTAACTCATGTCCTGTGACAGCTTCGCGCAGAGTTCAAAATTGCGGCTGTTTTGTCACTAGTCTCCCATCAGCCCATCTAGGTTTTTCTTCTCTTCTTCCTAGGGCTATTAATCACCTCACCGTCGGCCTTTAAAGCCTCCTTTGGACTTGCAGTCGTCGCCCTCGAGCTAATTGACTCGACCTTGCCGCCCTGGAAGCTGTTGCCTCCTTGCTCGGGCGACAAGAACCCGTGTTGACCGTCGAACTCTGGGTCTTCGTCATTGATGGGGAGCAAGCCGTCTGCAGTGCCGAAGTCCGCATCTCCGTTGTTGAGGTCGTCGAAATTCAAATTGGAAAGGTCGCCCGTGTCAGGAGGCGGCAGCATCCAATCGTCGAGGTTGAAGTCTGGTGGGGGGTTGCTCGGGTTGTCCAAGCCAGCAAAGTACCCGGTCGGAGAGAGTGAATGAATGCGTCCGCGAAGGTTCTCAACGCTCTCGTCCTGTTGCTGAGTGAGTCGTTGAAGGTAGTCCAGCTGGTCGTTCTGGGCTGTGATGTCGTTAAGAGACGGCATAGGCGGTGTCTGTGGGTTCGTAAGCGCACTCTTTCCGCCGCCTGTGCCGCCGATGGTAGCTTGCATGAGCGAGAGCATGTCGTTGCGTTGTTGCTGTGTGAGGGGAGTGTTGCCGTCCGCGTTCTGAAAGTGATGCAGTGCCGAGTCAAAGTCTAGACCGGCCCCGGGTTTTGGACTGGCTGAGTTTGCGGCGTTGATAACATGCATCATACCGTGATTGTCGGTGATGATGCCAGGCGATTCTGATTCCATCTTGATGTGCGGCGACGGCGCTGTGGGGTTACTTCCTGGTGCAGGCGTGGCAGACGATGAGGGAACATTTCTGAGGATAGAGGCGCTCCGCGATTGCGGACTCAAAGTCGACCGCGCCGACTGGACCGTCGCTGGCGACGTCGGCGTGCCCATCTTGGACTTGACCTCAGGTGCGGGCAGCAAAAGAGGTTGCTTTGACCGCCTCGTCGGCATCTGCAGCTCTTCCGGCACGTCGCCAATATCGACAATGTTTCCAGGCTGAACACTGCCCTGGGGCAAGGACTGGTTGAACATCTCGTGCATATTGTTCTGCCCTTCAAGGCTCCGGTTGTAGAACGTGGCCAAGAACGTCAGAATCGCATTGATGGAGTTCTCGTGACGCTGGTGCATGTCCTGAAAGGCGGTTGCCTGCCTGTAGAATTGATCGTTCTGCTGTTTCATCTGCTGAATGACCTGGGTGATCATCTTCTGATTCTTCTGCAGGTTCGCAAGCTCCTGTCGGATATTATTAAGCTCACTCCGCGGTAGCACGGCCACATCGGTGTTGCCTCCAGCTGGGCCAGTGTTGGCCTGGCCGGAAGCATTGGGTAGCGGGGTTGTCCGGGGCTCCTCGTCGCTGTCGCCGCCACTCTTGTCCTCACGTTTCCTCTTCGACGACGGCGGGTTTTTAGGCTTCTGAATGAGCCACAGTAGCTCCGGCCGGCCGCGCTTGAAGTACTTGTTGTAATACTCGCTCGGAGTCTTCCTCTTGTTCTCGCTTGCTTTCATCGAGTTGTCGGACAGGCCGACCTTCTTGTGGAAGCCATACATGTTCAGCTGTCGAACGAACGAGGCGTAGTTGTTGTGCTTGAACAGTTCCGGGATCAGCTTGCGCGCAAACTCGTCCTCGTCCAGCACGATGAAGGAGTCGCCGCTGTCTGACCATCGAATCAAGTCGGTGTTGTGATTGTCGTCCAAAAAACTGTACACTCCCACGTTAGCTATGTGCCCCAACACGTCTGAATGAGGAACATCGTAAGACTTGCCTGCTAAGTTTTTGAACGAAGGGCGGGATCTGCTTCCGCTTCGCCAGTGCCTCCTTCTTCGCGGCCAAAGCCCTCTGCTCGAGATCCTCCTCGTCATCAGCCTGTTCGAAGTTTGAAAAGCTGGACGTGCCCCCCGTATCCTGCCAGCTGTTCTGGTTTCTCGAGACGACCTGCTGGCCGGGCGCTCTCCTGACCAGCTGGCTGTCTGCAAGGATTGGCGCTCCTCCAAAACCTGCAGCATCGAACGTGCCACTGTCCAGACCTTTGGCCTCGTTCAGGAAGCCATTGCCCAATCCACCCATGCTGTTCGCGTTGCCCCAGTCGGGAAAGTTGGGGTCAAACGAGGTCTGGTCCATTGCCGGCGTGAACGGGATGCTGCTGAAGTTTTGCTGCTGAGAGAGCGGCGATGCATCCGGTGCACCCCGCTTGCGCGTCGCCAGCGGGCGATTCATGGCCGTGACGTGTATATGGTTGTGTCGTGTTCGGGTGGGTTCTTGTTTGTCCGTTTGACCAGAAAGCCGGAAGAGCTGCTTGACTGTGCCGCAACGGCTAGCGGGCGGAGGAAGTCAAGCTCGCTTTGCTGTTGGGAGTTGCGACTGCGCGACCACGCAGTTCGCGTATTTCTCTGTTCACCTCGGCCCTGTGCGCCTTGTTGTTGGCGCTGGTGGAGCGGTAGTTCTGGCCGACGCAGATTTTCGATGCGCAGAAATGTGATGTTCGCAGTCCGCGGAGGGGTCCTCGGTCGAGCCACTCGGTACCAAAGGGTCTTTGATGTACAAATATATCCCAAGAATGACGTTGCCGGCCCGTTGGGCGAGGGCGTGGAGCCTAGACTGCGACCACAACCCAACGTCGTCGCAGGCAAGACACGGTAAACAGAGTGGTGCAGAGGTGTACGGCGGAGGCTGCACAGCGCACCGGCCGGGCAGCTGTCGGTGTTCCAATCACGGGAGCTAATTGGCAAGCGTACAATGCCCTGGCGTGATCAATAAGCAGACAAGGGAAAGAAAAGAGGTCGGTGTGAGCGTGTCCTCTATGGTCGATCAGCGCGATTGTCAGTAGTGGTGAGGGTGCACGAGTGGCATCATATGCAATCCATCCCAAGTAGCGTCTGCCAAGCCTGCGACATTGGAAGATTCCCGGCCGCCTTTTTCTTACCAGCCCTATGCCCGTCCTTGTCTTGCGAAAAATCCTGCACCCGGGCTAGCTAAGCGACCATCGCTTCGTTCGCAGCTGTGTATCTTGTTTCTTCAGCACAAGGCCGTTGGTGCGTAGACCTTCCACTTTGTCCGGCGTTGTTGCGTTGTTGCGCGCACCAAGGCGTCACCTGCAGCATACAGCGGCGTAATAAAACCGCAGAAGAATACGTAATTGAAAAAAAAACTTTGCCAGACATGTTGGCGGCCTCATCTATGCTCGTGCGTTACCTGCTTAGCCGCAGATGTACAGCAGTGCAATCTCACGCGTGCATGCAGTCCCAAACACATAGCAGGTGGACGAGTTCCAGAAGAAAGCATTTCGTATTACAATCTGTATACATGGAGGGTATCGGCTTTGCAACGAAGCCAAAGCGGGCAAGCGGAAGACGAGAAGGGAGGGGGGAAACAAGAAGGATAATGCGAGAAGAACATTATTGGCCAGATTCCGTGCGATCCAGCACATGCTATGGACCTCTCACTTGAGGTCTGGTAAAAAGAAAAAAAAAGGAAAATAACGCCACCGCAATGCACCTTGACGTTCTATGCCGATACATGAAAATGGATGGATCGATGATTCAAATGCACCAACAAGAGTACTCCTCTTGGCCGCTCGTTGTGCCAAATTAAACCTTGCTAGACCGAATCCCCCCTCAAAAGAGGAGTTGGGGACAAAAAAAAACAGAAAGAACAAAGACCGTGCATCTCCTGTCGGTTCACGAGTCCCTCTCCGTGTCCGCAAGCGGGCCCCAACCCGCGTGGCCCTCTTCGACGTCGTCAACGCCTTCCGTCTTGGCGCGCTTCTTGGACCTGAACAGCTCACCAAATGTGTTGCTCAGGCTGCGTATCCTGCTTTTGCGTCCGAGATCGTGACTGCTGACGGCTTCATCCTGCTGCGGCACCCCGTCCGACGAGCCTTCCAGATTTAAGCGCGGCGACGCTTCAGGGTCGGAATTTGTTCTGTGCTGCAGGCTGCCTCCTGGCCGGGGCATGTTGGGCAGACGGCGGCGGCGGCGTGGCTTCAGGCTCTTGACGTCGACGCCGCGGCGCAGCGAGTCAGCTACGATGGCTGACAACGGCGAAGACAGCGTGGAGGTGAAAGGCCCGGGTATGAAGTCTGATATCGAGTGTCTTGCCAGCAGATTCGAACCCTCCGGGGTGTGTGGCTGCATTAGTACTTGGTCTTGCGAAGCGTTTGGTGGCGTGCGCGGCCGATCGGGCTGCGCTTCGGCCTCACTAGGTAGGATGGGTTCCGAAGTGGTGGCCTTGAGCGTCTTCGGCAGTGCGTTGTCGCGATCAGACCGGGGCAGGATGTTTTCCAGGGGGCGCAGAAGTCTCTGCATTGTCCTCTTGGCGTCGCTCTGCTGGTCTTCCGGCAGAATCCACGGATTTTGCGTGACCGGCGATGTCTCCTCAAAGGATGCGGGCTGCGACGTGTCGACGTCAACGATCGACACGCTTTGTGAAGTGCTCGTCCTCGTGATTTGAGGAGGCGCATTTTCGTCTCGGTACGAACCATTAAGCGGCGTGCTGGATCTGTGCCCGTTCACTGGAATTGCGTGTGCGAGATGGCCGGTCGAGCTACGCCTAGCACTTGGCTGATTGAGGACACTCTGTTCCGGATCATCGTGATAAACTCCCTCCGAGGCAAGCCGAATGGCTTCTTCATCCTCCTCAAGCACCTCGTCCTCATCCTCATCTTTGGTTCTTGCGCTTGTGATCAAGTACACACCCAGAAAGGTCATAGCGCATCCGCCAATGAACTTGCCCGCATTTGCCGCGGACTCCTTTTCAAAGTCACGATACAGGACTGCGCTACCGACGATGACGGATAGTGTGAAGAGCACAAACTGAGTGGGGATGACCTGTGTTGCATCGAACCGTTTCAACGCTCGGTTGACGTACTTGATCTGCATCACGGCTGTGAAGACCAACACTGCTACGAGCACATATGTGATCGGAAACGTCAGCGCCTTGAACACCGTATAGGAGAGCATGGACGCGACGCCCTTTGTTGAAAGGGCAGTGTAGCCACCTAGACACACCACAGGGTTAGCCGATTCGTTCCGAACGTAGAATGGAGATAAAATTTGAACAAATCAGAACATGCTTAGACCTACCGAACAAGCCGACGAGGCCAAGGTCGATAAAGATGCTCTTCTCGCCGTACTTGGAGCTGGCCCACATAAGCACACAGATGACGGCAATGGTGACGCCGAGGTACGTCTCGAACTCCCACGTGCTGATAAGGCTCCATATCTCCTTCGGCCCCAGCTTAGGATTGCTGTCGTTTGCGCTGAGCACAACAGTGACGGCGCCGGCGACAGCAATTAGCACGCCGAGCAAGTCGCGTTTGCGGAAGGGCTCCTTGAGGAAGAAAGGCGCCACGACGCAGTTGGAGATGAGCGCCACAACACCCAGTGGTGACACGATCGACGCCGGGGCGAAGCCGTACGCCAGGAAGTTGCCCGCCTCCCCAAGTGTCATCATGACAATGCCGGCCCACCAATACGGCGATTTGAGGTACGACTTGCGCGCCTCACCCGTAGCAATGGCATCTTCTCCTTCTCCCTCGTCGTCACCGTCGACCGTCCCACTCGCCTCCGTCGTTTCCGAGTGCATGCTCGCACTTAACAGCGGCTGGTCCTCTGTCGGTTCCTCGTCTTCCTCCTCGTCATCCAACCTGTCCGTCGCCACGGCGCCTACGTCTGCTTCGACGCCAATACCATTCGGGCTAACTTGATGTCGGCGTTCCTTGCCCGTGGTCATGGCCGCTGCTGCTAGACTGGACGTCCCGTACCCCTCGTCGCAGCTGCGCCGTTGGCCAGCCGTCCGTCTGCGTGCTCGCGCTAGGAGCTTCTGTCGCCGTCGCTGCTGCTCACCTAGCTTTATGTGTGCATACCGCTGAGTATTCAGCGCAAACGAGATGAGTACGTTGCCGCAGATCGCCGTTACGATACCAATCAGCGATGACCAGTCTCCCGCCGTGTATTTGCCATCCTTCAGAAACAGCGCGAGTAGACCTGACAATGAGGGCGTTGTCGTGTTTATTCCTGTGTCACTGCCCATTGTGGGAAGTCCGTCACGCTGTATCCTCATCGCCGCCGTCCTTCTGTTGCATCCGCTTTGTGTGAGTCTGTGTCCGCTTTTCGCTTATGTGATTGCTGCTGCTGTCGCCCTATCTCCGTCGTCCGTCTCCTAGCTAGGCAGCTGTACCTGCAGAAGCATACAACGGCAGCGCGCGACCAATACCTGACGCAAGCGTGTGAGAGCCAGGCCGCTGGCTGTTTCCGGCGGCGGCGGCGGCCCGCATGCACGTTAGGCCGAACAACTGGCTATGCGATCAACTGCGCCAACGTACAGCTGCAAAGAGAGTGACATGTGGCGCAAAAAATCGGCTGGGAAGCCAAGAAGATAGTTCGGCGCAGCGAGGCAAAGGTGATGGTTGCCTGTCGTTCTTCGTTCTTCGTATTAAACCCCCGTCGTAGGATGGTTGTTGCGGGAATCGTGGATAAAGAATGCGGAGCTTTGAGCGCCGAGCTGCGCGTGCGCTCGTTCGTGTGGCTTGCTGGTCTTCAGCACATCATCTCGCGTCTAGAAAGGGAAATTCTGATAGGCAAGACATAAATGTTGGTCATGATTATGAACCCATCGTCGTGTAGTCGGTTCCACCACAAATGGACGCACTGAGTGATCCCCAGGAGCCAGTTTGGATACCACAAAACGAGCACATACGCGTCGGACTGTCTCAGCCACGTGACGCCCAAGTTCAGAGGCGAGTTACGAAGTAACAAAGAAGTCAAGAAATGTGCTACCAAAGTGTGTTATCATCCATTCTCGCTTCCGTCGTACTTTACATCTGCCCTCTTAGTAGTACATTATCAAAGCTCAGCGAAGCCTACCAGTCTTTATAAAGCTCTCCTGCCGCGCTCTGCTTCCCAAGTCCATTCGCCAGTCTCAAACTCTTCTAATGCCCTAAGAAACCGGCGAATTGTATACGCATAAACATGACTGCTCATAGGCTCAACTTCTGCGCCGCCGCTGTGCTCGCCCGGACTAGCCACATATGCTGCCGTGTGGTGTGAATGACAATGGTTAAAAAGAGATCAAAACGCCCGCGGTATGCCCGCGCAACCGGCCCGAGAATAAAAGCAACTGCGCCCGCCAATCACTTGTCTATGAGAGCAGGAGAGGAAGATACAAAACACTATATCCAATACTGGTACAGGCACCATTCGCTCGGCTTGCTCGCGTGGTGATTGACAATGAGACTCAATTGAATCGAATAGAGGCGACAATTGCCGATTACGGTAGCTGCGTCGTGGTTCGCAGAACGAATGGAGGAATAAAATCAAGAGGGCGAGATAGAAGAATGACGCCAAGCTGGATGCCGTTATTACAAAGGTGTATGTAGGTAGTGTGCTTGCTGTGTATTTAGCGCACATGCATATACTAGAGTGCGTGTATATGTGTGCGTTTACGTTTCGTTCGCATGTTCGTGCTTTGTGTGGTGTTCTTATTGATGCCTGCCAGCGTCCCCATCGTCGGACCAGCGACCAGTTGCGTGTTATATTTCTACCGTCTTCATATCACCCATGTCGCCAATGCCCGAGTCAACCTTGCTCGTTTTACGTTCCGAGGCGGCGGATGCCTTCTCGCTAGTATTATCCGCAGCTGACTTCGTACCAACGCTCTCATTCTCTTTGTTTTTTGCAGTCAAAGTTCCGTTCGCCTCCGGAGCTGATGTCGAGGTTGCTTCAGGCAGCTCACCACTTTGCCGAGGTGTGTCTACAGAGACAAGCTTGCTATCGACTGGATTGGGTGGAGTTGCCTGCTTTAGTGTCTCCGAGTTCGTCTCGATTGTGAGAGGAGAAGACGCTTCTTCGGTCACCCTGGCAAGCGGACTTGAGATCATAGGTCGCAGGGGGCTTGAGCCAACAGGTGCCTTCCCACCAAATCGGTGAGGTGAGCGCCCGCGTTCCTTGTCGGATGTGGCCGAGATGGGGCTAGCGTATGGTGAAGAATCTGACATAAAAGCACCGCTGCCGACACTGGAGTTGATCTTCAGGCCGCCGCGCCCTGGGCCACGCCGTGCTTGGGTGCTGGGCCGACGCCCGTACTTCTGATCGCAGCGCCAGCGGAGAATCTCCATGTAGGGCGGGTCAGCGTTCTTGAACGGTTTGAACCGCAGCTCGTTGTTCTCCTCATCGACGATGATCTTATCACCTGCGCTAAAGTCGTCGGCCACGTTTGCGAGGAAGACGGCCCACGAACGGGCCACGACGAACTTGGTGTCATAATCACGGCCACACAGGATAACCTGTCCCCATTTGCCCATGGGTCCCGGTGCCAGGTCAACAGCGATCAGATTTCCGCCCCAGTCGCGGGCGAGCGGGATCCATGCGGGGTGTGTGTAGACGCGCTGTACAGCGTTGGGGGGTTGCGATTGCTGGCGCTCCTGTAGCTGCTCTCGCCATAACGCACCGCTGGCGCTCTGGCGCTCGATCGTGGGCACGACGGACGAACTGCTCGACGAGGCGCCCGCAAAAGCTTTGACGGGAATCGCTGCGGGAAGCATGTCCTCAGCCCTCTGGGCGAGATACTGCTCATTCACAGCACGCCAGTTGCACCACTCATCGTAGATCTCCTCACAGTCGAGCAGCATGCAGCCAAAGAAGATACCCGTGGGCCGACCACCATGTTCCTGCCCATCATGTACCATGAGCGACTCCCTAACATCCAAGGGCAGCGTGCAGTCAAGCTGGTGCTCGAGCTCGTTGATGTCGTTATTGGTAGCGCCCTCACAAAGGTTTTCGTAAAGCTCGGCGTAATTATCGCGCACCCATCGGTCAATGCGTTTCCACGAGTGTGCTACGGGCGGCGGCGGAGGCAGGCCGTCGTTGAAATTCTGCATCTGGATCTCGGTCGCTGGCTGTTTCTCAATTGAGCCCCGAGTGGAGGACCGTTCCGACGACTGGCGGCGCATGGCGGAGCGCATGCCGGGCGAATATGGAGAGCTGGGTGACATCCGACCATTGTTGGGAGAGGTGTGGCCGTTCACGGAGGCGGAGGACGATTGCGGAATGGCTTCATGGAGGTCGGTTCTCGATTCAATGGCGCTGGTTGCAATTGATGTGAGGGGGGCATGACGGCTCTGGGGTAAAGGGACATGCTGGCCTGTCCGATAAGGCGAGTCGTGTGAAGCATGCCTGTCGTTGGAGACGAGTGCTTGCCAAAAGTCCTTGAACATGCTGCCAACGCTGGGAGCAGACGACGCGTGTCAGCAAGGGGTAGAGTGGGGACAGTCAGGTCTATAGCAAAGGTACTTACGAAGCCATGGCGACAAGTTGAAAGCGTGTACAGCTGCTGCGCTGGGCTGGATTGGCAGTTGACTCAGGGTGAAGCAGCAGCACTTGTTGGGGATCTGGAAACTAAGCGAGTCGAGAGAACGGGGGAAAGGAGTGACGACAGGGTGAGGAAGCGACAGAAAGCGTGGGTGTTTGCTGGATTAGCTAGTAGAGCTCAGCATCTGGGAGGCAGAATGAGGCAGAGACCAAGAGAGATATCTCAAGGCTCGTCGTTCGAGGGCGGGAGGAAGAGACCAAGGTGGCCCTTGGCTGGAGGCGTGGTAGGATTTTGAGGAGGGTGCACCCGCGTCGGAAGGCGAGGGCGAGGGTGTGTTTACGGGTGGTAGGCTTGCGTGTTCCAAACGAGCGATGCTGGACGTCGAGTGCGAAGGTGGAAGTGGAAGTGGTTATGGATGCTGTAGCTGCTTGTCCATCGAAAAAAAGGACGGGCAAATTGGAGTCGTCACCCTTTCCACGGCCCAAAGAGATGGAAGTCGCGACCGTGCACGTTCAAGGAAGCAACGAGGATAAGGACTGTCCACAATAAGGGGAAAGAGCAAAGCGGAGCGCGCTTGTGTGGCTAAGTGGCTTTTCCCGTCTGCCCACCAGACCCAACAACCGCCCGTTCGCGCCCTGTGCTTGCAGCGCGATTATTTGGAGCGCGAGAAAAGGAACGTTAATTTATGTGACGCAGCCCTCGAAGCGTGCACAATGCCCGGGCAATCTCGCTGTGGCCGGCTCTCTTGCTTTTCGGTGTTCGACCGTGGCAACGATGGTGACGGCAACGACGACCACGACGACGGCGACGGCGACGAGTACGACTTTCCCCTGGCCCGTCTTTTCACGACCTCCCTCCCTCTAGCAAATAACCAATTGTTTTTTGGCCTGCCCACTCATCACATCCCGCCTCTATTGCAACCCCCCATCATCACTGCTACTCCGTCTTCAAAGAGGATTGTCGCGCATGAAGCCCATGAAGTACGTCCATACCTGGTACACACGCAGACAAGAACACACATGCGCACGCACGCTCCCGTTCCCAACCTATAAATGCGGCCGCTCATTTCTTCCGGCCTTTCGAGCTACTGTATGCGACATGCTGGTGCTGCGCCACAACCCGCGACAGGCGTCCCAAGAAGATCGTCCTGTCCATCCTCACCAAATCTGGCCTCCGTGGACCGTTATTTGCTCGTTCCATCTTTTGATTACTGCCTCTGCTTTCGTCCTCCCATCAATGATTCTCCTCAACCCCCCTCTCCCTCCCCTCCTACAGGGGATCCGCCCGGCCGCTGGCCGAACCGGGATGCCGCTGTTCTTTCGCGCCCCATCCAATCCGCATCGAATGTCCACCACTCACGTAACGTACACACGAGAAGATGAAAACGACGGACGCAAAAGTCGGCTATCAACTTTTTCCTCCGTTATCTACTCTCTGCTCTCTCTGCTCTCTCTCTCCCCTCTCCTTCTCTCCACTATGAACCTTAACCCCAGCTCACTCCGCCTCGTTCGCCACATCCGTTTCACCCATCCAGCGATTGTCTCCATTCATTTCTCCTTCACCCCACCTTTTACCGTTCTAATCTCTAAAGTTTGCCTTTTTTTTTATTCTTTCCCCCATTTCCCTAACGTGACTTCGCTTCCTTTGCATTAAGGTCCTCTAAATATTCTACGTCGAAGGGCACAGCAGGACCAAAGGCCCTGCCTGATCTGCGGTGTAACCCTGGTACAGGCTACTGCTATGGTTGAAGAAGCAGGGGCCCTGGGTGACAATTGAAGTTAAAGGCATTATTAGAAGAAAAGGAAAAAGAAGCCAAAAATTTCGATAGAACAAACGCCTGTCATAAAACGATTCGGCTGTGGCGGTTGGTTGCAGCATTAAGTTTTGCCACGTTTGCTGCTTAATAAAATGAGCCGCCCCAGTGGTAATTCCACGCGCCACGTGCTGTGTTGTTTGATACGGCCAGCGTTTTATTGGCACACCAACAATCGCAGAATCGATTGAAGAGGGTAGTCCAATGATATTTTCAGCTCGATTGCTTGCTCGATACCCTACTAGTACTCCACAGAAAAAAGCACACTATGGAAAATCGTTTACAATTCGCGCATGCGCCATTCCATGCTTCCTTGCCTCTCCCATAAAATAATCGTACATGAAGATAGCAGCGCTCTAAACACCATCCATGGACAACGCATCGAGGGAAAATTGACGTCCGGTATATCCTTTACGATCTCACCAGGGCATAACTGTGCACCTAGCTAAGGAAAGAGCAAAGGCAGCTAAGAGAAGGAGAAGAGAGGATAGTCAGGAAAGAACCTTGTGCTTCATGCGCTCAGTAACTCCAAGAATCGTCTGTAATCTTACTGGCCGAGATATGGAGGTCGAGATCGAGCTCGACCTCGTCCTCGGACATGGACGTATTTACGACGGCGCACTGGGGAACTGGCCGTAGAATGTGGTGTGAAATCTGTGACAGATCGCTGCGCAGAACTGAAGCGGAGACGCGGTGGTGAAGGCACGGAGGCGTTAGGGAAAATGCGGGCATCGTGGCCGCTGTGCATGAGATTCGCCCGCGACCTAGGTATGTCCGGGCTAGAATATGCGCGGTGATCAAAGTACGGGGAGGTATGTTGTTGTTTGTCGCCGAAAGGAGATGGTGAGCGTCGTGAATGTACTTGATAGCCCACGTCGAGCGGCTTGCCATGCTCAGCGTCGGGCGCGAACAGAGGATGCAGAGTCACAGGTGTTGTGCGGAAAGAGTTCGAAAGGCAGAGATCAAAGGCAGCTATTGGAAGATCCATCGTCTGCAAGGTCGTAGCGCTATCCCGCGGTGTATAAAGACGACAACCTTGCACCCGCTCGACATCGTACAGCCCGTCTACGCGACACTGGAAGCAATAACATACGTCAGCACGCTCACTTTCCATATTGGAAGTTGCCAAATACGCCGCCTCCACCAGGCGTAAGCGAGTTCTGATACTGGGACGGGCCCGGCGTCGACGCGAGGCCTGCAGCGTTGGTCAGTGGTGTGCTCGGCCCCTCTCGACTTATATACCCGCCCATACCGTTGGCCGCAGCGGCGGCGGCGGCAGCAGCAGAGTGGCCTTGCGCCGCGAGAACGAGCGCCTGAGTAGCCTGCGTTGCCGGGCCGCCAACGCCTGTTAGTCCCCACATCTGGCCGTTTACCTCCGCAGGCAGGCTGTTGTCGAAAATTTTCGCCTTCATCTGCCAAAAGACAGAACCTGTCAGCCAGGCGTCAGATCCGGCCTGGTGCTGCGTGCCGATGCGCTGGCAGCCAAGCTCATCTGCAAGATCTTGAAGTCCAGAGCGAGAGCCCATGCGATTGAGAATGTCGGTTGCCTGCGCATTGAGCACACCTCGACGGAGCAAGCCTTGCGCATGCCGAAGTAGGAACTTAACGTCCCAGATGTTGGGGAAGAAGATGCGAATGATCTCACGGTACTGCTCCTCGTCTGATGGCAACTTCCGCGCCCACATGATCTTAGCGAGATAGCCGAAGTCGTAGCCAGAATGGAAGGATATCCAGTGCACGTCGTCAGAGTATGCCAGGCCGGAAGTAATGAGCATGGACCCAAATTCCCTGACGTCGATACCAGCCGTCGCGTGCTTTTCAAAGTCGGAACCTGCCTTTTTCAACAACTGCAAAGATTCGTCGTTGTACATATCCTCCTCCGGCGAGAACTTGAAGTTGAATGTCCACGTGCATGGGCAGATTGTGATGTTGGAGGGATACGTTCCAGGCTTCAGATTTTGTATCTCCGTTGGAGCGACCTCTTTACCCTCGACGTTAAACAGTGTGATACCTAGCTGGATCATTCGGAGCATGTCGACGTTGGTTCGAAGCGTCTGATAGTGGTAGCTTGCTTTGCTCGGGAAGTCGCCCATCGGTCTTGCCACGATGCCCGGAAACTCGGTGTCCTGTTAGGTATTAGCACCTCCTTTCGACTGCGTATGATCGAGGTCGCCAGTACTGACCATGCTGATGTACGGATACTTCTCCACCAACTGCCTCAGCGCCTGCATCTCTTGCTTCAGGTTGTGCTTCCAGACGTCCCGTATCCTTGAATTGTTGCCTTTCGTAGAAAACGTATTTGCATTCGCAGCCTCATGTCCATGCTGCTGCTGTAATGCTGCGCCATGCGCAAAGCCGAGTTGTGCAGCTTGACTTGCCAGTCCTCCACTACTGTTCCCCAGCGCTGCGCTTACGTTGAAGCCGCCTGGGAGGCCCGCATTGGCTGTCTGCGGACCAAATAGATTTACGCCGCCATTGGGGCCCCCACTAAAGCCCGGGTGCGCACCAAGATTGTGCTGTAGACTCGCGGCTGGGTGTTGGAGATGTGATGCTTGTGGTATTGACTGGTGTGTGAAACCAGCGAAAGGGTTGGAGTTTTGATGCGGTCTGTACGTCCGCGCCTGCGACATCTTCTAACCTGTGATTGTCTTTTTAGAAGTGTTTTCTCAACAAGTTATGTCTCATGGCCGTGCGAAAAAGACGTGATTTTGTGCGGCGAGCTAACTTGCGGTGGTTGCTCAAGCGTAGATTGGTGTGTCGCGATCGCGGGAGCTGCAGGCGTTGCTCTGGCTTTCCTGGCCTAAAAGTCTTGGCATGGTGTCGCTCTCGACTTGCGGAGGTCACTTGTCGAACACATCTGCCAACAACTCCTAATCACAACCACAAGGTGAGTCTACATCGCTTAGAAGCTCCGGAAGCCAGGAAACTGACACAATCAGTCGTGATGGCACCTCCAAATTACACAGGTTTCGACCCCCAGAAGCTCGTTCGAGCGTCAGGTCCGAACTCCGCCGACCCATGGAAAAGATAGTAAGCTGCTTTTCTTCAGTCTTGTCCAGGCCAACAGGTGACTGACTATGAATAGCGAGGCGTGGAGATACACGGGTCCCTTCAGCACGCGGAACCGCTTCAGAGGGTCGTTCCCGGGTCTGGGAATCGGCGCGGGTGCTTTCGCCGTATATCTAGTGGTGGAGGCTCTGTTCTTCAAAGACGACCATGCGCATGGCAAGGAGCACGGAGAATCAGGGCATTAAGATGAGCTGGCCACGGCATTAGGGTCGCAAGCATGGCGTTATGCAATCTATCGAGGTGTTGGCAGCCACTAAGCTCTACGCTGCTTTGTACATATCCACGAGCTTTGTATCACAAGCGAAGAAATCAGAATACACCGTATGTCGAGCTTAGCATAGTTGTACGGCCCGAAAAAAACGATCTGGATTGCCGTAGATGTGTTGAAAGTCTGTGTATGCAATGGCTAGACATCTGAAAAGACGTTTAAGAAGCCGTTAAGCAACAGCACAGACATCGCCTTCCATCAATGGAATCATCAAATTTAAAACTTCGCATTCTCTTTCCAAACGTGCATCAGAAATACGTGCATTTTTATCAGTTGCCGCGACGTACATTTGCTTTCTCGCTAGTCGGTGTCGTCTTGGCACGCTGATGACGAACGGGGATCTTCAAAAGTAGCACAACCTCGAGCAACATCGTCATCCACCAAACATTCTTTCGGCCAGGCGCTTTCACGCGCTTGCAGCTCCCGGCCAGTATCTCCTATCACGCCATTAAGAACAAGCATGCAGAATTTCCCTCAATACACAGCTCTATCATTATGCCGCGCACTTTCCCTCCAGTCGACGGCAAAGATGCAACATCCCACACCCTTTCTCCCTCGCTGATAGAGTCTACTGCCGGCTTCACAGCAGGTCTGGTCGCCACTTTGGCCGTTCACCCTTTTGATGTCTTGAAAACTCGACTGCAATGTTAGTGAACTTTTTCTTGAAATCCATATCTCCACTTCCAAAGCAGTGGCGTGAGAGCGCTATTAACGTTTTCAACTAGTGGACACCTCGAGAGGGCAATGGGGGAACTCCGCAAGAATTCTCCAGCAGATTATTCATACGGAGGGTGGATACTCTGCACTCTATAGAGGCTTGATGCCAAACATGATCGGAAATTCCGTATCTTGGGCATTGTATTTTTTATGGTACTGCTTCAACCTTACTCGGTCCACGTGACTGAAGAGCCTTCACTAACATGAACGATAGGTACCGTAATCTCAAAGATCTCATTGCAACGTATCGTGGCCAAGGAGTCCAGTTGACTTCTGCTGATTACTTCGCTGCATCTGGGATTTCTGGTACGTGTCCCACCAGAGCGAGCCACCTTGGCCCAAAAGCTAATCGACTCGAAAGGTGTACTTACTTCCGTGTGCACAAACCCAATTTGGGTTATCAAAACGCGCATGCTCCAGACAGGGCGGAACTCTCCAAAGGCTTACCGAGGAATTTCGCATGGTATTGCCGAGATAGTGCGCACTGAGGGCATAAAAGGGTTCTGGCGAGGCTTGGTCCCCTCTCTCCTCGGAAACTCGCATGGGGCCGTTCAGTTTGCGGCCTACGAAAATTTAAAGAACAGAAGTCGATCAAAGTTGGGGCCTGGTCAGGAACTCAGCAACTGGGACTACCTAGTCTTAAGTGGCAGCTCCAAAATTTTTGCTGGCAGCATCACATATCCGTATCAGGTGGTAAGGTCAAGATTGCAAACCTACGAGGCTGGCTCAACGTATCGAGGAGCTGGAGATGCTGTCGTGCAGATATGGAGCAAAGAAGGTGTGAGAGGTTTTTACAAGGGGTGAGTTGAACTGCTTTCCTTAATTCACTGACATGTCTTTGCTAATTTTTGAAAGCCTATTGCCGAACATCATTCGTGTTTTGCCATCTACATGTGTTACTTTTCTCGTCTACGAGAACACAAAATATTACTTGCCGCGTCTTTACAATACCGCTGTGAAGATCGAGGTAGAGTAAGGATGTGCCATCTCTGCTTTAGCTGCACGTCTTTGGGATCATCGAGGAGCGGGGATTGTACCTATTTCGCGCCTCATGGCCCACTTCCACACAAAGTCAAACCTGCTTTATGTTATGCAAGGAGCAGAGGCGTAGATGTGGCATTTTGGTTGCTCGGGACTGTTCTCCCGAAATGTCTCACCATTCTCCTATCACAGGCGCTAGGCCGCTCCATTGTCTCTAGCAGCAGTTGTGTTGAGCAATATACCCCTTGTTACGATGCATAACATATTGCTAAAGCAAGTGTCTAAAGTTTTTGGTCAGAGAGACAATCGCGACGTCGATCAACGCCGTGTGTTTCCGCATCGCACTAACGACGCATTTTTTCGAGGAAGTCCTCTGCTCCTGAGCTCCTGAGTAGGAGGAATGCTGGTTAAAATGCTGACGCACAGCTAACACAGAGGAATTCCCAGTCGTCATTGGAGAACCAAGTGCTGCAACTGTCACAACACACCCAAAAATTTGTCAATAGAATTACGACAGCTGGACTTAGCCATCTATTGATATGGTACTGCTATCACGACATTGTTCCATGTAATGACAATGGTAGACATTGGTACCTTGAACTTCCTAGGGACGAAATGCTCGGCTAGATACGTCTCGGATTTGAGATTGCACAAGCAAAGTCCAAAACAACAATCGCCAACTGCCTTGGCGTCTTCAAGAGGCTATCAAAGAGCTGGGGGTTGATGATCGGATAGTAGCCTCCAAGTCAACGCGACTGAGCAACGAAAAGGACATGAGACAGCACGAGATGATTGCTCTACGGTTTATCTACATTTCAAGTTACCTGGTCGCGGGGGAGAAACTCGAAGCAGATAGATATCTAGTCACGTGCTGGCTTCCGATACCAAAGACTGTTTGGGCTGATTGGCAGGCACAAGTGTTGGATTGGATCGAGAACTACATGGAAGTCGTGATACGGCCGGCCATTGACTACAATCAGAATGTCTCACGTATGGAATGTTTAGCACATCTGGCAACTCGGAAACACATCCGTGCAATGTTCAGACGTATCTGTCCATATCAAAGAGAATCACCTCTGCCTTCATCAAGCACTTACTACGATCCGATGGATTCAAGCAAACGAACTTATTGCAAAACGCGAAAATATGCTGTCATCAGAAGGCACATTGGTTTGGAGGCTATCTTGGCCCGAATCCGCGGACCTCCTCTTCACCATACGTGCCCATTAATGATCATGAGCGACGTAGGAAATCAGCACCGGCCCTGCATAATGACGAAAACATGTTGTTGGATCTGCGGGAGGAAATGGACAGCATGCGAGCGGATATTGAGCTCAAAAGTGTGCATTGCAAGCTTGATGAGAATGGACCAAAAGCGCATGTTCTCATGAAGCTGACGAAGCAACAAGAAGGACTTGCATCACGCGCTCGCATACATTTAAAAAAAAAAAAAAAAAAAAAAAAAAAAAAAAAAAAAAAAAAAAAACTCTTACAGAGATATGGACCTTAACTCTCACGCCAGCTCTCCAGTTACTCAAGAAAACTTCAAGCAATCTCACCCTAAATATCATGGTGCACGGTTACCGAGAAAATTTTCCAACCTTTTTGTTTCCAAGGCTTCGAGGAGCACACCCAATCTTTGTAGACATGATATACGTTCTGGCAGTAATAATGAAACTGGTTCGCAGGAGGAGGATGAGAAGTGCCGTGATTCTGGAGAGACTGCAGCTGAGCAGCGAATTTTCAGCTTTTCTTCGACAGGAAATGAGTTGCCTACACCAGTGCAGGGCTCGCCTTTCCTTGCCGACCGTCAAGTGTTCACAACTAGGTCCTCGATACAGTTATCAGACCTAGTTGACATCTATCATTCTGGAGATGAAACGAGCCCTGGAGATATGTATCGACCTCACAACTTGGTAAAGCCCTCAACAGGAGATCTACCTCGACGAGTTGCCTTACACGTAGCCCGCACCGATTTCCAGCAAGACGAAACCGAGAGGGTTCAAATGAACAATTTACAATGTTGCATTGGTCCAAATGTTAGGGACGAACGGACCAGCAACTGCAATATTTCCAATGGCATATCTCACAAAAATACAGCGTTTAGCCCGCGTAGCACAAATAGATCAATGAAGATTGATACTGGAACAGTGATCCCAGCAGAAGGCCCGCCTATGCCTGAACTTCCAGAGAAGTCGAGATTCAGAGTTTCCAGTGTCATATATCATGATGGCAATGATATCTCGCAATCTCAGTCAGCTCCGCTTGTTAATGATAACCTGCCCGCGCGTTCTTTATCTTGAGCGAACATATAAAAAAAGGGATGAGCGGCGGGCAGAGGACCAAAAGAAAGGCAGTCTAGGGATCGTCAAGTCTGCATCATTAGGTTTTGGAGACAGCTGGGTGCTCTTGTATTTGAGTTAGCTGGTCACAATATGTCAATGATGTGGCTTAGCTAATGTCAACAGTAAGAGACATGAGCAGCGGCGTATTGAGATGAAGTAGTTGATCAACTTTGGGAAGCAGGCTGACGGACTAAGACAAGATGTGATGTTATATCTACCTATGCGCATTTTACATTCTCTTGGTAGCTCAGCTGTGTGCGCCAGTCAGCTTCAACTAATATGCTGAGGTCTATTTAAGACCTCATTCCAAGAAACTTCATATCTCCTTCACCTCGGTTCAACGCGTCCATGATTTCACACCATGCGTTAAGAAAACGGCTGGGTGGTTTCTTGTGTTCATCAAGTCCGTCATGAATCGTGCACGCTTCACGATGTGGGGTTTTCGCATCACTCATACACGTATTCGTGTTAATTCCACATAGCCATTATCTTCACCAAGACCTAATCTTCGTTTTCGCTGCTTATGTAGTAGAAAGTAGAGCCCTTGCTTTCGAGCGCACGCGTATCGATACTGCTATTGTTCGGCGCGCTCGTACCATCGTTGTTTAAGAGTCCAAGCGTGCGAGGTACTTTCTCCTAGTCTCTTAGTAAATACATCATGAGCAGGAAAAGGGAAATATGTGCGTACGTGTTGCTGTTTCTTTAAAGATTTCGTCATGACCTTTCGTGGCTAAGTGCATGGCGAGATCTGTGTCCTCACCTCTGATATTGACATACGCGTTGACGCTCGTAGTGGTTAGATTGGTATTCTCTTCGTTCTCATCCTTGATCATCTCGTGGCTGCGCTTGTGCAACGTCTCTAGCAAGCCCGAAGAAGGCGACAGAGTCGCACGTGGAAGGCCTCTACTGCTCTTACCAAAGAATCTATCCGGTTTCAATTCTGTAAAGGAATGACAGTGAGCAGAAAGTTTTGGTGTTCCATGAGGCTCACGTTTCTCGAGCTTGACGTAAGTGTCATCGTCGTCATCGTCAATCAGGTTGACGTGGTGAGGCTCCTGACCGTCCTTTCCAAACGCCAGTCGCTTCGCTGATGGAGCTGACAAGCACTTAGAGGTTTTACGAGAGGCGTGTGTCGTGGCAGAGCTAAAAGAGGAAGAATTTTTGCTACTGTTGTTCCGAACCTGCTTTCGAAGCGCAGTGATTTGTTGGTTTAGTGCTGAGGCACTCGGAGCTCGACCTAGATAAGTTGCTGAAGTTGACGGAGTATTAGCTCGCTAAAGCAGTTTTTTGGAGACAGACGGCACGGTACTTACGCCATGCTGCGATGATGCTATTGATATCCTTGTTCCAGTTCTTATCCTGACCAGAACCAATAAGGGCCAAGAGAAGCTGGGAGGGAAGAGGTTAGTCATTCACGCACGAGAATATTGCATAGGAACATCTAGGGCAGTCCATTACTTGAAAATGAGCTTCTTGGTTCCAGGTGATTCCACGGGGCATATTTTCGGTGTGGTGGTGTTCGACAAGGATATAGAAAGGCTGGATTGGCAAGTAAGGTGAGCAAGAAGTGTTCTAATGCTCTCTGGACAGAGAGCCAACAAGGTGTAGATGTATGAATTGACAACTTTAGAAGATTAGACAAGATAATAAAGTATGGAAGTAGAAATGCAAACACTAGTGAGAACAATCGGGTAGTAAAAGTCCAATAAGTCAATCATCTTAACTAGATTGATAGATGAAATCTTCATAGGGGTAAATAACATGTAAAGTGGCCTCACCTAGTCTTGAAAAAGCGATCAGTTTAGTCTTAGGATCTACCTAAGGTCATAGTAGAGCGAAATAAGAGTACCACCGGAAGGAATGTCAACCACTTCCTTAGCGATTTGGCTTATGGAGGAATTTAGACCATCAGCCATATCAACCTCATGTTTAACGGCTTGTGTAACTTGTCAGTAATATTGTCGGGACGAACAAATCTTTTTACTTTAAACTGCGACAGTCTCTCCAATGTCACATAACCCTATTTCCTCCCCCCATTTCAAGCCTGCCTCTCTTGCTTTTTCTTCAAACCTTCTTGGTGGAAGCGTGACCTCCTCATACTGTCCGCTAATCCCTCCGCGGATAGTACCGTAGTGCATACCAATTGATTTTTTACTTTTGATATCTTGATGTATGCAAACTGCGTCTTCTGGCGCGCAATGTACTAATGACATGAATGTCCTTGGCAAAAAACACCCGATTGGTAGCAAGGCAAGGTCAAATGGTCCGTATAACTCGCCTATCTCTTCAAATGCGGGACATCGCGGAAGTGACTTTTCGTTAGTATTGAGATCTTCTTTCGTGATAGACCGATAACCCGTATCGCCTGCGAAAAACAGATTTTTCCTGTTTCCATCTGAGATGTTTTGCACCACCCAAGAGCACCACAGAGTGCAATTTCTGTCGGAAGGAGTCCTTGCTGAGGTGTGCTGTGCTGGTGTGCAGACGATCTTTGCGGAACCGACGCCATCAACAGTGGCCTCAATCTCGTCCCACCAATCGAGTTCTGTGACTTGATCCGCAGGTATTCCACATGACACGAACCAGCTTTTATTATTCAGACCACAGAGGAAGTGCACAGCATTCGTCCTACGTGCATACAACGTCCTAATTGCGTCCACATCTAAATGGTCGTAGTGATTGTGCGATATTAGAACAAGATCGACATCTGGTACATCCTCTAATGCGCATGGCAGCGGACTGAACCTTTTTGGACCTATGCGTGCCCACGGACCCATCTGGGTAGCAAACACAGGGTCAAGCAATATTCTCAATCCTCTCTTGGCTCCGTCCGCTACGGGTAGCTCAGCCAAAAAGCTGGCATGTCCAAACCACGTGGCACGAAGTTTGTCTTGCTGATCGAATCCCCAGTTCGGGGTTCTGATCTTGACCAGCTCATCACGTGTGGACGGAACTGGCACATAGTTCTTCTTCTCATTCCCCCAGCCAAATCGCGTAGCGAGGAGGCTCATGACTGAGGGAGAGGCAGCTTTTGCTGAGGGCCATGGGTTTCTGAATGAAGTAGGAGGGCTATTGACATGATGGTCCGGAGCTCCTAAGTACTTTCGTCGGCTGAGCAGCTTCACACTCGTGGACGGAGGGGGATTCGAAGAAAATGACATATTAATCTGATCGGTGCAAATGTTCACACAGGTCGGCACATTCTTGGACTTATATGAGGATATAGGAGCAACTTCATGATGTCAAAAGCTGGACTAGCATACGCGGACCAAGCGCTCGTGCTGGTGCATTTTGGTCGGACGAATTGATAACTCCGATGGCTGACCTCGGTGCCTTGAAGGCTATCGTATAGACGGCCACATCAGTTAAGACTGTTGATACTTGATCAACGGTGTGAATGCCTTAAGCTACAGATTGCAAATTCCTTGGTTGATACAATCGTTGACGTCAATCAACGGTGAAGCCGACTCGGGTTAATAAAACCTCGACAGAGCTTGAAGCCTGAGGCATCAAAAGATTTATTTGATGGTCATACCATCATGCAGGAGAAAGCTCAAGAAACTGTTGGATCCGCGTTCCACTCTTTCATCGCAATGTACTTTAGATAATTATCTCCTTGTCACATCCATCTCAAATATCACAATGTTAATCGCGCGGTCATTATTGCGAACGACACGCGTATGCGTCGTTCGTACTGCTTCCACAAGGCCAGTGCTAGCATCCAATACATCGCTATGGCTTCGATACAAGAGTGATTCTTCGTTTCCATCAAAGCCTGGAAACTCAGATTCAACGTTCAAGTCCCCGCAGGAGTTGCAGTACGACCCTGTAAAAAGATTGAACCGACAACAGGCGAAGCAAGACGCATCATCAGAGAAGCCGGCGGAATTTGATGAAGGCGCTGCACCATCAAAGGGCGCTACTTTAGAAGGCCAACGCCAATCCGAAGGATCGGGCCATACAGAACCACGAGCAAGCGTAGATACATCGTCCAAATCAGTTGGTGGAAGCGAGACTCCAGAAGCTCCCCAACGACCTTCGCAGCCACTGCCTGACTTACGACACGGTATACCCTCAACATTTGCAGAGGAGTTCCTAAACAAATCGGCCGCTTCCACTCAGGGAGAAGCAGATTCAGCTGGCCAGCATCGCATCAATCTTGACGATGAGGCGAGACATGAGCGCTCTTCAGGGTTTGGAGATGGTGCTGAAAGAGAACAAGGTGAGCTGCCAAAATCAGCGTATCAAACATCGATCGACAAGCGAAGAGATGCCATGGCCAAATGGTTCTATATCGCTTTTGGTGTACTTCTGACAACCGGAAGCATATACCTGGGCCGGAACTGGGATACAAAAGAAGAAGAGGAGGCACATCCAGAAGCACCATCAGGATGGACCTTACCTCTCTTCTGGGAGCGCATCAAGGCGCGGATGAACAGTCAGCGAAGCTACTACACCGAGCCGACCTTTCCCAAGCTGTTGCCGGAGATGAATCCCCCTCCTCCATATACGCTCGTGTTAAGTCTGGAGGACATGTTGATCCATAGTGAATGGACTCGAGAACACGGATGGCGCACGGCAAAGCGACCTGGGTTAGATTATTTCCTTGGTTACCTGAGCCAGTACTATGAACTTGTCCTGTTTACGACCATGCCAATGGCGTATGCAGATCAAATTGTGAAGAAGTTGGATCCGTACCATTTCATGACATGGCCGCTCTTCCGCGAGGCCACTCGCTATGAGAATGGTCAATATGTCAAAGTACGTACTAAATCTTTACACTGATTACTTCGCTAACATATCCAAATAGGATCTATCTTACCTCAACCGACCGCTATCGAAGACGATCATCATCGACACAAAGAAAGAGCATGTCAAGAACCAACCAGAAAACGCAATTATTTTGAAACCATGGACCGGTGATCCGAAGGACAAAGAACTAGTAGAACTCATTCCCTACTTGGAGCATATCGCTGCCATCGGCGTTCCAGACGTTCGTGCGAGTTTGAAGGCATTCGAGGGAAAGCACATTCCTACAGAATTCGCCGCTCGACTAGAACGATCCAGAGCAGAGTTCAACAAACAACTCGAAGAAGAGCGAGCCAAAAAAAGTAAGCGCTCCGCAGGAAGCTTCATCAGCAACATGCTAGGCTTGAAGCCTCAAGGCGGCATGACCTATGATGGCCAAACCAGGGTCGCGGACGAGCTGGCTCAAGGCAAAATGCTCGCTGATCAAATTCGCGAGAATGGTATTAGACAGTACCAGCGCATTGAAAAGGAAATTAGGGAGAATGGCGAAAAGTGGCTGGCGGAGGAGAAGGAGCTCGAAAAGAAGATGATGGCTGAGCAGATGAAGTCGTGGCAAAAGGGATGGTTCGGCTTTGGAGGTTCAAGCAGTGAGAAGTCGACTGGTGCTTAAGCACATAGCATGGGCGAGATGATAACCTTTCCACTCTTCATAATATGTATAAACATCTAGGTTTGACGACGGGTTAACACACAGCGGCGCCAAGAATACCCGCACTTGCTTGTGCTATAGAGGCCTCTCTCGACCTGTTTGAGGAACATTGGGTTGCATAGCGTCGTGTATAAAAATGTTATTTTCTACGAGTGCTCCTTGCTAGTTGCATAGCAATTTTAATTTACACATTATGTGCGATGTCAACAACATACGTATTACAATGTGCATAGCTGTTGGCGGGTGACAATGCTGAAGTAGCAACTTTTGAATTTCACGGATCTTTCTGCAAAAAATAAAACTCTACAACGAGTAGCTAGACAGACAAACGTCGTTTTAAATTTTAAAATTCGTTGTTTAGCCCTCGTGGCGAGCAGGAGTTTTCTGCGAATTCCGCACCTGGATGGCGACGTTGCCGGACAAAGTCCCGAAGTTTGAAACCCTTCCGCCTTCGGGCTCTCCACATGCCTACCTTGGAATATCAGCTACTTGGAGTAGAAAGAACTAGGAGGCGGGGAAATTCTGCAGGGCACATGTATAAAGAATGGAAGGATTCGCGGTGACCGTCCCCTTTTGTCAATCCGTAAACCTCTGTCAATTCCTGTTCACCTTGATTCAAGATGTCTAGCAACGTTAGTAGCACAGCGAACTACGTTGTTCCTTTGCTCCTCAACGGCAAAGAAGTAACAACTTCTTCAACCTTTGACGTGACATCTCCAAGTACAGGACAAAAACTTTGGCCCTGCTCATCTGCCTCCAAAGAAGATGCCTTGGCTGCCATTCAAGCTGCAGAAAAGGCCCTCCCAGCTTGGGCCAAAACAAAGCCAGCTCAACGCAGGGACATCATACTGAAGGCAGCTGATCTTCTCGCAGTGAGGAAGGATGAGAGCTTAAAATACATGTGCGAGGAGACAGGCGCAGATGAGACCTTCTTTGAGGTGATATTCGACATGACCTTGGAGATGCTTAAAGACGTAGCCGGCCGCATTGCTGTGGCTCTTCAAGGAGAGATCCCGATATGTCGACAGGAAGGAACAAGTGCGCTGCTCCTCAAGGAGCCATACGGTGTCAACTTTAGTATTGCTCCGTGGTAAGCAAATCGAATCTCGAATCTATGCACGAGCTAAGAGCAAGGCAAGGAATGCGCCATACGTGCTGGGTATGCGTGCTATCATATATCCCGTCGCTGCGGGGAACACCGTGGTGTTCAAGGGATCAGAACTCTCACCACGCTGCTTCTGGGTATTGGGACGAGTGCTGACTGATGCTGGGCTGCCGGACGGAGTACTCAACACGATTTACCATCGACCGCAGGATGCTGCGGAGATCACGCAGACAATCATCGAGCATCGTGCAGTACAGAAGATAAACTTCACTGGTAGCACTGCTATAGGAAGTATTATCGCTGGTCTGGCTGGTAGGAACCTAAAGCCAGTGGTTATGGAACTCGGAGGCAAGGCTAGCGCAATTGTGCTTGACGACGCAAACTTGGAGACCGCGGCTAGGGAGTGTGCTTTGGGTGCATTCTTGCATGTAAGAATCCTTCCATCTGTGCGCTACAATCAACAATAGTGTAGGTTCTGACAAGCTCTAGACCGGTCAAATATGCATGTCTACGGAGCGGATTCTTGTCCAGAAGACAATTTTGCCCGCATTTCGCGATGCGCTGCGGCAGGCTATCAGTACCATTTTCCCAGCTTCAAAGCCAGGTGTGACAGTTACGGCTGCCGCCGTGGAGAAGAATAAGCGTTTGATCAACGATGCCGTCTCGAAGGGTGCAAAGGTGATCCACGGTGACCCAAGCATTGAGGAATCTACAAAGACGAGGATGGCGCCGATCGTGGTCGAAGGTGTTTCGAAAGAAATGGACTTGTACTACACGGAGAGCTTCGGGCCAAGCGTTAGCTTGATTCCGTTCGAGACAGAGGAGGATGCTATCGAAGCAGCTAACGATACCGAGTATGGATTGAGCGGTGCAGTGTTCACAGAGAATCTCGCGAGAGGGCTAAGAGTGGCCAAGCAGATTGAATCGGGGTAAGTTTAAGCAGGCCGTCTAAACAAGCGAACACAGTGTAACAACGGACTTGGGTAGTGCCATTCACATCAATTCGATGAGCGTTCACGACGAAGCATCGCTCCCACATGGCGGAGCTAAGAAGTCTGGCTTTGGGCGATTCAACGCGACATGGGGACTGGCTGAGTTCTTGAGGACGAAGACAATCACATTCCAAGAGTGACCGCGTCTCTGAACCAAGAGCAGCCGTTCGTTAGCTCTACAGTGTGCTGGTAGGACTGTGCTCGAGGCTGGGAAGAAAGGATTCATAGTTAGCAAAGTCTCGAGAATGAGACGGACATGCGAACGATGTTGAACAGGCAAGCCTGGTGACTGCTGTACACTACTTACGATTCACGGACACTCCGAGCTTATCTGCGTCGATGAGCGAGGTGGCGTTCATTTAACCAATTGATTTCCGCAGTCGACAGCACGATACGCCCTAAGGATCACGTGCCGAGTGGAGTGACGCGGGTGCCAGGCTGGGAAACCCCGCAGATCTGGCGTTCTGTGACGTGAGACGTCGATCCGTCCGCACGGGAGGAATACCGTTACATTCCAGATTCCACCAAGAGCGGCCTGGATCTTGACGGCGGGATATCGCTGCGGCTTGCAGCAACACCTCTGCAGCTCAGCACACATCCAGCCTCGAAATCCAGTCGCATTCCTCTTGCACAAGCTGTCTGTCTTCGTCTCAATTCGACTGAGATCGATCCTTTCCCACATCAGGTGCAATGGGCTGCGGAGGCTCGAAAGAAAATAAGACGCCGGCGGACGCGGAGATCCAGCAGCCTGTCCGTAAGGTGCGTACCAACTTTAGCGACATCCACTACGACGAGCCTGCCTCGGGGCGACGCGACACCGTATACGCGCCATCCGAGATTCCGGAGTCGCGCAGACCGACCGAGATCCCAGAGGAGGGCCAAGCGTCGCCTCCGGCGGCCACGTTTGTTGGCACGGATGGTATGCTCAGTCCCGGATCGCCAGCCTCGCCCGCTGTAGGTACGCAAACAACCGATCCGATTGCGAAGACGTCGTGATGTTTAGGCTGCGGCTGAACACACGACAGGGCGAAGGCGGAGTTGGTACGAGAAATACAAAGAGATGACGAAGAATAAGAGCATTAGCGATGAGGATATGAAGAGAGTTCTTGGCATGAACAGAGCGGAACTTGAGCAATGGGCAAAGGACCGTCCGGGAATCGGGCCTAGGCAAGAGAGTCAATTTGCGGGTGACGTAGGATATATGGGCAGCGGCGGTGATTCAGGATGATGTGTGTACGACGTTAACTTTCCTCCAAGTAGCATGTCTTGTGGTTCATGATGTGGCATTTATTCTGTGCGGAGACGTTCAAACGTCTGCATTTATTGCGTTTTGGCGGTGAGGAACGAGTTTATGTACATACACGACGAGCTAATTTACGAACGCGTGACCTGTGCTAGATAGGTTATATTGTTCCTATTGCCGACGATGTCGCTTGCCGTTTGACCTTGGTTCGAATTCGAACTGCTTTGTTAACTCGTCATGTGCGACGTCAAAAATGATTCCTCATTAGCAGACTCAAATCGCTTAGCCCACAAGGCTAGTTGTGATGCAAGACAATCAAGGCGAAGAAGCACACCTCTCTATTATTTGATTACATGAAGAGACTGAATAATTTGCTTGACGAAGACTGCGATATCCTATGAACCATGTTTTATATCATAATAGCCGCCTACAATTTCGAAGGAAGCTTAGCATCTCCAGGGCGAACATCCTTCAACTCAGCAACATCCAAGGCCACAAGCGTTCGAGATACTGCATTATAGCCGGCAATTGTCAAAACTAAGGCATCTAGTGAGCACACTACAATGCCTTCTTGATTCGTACGTTTACTCACCAAGCTCGAGAATCTGTCGTTCGTCAAGCAATTTCCTGACCGCCTCGAACACTTCGTCTGGCACCTTTATATCCTTGGTCATGCAATCCGTAAACTTAAGCACTGCCCAATGCTCGCTCTTTAAACCCTTTTCACCATCCTTGCCGACATATCCAGGCAGGATTGTTCTCACAGTTTCCAAGCCTTCAGCACTTACACCGGCTTTCTCAAGAAGAGGTGCATGGTGCATCCATTCAAAGGCAACACCATTCAGAGCCCCTACTCGACACATGGCCAGTTCCATTATGTCCAGTGGCAGCGTGGATTGGTTCCTGATGGCGCCAAAGAACTCGAGGAAACCTTTGAACAAAGCCGGAGAGTGTGCTAGGGTCTGGTATAGCGGCCCAACCCCGTTTTTGTCCCCTGAGGCCTTCAGTCTAGATAGGAAATCCTTCACTTCCTGATCGGATGTCTCCGAAGGATTTCTTATATACTTCAGTCGCATTGTGAATATCTAGCGAACTTCGTCACGGGCGTGTAAAAAATTGTTTGCACGGATAGGCGTATTTCTCTGGGGTATACTTGAGTCCAAATCCAGTATCTACTGTACGCTTTCGTTGTGGACAAAGTGGCAGTATACGTCGCTCAACCTCGGCTCAACTGGGATCTTTTAGACAACCCCTCGAACACTGATCGCTTCGCAGACTTTTGACTGGGAAGACAATATTGTTGCATCGAAAAGCGTACCCTGTTAATGTGCGACTTGAACATTTGTTCGTATCACAACTTTTTCTCCATTGCATTGATACAAAGTCATGATCACAGTTCCCTCTCTAATAGCTCTCCCTTACTTTCCACTAGCTATTGATGGGCGGCACGAGTTCTGGACTCCAACCATTTGGATTCTGCGGCAAAATCTTGCATCACAAGCAGCGGGGATATGTTATTGGATAAAATCATCACCGTGCAGTCGCCCATTTGAACTTCTTGCGGTTCCTGAACAAAGCTGAAACGTCATAATCATGGTCGAAGCATGTTTCTGATAATGTTTGCGAGGACTTAACTGCTCCCGGAAACCCACGTTTGTGAGATGCGTTTATTAAGCTTTCTAGAGTAGGTCAGTAAGGATCTATGTTATGTTCTCTGGTGGCATATTTCCCGAGGTTCTGGCACTAGTTCGTGACCACGCATCGCCAAAGACTAAGTACATGGGTAACATATCTTCTCCATTTATCTGAACTACCTAATTAGGCAAGGCGTCCAACGTGATCTGGCGATCCCTTCGCGCGCATTGAACTTCCCAAGGGTCAAAGCAAACCACTTGTTACGAAGAAAACGCGTCGTAAAGCCGCAACTTAAAGCGAAATGATATTTTGAGCCTGATAGCAGCCGCATTGTCTTCCGCCACCGCCTCGCCGCTTGCGCGGTCATGTCGCGCCGTACTTGCTACCATTGCGATGTCTGGAGCAGGATCTCCACATGTCGCGGTGGCGCACACAACTGCCATCACGCCTCCGCAACGCAAGCGCAATTACGTTCCGAATTCGAGGTCGTCAGATTCACTTCCAGAATTGGATGAGATATTGCCCGCCAGGATCGATGCTCGCTTGAAGATGGGGTCAAGGGCATTGGCGCTGCCACAAAACGTATCGGCGGGGTTGCAGAGCACCGCGACGCTTTTGCCATACAACATTTTGAATAAACATCAGGATGAAGATAGAAGTAATAAAGCCTCCAGGGAATGCACAGGGAAGAAGGCGGAACCGAAGCTCGATGCAAAGTCAAAAGACTGCAATGTGACTAGCACGAAAAAGAGGAAAACAAAGGAGAAGGCCAATGCTGTATCTAGGAGATCCGTGAGCGAAAGAAAGAGAACACAGAGGAACCAAAACTCAGAAACTCATGGGATGACGGTTGGAAATCACCTGGATGAGTTAGAGCGAGTTGGGACTACAGGATCGGCTAAGTCCACAGCTAAACGCTTAGCAAGAACTGGATTAAGCCGGAAGCGAAGAAAATTAGAAGACAAAGAATCGAACATGAGTGAATTTGCTAAGAAAGTCAGTAACTGTCCCAAGGATGGGAAGGAAATACACACGATCGAGGATAAGGAGGCCGTCGACGACCATCAAATTCTTCTTTGCGCTGCTAAATCCCCAAAAGAAACGGAACACCGTCAAGGCGCAGAAGCAAACGGTGAGCAAGAGTATGTGGAAATGTTTCCAGCCGCAAATGACTCGCCAGTTAGGGGGAAGAAGATTGTGCAAGCATCCTCGCAACCTGATAAACCAGAAATTCCAACTTTTGACTTCTCGCTACTACATCAAACTTTTAGTTATGAAGATTCAAATTCTGTTTCGCCTCGCCCCAGGGTACAATCTACCACGGTCCCAACATCAAAACGAAACCTGGAGCTTATCCCAGACACGCGACCTGAAAACTTCACTATTATCATTGAGCAACCTGGACCTGATATCTTTGTGGCAGCGGAAAACGACGCATCAGCAGCAAAGGAAGCAATACCATCTCTTCCACGAAATGAAATCAGAAAACAGTCTCCGAAGAAGGGCGCGACGTCGATTACGGCTCGTTCCATTGCACGTTACGCTCAAGCAGAACATAGAAGTCTTGGAAACCCGGTTCTAATGTCGCCATATTTTGCTCCCATTTTCCACCCACCTGAAACAGAAACGAGTACCGAGCCAAGACGAGCTTCTTTGGCTGCTAACGCAGCGAAGCCTCGCAAGCGAAAATCGAATGCCAAAGGAGAAAACAAAGCTCAAAGGGAAAGAAGAAAGAAAACAGTTTCGAAAAGAAAGACAGTAGCTTTCATAGCACCTCCAAAGCTGATGTCGCCGAAGCAGCACGAAGCAAAACTAAAACGGCAAGATCTTCTCTTTGGCACTTCTAGTCAACTAAGACAAGACGGGTCGCCTCGATATATTCGTGAGGTGCAGAAGGCTCTTGAAGAATCGGCTATTGATTCTGAAATGCCGGAGGAGACAGGTTCGTCGCCAATACCGCTGCGGTCTACCGAGGCTGTCAGAAGGACGAGGCGAAAGATGTGGAACGAAAGCGCGAGTATCGATATAGATTCTGGATGGCGTAGCATTTCGGATATAATAGGCGACGGAAGTCCCCAATCAAGGTCTGCAGAACATAGCCAGCATATTGGCCCTGATGAGGCTAGGTCTAGCCAAAGCCTCTCGACTGGATTCATTTCTGATCAGGACGCTTCGCGAAGTATATCATTCCCAGAATCATCACCCATTACCTCCAATGGCTTCTGGCTAAGCAGGTCCACGACCTCGTTATTAGGTTCACGGCCTACAAGCGTCAAGACCTTTCCTGCCATAATCAACATCTCTTCGAGCCCAAGGAGTTCTGTATCTCCGCCCAGAATGGCTCTCATGTCGATGTCAACGAACACAAAATCTCCAACAAAAAAGTCACAGGATGAGAAGGCCGGACCTGACCGCAAAGCTCGTCTCAGCAAAGATGCCCAAATCGAGCACCATAACAACTCGGCAAAGTCCCTGGCTGGACCTGGAAAAGACGTTGCGGCATCTAATCGAACGACACGAACACCTAAAAAGAGAGGTCGTCCACCAAAGATTCGCGTCGCTCGAGATGACGAGCATGGTTTCCAGCACATTGATGACATAGAGGATTCCGAGCCGGACCTTACGCCTTCTCCACCACGAAGGTGTGGTTCGGTCAATTGTAACAACAATCGGCCATTACCCCTCACCACTCCCGCTACCACAGAAAAGGAAGCAAATACCAGACGTGCTAACACAGTTATTTTGAATGCACAACATGCTCGTTGGCCGCAGGTGCGAGCGAAGCTCTTTCCCGAGATCACAGCTGTAATCAAGTCCGCACCACCTACGGGTAATATCAAGAAGCCAAGCTGGCATGAGAAGATGCTCCTTTACGATCCGATCGTGCTTGAAGACTTGACAGAGTGGTTGAACGGTCAGGGTCTTAGAGTGGAGGGTAAGGACGGTGAGTTGGTCGAAATATCGTGTTGGATGGTGCAATCTTGGTGTGAAATGAACAGCGTCTGCTGTCTATGGAGAGAGGGTCTCAGAGGTGGAGTCAGGGTAAAATACTAGTCGCAAATACACGTTTGATGTTACGTCAATATCGTTCACTCCTAATATTTCTTTTGGATGGATATATGTCGTTGCGGTGTTGCACTGTCCGTTTGTTGTCACTCCATTCTGAAGTAGTCTAGATAAACCCTTTTCAGCCACGGCTCATGGATACGAACTTGAGCGTATATCTATGTGTTCTACGTAAATACGTCCAAGTTTTCTATATCCTGTGTGCATTGAGTGGCCGGCGCATCAGCGGCAGGAACTGGTCTACACCGATTTTTCCATCGTTCTCTTCAGGCTACCTGGACGATGTCAAAATAGTTGGCAGCTCCAACGAGCTTAGTATCACTTCTACAGGTAGGTTCCCACTGTAATTGTGGAGCCTTAGCCACTACAGCCAAAGCGCAGCGCAACAAAGTAACTGCGCTGGCCCCGCCTTCTTTGACCCCACATTGGAATTTATCACGTGAAATCATGTCAGAATGCTGTAAGTGTTTCTTTTATATTCCTCTTTTGAAATCAGTTGAGAAAACGCTTGGGAACTCACGCTGTTGAATTGACTCGCCTGAAATAAGAGTTTCGTATTTGGACGCATCATGCCTTCCGCTCTTATTCTGATCACCGACGGCAGCGAGGAGATCGAGTTCGTAACGCCGTATGATGGTAAGAACGCAGCCCCGTCTTGTCCTGCTTGTCAATTTTCGGATCAAAGAGCATCTCATTGCCCCTCAGACCAGCACCGTTCCATGATCTGACCTGACGTAGTCTTGACCCGCGCTGGTTTCAAAGTCACGTCGCTCGGCATCAATCTCAAGAACGATTTCGTCACATGCACACGAAACGTGCGCATCATCCCAGACACCACGACTCCGCCTGAATCGCCTGAGCATGACATTCTCATCCTTCCCGGTGGTGGTCCCGGCGCAAAGACCTTCTGCCAGTCGGACGTTGCTCAGCGGCTTATCCGATCCTATCGTGACGCTGGCAAGTACGTCGCGTTCATTTGCGCGGCGACGACCGCGCTTGTAGCTAGCGTTAAAGGCGCCGGGAAGACTGAAGGTTTAGAAAGTACGAAAGCCGTGAAAGTAACCAGTCATCCCAGTGTGAAGAATGAAATTGTGAACGCAGGGTGGGACTACGCTCCTGACAACGAAAGGGTAGTAGTGGATGGTAAGGTGATCACAAGTCGAGGACCTGGCACTGCTATGGGGTTCAGCCTCAAAATTGTCGAAGTCATGCTGGGCAAGGAGAAATGCAAGGAGGTTGCTGAGCCGATGATTGTAGCACCAGACCTTTTGGCAAGGCTGCTCGGATAATACAACGTGAGCTACGTACAAAATACCTTCTGTGACATAGCGAGAGTGCTGGAAGAAAAGTTGTGTGGTCATTGAATTTGAATTCAGATGTCAAAAACCAGTCAGACTGCTGAATATGGCAGTGATAACGGGCTTTTTCTAGGTCACTCCTTGATATTCATGTCCGGCAGCAAAACTCTACCGCGACGCTTGCAAGCGCAACATCTGCACAAGATGATGGACCTCACTCTTGAGTTTCACCGTCGTCATCCTTTATTGTAATATCGATTCCCGTGCATTGCTTGCACAATGGTGAGAGAAACGGCAAGATAGGCATTTCAATTGCAAAAGAGTTTGCCACCTTTCGATTTGACCTGTGCTGTGAATATTTGTATGGATACTAAAAAAGCAATCTTTTCCGTCATGTCGATCCAGTGAGATTTTCTCCGAATCATGTTCAAACCTTTTTCGAGGAGCTTTTGAACTGTCAAGACGCCCACCAGCACTAAGCCATGTCTGAAAACCAGAAGATCCATTCATAAAGAAGGCGATCCATTAGCGCATGCTCAAGCCGCTTAGGAGGAAATGATCAAATTCCGTGCGGCGTAGCGCTAGCAGAGAATCACGAGCGTGTGCTGTGCCTGCCTGCGAAAAATACTGGTTGAGTTCAATCTCAACAGGCAGCCTGTCGCCGTTGTCGTCGACCGAATTCTTGCTGATGACCGCAACCTGAAGATCCATGAGCTTTTGAAACATAAAGCTACGACTGGCTTCCGTATCCTCTGTGTCATGGTAGTCAATCTTGACATTTTGGAGCTCAGGGCATGCCTGAAGTAGGTTGATCATGAGCTGGATGCGTTCGCCAAAGTAGTAGTTGAAAAAAAACATTTGGTCCCTCTCGAGCTTTTGATCCGGTGGCGTCGATTTCGCTCTCAGCCATTCGCTGTCCCATGTAATGACAAGGTTGACTTTACGAATTTGTTCGAGAGGTGAGTAAGGAGTCCTAATGAGTAAGTCGATTGTTTCTTGGAAGAATGAGAAGTGTTGGAAGCCCTTGTTGACATCGATGACGAGGACGGCACGCTTGCGGTAGAAACTGCGTGCCTCGTCGTGAATCTGCTTGCACGTCCCAAGAAGTCCTATTGGCGGCGGGCAATGGCTGAGCTGTAATATTGGTAAGATGTGACGATACTTGGTATTGCGTCCATTGTCGCTTCGAGAATTTGGGTACGGAAGCACTTCAGTGTCATCGAAGTCGCTGACATCGTCAGAACTGTTTGTTTCATTGCCTCCGCCATCTTCATGCAAGCTCTCTTCTTCATCAATCGAATCGCTCAGAGCGTCATTATCTTCCCACCCCTCCTGGCCGTCTTCGTCCACTTCGTCCTCGTTGCCAATATTTGCCTCGTCTAGATGAGGATCGTCTGTGACAATGGCTACTCCACTCACCGGAAGAACGACTTCTGTGGGCGGTAAACGGGGGATGTCAGTGTCAATTTTCTCAAAAAACTCTTTCAGTATAAGATGTGAGCCGGTGGGGCGCACACTTGCCCAGTCATAAATGTTTTGACGGATCTCAAGGGGCAGGGAGAGAATGAGACAGCTAGTCATGGCTGAATGTAGTGAATATGAGAACTTTGCTTAAAGTTCGATGTTTAGTCTTGGACCACTCTCGTCAAGTGGTCAATGGATAGCCGAATGAGGGCGTTCCGTAGTGTGTAAGTCGACCAGCCTGAGTCTGTAATGACAACGTGAGCTGGCAATTTTCCACGGCAAGATATAGAGCAGAAGTGGTAGTGTCTTTTGAAAAAACTGAGGGTTTGGTATTCTGGAGGAACATGTACTTTTTGAGATCAGGCTGTGTTGCCTAAAGTTGGAGACCGTAATGGAAAGGCACACTTGCAGCCTTGTGCTTGACTGGAAACCTCAACAAAAAAGGGTTTACACTGTATATAACTATTTCTCTTTTTGAGACAATTTACGAGCATTTGAATAGTTTGAAGAATTTCAAAGGCGCAAGAGCTTGATTCTTCCTTGAAGGTCGTCATTGACTTTTATCAGGCATTGCTTTCATTGTTTTGATTGACTCCAATCAGCAAACACGATATCGGTACCCATCAAACGTAAATTTCCGACTATGCTGCCTTATTTTAATAAATAAAAAAAAAAGAGAGAGAGAGAGATTGAAGCATTCAAATTCAATTCAACGATCCAACACCTCGAAGCTTCTGCAACTCCCAAATGGGCTTGCTAGGGCACAATCGTTTGACAGCGTCTTCTCAGACCGCACGGAAACTTCCGCGGAAACTGGTATTGGGTATCTAGATGAGCATCTCGAAATATAAACGCCAGCCAGGTACCAATTGAACAAATCACTTTAGGACGAAGATGCGCCGCCCACAGGAGGCGTCTCCCAGTGCCGCAACATCTGATTAAGTGCATAATTCCACTCGCTCGAAAACGCCGCCGAAAGGGCATCTATACCTTCCTGGGATGGAGATTGACCGCCCCACATTGCTGGCAAAGCAGCTTGCTGTTTAGCGTACCACGATATAAGATTGCTGCGACTATGTTAATGGATCAGGATTGAAGGATGATACTGATTAACCAACTCGCTCTGGACCTTGGTCAAAACCAGCCAGCAATAATTCCAGCTCCTATTACTGTTCGGATCAGCAAGTACCCGTCGTTTGGCTTCATCCAAGCAATCAGAGCTGCGAAACGTTAGCTTCGTTTCGCCCGATGCAGAGATTCAACGAACCTGAACGGATAGTTTTTGGTCAAGCTTCGAAGCTCGGTAAGCAGCATGTGGGAATTCACGTAATATTGCCCTTAGAAAAGCGTTAGAGATCGTTGGCAAGGCTTCTCACGGTAGGTCATACATGCTGCAGTCATGGGCTCTGTAAGATCCGAGGTCCCCATTGTTGCAAATACCCGTTCAATACGCCGTAGCTCAGACAGAGTGTTGATGCTATGCGTCCTAAGCGAGGTTATCATCTTTTGTTTCTCAGCCTGGTTTCAGTCTGCGGTTAGGAGGAAAGAAACGAATGCGAGGATATTCCGGAACTGTCCAGCTTCTTGGGCATATTTTGTGCGAACCTACCTCGTTCAAAATGACCGGTTGTGCCATGATGGAAAGGAGTGATTTCTGAGACCTTAAAGATGGCCAAGGATTCGGGTAAAGATTTAGGTAAAGGCTGCGTCTCCCCAGGAATCGAGATGATAATTGAGTATCTTTGTAGGCACGTTTGAAAGTACTTGAAATTTGTTTCTTTAGGGATATCCTCAAGCAAAAATGGATGAAATTTTCTTTAGACCGTTCACCTCAGCTAGCATTCGCCGGCTTATATAGCGCTTGCCAAGTCAATTCTTCCCTTCGAGTAGCCATTTTGAGAAAGTAGGCTACGCAATGATACACAGCGGTGCTAAAAATTCTGTCATTGGCAGCAACATCCCGAGTGCTCGTGGCTGGCTGCGCAGTGACTCCGGATGGGAAGCACACTAGGCTTTTGCCACACTGCTCTTCTGTGGCCAAGCTTCGGTTGCTGGATGGTCAGACCCGGAAGTCGATTTCTACAGTCTCCTCAGATAGAACCGGATGTCATCGATTCATGGGGCAGCGAATAGTTTCAAAGAACGAGGGGAAATCAGACGGGCTTAGCGTACGGCCGGGAGGATAGATCAGTTCCGACGAAGTTGTGAATGCTCGGGAAACGATTGTCAAGGGGTTGAACAGAAGAAGCGAACAAGATCGAAGGAGACCGAGAGCGTAAGCACGCAGACCAGATGAAGAAGCAGCTTGTAAGACGAATTCTGGCCTTGTCGGAAGGCAACGTATGGGTCCCAATTGGATGATGGCGATGCGAATCTGCGACGCAACAATAGAGCAGGCACGGGCTTGCTACTGGACAAGTGGCATGGAACGCAGTCTACGAGAAGGAGTAAGCTCTGTTATTGCAGCAGCGCATTTCAGATTTACGAAGTCAGAGGTGAGAAGCCACCTTGGATTTCGACGAAGGGATTGATGTTACGAGGCATCGGTGGATGAGAGGCGTGCCGTGGGCCTGGACCACTTCGCGATAATCGCTTCGATTGGAGATTCAGCCCTACGAACGAGCCATGTCGTGCCTTACCGCTCCTTGTTCCGTTTGCAGACATTAGGGGAGTGGGTTGAATTGTTCGTCGAGAAGGCGTGGGCTTCCACGCGGGTTGTGGAGGTGAGGGAGGCTCAGACGCTTGCGTCCTGTCAGATTCCGCGTTCAAAGCCCTTCGGCAGGATTCATTTCAGGTAGGGCTTAGTTCTCGCATCTGGTAAACTGGTATTTGGGAGTTTTGATTCGTCGTTATTTGCTGACATCAACTTGGCTACACGCTTCGTTCACTTGCCGTCGGAGCAAAGTCAAGTCCGTGTGCTTGTGCCTCAGATGATCATTACTGTACTGCGGTAGTATCGAATGCGGCCATTGCGTCGAATCTTCGGTCAACCCGAGCGCTCACCGATCTTGCATCGTTGGATCACTCTTTTCCGGCCCATGAACGTGGGGAGAGACATACTTTGGTATGATTCGCGGCTTTCGTCTTTGCCGCTGGGCGAAAAATGCGGAGCTCAATGGCGAACTTACGTGCAGACTTCACCACTTTTCCATCATTCATGCAGGCATGATCTACCATCGTATCCACTCTTTTACGTCTAGACTAGTCAAGAGCACAAGGTATGCGCAAGGTTTGAATACCTAGGTTTTCGTCTGCGCATATATCCTCCAATGGTGCCACGGGCACAGCTCAAGTTTTGGGGAACGTCTGCTTCTGCAGCCATTACGAACGCTCATCTAGTCTCTACGAGACAAGGGATCATATAAAAAGGCCTTGTTCAGATTCCAACGCATTCTTGCTCCCAATATCACGTGTATACGAAACTACATATACCGCGAACTAGCTGTGCAACATGTCGTAGATGCTCTACAGCCGATTGCGAGGAACCAAAGGTGCGGGTCAAACCCAATCTCTGATCTCAATTGAGGAACGGCTATTCTGCTAGGTGGAATGGTACGCATCGCGCAGAAGACCGCAAGGTCCATCAGCTTTGCACCTTGACACTCTCGGCATACAGCCTTTGCAGCACAGAGTTCTCCAAGATTCTTCCTTTCTCGACTCCTTCACCTTGCAATTCCTGGCCATCGCTAAGCGCAAGGTCCACCAGAACTTTCCCAAGCTCATTGGTTGGCGACACATATTTCGGCATCAAGCGCAAGAGAGGACGCAGTGCGGGCACTAGCTTCTCCGCGAATGGTTTCCTGCGGTCCTTTAATGCCTCCTCGATCTCGGAGTGATGGCTAGGATCCACAAAGCATGGCCTGGCGCTGTAGACTTTCAGGGTTGGCAATTTAGTTTGAAGATCTAGGAGTTGAAGCTCTGCGCTGCCCTTGATTTTCCCGAACGGCTGTGTAAACATGCCGGGATTCGTGCTGGCCCCGTAGCCAGAGACATATACGAATTTGAAGTTGTCCGAAAGCGACGCGAATGCTTTGGCCGCGCAAAGAGGATAGTCTATTGTGATCTTTAAATATTCACTAGCGCAATGGTCAGCAAAGATCGTGATTGTTGAACGGCGACAAGATCTGGACCGTTTGAAACTGTTTCGACCATTCTGATCTTCAGTTTCGGTTTTAACACGACATTGAAAGTGACGCGCTGTTAGGAAATCACCTACTCTCGTGGTACTTGAGTGATTGAGATGCCTTGCGCCCAGATCACGCCGTCAGCGCCTTTGAGGTTCTCTAGCAACTCACTGTCATAGCTGGTAAATGACTTCAGGATCACAGTTTCAAAGCGAGGGTTATCCTTGATTATAGGAACCTCTCTTCTACTGAGCACTGTTACTTTGGACACTTCGGACGTGGGCCGCTCGATCAAGTTGACGAGGACAGCGGATCCAACAAGTCCTGTGGCACCCGTCAGAATAAGGTGGGCCATCGATTCGAGATTCCTGCAGATGTAGACAAACTGCTTCGCGTTCTTGCCCAGCAGTTGTTGAAAAACAAGCTCTTTTCGCTTTCTGGCAGACTTCCAATCGGTGAAATATGTAAGCTGAGAATACAGGGGGGTGTAAGCTGGGTGAATTTGTCCTAAGGGTGCGTGCTTACGTCTTAGACGCAGCGACTCTTGCTATGAACACAAGTTGCCTCCTTCTAGGTAAGCAATCTTTTAAGATCACTCTCACCTTGAGATGAGACCATCTGTTGTTTTTGGAAGTGTCACCAGAGCATCTGAGCTGGGCACGCAACCAGAATATACATCTGTCTTTCCCATAGCTAGCTGTTCTGGGCTAGACAAGCATTAGACCTGCCACTTCATTTGCCAGATGTCAATGTCTGTGCGGAAGATCACGGGAACGATGAATGGTGCATAAGTGAGATCGTAAACCTGCTTAGTTCATTCTATGCTGTCTTGACTGATTGATTGTCTGATTGTTGCCCTGTCCCCTACCCCTGGCTCTCCTCTCTTATCTAGCCAGCGTTTACTTATGTCACGTGATACTTGGTATGTGCTTAGACTGACACCAGACATATCGCTTAGTTTCAGCCTTGCGTTGGCTGAATGGCAACTTTTCACTTCCTCTAACATAATTTTTTGCTCAGTTCCCGACTCCTTTGAGACGCTAGTTCTTTGGGTATACAGAGACTACTCTGCAGAATGTGTCGATTAGCTCTGGATTGGAGCGAACCAGGCAGACTCCATGAGCGCCAATCTAGCAAACATCGCCTGCCATTAATACTTGTCCAAGATTCGACGTTCTAGAAGGGATTTCACAGCACGTATGCAGGATTCGATCCCGGATATCTCGCAGATCGAGGCTGGTAATTGCTTGCACAGACATATATCCGGATGGAGAGGGTGGATCACTTCATCTAGAGGAAGGTCCGCAGTCCAATTTCGCATGCCAAACCCGATCAATTTTTGAGCACACAGAGACAATTAGCAAAGGCAGAAAGAAGAATGACGCGATTACATTCGGTCTGTATCCGTGATGTTTCCCATGGCTGAACGTCGCTACGGTCTCATCTCCTTCAAAATCCCCGCTTCGAAATTCAAGCCTGTTCTTTTGCTTGTGCAGAATAGTGTCGCCACATTATTGTCATCTAACCTACGGCACAATTCTAGCAATGGTTGAGGGCTGTGATTTAGTATATGCGCCTATGATTGGATCTGAAACGGGTAGTGAAAGATCAGAGGCGAGCCTTCATCAATCTGCACGATATTTGCGTCAGAGCATCTTAACTCCATAATCTCCGGATTCGTGGCAGAAATGCAGAAAATCGACCACCTGCAACAACACCGCTAAAGATGGAAGATCGCAGAGATAGCTGCTGCTCCCGCACAGTCTCAGAATCGAAGAGTAGTCCCAAATCCCATGGTTCGCCTTCAGCACGCTTAAACATTCACCCGGAAGATGGCGTGCCGAAGGACGATGCCGAAACCGCTCTCCTCATCATCGCTGGACACGGCTGAGCGAGCATGCTGATGAACTATTTTAAGAGTGCAGGTTCTGTAAAACCCTGTTCGCACCTCAAATACTTTGGAATTTTGCCTCACTTCAGAATGACGACCGATTCGAAGATCAAGGTTGCAGTCCTTGACGATTATCAGAACCTCTCCAAGTCATACTTCTCCGCCGTCGCGCCCGACAGGCTCGAGTTCACCTATTTCCCCAATACTCTCCATCCCAAGCACAGTGAAAGCGACCATGCCGCGCTCGTAGAGCTTCTCAAGCCCTTCCCAGTCATATCCTCGATGCGCGAACGCACGCCTTTTCCGGCTTCGATCCTCAAAGCGCTTCCAAATCTCAAACTGCTTCTAACCACGGGCAAGCGCAATCTCGCCATCGATTTAGCCGCAGCTTCAGAGATGGGAATTGTCGTTGCGGGCACGGACGCGAAGCACAGCATTCCGCCCTCAAAGTTCAATCGCATCAGACCCGACAGCACCACCACCCATTGCTGGGCCATGATTTTGGGCCTGTCCAGACACATTGCGAGAGACGACAGGAATGTAAAACAAGGAGGCTGGCAAGGCAATACGCTGGCCGTCGCTCTGCCGGGAAAAACGTTGGCTCTGTGTGGGCTCGGCAGGTTGGGCACAGCAGTAGGCCGTATCGCTGTGATGGGCTTTGGCATGCGTGTGATTTGCTGGTCAAGCAGCTTAACGCAGGAGAAGGCCGATGAACAAGCAAGGAGTGTAGGGCTGGAACCTGGGGAATTCGAAGTCGTGTCGAAGGAAGAGTTATTCAAGCAAGCAGATGTCCTGAGCGTGCACTACGTGCTCTCTGATCGCTCCAGGGGCATTGTGGGCAAGAAGGAGTTGGAGCTGATGAAGCCGGAAGGGTTGCTGGTAAATACGTCACGAGGGCCGCTTGTCGACAACGACGCACTGTATGATATTTTGGTGCAAGGGAAGATCGCAGGAGCAGCGCTAGATGTGTTTGATATGGAGCCTCTACCTCTAGATAGTAGGTGGAGGACCACGCGATGGGGAGAGGATGGACGAGCCGAGCTGCTGCTGACGCCTCACATGGGGTACGGAGAGACTGAGACTATTAAAGGCTTCTATAAAGAAAGTGCCGAGAATCTTGCTCGATGGTTGAGAGGCGAAAAGCCGACTATCCAGCTCAACTGAATCAAAATTAATCGTTGTGCTTTCTGTTTCTTGGTATTAATACGACTTGCCAATGCTACCTTATTCCTCTCTGTATAGAAGACGCAGTGGCCTCAAAATAGTATCAGGATAGTAAGGCACCACCGCGTCAATTTCTGCCTCCCAGATATCGCCAAACTGAAGCAGATTTCCGTCAGCGTCCTGTGGTCTGATCTTCATGTTCACACCCGTTTCAATCCAAGCCGCTAAATTGTTGGCCTGCTTCGTTGTAGTGAGAGATTGTGCCTGTCGTAATACCACAACCTGGATCGTCTTAGGCAAAGGGTACTCGTTGAAGTAGTGGGCACGGAAGAACCAGTGCGAAATCCAGTGGCGAACGGAGCGTTGCTTCGAGGTGGCGATGAGACGCTCGCGAGGATGGAGACGCTCGATGATTTTTTCTATTTGCGAACGTGAGTAGGGGAGGTAGTCCTCCCGTTTCGAATTTATGAGGCTGGAATGCCCAGAAAGAGCCTCCTCGCGGAGCGCAGCTTCGACCTGCCAATGGACAACCATGTCCCCATAACGTCGGAGGGGACTGGTAGCTTTGACGTACGCGTCCAATCCAAGGTTTGGATGTGGACTAACCGTAGTCATCATCATGCCCTTCCCAGCCTGCTGTAAGAATCGGAAACCTGCCCCGATAGTTATGTGGCCGTGCTGCTCAATTGAGGGCAAGATTGTCGCGGCATATGCTTCATGGTACGATGGACCTCCCGGTTCGCTCTGCATAGTTCTATACATGATCGGAATGCCTCGCTGCTCACACCACTTGGCAAAAGACTCGCCTGCGAGCAGCATCATCTCCGTCACGAGGATGTCGGAGCCGCAGCTCATGTCGCTGAATGGATTACGAAACTTGCGGGGATATATGGCTATAATAGGATCACCCTCTGTTCGGATACCTATAGCTCGGTGTGGGTATGTGTCTGGTAGTCCTGGCTTATTTGCGCGGGAGTGAACGGATATCGAAGGTTGACTGAACGCATAGTTGAAGCCGCCATTTTGTTGTCGAAGTGCAAAGCGCGCTTGTGCGATTTTGTAAATCAGCTTCAAATCATCTTTATGCTCGAGAGGAATTTCGGGTGCATGACGTTGACAGGAGGCTGGCAGGTCTCCGCCAATCACCAGAGGCTCCATTTCTTTCGTCTCATTGACCTCGAGATCAAGTATCGCTGGTAGTTGTTTGTAATCCAAGTGGACCACCTTGCCTAATTTTCCGTGCTCGATCTTCACATCCAAGACATTGCCATGTTCATCCACAAGAGTGCTCACCGTTAGACAAGGTCGACCCGACGTCAAGCTGAACATGTCATCTGTCAGCCATGATGGCAACAAGGGAATAGTGCGCTCTGGCGAATAAAATGTTTCGGTTAGGTGGGCAGCCATCCGAGCGAAAGTACTGTCTCTAGATATGAATGCCGTAGGGTTGGCAACATGGACATGTATCCATACTCTGGAGTCCGTACCCGTGATCCTGGAGACAGAGATCGCGTCGTCAATTTCATGAGCTCCTGCATCGTCAATGGCAAATGCGACCGTGCCATTCAGATCTTTACGGAGATCTGCGAAGCTGTCCTGCAAATCCACGTTGCTTGCCTTCATCTGGCTCAGCGTCGAAGCAAGCTGCTGAAGTGGTTTCGAGTGCTGCGAGTTTGGGAGTAAGAGGTTTACGTCGTAAAGAGTGAGATCATCATAGGGAGCGAAGACACCGATCTCGAGGAGAAATGAATATATGGCTCGTTTTCCAAGCTCCACATCATACGGGGGCTCGCTGTACATGCCAGTGCCTCGAAGAATGAGTGGTATCAGTGAATTCAAAGGCTCATCATGTTCAATGATGCATTGAACGCTAGCGTATTCTAGCACGCGAATGAGTACACGCTCGCTCTCGGTAAATTTGACTGTGGGTTTGAAACGGATAGTACCCTCTGGGGAATTGATAGGAAATCGTTCGCTAGAGGGGCCGACAGCACCATAATCGACATATTTGGCCGACCTATGCTTACGAGACTCGATGATCGCCTCTCTGGCCTTGCGAACGAAGCCTTGGACGATTCTGACGCCAATTGTGAGCTTTGCATGACCGAGTCTTGTCTTCTCAGACGTCTCATTCATAATTCTGCTGATCTCCCACTCCTGATATTCTCTAAGCCATTGCACAGCCTTGGCCACGTACTTCAGCTGCTTTTTTGATCGTATCTGAAAAACGCCCGTGGTTCTGTGGCTTCTACGATCAATGCCAAAAGCCAATCTCGCCGTAAGCAGTGCCTTTCGGACAGCATACATCGCCGGCATTCGAGGTGCGCTGGAGTCTTTGCCGATCAATCGGTCTGTGACACGGTCCAGAGTGCCGAAACGAAGATCGGTAGGATGAGCAAGCAAATCGTGCGCATTGTCCAACACAGAAGCGTGCTTCCGGTACACCTCCTCACTCTGTCTACTAAAGTCGTTCAACGCTGTGACCACAGGTGCTGTGATGGTTCTCGGCACGCTTGGATCGAGAATATGGGTTTGCCCAAGCACTTCTTCTATGACCTCGGCGTCCGGCAAGTAAGGCACGATTGGCTCAACGAGCTTCTTGTCGAGGAATCCGGGTACAGAAAATCGGATACTCGACTCTACCACAGCCAACCACTTCCCGCGCATTGTGATGAGTTGGATCTGTTGTGAAGACAGCCTGCGAACGAAAACACAAATTGTTGGTGGGGCATGGGCACGGCTTGACTCGATCTCGACCAAGTCTCCCATCTGTAAAAACATACCGCCATACTCAGATATTGCTTGATCGTATAGCGACGGTGGTAGATCTTCAGCGTCATTGTCCCTGTCTGAATCTGCCGACATCCCTTCTTTGGGTTCGCCGTATGTATCTGCGACCACGTTCCTTACGCCAAAAGCTTTGTCGAGTCCAAGCAGATCGCTCATGGGGTTCCCGTTCTCCTCTTGCCATCTTGCTAATCGTTGTCTAATCGGGAGTACGACATCGGTAGGTACGCCACTGGCTGGATTGGAATCTTTGGCTGTTTCGAGCTCCTGTCTTCTCTATGCTCTGTGTTACTACTATGATGACCAATGATACAAAGGTTCTCTTACCACTCCGCCATGATGAAATGCTCGAACATGGTTTCTATGGCTTCGCCCTGTTGACAGCCTCAGAGCATATCGAGGTAAGCGACCGTGCGATATATGGCCCGCCGCTGCTATACTCCGCACGTTTGCTATACACTCCCAGCACAACCGGGTATATATGGAAGTATGCCTCACTTGGGCAGTTTTCGAGGGCATGGCAAGATGCTTGCGATGTCAATGGCCAGTTGTGCTGGATGGGAACTTTTTCTTTTAACACGGAGGCCGAAAGGGGAAATGTCGCCGCAGAGCTTTGGCCAAGACCTGGGCTTTTCTTAACGCCGTTGAAAATTCACGCTCCATTCAATTCTTCATGGTTCCCCACTAGGTTCAGGCTTGCGAGCGTCCTTGTTGTCTGCAGCATTTCAGGTACGTCTAGAGCACTCGACGCAATCTTTAGACCATCAAAGTCTCGATGATGAACGGAAAAATTGCATGTATTATCCGAGACGTCGACTAGTCTTCGTCGCGGCGGAAAAATGTCTCATCCAGTCTGACACGATCTTGATCCTCGATCCTAAATCATACTCATGTTTTGCGAATTGTATGCTGACGATATGTAAGCAGTTTCAAAGTCTCTCAAGAAGCATGGCGACCCCAGAGGCAGACTTTAAGATTCTGTACTTCGCCGCCGCATCGTCGTTTACCAAGAAGCAAGCGGAAATGTTGCCGGCGCCCCTCCGACTCTCTGATCTATTCGCTGAACTTGACAAGAGGTATCCTGGTATCAAGGATAAGGTCCTTGATAGCTGTGCCGTAACCGTCAATCTAGAGTACGTGGACGTCGTAGAGGAGGGGTCGGTGATGATCAAGGGCGGAGACGAGGTCGGAATCATCCCCCCCGTAAGCTCCGGGTGAGGAAAAAGCACCCTCACGATCTGGCAAGTTTGTTTCGATCTCAAACGCCAACTCCGCGATCCTGGTACCTTCGAGCGTTTTCACCCTGAAGCTGCCGACTCGAATCTCACGTCCGAGGCTTGTTTGTGGCAGCGCGATGGATATCCGCAGGATATCGCACATGTCTTGACCCGCGGCGTGCCTTATAGATATTCTGCACCGTCGCCGTGTTCGGAGTCGTGCAAGGACGTGCAGCTCGCGATCCAGCAGGTTGACCGCCGGAAGCAGTGCGCTACCCTTTGTGCTGGGAATGCTTCCAAGTCTCGACAGCGTGCATGGCTTTCAGGCCAATCATATGTCTACAGAGTGTCCATTCTCTCGTTCACTTCTAACAAGGCTTACGCGGACCTTCATGTGCGTGGTGGTGCGCTCGTCGGTTCTCGCGTAGTCACCGCCTCGCATTACGGGGTGCTGGCAATCCAACTATTTAAATACGCTGTTCATGCAGAGATTGCAGACTATAACGGCAGCTCGCAGTTTAGCTTGTATCGATTCATCACAATTGCCCTGTTGCAACCGTCTGTCTCTGGAGCTAAGAGAAGGCTGTGGCCAAACAAGCTGCCACCAACTAGTGATTGTACCCTGATGTCTCCTTTTCAGAGACCAAATACTCTCCGAAGTTTGCCGATGCATCAGAATCCCGGCATAGGGTTATGTCCAAATTCTGGACTGCGTAAGGGCACAGAACTCGATGGTTCCCATGTAAATGGTCCTACAATGTCTCTTTTATCTTACTCTCGGAAGAATCAGGTCGCGAGATTTGAAAGAATGGATTTGTAGATTACTACTATTTCCTCATGTATAAGATCAATACATTAAATCAGACCGTATGCAATCGTCAGATATTTGTGGCGTTGGCTTAAGCCTTTGCCTGCGCAACACTTGTTGGTGGACTGGCCTGCAGCTTCTTCTTGCTCACAACTCTTAGGCCGCCGACGGCCAAGATCAAGGCTTCGAGGCCAAGGATAACGCCGAGCGTCACCATTGCTCCAATGACGCCGGCAACGGCCTTTGAAATGCCACCGCTGCTGCCACCCGTTCCAGAGGCCGTGCTCGAACTGCCGTTCACCTCAGTCGCGTAAGCCGCGCATGTTCCCGTCGTGTTCCCACAGACCTTGCACCAATCCTCCGTCGTGCCAACTGAGAACTGGCCCATCTTCTCCGCGAACGTGTTCCAGGGGATGACGAGGTCGGAGCCGCCAAACAACGGGAAGGGAGTGGGGTCCACGCTGGTTGCGCTGGTTCCGTTGTGGAAAAGGAAGCGAACGAACAGTTCGTCGGCCGAGGGCATTGTGCTGCTGGTGCCGTTGGCAAAGAGCTCGAACACCATGGTGGACGCGTAGTCGTTGACGCCGTAGAAATCCTCGCTTGCGGCAGTCAGGTTGGAAAGACCGAAGAAGGACAAGAAAGTCCCGTATGCGCCAAACTGGATACCCAGCTTCTGCTTGCCACCGCTAGTGATGGTGCCGTTCAGGTAGTCGACAATCTCGGCTGCGAGCTGCATGCCGGCGATAGCGCGAGTGTTGTCAGAGGCATTGTAAGCGAGGCCGAACTCGTGGTGATCGGCTAGCGTGCGCAGCTGGAACAGGGTGCTGTTATCAAGTAGGTTTGAAGAAGGGATGGTCTGGTTGTGGATTTCGGCCACGTTGATGTAGTCGAAGATGGTGTAGGCATTCTTGAAGTTGATATTGGCCGCCGAGAACGTGCTGTTAATGACGGGGGTAAGTCGTTTGTAGAAATCGCTGGTGCTCGAGAGCAGAGATTGGTACTGCGCAGAGAGGAAGTAGTTGTTGCTGCTCTTTACTGCGTTACCGCAGCCGGTAGCATCCTGAAGCCAGCCGTTGTCCTCACTGCCGCTTCCTGAGCTGGCCAGATTGATTGGGATGATCTGGTAGCCACCCATGGGGGCATCTATGGTGGTGCCGTTCCTCAAAGTCTGGTTTGTCTCATACGGCGGATACAAGCCCTGCAAGAAACCATTCGCAGACGACTGGAGAACGTTGTCCTGCGGGGCAGAAACAGCGATCTGGGAGAGTTTGACGATATCGGTGTTGATGCCAGCGATTTTCAAGCTCGCCTCGGACGCGATGTACCTAGAACGATAGTACTGGCCACGCTGGTAGACTTCCTGGTAGCCGAGCTGGGTGAGATTGGCGGGAGGAAGAATCTTCGGAGTGCGGTCGCCATGGCGAGAGAAGATCTAGCTCATGAAAATCAGTTTCTCTGCTTTTTTTCTCTCATGTATTGAACAGGAAAGACAGCGTTCATACGTAAACTCCGTACACAGTCTCTTGTGCGACGGCAAGTGGGAGCGCAGACAGCGCATACAGCGTCTTGGAGAGCATTGCTTCCTACCGAGATCAACGCGACACTGGCCGACCTCTTTTCAGTGTGTGAAGTACGCAGCAGAGCTCAACGGCGCAACAGGGCGGAATCAAGTTCGGCCGGACGACAGAGGCGTTATAAGAAACCTAGCTCTTTGGAAAATAAGATCTTATCTGAGTGGGTCTAAAGCGGAAAGCAAAACCACGTCCGAGAATTGTCCAGCGTCCCAGGCCCGCGGAGAATGGCACGGAAGATATAGTAAGCCCGTAGAATGATGCCAGATGCAGCAGTATCTTTTCTGCCCAATGCACCTCTGCCCAGAGCGGGGAGGGGTGGCTCGGAAAGCTCTGACTGATTTTGATCAGATCAGACCGTCGACCGGTCCCCACCACCGGGGCCATTCGACGGTGCCATGGCGCTTCCGTTATCGCAAAGCTGGTCGCCTTTGTCCTCGAAGGTTTGCTTGCATGGAGTTAGAGGCCATTGGCCAATCGCACTGCGCCGACGGGGGGTTGAAGTGCAGTTGTATCGGCAGGTCTAGCTCGTAGATCCTGGCCCGCACCGCGTTGATCCCGCGAGGGGTGAATTGCCTTACGTTTTTTAATTCGCACTAAAGGTCCTCTCGTGCTTGACGTAGAGATGAGGTCCAGAAGAGGTTCGGATCGGAGCGAGATTGACGTCGGTGCTCGCCGTGCGAGGAGCATTGTTGGATCCAAAAGTTGGCCCAAGCTTCCTTCGAGCCACTTGGGTCAACTTCAGTTCCGAAGTCGCGTATGAGGGGCAAAGCGGCGTGGGCACGTGACTTTCATTCTCTTACGCGTCGCTACCTCGTCGGCTGTCGCGGGTTGGTGATCAAGAGGATAAACTTCGGCAATTGAGAATGGTTTTTTTGGGAAAAAAAAGAATGGAATAGTGAGGAGTGATAGACACGAGGGTTTGCATGAGCCGCATTTTCACGACTCGTGAGCACAGAATCAAAGATGACATTCGCGGTTTTTTCACAAATGTACTGCTATTTGGCACCAAATGAAATGATATGGAAGAGCCAGTTCCCCAATACAGGGTATCTACATGTGAAACTCCAAATCCCTGGCTTGTGTCCGTTGAACCAAAATGCCAATCCAAACCCATAAGATCCTGGATCTCCAAACCGAGTACATTCATGTACCACGGCAAAACCCATTAACACGCCCACAGGAGAAATTTGGAACCCTGGAAGCCTCATCAAACAATTCGAAACAAGTATGCCCTCGTTCAAGACGACGCTACCGCCGTCAGAAGTCTACATCATTACGCACTTCTCGTCTCTGGACGATGGCCCGCCAACAGGGCTCGCCGGTCCTCCAAGCCTGCCTGATCCTCTTAACTGCGCGTGCTGCTGCCACCGCTGCTGCAGATGATCTGGGATTCTATCGATCAAAGTCGTTCTGCCTCCCCCGCTAGGCACTTGGCCGCTCGATCTGCGCTGACCCGACCCCGGCAGATTGCTCGTGCTAAACGACCCGCTGTGCTGCCTGGCATTTTCCGTATACGCGCTGCTGGAACCTGTCGCGGCCGTGATGGGCGCGTGAGGCGAGGCAGGATGATCGTGCGGCGGGTTAAAGCGCCGATCCTTAGAGGCGTCTTCATATGAGGGTGGCGGTGCCTCATCAGAGTCCGAAACTGGCCTGTTGGTGGTGAAGTTGCGGCGGCCTTGGACGAGCGGTCGAATAGGAGTGGGTGGCGCGCTTTGGTCAAGCACTTGGGAGGAGAGCTGTCGGGTACGTCGGTCGCTCTGTTCGAGACGCTGGCGCTCTTCCTCTTCCTCTTGCAATTGAAGAGCGAGCGCTAGGTCTGCATCTTCTTGCTCGACGCGTGTCCTTTCTAGATCGGATCTTGCTTCTTCTTGTTGACCTAGTCTCGACGATGACGACGAAGCTCCAATGGTTCCCGTCTGCTGACCACCCGCAGAATTCCCCACACCTTTTCCGCGCTTCCCTTTCTTCCCGGACACTTGAGTCCAGCCTTGGTCAACGTCGAGCATGCTTTGCACATTCTGAGAGCCGAGGGAGCTGTTCCTCGCACCGACAGACGGCCCAGACGAGCTGCTTTCTGGTGGAATGTTGTGACTGACGGGCCTGAAATCTCCCGAGAACAGCTCTGTACGCATTCCGTTTATGTCGACCAAACTTTCCCAAACAATCTCGTCGTGCGATGCGTACCCGGCGTCCGTGACAAGTGTCAGCAGGGTATTCGATCTTGGTTGTTTGTACACTGTGGAGAAGTGATCATTCCTGAACAATATCGCAAATTGACCGGGCTTGAGCTGCTCTTGTATGATGCTCAGACCGTAGTCCGTCAGCTGTGTAGGCCATGTTGTGAGGAATTGCTTGATCGAGACTAGATCTTCGAACATGTGCTGTTCCTCAGTATTCAGCCCACTCGAGCTCAACTTTGCCTCCAGTTCCTCTTCGTAAAATTGAATATTCTGCGCGTCCTCATATGTCTTCGCCGACCGCTCGAAGGCGGCGTATGCCTCCGAATCGGCCTCCGGGATCCACCCATGCAGGAGAGGTATATTGAATGTGCCATACAATCTCATCTCCTTCGTCTGCTCAAACACGCCAACTTGTCGTTGTGCTAAGGACCCTTCTGGAAGCGTGAATTGCGGGTTGACATTCATGCCTGTGTGCAGTGCGATCAAGAACGAATACAACTCTCCCACGTCAGGAAGTTCTTGTGCACTGTCTCCTCTCCGACCAGACATAAGCTCCTCAAACACAGCGTCCAGCAACAGCCCCAGGCTGACCTGTTCCCGTGACCTCAGCGTCTCCACAAGTCCCGTATCGAGATCCCTTGGTGTCGATAGCGTGAGCGCATTCACCAGCGCAAGCAGCGGACATGGTCCGTTAGCGTTCTGAACCAATATCGGCGAAACCCTCACATCTCGTACTCTGTCATCAAACCACCGCACCTTTTTTATTTGATACGTCTGGTTTCTTTGCTTCTTCATGGCTGCTGTAGGGGAGTCGGAACGCTGCCTCGACGTAGCCTCGGCTGTACCGACCGCATCGGCCTCAGAACGTCGGGGTGGCATGGGTGGTGGCTGCTCCGCTGTACCAGACCGCATTGGCAGCGGAGGAGCTGAGTCTTCAAAGTCGGCCAACAGATCAGCAGTAACTGACTGACTCTGCGACTGGTCAGCCACATTTTCCCTCTGATTGTCTCCCTGATTCATCGCCTGGCCCTGCCACGCGTTCGGCATTCCCGTCAGTCCCTCCTCAGGGATTGGCCCGAACGGATCTGACGTCGACACGGGCCTTTGGCGAGTCGTATCCTCAGCGTTGTGCTGCGCATCTGGCACGCCGGGCATCAACATTTGATGATGTTGCTTCGAGCTATCCACGGGCGACGAGACGGCAGGCAACTCGCTGATCTCCACATTCTGCCTTTTCTCCTCTGTGGGACTCATCACTGCAGGCAACTCTGCAACAATGCCGCCTGCATGCAAGGACGAAGCTCCGCTCCACGCTGCGCTCGAGTTCTGATTCCCAAACAGCGCTTCCCCAGTGTTCTGCGGTCTTAGGAATGGTTTGCTGGCATCTGACCGCGGCGGCGATTGGCTGACGGATCTCCAAGGATTGTTACTGCCAACACTATTGCCGGCCTCACCGTTGCGAGAAGCAGTCAGGCTTTCCTGTGACACATTCGCGGCTGCCAGCGGAGGAGGAGGTGCTCCTCCGGGGGGGCCGGCTCTCAGGGCATCGGGGATCTGCTTGGCTTTGCCTTTGTCGAGTTCTTGTGAGGGCGGTCTGCTTATTCGTAGCGGTGCCGGAACCTCCGCTTCCGGAGTGAGCTTGCGCTCGTCGTCGTCGGTCATCTCCCGTTCTTCCTCCTCTGAGTCGGACTTATCCCATTCGTCCTCGTCCTCATCCTCACCGGAGGAGTCCTCTGGCGTGGCCTGTTTTGTTGCAGGAGATGGCGTCTTGTCGTCGCCGTGAGGAGGGGGAGGGGGCGGTGGCGGAGGATGCAGCGGAGTAGCAATTGGCGCTGCATGCGAAAGCGTGGGCGAGGCAAGCGGTGTAGGCGCAATCACAGTAGGCGTTGGTGGAATGGGCGAAGGCACGGTGGGTCCGGGTGAAGTCGCCACCGTTGCAGCAGCCTTATAGCTGCCAGGTACGGGTTTTCTCGTCACCATGGCCAGATGCGAGAGAGTGGACGCCTTGTGAGAGGACAGGAGAAACAAAGGTCATCGAGCGGTGATCCTTTTTTGCTGAGTTTGAGAGACAAGGCAAGTGATGCCGCGTAATCGCTCGCGTGCTGAGAAGGGCGGAGACGTAACGACGTGGGTAGTGGTGGACGGGAAGCGGAGTTCAAGGCAGCATGATTTCGCGCAGTGTCTAATGCCGTCACTTGCAGAGCACAAACCCTGCCAGTTTCATGTGCGCTCGGGAGAAGGGGGACGCCGTCGATGGCGCCGAAGGCAGTGGAAGATGCGACGGGCGGCTGCTTGGGCGTGATCAAATGAAGAGCGAAGACATGGAGAGGTGAAGAGAGGTGGTTTTGTTGGCGCGGTCGGCATCAGGGCAAAGGTTCAAGTCGAAAGCGGACGCTGGAGGGAAGCGTCAGAAGGCTTGCGTACGATGACGGGGCGGGCAGACCGGGGAAGGGGGGGGGGCCGGGCTGCTGAGGGCCGGTGGTGGCAAGTAGTGGGTACCTGTCGCCGGAGCGCCTGGAGATGGGGGGGCGACCCGCCGGAGCTTAGTGGGTGCAGCGCCGGAGCCTGGGGGGCACAGCAGTGGGCTGCCCCGCCACCAGTGGTGCAGTCGCTGACGCACGCGGCTCTCTGCTCAGCGCCACACCGAGGCTGAACGGTGACCAAAGTTGGGCACGGACGCCTTGGCCTTCTCGTCGGATGCATGCGGGAGGAAAAACGTCGCGCGAGCATCGACAAGCCCGTGCTTCGTACTCTGTTCTACAAGCACGTCTTCGATCGATGCGCTCGACAAGGCTGCAGCGTGTGCAGTAAGGCGGTCGTGTCCAGACATGAGCCTCTGTGATGATGGCGTGCGCGTGGGCTGCGGCAAGGGCTGACTGGTCCGCCTCCCAGCCTGCTTGCGACTTGCCGCCATGCAGCCAACGTTTGCTGATCCCAGGCTACCTTTCCTACGGCCAGGCTGTTCCCCCGAGCTTGACCACTTGGTCAGAGAAATCTGATCCCAAGGCTGCAGCCGCTGAAGCAGGTTCGCCTGCCCGTTCAATGTCCCGTCCAGATCGTCGCTCACGCCACTCTATCCTGTAAAAGTGCATCCTCCCCAGCTGACAAAAGGATTGCTGCAAGGCTGATCATGATCATGACTAAGTGGCCATGACCTCTTTCGACGGAAGTGTTGGACAGAGCCATTGCCATCGCCCGCATGGCTCAACGCAATCGACGCTGAAAGACTTGCCTCGGCGCAAAAGCACAGCGTGTGCCTGAAAAAGTTCGATTTGTTAAGAACGGCTAGACTATCTCCCCGCCACTCAACATCCCCTATAGCGTCCCATCTTTAATCTATCACTGAACACGAACCAAGCACAAGATGACTGAAGCAATAGCCCTGCGTAACTGCGCCTTCGCTCTCTCATATAATCATTCCTTTGCTAACGGTCGCGCCGTCCGCAAGCTCAAGTGCCCCTGAAGAGAAACTGCAGGTCCTCAGGCGACAGTTTGTCCATGGCGACTTTGTCGTTGTTGATTGTGCCGCTGATCATGGACGCCTTTTTCTCTTGCAGCATGACCATGCGCGACTCGACCGAGTCTTCGATGACGAGCCGTGTGATGACACAAGGCCTGGTCTGGCCGATGCGATGGCATCGATCGGCGGATTGCCATTCCGCTGCGGGATTCCACCATCTGTAGCGTCATAAGTAAACATACGTGGGCATACTGACGGTGAGTAGAGGATGACTGCGACTTACGGATCAACAATGAAGACTCGAGACGCCTCGGTAAGATTGAGTGCAACACCACCAGCCTTTAGGCTCACGAGAAAGACCTCCACGTCTGGATTGTTCATAAAATAATCGATGCTGCGCTGCCGTTGAACCGGCGTCATGCTACCGTCTAGCATGACGGTGTTGAAGCCTGCGCGTCTTAGTCTCCAGTCGATGAGCTGCAGCATCGACGTGAACTGAGAGAACACAATCGACTTCAGCGTTCGCTTTCTGCTGCGCAGTTTGTACAGATCGTACACGAGCATCTCGATCTTGGTCGACGACGTCCAGTTTTCCATGTTGATGCGGTTGATGATGGACGACTTCTTAACCTCGTCCTCGTCCTGGATGATCTCCGGCTGCTCCCAGTCCACCGATAGTGGGACATGGCAGCGAGGACAGTCAGCCTCACTCCCGGAAGCTTCGCATGTCTGGATATAGCTTTTCACGCAGGCACGGCAGAAATGACATTTATTGCCCTGGCAGCGCGATTTGATTGCCTCTTCGGCCGGCTCATCGCAGATGGAACAGACGAGGACGTTTTGGCCACCTTCAGCTGACTTACGGGTGATGAGATCGGGGTGGTTGGCGACTTGACGCATTTGCATGATCAGTCCAAAGATATTGGCGTAGTTGTTAAGCATAACACCTTGAGCAACATACGTATCGAACTTGCGAGTGCTGTTCGTCATGATGCTGGACGAGAAATCGCGCTCTATTTCGCTGAAGAACTCGTTGTGAATTACAATTTCCTTTGGCGGTAGTTCCATGGACGAAGTGTGGTCTCTCTTCATGCGTCGAAGCATGACACGAGCAGTAATCATGTGCAACTTGTCGAGAGCTTCTGAACGCATGCTCATCGAGTCTCCCGTGATTGGGTTCAGGAGCTCCTCATTGAAGACGGATCGATGCTCGGCAGCAGAATGCTTGCAATGAGTGCACATGTAGTCGTCGCCAACGGACCAGTGTAGCTGGGCACACGGACATTTTTCGCAAAAGTAGTCCGCAAAGGGGCGCACTTCAAGAAATCGGAGCAGGGAGAAGAACTCGCCAATCCGGTTCTGGACTGGAGTGCCTGATAAGCACCATTTGTACCGGCTTTTCAGCGCGAAGCAAGCCCTTGCTACGCCTGTTGTACGTTGTTTGATGCTGTGGGCCTCGTCTAAGATGACACGGTGGAACGTGATCGCATGAATGGGAGAGTCTTCTTTGATGATATTATCGCCACGAGACCACCCTTTCTCCTGCTTGCGGAACATGGATTCCAGGGAGTTATAAGACATGATGACCACATTATGAGCGCGGATAACTTTCGTCGTCAAGTTCTTAGATTTGGAATTCGTATTGTGCACGATCAAAACCTTCAGCTTGCCGTCTGTGTAGTCGTTGATCTCATTCTGCCATTGCATAAGGGCCACTGGGGGAACAAGAACAAGGGTAGGATCCTTGGCCGGGAAATCGGACATTATGAGCGATACGGACTGAATAGTTTTGCCCATGCCCATCTCATCACCAAGGAGCCCACCTTTATATCGTGACTTCTCTTGCTTGATCATCCAGTCAAGGCCTTCGAGCTGGAATGGCTTAAGACGACGTGTTATGGCCTCGGGCTGCGCAGCTTCGACGGGCTTGATGATCGGAACTTGCTCGAGATCCGTCCACATAGTCTTTATCTCGGGATGTGCTTTCTCAAGCTTTGCACGGCGTGCTTCCTTGCGGTCATATCCACTTTGAAATCGGCGGGCTCGCATTCTGGCCATGCGGGCTCTACGTCGTGCTGCCACTTGTGCCCGGCGGCTCGTGTACGTTTCTGCAAGCTGGTCCATCGTATCCTCAATCTCTTCGTCACCTGATGCAGTAGATCCACGACGATTCGTAGGCTGATCGTCATCATTATTGTCAGGATCAAACTCAGACTCTTCTTCGTCTTCCTCATCATTGCCATACGTCGTCGTAGGTGTAGAGCTAGCAATCCTGGTCCGAGCGAGATGACTTGCAACACGCCTCGCTTGGTTATTCCTGGTCTTGTTCGTCCGCAGCCGTTTAGATAGTGGCTCGTCGAAGCCCTCTTCTGGCTCAGAGGTTTCGTCATCTTCGACTTCGTCTGCTTCAGTGTCGTCGATCACAGGTCGTCGGCTTCGCGACTTCCGATCAGAACCTATCGGCAAAGCCCCGTATTCTTCCTCTTGAAGCCTTAAAGCTAATTCCTCGTCATCAGCGATGTTGTAAGTTCCAGATCTCGATGGGCGACCTCGCTTTCGCTTTGAACTCTCCATGATCGAGGCCCCGCCAAGGCTGAACTTCGGTCCCCTTAGAGACAACGAGCCAAGTTCACCTCCTGGTGTATTCATCGCAGTCGTGTTCGGAGTTTCATAAGCGGTGGAGCCATCTCTTGTGGAGACAGTCGAGGCTGCCGAGGATTCGCTGGTAGCAGTGAGGTGGCGTCTGCTAGCTCGTGAGGGCATCTGTGAAACAACAACGCCTTCCATAACACGACGTCGAGAGGAAGATTTGGTAGATACTGCAGAGTTCGGGGCGGGATCTGACAAGGGATCTTCAGACAGGTTGTCGTCGTCACCGTCGTGATCCGAGGAGTTGGCGATGAATCGTCGCGCGGCTGAGGCTCTAGACGTTCTTGAAACAATGCGATCGCTCCCAGATTGCCCTGGAGCTTCGAGTAAATGTTAGCTATTTTAGCTCAGTGAAGAAATGGAGCTGTCGAAGATTCGAACAAGGCTCATGGCGATTGAGAAGATGAGTTGGCTTACAGGGCGCAACACGGCTAGCCTTGGCAAGCCTTGCTGATCGCGGCATTATGCACTACAACTGCAAACGAGCAGGAAAATGGACCGAAAGTAGTATCGAAGATAATTGAGATAGTAGAGTGCTCAGGAGGGGTCAAAAGTCCGGTTCTCACGGCAATTCGAAGTTGGACGCGACGGTGGCCCCCCCTACCGCAGTCTTCAGGCTAGTGGCAAAGATTCGTGTGACCGAGAGTAATCGATAGCGACCGAGGATCAACAGTTCATGTGCATCAAGTGAGAGTAGGCAGCGCGCAAGCGGTGTCTTCTGGGACTTGTTTTGATAGCAAAAAGAAGACTGGCAAGTCTCGAAATTGACGAAGTATCATCGCGGCCCTTGTCCAGTCTCTTCACGCGTGTTGAACGGGCGGTCAGGTGATTCTCACGCTAGGCCAAATGTGTCGTTAATTAGTATGGATGCCTAAAATGTCTTTTCCGAGTCCCCCATGCAGTTCAGCTAACTTACTGGAGAGGTAGAACTCGTCTCTCAACGAGAATATTAGACTGATGCGGTTTCAGCTGGCTTAACCAAGGCAATCTTTAAGAGTTCTACAATTGCTATTCTCAACATTCAATATATGATACACTGCACGAATCTCAGAGGGGACGAGCTATCTCTTATTGAGAGAATTTGCCATGAAACGGCACTCCGAGGGCCGTCAACAGCAGTCGAGCTTCCTTGTCCACCTTTGCGCTCGTTTGAACTGTGATATGCAAACCAGGAATCATCTTCTCAGGGTACCTACAATTATCATTAGCACAATTCTTCTCTCGTTCCGAAGCTCGAGCGTGGAACATACGCATCGTAATTCGTCTCAATTTCTGGGAACAGGGCAACAGCCTCCGGGTCAAACCCAAAGCTCACATTTCCCGTCTGATCGCCACTGCTCCAGCTGATGCCCTTGTAATCCTTCACCTTTGGCATAACGAGCTCCACGACCTTTGCCAGGAAATGATACATGTCTTCTCCTTTCAACTCGACCGTACAACTCGTGAATTTACCCTTTTTGAGACCCCATTGCACAACAGAATGCCTGGCTTTGTGTGTGACGGCACGCTGATTCGTGATAGACTGCAGCACCATTCCTGCGACGTGGAGATATGCGCTGTCCTCGTTGGCATTGGGAACGAATGAGTGAACGACAACTTTTTCAATGCATGGTATGTTCCGGAATGTTATGCGCCTGTGTACGGGACGCAGCGGGTGACCACCCTTGGGTCCACGAAGAGGTCTGCCGGAGAAATAAGGGGAATCGCCTTCCCACGTCCGTAGGCGCTGTCCGATGGGGGGCTCTTGCACACCAGGTGGCAGGTGCTGGTAGGCGGCAGTCATGATGTCTTGCGCGATAGTGCTTTCATACGTTTGTTGCATGCGTGGTAGAGTGAAAGGCCCGGGTATGAATTCGCGCGACGCTGGATCGGATGGTGGAAGTGGTTGATGGGGATGCAATGGGCCACGGTAGTATCGCGGTGATCGAAACTTATATCTGCCAAAACGCTTAGTATGCACTCACTAGTGGTTATCCAGGACCACTAATGACACTGACCTACTAGAAGGCAATGGCTTCTCTCTCTCCTTGCTTTGCTTCACGGGATCATAGCTTTTGATGACTTCTTCGCCGGGTGCGGCGCCCCCGAAGGATGTCTGCTCAAGGTCTTCGTCAGTCGACTCCACCGCAGCTGCAGTCGCCTGCCATCGCCGTGGTTCAAAATGTCGCGTGCTCCTGCACTGGTAACATTGTTTCCACGAACCACGAAGACCTGCAGTTCTTCGCAGGCTGGGCGTCGCCATTGGATGTGCTTGGGTATGGTCAACAGCTGTTTGACCAAAAAGCTAAAGAGTTGGTGAAAGAGGACCGCGCACGGCCACTTCCCAATGAGGCAACCTCCGCACTTATTAGGAGCTTCTTCGATGAATAAACGGAAAGCAAAAGCCAAAAATAACGCAGACGATCGAAGACTTGATCAGTGCTATTCTTGCGTGTATTGCTCATTTGATTCTCAAGGGTATCGTGTCTATCGTAAAACAGAACATATGTACAAGGCTACCTCTTGAATCCTTTTGCCCAAACCGTTTCATGCACCTCGAACGTGATACGCATCTGCTTTTCACATCTTACTCTAGCGAGAGACGTACGGCATATCCCTTGAATGACCTGAAGTCAAAGCCACACTACATCACAAGGCATTCTCTGTCAGGTACTTTCTTGTTCTGCTCGTTTCGCTCCCCTCCCTCCAACATTCGACCCAGACTGCTGCTCCTCTTGCCCTTCTTTTGCTTGAGCGACTTGCTCCGTCTTGGACCATCGGCTTTAGTGACGTCCTTGTCTTTGTGTTTCTCTGTATTAGAGCCAAAATTAAAAGTGTTCGCCCCATGCTCGTCCTTCAACCCAATCTGTTCAGCAAGCTTGTCCTTGCTCACCGCCGCACGGAGCTTGCTCAAGTTCATGGCAAGTCTGTTATCGCCGCTCTGGCTGGGTGGACGGCTCCGCGGCTTCATCCACGATTTGACCATACTATTTCGCCTCGAGCTACCCCCTCCGCTGATCCAGCTCGTGCGACTGTCGTCCGGGGTGGCCGGCACTGAAGACCCTCCCATCTGCCCTACATCGTTTTCACTGCTCGCGAAGTTTATGCTGCTCCTTCTTGTGCCCTGGAAACTGGATCTCCCACGTGGAATGTCCAAGCTCTGCTTTGAATTGCTCAGCGACTGTTTGGAGGGGCGAGGACCAATGGATGGGACTGCGAGACTACTAAGATCGATACTCTTCGGCCTGGTGTCATCGGACTGCTTACTATCGATTAATCCAGTCACAGGTTCGGCTGTCTGATTATGAGCTCCAGGATCCGACGCAACTGCGTTCAATTCCGTAATATTTTCGGAAGAAACTGTGGCCGTAGCCGGTGTGGTAGTATCTATGTTGGCGGACGAGACTAGGGTGTCCTGAGAAGGAACGCTCGACACAGCTGTTGTAGTGACGAAAGACTCGTTCACGAGCTCGCTCCTTGTTGCTACTCTGCTGATATCCCCACTGCTCTTGTCCGTCGTGACAGCCTCGTCATATGTTGGCGGCAAATCTGTTTCGTTGCTATCGTCATCGATCGATCGCACCTGGTAGAATAAGAGATAAGGGCATTCATCCTTGAGCGCCTTTTGGATATCTACGCTTGCTATACGCTGTTGGGCGAGGTCATCGAAACGTAGCCATTGCGTAGCTTGACCATTGTGATCCTCTCTAGCTCGCACAAGAGCAATGTAGTGGCCAGCATCGAGGGACTTCCCACGGTGACAGATGACTGCAAGCAATGAAAGCTTAAAGTTCGTAAAGTTTGGCTCGAACCCTTCGTCGCCGTGTCCACAGTCGTCTGAAATGAAATGAGGCACAGCGATATCAAGCGGGATATCAATGTAGGTGTCAAGCCGGGAGCCAACACCTGCGTTTGTCATGGAATATCTTTTGAGACAGATGCCAAGCACTGGTCTTTTTTTTTGTAAGTGAACGACGACTTGCTCGTCCGTTTTTGGCTCGCTGTGGTCATGGGTATACCAAGCTTGTTCATATCAGTCGCTGATCATAGGAAGATAGCTAGAAACCTACGAATCAAACTGAAAAACTGCCAAGCGGGCATCAGCACTTCTCGTCGTATCGTGCTGGCTCGCGAGCGTTTGCCTCGTATGTCGATGTCATCGTGAGCGCGTTTCTCTCCACCAGAGTGATCATTCGCCAACGACCTTTGACCAAAGATGCTCTGGCCTCGCCTGCGCAGCTCCGCTGGTCGAGATGGGCCTGCCAGGCTTGGCTCGTCTATGGGCGACTCGACAAGCTCTACCGTCTCAACATCCATACCCTTCTCCGGTCGAACAGATTGCAGAGTGTTCCTGCGCTGGAGATGCCGTTTTACCTCAATTTTATTGTTGAAGTATGACTCGAGACAATCTTCGAGCTTGATTGCAGTCCCGTCTGCGGAAGGTGGAGGAATGGCAACATCTAGAAGCCGTTCTCGTACAATTCTATGGTCATCCCTGTCATCTTTTCCGGTATGGTAGACATCCATCTTTAAGGTTAGCAATGGCAGATCGAGTTTCCCAGTAATGAACCCAAAAGCCTCAGAGACATCTTGCTGTCGCAGCAGTGCAGCCTCGGGCCATCCACAGTCTCTCAGTGCCTCTTGGAGCTTTTGAGTGATATCTGTTGTAATGAGTTTGCCTGTACGTAGCATGTTGACCCATAAGCGAAGTAATGTAACCAAACGTTTCCGTGGTTCGTCTGCGAATTGGACTGACAATATGCCTTCAAAGCTGTCTGTTCTTGCGAACATGGAAAAGAGTAACGAGTCTAGGTAGCATGTAACGTTTTCGCGGTTGACAGCTCCAACCATGTTCAGCTGAGGATTTGCCTCATATATCCTACCCTGCGAAGCATCTTCGTACAGCTTGAGCAGAGTGATGGCGTTTTCAACGTTGCCATTAATGGACGGCAAACGAAGCACATCTTCGACTTGACCTTCACGTACACCTATGCCCTCCGCTTGCAATCTTTGGATGATCTCTTTGACCTTTTTTTCCTCGTCTTTGTCGCTCTTGCGCTTTTCGTCGCTCGGCGTGTGTAGTAAGCGGCTCGCATCTTTGCTGGGCACCTAGGCTCGTCAACAACAGCCCGAGGCATGAAAGCGAATGACCGAATCCAAATATTGCTACTTAATACATGCTGGAAACAGGTTTTGTTGGCGCTCTGCGCAATACACGGTAATGTGCAACGCACGGCATATCGCAGCAAACAACGTGGGGAGAGCTTACCGCCTCGACAGTCGACTTCGGCCTCTTCTCGCGGCGGCTAAGAAATCGCTGTACTCCGTTCATGTTCATGGCGGCAGGGCTCGCTCATGACTCGGGATTCTTTGACATCTGCGATGAACGGGTGAAAGGAGCAACTTGGAAAGGTCAAGACGAAGCAGCCTGGGGCCACTGGACAGAACTTGAAGATAGTTGCGACGACAACAGGCTGCAGATTCCCGCTCGGTGGTCAAAGGTGGCAGCGCAGGGTGCGAGAGGCTAGGCGAGGGGGTGGGGGACGGATCAAACGCTGGGCAAAATACCACACTACAAGGCTGTTTTGACGCGTGGATTCGGCGGGCGCTGCAACTGTCGGTTTGGAAAAGATGTAACGGATCCGTCGTCGCTGCCGGAGCGTGGCACTGTTTTGGCTTTCTCGTGCGTCGTCTCTATTCGTGGTAATTTTGGAACGGCCCCGATCACCCCCCTCCTGCGCACCGGAGACGAAGATCCCCAAGGCGTGCTAGGGTTTGCCTTCCCACAGATCGGGCCCCTAACAACGAAAGCGACGGATGGCTTGCCGGCTGTCAGGTTCTGCAAGATAATGTTCGCCCCACGAGGATGTGCGGTGGGGCAGAGATTCGGTTAAGGGAAGTTAGGCCACGTTAGGCGGCAGCAGGCGGTTTGTGAGTTTAGCCCTAACAGGTTTGGCGTGCCGGCCGACGGCAGCATGGTATCATGTCTACGGCGGCGATGGTGTCAGCACCCAGCACTGCCACACGACCTTCGCCGGTCCGACAATCCACGTACGCTGGCTGTTCGCCGCGATCGAACGGCACCGGAACTACAGGTGCGCCAGCAACACGATAATCCCACTGGCTTGCCCAGCTCAATGTGCCGTCATGGAGCCCACCGCCATGCTTGGTGCGAGTAGCGACGACGAGGACTGGGACGACTGCGACAGGCCAATCCCGAGAACAAAAGCGCGTAGGGGCCCAAGCAGGCGGCAGATTCATCAATTTACGAATGTGGATGGCATAAAGTCGGGCCTGGTCAAGGCCCTCGGAAATGAGAACAATGTTCAGCGGAGCAAGGATGCTTTGAATCTCGACACTATCATACAGCTGCCTCCTCCAACCATCACGCCGTTCGAACCGGGCGAAGAAAAGGTTCTTCCGCCGTCCTTGCTTCTAGCCTCCCGGAACAAAATACCGTACGAGCAGCTGTTATCTACACAGAAATCTGTCAACTTCAATCTACCGTACTTCTTCTACGGCGCCCAGGTGTACCCGGCTGTCCTGCGCGGTACAACGAACACGAGGAAATCTCTCGAAGACATTATTCAGACCATGACACCTGCGTTGGTGTACGGTATCAAGCGCCATGCGTTACGTGGTCATACCTGGCCCGGAGTAGTGTGCACGGGAAACCAAGCCGATTTGCTCAGCGGCATGCTGGCCTTCGGGATCTCAGACGCAGCGCGAAAGTGGTTGGACGACTTCCAGGGCGGAAGCAGCGAGCTCCGTACGATGAGAGCAGACTTCGTTTTAAAGGATGGAAGAACGTGTTCTATCGATTGCGGCGTATATGTCACAAAGGAACTACCGTCATTGACTCTGCTACCCCACAGTGAGAAGATTTGGCGCGTGAGCGATCTTATGCGAGACCCATGGCACTTGCGTAATTTATCAACGTCCATGGCAGAAGAAGAATACTTGAATAGCAAGTTGCAGAGAAATTAGTGAGTGACGAACATATAAACCTCGCGAATGGTTGAAAGACGGAACTCTCCATTATCATCTTTCTTCATTTTGCTTGCTCGAAATAGTCGCCGGACCGGAAAGGTAGGGACGTTGAAGTCACCGGTGGCGATACAGAAGAGCTGTATTCTAAGTAAGGCGCCGGAGTTCCAGCGTTCGAATGGGCCACAAAATAACTGCTTCCCGCGTCACTTAGGCGATCTGGAGTTCCTATGCCTTGCTGCGACGAAAGCAGGACTGCACGAGTGTGCAACTCAGCCTCGAGGCTATCCTGTGCTCTCCAGGCTCCCACGCTCCAAATCGCGTCGGAACCGTTAACAGGCATGCCCGTGAAATGATAGGCCGTGGAAGAGCCAGCTGATAATTCACCCATTGAATTTCCATGGTCCGGATTCATTTCTGGAATTGGAGCTTGTGATGCTGAGAGCCAATTTCTCAAATCATGATCAAACTCGACGGGACCAAGCCGAATAATCTCTGTCCTAGAGTACCATGGTCCGTCGAGACCGTTTGGTTTCATAAGGAAGCTTATGGGATATCCTTCCGAGGTAGGCTCGGCCGCAGCAATATCGACCTGGTGAATGCGAGCCTCTTCTGGTGGCAGCTGATCAGGTCCTGGAATGACACCTGGAGGGAGATTTAAACCCTCCTCTTCGACCTCCATCACTCTTTGAAAGCAGAAAAAGGATCTGTGCGACTCGAACAGACATTCCCTGCGCGGAGATGTCCATAGCAACGCAAGTGCTTTCCTACGAATATACGGCCATCGACATTTCCAAGCAACAAAATGTAATGGCGGGATGATACCCATCTCAAACGAAAATCGTTTGGATAGTTCGTCAGGGAAACGCACAGAGCTCGCAACAAGAATTCCAGAAAGTCGCACAATGTCCTCAAACTCGTTCTTGAAGTCATCCCACGCCGTCTCATTCGGATTCAAGGCCGCAGAAAGCCAGATATCCATTGTTGTCGAAATTGCCTGCAGCAGGTTGCAACCAATCTTTATTTGGTCATCTTTAGTAGAAGGATCGTGCGTTTGTAAATACTCAAAATTGGTCTTCCAATCATTCATAAACGTCTGCAGCCGAATCTGCTCGGCGTACATCTCCATTGTGACACCGTTCATATATTTCGCATCGCCAACCGACTGTATGAATTTGACCGTCGCGTTTACCAGATCAAGAAGCATCGTCTTCGCTTGTTCGATGGACTTGGCAGGTTCGTGTGGAGAGAAACGGCCTGTCTTAAAAGTTGATGACGAAGCAAATGAATACAGATCTAGTGATGGTCGACCAAACAAAGATGATAGCAGATTCAGCCAGCCAAACATCGGCACAAGCTCTTCTTCGATGAAAGCCGATTCAGCGGGTAGGGAAATCATGTCTTTGAAGGCGTTTTCCCGCCAAGCCTTGAGCATTCTCACTCCTGACTCAATGTGTGTGAGGGCAGAGTCAACGTGTCCACGTAAAAACTCGAGGCAAACGAAGATGATGGCAGCCATGACAGGAATTCGAATCGACTCTGGGTTGGATTTGACGACATGTACCAGCGAATTGATGGCTTTGTTGTAGGACTCCAGAGCAAAAGCCGCATGTCCTTCCGTGCCGGCCACAGGAGAAAATCCCACCATGCCCTCGTCTTCGTACATGGCGCTGACGGCTACCATTGCGTACCGAATGGTAGGCTCGTACGCACTGATTTGGAGTACACAGCCGTTCCAAAAGGATCGGCTGAAGAAGCCAGAGAGCTGTGGAGCCGTTCGATGGAAGAAGAACTCTAGGGCACGTCGTTCTCTCGCATTTCCAAGATGAAGTTGAAGCTGCCGTTCCGGTGTTGTAGAGCGGGACAGAGTCGTATTGTCTTTGCTCGATACCCGTTTGGCCTTGGCCTTTGGGAGCTTTGGCTCTGAATAACCATCGCACTTCCGACCTGTGCTAGTGCACTTTACGCACTCTGGCTTTGTCTCATCGCACTTTACGTGGCGAATCTGTAATCACTTAGCCGCGACTTGAGAGCGAGGTTTCTTCTCTCTCCCTCACCTTGCATGTCACACAGCCGGTCTTCACCTTGGGCTTGCTTGCCCTCTTCTTCTTCTCCAAGGCACTCTCCGCTACGGTGGATTCCATGCAGTTGCGTAGGCAGCAGACATTTCATGCGAGGGGTTCAGCGACAAAATGTCGCCCACCTCCAAAAGACGTTTCGATGTCGCCAAGTGCGTGCACGTCCTATTGGGCGTCCAGACAAGCCTAGAAAGCCGCCACCATGCCACGCGTGGATCCTTGCCCAGTTGCGGAGAAGAGATACTGGACGTGACCATGCTAGATTCGGCGAGGCGTTGTCCTTTCGGGTATCAACCACGACGTTCGCACCACACCAATACGGCGGCAACGCACCGATGGCACGGAATCCCCATGTCGATCTCGGATGCCCCAATCTCGAGGGCTTCAGCGGACCGTGTCAGCATTTACGAAGGACGTTCCTCAGCTGAGGTCTACCAGCATTTCGAAATGATGACACCTTTCAGCTCCATGGGCTTCGGATTTGCCAGTGGTGGAAACCGTTCAAGCCATGTAATTTCAAGTAATTGAAGCATCAAAATGCCGCGTGTTAATGACGCTGGCACTCTTAATCAATGGTCGAAAACGGGTTTTTATTTATCATTTCGGGGCTCGGAGCTGAACCAAATAAATTACATCGTCTTTTTTTTTTCTTCTTTTCCATAGCACCTTCCAGGAAACTCCGACATGATTAGAACTACGTCCTGAATTCTTGGATTTGTTGAACCGACTCGTTAAGGCTTCTTTATTTCATCCATCTGGCCCGATGAGACTCTCAGTCAGAAGTGTCGATGAATGGTTATACATCTGTAGCGATGAAAGCCAGATTGTCCCCAACCTGTCATTAGACAAGCCGCAGTCTGATGTTCAAGGAACACGTAAATGCATGTTGGCGCTCAGGATGAATAGCGACCAGTGGTTAATATGGCCTGGCGCTTATGTTCATGACATGGCAACACGTCACTGACACAGAAACCCCATAAATCACGCCTGACGATAGGTTCGGACCGGGTCGAACGAGTTTATTCGCTCAGAGCTTGAAATGCTTTCAAGTAGATGCTATTTGGCACTCACCATACCGCTGCACAGGTTTGCGAGACACCTAGTCACCGATTTATCTCTTTCACAAAGTCGATGTTAAGGTCACAGATCTCTCTGGCCATGTCTCGGTGGATGAAAGACTCATTAAATGATTTTTCTGCAGTTGTGGGATGTAAGGGAGTATGCTCTCTGTTTTAGTCCTCCTCCCTATCCTCAAAGCTCATGCACCGAACATTTCAACCGTCAAATATTCATGTATCAACTATCAAGCCGGCATACTAACGTTCTCCTAGTCATGTGATCTACTCCTTCTAGTTCGTCATCTACATTCTGACTGCATTCGTACGTAGGCTTCAGGAAATGAAAGCTATGCACAACAAGACTCCATCCCCGTTCCTCCTGAATAATAGACTTCGCAATTCTGTAGAATTCTTGAGGTATCTGTCTACATGGAAGCAGGAAGCACAACCGAGCATTCTCTCATCAACCTCTGCCAACCATGCCATCAGATAAAGCTAGCAAGATCTTACCTCAAATATCCAAGGCTCATTCCGGGTTCCAAAGAAAGACCGATTTCACGCCGTATTGAGTGTAAGAGTTTGAATTCTGGAAAAGAGGCGGTACCTACGGGGAGAGAGCATATGCTGAAAGCATTATCAGATCTCCAGATGAAAATCATCACCTTCTACGAACTGTAACTCAACTTCAGAGCGAGACTGTATTGAGTTAGAGACAAGGCAGGATTTGTGAAATCCGAAGAGGACGTGAGCTAATCTCGTCACTCATAGAACCGTTCTCATATGAGATTAATTTAGAGTAGCTTCGGTTGAGGCTAAGCCAAGGATGTATTATCCAAAATACCAAATCTTCATATACGCAGCTTGATGTATGATTCAATGAGTGCTCGGATTTCTGAAAGAGTTTCTGAGGATACATTACCTTAATTCAGATCCCATACCAAGATTCTCTACACAGCTGAACATGTAATCCATAAATCGGAATTCCATCAGCAGAGAAGTCTTATCCAATTTCCTGATTGAAACTGATTTGACACGCAGGGGAATTGTCCCAGGCAATGCTCGAAGAAGTTTTTATACAATTGGCAAAGCTACAAAAAGGATAATTCACGAAGTCAAAGGATGGTCTGTAGTAGGTAGCTGTTTGCTATTGAAATATGAATTTAGTGCAGAGATATGGAGAAAATAGTTGTGCTCGCCATGGACCAGGATCTCAACATGAGGAGGAATAGTCAAACTAGTACTGAGGTAAAAAGAACACCAACTCTCAACTCGACTTTCTACCCTTGCTGTCGGATTTCGACCAGGACGTTCATTTCTAACTTTAAGTCCGGAGCATTTTATTTGATTGAATCATCTCCGTCACAAGAATGCTCGATTTCTTCTCAAATCTCCCAAGACAAAGGCATCGAACAAGCTCTGCCATGGAGCCGAAAGAAAAGCATGTGTGCTCCACAGGTGTAAAAACAGTCTCAGTCTAGAACGTTGATGGGACAGCCTACGCGAGATCTCATAAAATTAAACAAGGGATTTCACATCCAGCAGACGAGAAGCCTGGAGCAAAAAGCCGCCGGCTGTGGTGCAACTAACCTTTCTTGTTCCGGGTACAGAGAAACACAAATACATGTCTTCCATTGTGACAAATATGTAATGAACAACTGGGGGGAAGGTGGTATACAAGCCAAATGGGAATAAAAGAATGGTAACTGGTATTGATGTATCGAATATCGTGCGAGGAGGGCGTAACGAGTTTGGCAACGTACGGAGATCATGGGGAGGCTGATTTGCAAGTTGAAGTACTCTAATTGGAGAAAATTTCATACGATGAAGGGAATTCTCACCCACCTCGCTGGTTTTCTAGTCAAATGGCATGAAGTTTTCATGTTGTGGACCGGCAGAGTTTCGAGCCAGGATGTTATAATCTGGCGCAACCATAAGCCCTTGCACCCTTGTACGCATGACATCACACAGGTCGAAAACCAGGCTGAGGCGAACAAAGGTTTGGCTATCATTAAAAAGATGTTCCGTCGCATGGTATATCAGTGTGAGAAAGAAGCTAGACCTGAATCTCGATAGCCACATCTATATACACAGCGCGTCAATTTCGTGTTGAGAAGCAAACGAGATACTTGTCAGGATGTCCTCAGAAGACGGATACAGCCATATTGAGGTGCCAAAGCCTTACAAGGAGCAAAAGTCTCCGTACAAAGATGAGAATGCCGAAGAACCTGAGGTCAAGAAGGGTAAGTTATGCTCGTGGAATCGACTCAATCTGAATATACTGATCAAATCCTCGTTCAGGAATCCTCCACCACGCTGCTGATCCCTTGGGGCAAGGTCTGAACACCGTTCTAAAGCCCGTTGGGGCTCCGCTTGGAATAGTCACAGGCACTCTGGGTGAAGCCTTGGGGGGCGTGACAAAACCTGCCTTGGGTCCGGTTCTGGGCAGCAAAGACGAAAAGATGGAGGCACTCGGGGGGGACAACAAGGATAGCTACATCCACGGGAAGGACACTATTGGAGGACACCTGCAAACTGGAGATAACCCGCTGGGACTGAATCAGACTGGAAGTGACAAATTCAGGGACTAGGCGTGAGTTGGGGCTGTCACTTCAGGCATATATTTTGGTAGGGGCTGAATTATCCGTTACTTAAACAAAATTGTATAAATGGAATGGGTTTTGTTTTTGCCTTTGCTATGTGGCTGGGACCTTTATTTACCATATCACGAGAAGCATCACACATGTATGTCATTCTAACATGATTTTTTTTTTTAAAAAAAAAAGAAAAAAATTAGGAAGCAAGATGCGTACTGTAAGAAGATTCCAATTGCGGTAGTGAGTGGAGAAGTCGGAGATGGCCGTTGGTTGCCGTCGGACCCCGCAGGGTCTCAAGAGCTGTGGGCTGCCCAAGCTCCTAAGAGGTTGTGTGTGACAACATTTCCACCTCCAAAAAGGTCCTACTGTTCGCATCACAGATTGGTCACCATCAATGTAAAATCCTCGATGGATTCGAACGAGCGCACGCCCCTTATTGCGGTAGTGCAGGTGGCCCCGCAGCGGCCACGGCGCCGCTATCGACATTCGGGACTGCGGAGATGCTGCACTTCGATCTTAGCAGCTGTCCTTCTCATGACCGTGGTTGCCTTTCTTCTAGTTCTCTTTATAATCCCAGATTGCGACCAAAAGCACAACAAGAAGAAGCAGAATGACGTCTGCATACCGAAACACCCGCTCTATCGCGACAACAGTAAACTGCGCTTGTTTGGCGCGAAAGAGGCAGATGGGGATCTGAGCTATAAGAAGCTTTTGACTATCTTGTCCGCCACACCGCGGGAAGAAAAAGTACGGGAATGGAGCCAGTACTACACCAGTGGCCCACACCTTGCCGGCAAGAATCTGAGTATGGCTGAATGGACGAGGGATCGCTGGAAGGAGTTTGGCATCAACCAGACCGAGATTATCCCGTACAATGTGTATATCAACTATCCTCTTGGTCATCGGTTGGCGCTTCTGGAGAGGCAGAATTCCACAGAGACCGTGGACGATGCTTGGAGCGTAGCGTTCGAGGCAAGGTTGGAAGAGGATGTGCTCAAAGATGATCCAACATCAGGTCGTGACGATCGAATAATGACCTTTCACGGATACAGTGCTTCGGGAAATGTCACTGGCCAGTACGTATACGTCAACTACGGCACATATTACGACTTTGAGGATCTTATCGCTGCGAACGTGAGCTTAAAGGGCAAAATAGCCGTTGCTCGTTACGGTGGTGTTTTTAGAGGACTGAAGGTCAAGCGCGCAGAAGAGCTTGGAATGATTGGCTGCATAATCTATAGCGATCCCGGAGATGATGGTAACGTTACCAAGGACCAAGGCTACAAGGCTTATCCTGACGGGCCGGCGCGAAATCCAAGCAGTGTACAACGAGGAAGTGTTCAGGACATCTCCCAGCTTCCCGGTGATCCGACGACGCCAGGCTACCCCTCGAAACCAGACGCGCCGCGACAGAACCCCAATGGGACCATTCCCGGAATACCATCTCTGCCCATATCTTATGAGGATGCTCTGCCTATCCTGAGATCTCTAAACGGATACGGCCCCAAGGCAAAAACCTTTAACAAGTATTGGCAAGGTGGGGGACTAGAAAAACTCGGAGTTCACTACAATGTTGGACCATCGCCGAAGGACCTACAGCTTAATCTAGTCAACGAGCAAGAGTACGTAACCACACCATTATGGAACGTAATTGGTATCATCAATGGCACAATTCAAGACGAGGTGGTTATTTTGGGTAATCATCGTGATGCCTGGATCTTGGGTGGTGCAGGCGATCCAAACAGTGGCTCGGCCGCCATGAATGAGGTTGTTCGCGCCTTCGGTGCTGCCTTGGAGGAAGGCTGGAAGCCTCTTCGCACTATTGTGCTTGCGTCCTGGGACGGAGAGGAATATGGTCTTGTCGGTTCAACTGAATGGGTTGAAGAATACTTACCCTGGCTGAATGCAACTGCCATCGCCTATTTGAACGTCGACGTAGGTACCACGGGACCAAATTTTAAAGCAGCCGCTGCGCCTCTACTCAACCAGGCGCTTATAGAAACGACAAAGCTGGTTCTTTCGCCAAACCAAACTACGACTGGCCAAACCGTTTATGACGTGTGGGATAAGCACGTCAGCACTATGGGCTCTGGCAGTGACTTTACCGCTTTTCAAGACTTTGCAGGTATTCCCTGCATTGATATGGGCTTTAGCTTTGATAAAGATACCCCAGTTTACCACTACCACAGTAACTACGACAGTTTTTACTGGATGGACAAATTTGGCGATCCTGGCTGGCACTACCACGCCACCATTGCACGAGTGTGGGCTCTCCTTGCTGCACGCATTGTAGAGACTCCTATCATTCAACTTAACGCCACTGACTACGCCATTGGCCTGAAGCAATACCTGAAAAAGGTCGAAGATAAGGCGCACAATGCCACTGCAATGGGAAAACGGCTCGATTATCAAGGCCTGCCTTTCAACATATCCTTCAAATCCCTCGAGTCTGTGATTGAGCGCTTTCACAATACCTCTGTTGCGCTGGATGCCGAGGCAGAAGCTCTTCTTGATATCGCACTCAACAACCCGATTCCCTGGTGGCGATGGTGGGAACGGCTAGTTTTTTTCCGCAGAGTAAAAGCAGTGAATGACAGGTACAAGACTTTGGAGCGCCACTTCTTGTACGGCGAGGGTCTTGATGGTCGGCCCTGGTTCAAACATGTTGTATTCGCTCCCGGAAGGTGGACAGGCTACGCGGGTGCGACATTCCCAGGATTGGTGGAGGCTGTTGAGGACGGAGATATCGGTGCAGTGTTCAAGTGGATGGCTATAATTACGGGAGTGGTAGCTAAAGCGGCAGATTCAATGGTCTTGCCAAACAGCTGAACGAAAATGGTCCAAGAAACCAATGGTGTACGAAAACCAGGCAAATGATCGATTCGTGGATAGCGTTTATTGGACGTGTAATGATGTATGATGAAGAAAGTCCATAATTCTGGAAGTCTTGTTACTGCAAGGCAATCACATATCGATAGAATAGAACCAAAATAAACGTGAATTTAGTAGGACTTCTAAGGCCCGGCTGTATAGCATCGCTATGATAAGTCCGTAAGGACTTACGCTAAGCCAATATCTTACAGATCAATCGACGACATGCAATGAGTCCAATACGCCGCAAATGCAAGAGTCCCATCCAGAACTCCCCCTCAAACATGGTGTGTGCAGGTGTGCTTCGCATAGCTTTTCACCACCACATATCGTTGATACCGTCCTCGGGCCCTGGCGCATCGGCTACATGTCCTTCGCCATTGTCTGCCTTCATTCTCCATCCAGCCCTCTCCGCTCTGCGAATGCCCATCCTGATCCACTCGTCCACAACGCCGAGCTGTCGTTGGATGATCAGCTGCGTGTGTTTCCTCACGGAAGCCTTCTTCCTTCGGTGCTCCTCCTCGCTCCACATGAGCACCCGTTCGGCGATTTTCATTTCATCCTCGCTTTCGAGCCTGTACCAGACTGCCTCACGGCTCACGTATCCATATGCGTCCAGTATATTGTCGTCCGCCGCGAAAGGCACGCCCGCGATGAGTGCGGCAGGTATGCACCATGAGGCAAGTTTGGAGAGGTAGTCGCTTTCGGAGCCAAACGAGAACGCCGGGAGAAGGATGTACGATTTGGAGAGGATTTCGTATTGCTCTTGAAGTGGGAGAGCATGGTCGACGCTGAGCAGCGGCTTGACCTTCTTAGGCACATCCGGTGGAGCCCGCTCACCGAGGATGTGCAGACTGATCTCACGCTTTTCAATTTTGGTCTCTTCCTTGGTCTCAATTTTCACGCCCTTTTTCACGCGATCCTTGAGCTCGACAATCTTGTCAAATACTTCAGAATAGTTGTGTCTGGTGGCATCGAAATCGCCGTGCATGGCAATCGGGTACTGGAATGTATCTGCACCGAGGGTCGAAGACATGGCGCGTGCGAGCTCGTCGTTCGGTAGTTGCATCGGGAAGAGGGGAGCCAGATGCCGAACCGTCACTGTGGCATTGAAATCCCATGCGTTGATCACATCTGTACGCAGGTAGCGTGCTGTGTGATGGCTCAGCGCCACGAGATCCACGAGCTGAGCATTGATCCAGGGTTGCAGCTTCTCGATCAAGTTCTGCTCAACCCACCGTTCAGGCTGATGAATCACGCAGAAAAGATATGTATCCTTTCGTTCCAGGAGCTTCGTCAACGGCTCGTTAAGTGCTAACAAGTCAGCCTCGCATGTCGCCGACACTATAATATGCGGCGAGACATCATCTGCCCTGACGGCAGCTTCGAAGTCTTCTGAAGACTTGTTAACGAGAATGGGGTGCGACAGGTTGAAATTGTTTATGATTTCGCCAATTCCATAGCGCTGCTGCAACATGTATAAGCTCAACTGTGTATAGTTCTGAGTACCGAAAGCGTTGATCAGCGCTGCGGTCGTCTCTTCGTTTGTGCCTCCAGACTCCACGATTGCGACATTCACCACGTCTGGTAATGGAGGATCTGGCGGAGGAAACGGCGTCGGCTTTAGATAGGAGCCCGTGCCGTGCGGTGTAGCCGTTCCTACAGCCAGAGGTTTGGTGTTGCTTCCAGCTTCTTTTCCACCTGGCTCGCCCTGTATAAATCCCGGCTTTTTGGGGGGGCTCTCCCATTTCTGATTATCGTCGTGAGCGTCATCCTGTTTGTTATAGCCGCTGGACTGCCAGGCCTGCTCCCATGTTTGCTCAAGCGTGTCTGCCCAACTGTCGGGAATCGGCACTGGCACCGAGAGGGTCACCTCGCTCCGGCGCGAGAATAGGAACAGAGAGATAAGGGCGACACCGCAGAAAACGGCCAGAGCAAAGAACCGGCGAGGTATCATATCGATTGCCCGGCAGTCATGCAGACTGAAATACCATGGTCAAAAAGGTGCTGCTCAGATCGGTACGGCTGGATCGATAAAGTGCAGGTGGTTACTGTCAGGGGCCAAGTGCTTGGGGTGACGCAACAAACCCGCCTGGGGTTTTCCCTTTTGGGACCCCCCAGGTTAACTTAAACATTCTCAGTCACGCTCACGTGAGCACGAACCTGAAGTTACAGTCGATATTTGGTATTTTAAGGTACCACGTTTGCGACTGGATCCAAGGCCCATTTCAGGTGCTATGCCTCAAAAATGCCAATATCCGACAGTCTGATAGTTGGCCTCATCGATAGCATGCATTTGGAGCCCAATCCCGCTCTGGAAATTTTTTACTCTCGACTTCAATCGAAGGAATGGTATACAATTTCGGCCGTCCAGAATCGCGGCCATAACAAGTACTCTTCTAGGAGATGAGGGTATGGAAATGCTGAGGGCAGAATGAGTAATTGCCATCTCATTTACTCACTGGGCAACAGCCAAAACAAACGTACGCATGAGATTGCGAATAGATGAAAGCTGAACTTCGCCTAACCAGACATCTAAGCCCGTCTTTCAAGAATTAACCTCACACAGCAAAGAGTAAAATGCTCGTTGATAATTTCGTCTTGTTTCTATTATAACAATACGCTTGCAACCTAACCTTGACTGATTCAATACTATAGGGCTATTGAGCAGTACCTTATAACAAGCAAGAAACGTGACGAGTCTGTTTCAGGTGCAAATCCAAACATACATACATCATTTTGGGACGATACGCTTCAATAATCTTTGCCACCCTTTCTGGGTGCCATGACTCGTTCGAAGTCGATTCTTTACCATCACCGCCACCACCACCGGTCAAGAAAACTCGTCTCATGATTTAGCCTAGCTCATTTGTTCACACGCTAGTTCAGGGCTATTGGAGGCCACGAAATCAGCCCTCACACCACGAAGCGTTCCTAGATAAGGGACAGGAACATCCCCAACAGTCAAATGGAGCCTTTGCCTCTTATGAGATCCGTCGGCCGTTTGTACCGTGGAAAGGGAGGGTATTCGAACAAGTAATCTCGGATACTTCCTTCGATTGTATTGTCAAATTACCTGTCGCCGAAGATCGAAATGGTTTCGGGGCCTGATCAAAGGTGTTGACCAGTGAATTCTGAAAGCGCACGGCTGAGACTCGGAGTACGCGGCCACGACTAGCCTCCAGATTGCAGCATTTGCTCGTTGGAGGATGCAGGAGACTGCATGGCTTCGCTAGATCTGAAAAGATCGTTGCAAGAATCCTGGTACTTAGCCCTCCTCTGGACGCCATGTACATTCAGGGTAATCGTGGGCTTGCTCTCGAAGCTTTGGTGGCGCCGTGGGCAGCCAATTGCTTGCTGGCGCCAAGACAAATGCTTGAGCTTGACTCCCTATTTTTGGGGCTCCTTAGCGAGCGTGTGCCACCTGAGCAGCCTCGTCTGAATTTGCGCCATGTCTAGATCGATGGTACGGAACAGTGTCACTTATCATAAAGACTGAGCAATGCCCAGGTTTTCAGCCGCGATGAAAGCCTTCGGAACTAAATCTTCTCCTTCAGCCAAGCTGCGGTCTGTCTCAACCGCCGCACTACCTCTTTATAACATATTCTTGCCCGAGATCGTTGGTCCTCGCGATTGGCTCGCTCTTCAGTCTTATAAAGTCATACAACTACGCCCACCCGCCTCAAATCCGGTGTAAACATCTGACTATTCAAGATCTAGCAAGTTTGATCTATCAATATGGAAACAGATTTCTAACAACTTATATACCCCAAAAGACCCATCGCCTCGTCTGACTTGTTTCAGCATACAATACAAAGAAGATGGCACCTACTCCCAAGAGCTATTATCATTCCTCGAGCAGTAATTACGATAGCGGCTCCTCTGGTCTCTCTGCCGGAGCCATTGTAGGCATTGTCATTGTTGTACTCATCGCCATTTTCCTTTGCACCTTTGCGTACAAAGTCTACAAAGCACGTAAAACTGGTCAACCTGTGAATTACGGGACCATATTTGTTGATTCTCTGAAATGGGCGGCGTGCGGCGCTTGTCTTTGCTGTATCGCTCTTTTTGCTTCTGAAAGTGGAGGCAACGACAACAATGGAAACGATAATGGAGGCGCTGGCGAAGCCAATCAGGAATATGCTTCCGTGCCACAAATGCAGATGCCAGAGCCGCAAGCAAATTGGCAACCGCAAATGAACTGGCAGCCAGTACAGTCGGAGGCCCAAGATGGCATTCAAGTGTGAATGGATTTCTTTATGGCGGTGGACGCAAGGAACTCATCTCTCACGAATATGGTTCGGCATGACTTTTTATGTATATCGTCGTTTTATGAAACCGATCTGATTCATGTAATTTCTCCTCAGCACAATGACAGCAAAGTTCAAAAAGACTCGACTATTCAAATACCAGTGCGTAAATTTCTGGACAGCAAACCACCGGTTTTTGAGCTATTTTTGAACCTACAAAGAACTTCGAGACAAAAATTCACTAAGCATGGCCGTGCTGTCCACCATCTGGCCTTGGCCTTGGCAGTCAGTGCAATAATATCACCCTTGCTCGGAAAAAAGCAGTTTTATGAAACATATAAGCTACACCATGTTAGTCTAATCGATTAAGAACGATGATGCCCTCTCGTATCGTGACAACGGATGACTACCAACTGAGGCCCCAGGTTAAGCCTTCCGCTGTCTCCGCGGCACGAAAGCCGTCGTCCAATCTTTGTTGCAATGCTTAATCTTGGACAGCCTGTGCGCATCAAATACGTATCTGCGTACGTGAGTTCGTTCTTTTTGACGTGTTGTATGAATGCAGCAGCTGTCAATATCTTTCAATATGGTTATGCATGTAGAAGGTATATTGCTGGTACAATATGCTTTGAGGTGATAAGTATTAGGTTTGGCATAATGATTAAAGGAAGTAGAGGCATCGCTGTTATGTACTTGCGTATATTTACTTAATTTCCCACCCGATTGATGTTGTATACGTCTGCGACTTGTATGAATTGAAATTAGCATAAACTGATGCAGTGGCGTTTAAATAGCGAAAAGATTCTTGAGTTAGCGGACATGCACTTGCTGTCTCAGCAATCTGAAGTTAGAAATCGTGTCAATATTATACTTCCGTTCACTTCGATTGCCTTATTTTCATCGTCTTAAGCGCTTGCACCGAAAGCGGATTTTGAGGACCAGGGAATACCTACACAAGAGAGGATTTTGGGAGCCTCTATATTCTTCGAGCAAGTTCAAGGAGAACTGTTGGTACTTAGCACAATTATAGCGAGCTCTAGAAAATATTGTTCTTTCTAATGAGCAATTCCTTGTTGGCCAACGATTGGATTAAGAATTTAAGAGATTATGCGAAAAAGGCGTGAGATCTACGTGCTTGAAATTTTGTGGTACTGTAGAACATGATGTCTCATTAATTCTTTGCAAAATCATTTTCCTAACAAAATGGATGAGGCTTATTAAACGCATGGCCCCATTCAAAGGTCCATTGACAGGCGGCAATTATTCATTGAGAGTCAGAAACTGAGATGGAGATCAGACGCCGTGTTCAGTGCATACAAGGGTCGATCGGTTACGCAGCTACTATAAAAAAGAGGACGAGGCTGATATGAAGAATAAAATTGATATGATTTTCTTCAAAATGGCGTTGAAAAATGTGGTAGTCTATATCTTATAGATATTTTGAATTACGTAATATTAGGAATGGTTTCAAGTGATTGAGTAGAAGTGACTGTGTCTATTCACCCATCATAGATAACTATTCTATTAGAAGTGTTCATATTTTCATCACCCAATATCGACACACTCTCGAGGATGTTTTTAAAGTCTGCACATTGCGTTCAGTACATACCACCACGATGGGGTTTCGTCCAGCTGGTCTCTTCCTTCGCGTCGAGCGTATCCAGATAATGAATCCAGCCCTTCTCGTGCCATTCTCGCAGATCCAGCCCCTGTTGCCCAGCATCCAAAGACGTCGCATTGACACTCAAGTAGCCATTCTTCCCTTCTACAAAGCCTTCAGCCGGCGCCCAGACCGTCTTCGTCTCACCATCAACATCCTTATCAACAACTTGGCCTTTGCCCGTGAACGAAAAGCACCTGACCCCACATGTCTTGCAGAAGAACCAATGAATGATCTTATCTGAACAGAGATAGTCGCCTAGGTCCTTGAATGGATCCAACGGTGACAGTAGGATAAAATCGTTGGCTGCATCTGCGAGACGGAGATGGAAGATGCCCATCTTGTGACAGGTGGTGCAGTTACACTTCCTCATACGAATGCTGTCGAAATTCTTCGCACGCGTCGTGTTTGTTTCACCCGATGTCAGTGTGGGCGGGAAGCTGAGGTAAACTACGTATTTGATGAAACCACAATGGCAGGATCCCGTGAAGGGCTTGCGTTCATTTCGTACAGTCGTCATGATTTGAAACCGATTTGACAATTCGAGATTGGGCCAAAAGTTAAAGGACGGAATGAAGCAGCTTCGCGACGCGCAGGTACAACACGCTGTCACATGATACTGGAGTTGCTGCCTAAGTTCTCGAAAACAAATTTTAATTCCTCCTGCTTGAGCCAGAAATCTCGAAGAGGCCCGAAGCAACAGTCTCAGTGCCGCTTTACGCACACCTGTTCACTTCAATGAAACTCTTGATCGAGGCTTGAACTGAGCATGAACGTAGTCTATAATTGAAACAGCTTAGGCTTGTTTCTGTTTTCGAGCAGAGTGATTTATTCTAATTGCTTAATTGACGAACTCATAGCTCTAGACTAGATGAGAGAGGGAGCTTGGATTGATTCAAAACCGTAGGTTGAATGTCAAAGCAAGATGCAATTGGCATGACAGTGAAGACAGAGCCTACGATGTTCTAAGTGAGATGAATTGCAGTCTGTAGGCTCTGTGGCTTGAGTGAGAGTTGAAGCGACAATGAGACTCGCGACTCTCGTGACTAGACCTTGGACAGCTTTATTTGGCTGAGTTGATCCAAATTCTAGACTGGATCGTGTCGAGATGTGGTAGGGATGCTTGGAAGAAGCTTGATAGTAATACTAGGAACGGCGCCATATCAATTGTGGTATTCTTGCGTGCCGCTTCACAATCATAAAGGCGACATGGAAGAATTGTCTAGTAGTCTACTAGATTCGAAGATAGACGGTTAAATTTTCAACTTTTCAAATTTTCTTCGACCTCGATGTCCATAGAATTTGTTCAAGCTACTTTAAGAATGAAGTCAAATATTGTCACGTGATACCGTGGTTTTTCCACCTTGGCTTCTCAGATTCTCAGTTCTCAAGCTGCGTCGGCCGTGACACTATTTATCACCGACACAAATTTCCATCCCCATTCATGGCACATCCTAATCAAGGCAAGAGGAAAGATGGGCCTGCGCTAGGGAACCAAGGTCGAAACCACAAGCGCACAAAATTATGGGATGCGAGGTCTATCCGCAGCCAGACGTCTGATGCGGCCTTCAGTAATGGCGAATTGAACGTGGATAAATTTATCAAGGCACGTGAATTTGAGATAAAAGCTTTGGAAAATGGAATCAAGAAGGCTAAGCATGGCCTGTCTACACGTGCGCATCAGGAGCTGCCCAAAGAGCTGCGGAGGAGGACCGCTAGTCACAATGTGAAGAGGCTACCCAAAAGGTTGCGCGAGAGAGCTAAGAAGGAGGTAGGAAACTATTCTTCGCTTCAATCCTTTGCTTTCCCATGGCCCAGATAGTCAGCCTGTGTTGCAGTAATACTAACTAGGTTAAAGATGATTGAAGACAACACGCCAACTGTGACTTCTCGAAGGAGAAAACCAAGCGGTCATAAGCGATTACGTCTTGAGATCGTTGAACGACTGCAAGCTCTCAGCGAGAAGAGCAAAGAACGGAGACGGGTGAAAAAGGCTGTTAAGGCCAAGTCTCAACCCACTGCTGAAGTACCTTCGGAGACCGGCCAAGTAGTTACTGCTACTCAAGAATCGGTTAAAGTGAAAAGTCCCAAGGTGAAAAAATCGCGATTAAGAGAGCCAGCTCTGCCACCGGCAAGGTTTCGTAAGCGACAAATAAACAAGACATGGCTACCCACGCACATGTGGCACGCAAAACGCGCAAAAATGACGCCACCAAGAGAGCCGATGTGGAGATTTGCCATTCCACTTACTCCATCTATCAAAAGCTATCGCAATACTCATCGTGCAAGCGCAGATAAAGGTGCTATTGCCTGGGATACGAGCTATATGTCCACCATTGGACTCGAGGGACGCGAAGAGAGCATCGCAGGCTTGCTCAAAGCATTAGGAGTTGGCGCTAAAAGCTCAGAATTTGATCCTTGGGGCGTGTCAGGAGCAAAATGGCGCGCAGGGACACGAGTTTGGGAAGGCTGGCTTCACGAGCGCGATGCTCCAGCGACTTTAATCGCTCCAGCAGCAGTACTGTGGAATTCTAATCAGTTAGAATCAGAAGCGGGAGTTCAACCTCAGAATAAGCCAGGCAAACGGAAGTTGTTCATTCGAATTCATCCGGCTGCCTTCTTTCAATTGTGGGAGCAGGTAGTTCGCCTGGCAAAAGTGCAAAAGCCCAGCCTTGCCGTGGAAGACCTACGCTTCGAGATTGGTAGCATAGAGATTACTGGTCCGAATGCTTCAGAGGCCCTCGTTGCTGTTCTACGGCCTCTTGAACAAACATGTGGAGACGCAATATGGCCCAAGCTAGCAGCGACTACTCCCGCATCCCTCCCAAGAAATTGCTTGCTAGCAATCTCAATTACTGATCCGAGACTCCACCATCCTCCTCGGACAATAGCAATAGATCAGCTAAATGCTCAAGATCCGAAGCTGATACAACTGCTGACTAGTTGGCCGCTTGACCGCACGCCCTGTGCAGCAGCTATATTTGACCGCAACGCTCGAGCCAAGGCTACACGATCTATGCCGTCTAACTCTGCCGTGAATCGCCGTAAATCAATGGCTGATCCAGGCGAGTATCCAGCCATTCTTCCTTCTGATCCACTGATTCCGGTCCTAGCATTCGCAACCCAGTCTAGTCCGGAGGAGAGTGGCACTTGGACCGTCTTGCTTCCATGGCGCTATGTTTTGCCGGTTTGGAAATCCCTTGTATGCTATCCCCTTTCCACTGGCGGCGCCATACGGTTTGGAGGCATCAACGAAAAGAGGCAGCTTGCATACGAGAACGGAATTCCTTGGTTTCCGGCTGATTTCCCGGCTACGAAAGCAGGACAGCAGTGGGAAGCTGAGGATTCGCATAGACGAAAAACTGAATGGGACCGAAAGCCGAAAAGCCGCAGAATTGAGTTCCGAAGCATTAATCTTGGCGAAAATCGCAGAGGAGAAATTGGCGTTGGATGGTCTTGCGACTGGCAAAGACTGATTGATGGGCCACCAGTTGCAGAAGAAAATCGAATGAACACAAGTTTGGAAGATGAGGGTATATCCGAGGATTTGGAAAAAACAGCGAAAGCCCTTACAGCTTTACACCAGATACCTCAGGCTATTGCCTCACAAGCTCTAACACGTGGGAGAATTTCCAATCTCGAACCTAACGGGTTGGCAACAGTTCGGATCACCATGTTGAGTCGTGGTCGGCCAAATATTTGTGCTCGAATCTACCGTTTGCCAACCAACAACCCCAATTTGCGACAAAAATGGCTGGAGCAACAGCCTCCTCTTCGAAAGAAACAACCACATAGCAGAAATGCGAAGTTCCCATCTCGACCGAGTGAAAACGCATCTTCTGCAATGCAGAGATCGTGGCTTGCTGCAGCGATACTAGCAGACCCTCCTGAACCAGGAAGCAAGGACTACCCCGTCGTCCCAGATGAAATTGACCTGGTTGGTTTTGTCACCACTGGAAATTTCAACTTGAATGTTGGCAAGGGTGTCGGTATCGGGTCGGTACTTTTGCGGAAAGTGTTAACAAGTGAACAGTGTGGTGCGCTTAAGGATACGGATTTGCATCCACCAAGTCATGAACAGTTCCTCTGCATAGTGAGAGATGCTGGCGAATCATACGGTAGACTTGCCAAGTGGAAGCTCGTATGAAAGATGCGTGACCCTTGCGGACAAGTTCTGTTGATCCAATTCGGCACGTAATTATGTTCACCCTGATTGGCCTTCATGTACGTGCTCAGTCGAAGCATGGATGAACTCTAGCACAATAGTACCAATCGGTATGATGGTGTTGTGTAACTCCTTCATAAGCGGCCTGGTTAGCGGAGAACCCAACGCGACCCTGAATCTTTTTACAGCCGGGCAAATGTGCTGTTCATTTGCAGCCGAGGCCGTATGGTTCCGGAAGTCTAGGAAGGTCGAAGTTGCTATCCTACTCCAAAGCAAAGGTCAGTCCGAGGAGGTACAAGCAGTTGTGAAGAATGAAAAGTACATCCCAACCAGTCACCTCAATGGCCTTCGAGTGGAAAATCGCAATTCCTTCATTACATATATGACCGGAATAGTTCTCTTGCCTACTTTGGCGTTTCGAGCACGTCACCTCCTGGGTTGGAACGAGTATTTCATGTCCATGGCAGAGAGAAATCTTTGGCGGATGACAAGCATCTCCCACCTCGTGTTGCCTCTGTCCATAGCTGGCCTCAGCGGGATTCGATTTCGCCGCAGCAGCAAATGGCTCCGTCCTGTACTCTGGGCCTTCATATGTGCTTACATTCTTCTGCGGGTGTTTGTAGTCGTTGAGTTGCTTGCAGGTCTGCGCCAGTTCCCTTCAGATGTACACAAAGACGATAACTGGACCAAATATACTCCACACACTGGGAGCTGAATGAGAAGCGCTGCATCCTGTTTGAAGAGGGCAATTTTTACCTTTTTTATGTTTGCATCTTGCAGTAGTGGGCTATTAAAAGCTTTTCCATTTGAACCCGTTGTTTCTAATTTCTTATATGCTAATAATTTTTTCTACATCCCTCGTCGAAATGATCGTCATCGGTTAAATTAGGCCAGTCGCACTCACCTTTTATCTGGGTAAATTTTTGGGGTTACCAGCCAAGTAAGAGCTCCAGACGTCGTTCCACCCTATCCACTAGTCTCTCATCAGGTACAAAGCTTTTACAAGAATCTCAGTTCCTTTGTGCAGGGGAATTTGGCGCGAATGAACTTTTTGCTTCCAAATGTTGACGGGAATGGTTAGACCCAACCACATCGATCTCCTGCACACAGTCCTGAAAGTTCTCTTTTTGTGCTGCTTTGAGCTGTTCATGATCTGAAGAATATAGCTTTGATTGAGGTGTGCAGTAACCAAGACGGCCAACACCTAAACGATTCTCGACTGGATTGTGTTGGTTCAAAGTCCTGACGTGAACCGAAGGCGAAGGATGCGTGGTATCAACTTGATCGTGCTTCGTCGCGGAATATTCGACGCACGTCGGTCCTGACAGATTGTTGCCATCATATTGCTGGTGCGTTGCGATGTTGCATGACAGGTACGAGGGTTCTTCTTTGTTGACCTAGTTTGGAGGATCGCGTGTGCTTGATAGCGAAGCTTGAAGAGGGCTGTTCGCCCGAGGAGCCTGCGCATAGGGAGACTGCATGACACAAGTATGTTACGTCGAATTTGTCAAGAGCCTGGAGCTAGAATAAGGGAGAATGGATATTGGTTTGTTGTTCTTTCATTCGATCAAAGATAATTCAGACGAGCACGTGACGAGGCCTTTGTGAGTCACTCGAAAAGGTACCTGAAAGAAGTGTGTATATCATCATGAGCTGGTGCAGACACTTGGAGCGTTGGGCCTTGTTCAAATTGGGTTTCCAGCTCCTCGGACCAACTGCAGATTCTGATGGAAGCCAATGAATGGACTCCTTTCGATCTACATGAGGTAAATTTTTTATCGCGCGAGAAAGGGCGTCACGAGCGAGGTTGATCTTCAGTTCCACAAACACGACTGGCATAGTGGCACCTATTTTGTCTGCACAGAGACGACGCAATGTTAATTGTGTTTCAGCGACTCTCAGCGAAAGGAGCTTTCAGTCATGTCCTCCCAACCACTAAAAATAGCGTGAGGAGGGTATGCTTTTCCGACGGATAGAAATACTGGTAGATTGAACGAAGCAGGCTATGACTACTCGAATGAACGCTTTCGTTCATCTGAAGGGGCTGTTGGGACCAAGGTCTGCGCGTGCTTTCATACCCGTCAAGATTCCCGTTGCTATATCTAGGCAGGCATCTTCTAAATGAATAGGAGTAGGAGAAAAGTCAAACAGTGCTGTTACAAGATAGATAACGACGTGCAGCTAAATCCCTCAGTTTTCTTTTAGATTGATAAGGCTGCAAATTGAACTCAGGCAGAAGCATACAGTAGCCAAAACCATCGCTGGCAGTACTTATATGAAGGAAGCAGAAAGATAAAGCACTTTGTCTCCAGAGGGTCTGCCGACGTTCCCTTCCTGTGGTGAGGGATATGTGGGTTTGCCCCCGCGATATGTTCGTTGCGGTCGCGTCAATGCGGCGCCGGCACAGTCCGATCACGTACCCAAATTCAGTTTAGTGCTCAGACTTTGCGGCTGAAAGATGGCGAGCAAGGTCGATCGTCGCGAACGACGATGAAAGCGGGTTAGTTAGACCTGTGTCATTGAGCGGAGCAGTCTGCTGAGAATACGAACAATCATCGAATGTCAAGCGAAAGTCGACGTTGAGCATGTGACATAGCCGCAAAGCCCTGCCTTCTGACCTCCGTGCTTAAAATAGAGAGAAGCGTGCCTGGCGGCGAGAACGGCCGTTATCTTCATCATGCATCTTGGCGATGAATTGTGGCTTGTTTGTGTGTGTAACTAGTCCTTAAGTTACCTGCGAATTGGGAACCACATCGACGTGTCTTCTCCACGTAATGAACGAAGCAGTGCTCGTGCTATGATCAAGCTTCGCAGAGCGTTTCCGGCTCGGCGCGCAAGTACGAGGCGTCGTCTCGTGCTCGCCTTCTTTCTTGGCTGTGTTTGGTGGATAATCACTTCTGTGCTCTTCGCTGCCCCCATAACACCGGAATGGGCCGAGCGCGCCGTGACGCCTGGCGAGCGCGCCGATGTGGTAAAAGAGGTATTCAAGTCCGCGTGGGAGGGCTACTACAAGCACGCCTTTCCAAACGACGAGCTCCACCCGCTGCTGAACACCTACGGGAACTCGAGGTATGCGACTCGGTCCACGTCTGGATCTCAATGCTAACAGTGCTAGAAATGGGTGGGGTGCTAGCGCTGTCGAGGCCTTGGGCACGGCAGCAATCATGGAAGCCCAGGATATTGTGGACACGATACTGGATTTTATCCCCACAATTGACTTTCATCGAACAAAGACTCCAGTGAACCTGTTCGAAACCACTATACGGTACCTTGGAGGCATGCTCTCTGCATATGACCTTCTCACCGGCCCCGTGCACCATCTAGTCCGCAAGGTATCATCTGAGTGAGTGCATGCTTCTTTAAGACCATTCTAATTTATACATAGCGTGAACGCGTCGAGCCTCTCCTTGTACAGTCCCAGAAACTAGCAGAAGCTTTGAAGTTTGCATTTAAAACACCCACCGGCGTGCCATGGAAGGTCCTGTTTCTTGAAAAGCAGGAGAGCGACGGCAACCCTTCGAACTCTGCCGCGGCTGTTGGCAGCCTTGAGCTTGAGTGGACCCGACTCTCCGAATTAACCGGGTTGCTGGAGTACAGAACGCTGGTACAGAAGGCGATGAAACCGATGCTGAACCCACGACCAAAACGGACGGAGCCGTTTCCCGGCATCATCGGAAACTGGATCAATGTGAATACTGGTCAGTTCACAGACGCGTGGGGCTCTTGGGGCCCTGGCGGTGATTCTTTTTACGAATACCTGATCAAAATGTACGCGTACGACCAGACTAGTTATGACGTCCATAAAGACAGATGGATCGTGGCAGCAAAGTCGGTTATGAATGTCCTGGCCGAAACCCCACGCGGAAGCAACCTAAAATTCATCACCACCACTGATGGGAAAAGCTTGGATCACCTGTCGTCTCACTTGGAGTGCTTTGCCGGTGGAAATTTCATCTTGGCCTCTAAAGTTTTAAATGACAGCCGATATTTGGATTTTGGCCTGGAACTCACGGAGAGTTGCCATGAGATGTACGTACGTACAGCAACTCGAATCGGACCGGAAAGGATCGGATTTTCCCCTGAAGGCTGGCCAAAAAAGCAAAAACAGCAGCTCGAGGACCTGGGCTTCGTGATATTAGACCCAAGCTATCAGCTGCGACCAGAGACAATGGAGAGCTACTACTACGCGTACCGGGCTACGAAAGACCCAAAATACCAAGAGTGGGCATGGGATACATTCGTCGCCATTGTGACCCACACGAAGGTGCGAAACGGCTTCGCGCCAATTAGTAATGTTAATAGGATAAGATGGAATTGGAAATTCGGCAGGCAAGAAAGCTTTTTCTTCTCCGAGCTGCTCAAGTACGCGTACCTTATCTTTGCAGATGTAAGTCTGGGCTCACTTGATCTTTTGGGCGTCTCACTTAACGCACGTAGGAAGCGGAGTATCAGTTTAACTATGACGGACTGAACAATTGGGTCTTCAACACCGAAGGCCACCCACTGAAGGTTACGAGGCCGTGGTAAATCGATTGTCTAATTCGTTGCCACAAACGATCTAATCAGATGTCTTTTGGCGGACATGGCCTAATTAGATTCAACGCAAATGAATGATTTGATGTATGCAACAGACTCAGTGAACGAATATACTATGAAAAAAATGAATTCGATTTCCCTCATCTAGTTCGCTACCTGTGACATAGTTTTCATCAATCTCCTTTTCTAGTTAAAAAAAAATTCTCCATTGAATTTATGACGTAGATGCAGCGGTATACTAGGGTTCACTTCGCTTTGTTTTTCTAATCTTTGATTTTTCCAGCATGAGTGGAGTTCTGACGGCTTATTGTCCAGGACTTTTCACTCGAGGACAATGGTCGATTTAGGACTTGGGGATGGAGAAAACCCAAAGTCAAGCAGCGAACATTGACAATCACTTGGTTCTCCTAGAACTCATAGCGATGAGTTAGGAAGCAAACCAAGTTGCTATAACTGCATTTAAATCCGTTGGAAATAACCCCGAGTATACCGTATTTTAATCCGCAGCTTCGGTGCAAGCTGATTTTAGGGAGGTAATGGAAGGGTCGCGTATCGACGGAGGTCAAGATGGAAATGGATTAGAGTAGAATAAGTTTCAATATTATTTATACACTCTACATTGCCCACGGAAGTATTCTGGTACATGTCGGCTCGGTCAGAGTGCAAAGATGGAGCGACCTCCCTAAGTGTGGCTATCATCGCGTGTTCGTGTCGGCGAACAGGCCCCATCTCTTCCACAACGCCATGCGGATCCCCATAACCCGATGCTTTTTTGTACACTAATGAGACATGCCTTTATCGTAATGTCGGGCCGTCTATCCCAGTGGTGAGATGAGCCTGTTGCAGAACTGTTAGTTCCTACGTAGAAAAGGACATCTGGCTCAGAGATCAGCGTACTTGATGAGAGATGGCTTTGGCACACTTCTGGTATATCCGAGCCATAGAATCAAAGGAACGTAGCCACTGCAGTATTGTTAGGACTCATGTCTCGATGGATGGCGCAACGTGAGCGTGTCCGTACTAGTGAATTGCGACTCTTGAGAGGTCGATGATCTTAGCAATGCGCTCCTACATGCATGGTCAGAATAAACGGCATTGATCAAGCGGGAGTACTCATGCCTTGGATTCCTCTGATAGCTGCATTTTGGCTGGTGCGGGTGTGATGGTTGATGAAGTACAGGAATGATGTTGGCCGCAGAAATCTTGAACTTCTTTGGGAAAGGCGTCCGAGCTTCCAGGGTTTGCGATATTCTCGAGTAAGGTTACAAACCACTTTCGTGCTGATCTTTTCACCCGCGCGAAGACAAGTCAACCTTTGCACACAAGGGACTTTTGCGATTCTGTATTCCCCAGATACAGAACATCTGTCTGCTTGTATCTGCCGGACAACTTCGCCGTCATCAAACTTCCACGGCGTAGAGCTCAGGACCTGGCTTAAAGATGGCGCAAGCAGCGAGGCATTGGTACGATAGGAATCTTTCCTGTTTCATACAGATACTAACATGCTTATAGGGAGCAAGACAAAGAAGCTACTGTGTACATAGGAAACCTCGATGAACGGGTTACAGACGCGCTCGTTTGGGAGCTCATGCTACAAGCCGGGCGCATTGTCAACGTCCACCTCCCCAAAGACCGAGTCACGCAAACACACCAGGGCTATGGTTTCGTTGAATTCATAAGCGAGGAAGACGCCGACTATGCGGCCAAAATCATGAATCAGGTCAGACTGTATGGGAAGCCTATTCGTGTAAACAAAGCGAGCGCAGACAAGCAGAAAACAGTGGATGTCGGTGCCGAGCTGTTCATCGGTAATTTGGATAGTATGGTGGATGAAAAAACGCTTTATGATACATTTAGCCGGTTTGGAACGCTCATTTCACCCCCCAAGGTACGCATATACACTCCCTCTATTGTTCATTCTTGTACACTGACGCGCGTTCATCACAAAGATCGCTCGCGACGAGGCCAACGTATCCAAGGGCTACGGTTTTGTGTCTTTCTCCAACTTCGAATCTTCGGACGAGGCAATTGCAAACATGCACGGCCAGTTCCTCGCCAATAAGGAAATCACCGTACAATACGCCTACAAGAAAGACGGCAAGGGTGAGCGACATGGTGATGCTGCAGAGCGTCTCCTCGCCGCTCAAGCACGGAAGCATAACGTTGAGGTTCCACAGCAGCCTGGCTTGCAGAATATGTTCAACCCAACGCCGATGGGTGGGCCTGTGGGCGGTGTTCCGCAGCCCCCGCCTACGGTCCCCCCTCCTGCAGGTGGTATGGGGATGATGCCACCAGGCTTTGGTGGTATGCCGCCACAGCCAGCGTATGGGCAGGTGCATGCTCCTGTTCCGCCACACACACCAACACCTCCGGGGATGGCAAGGCCGGCTCCACAGAATACACCGTTACCTCCAGCTCCGGCTGGACTTCCAGCAAGACCACCACCCAGCACTGTTGGATATGGAGGACCCCCTGGTTTTGCACCTCCTGGCTTCCCACAGCAACCTTTACCACCGGGCTTTGGACCTCCTGGGTTTGGAGCACCAGTAGGAATGCCACCTGGCTTCCAGCCACCTCCGGGAAGATGATTGGTCAAACGCATCATCTCACAGACGAAGCAGATGTGAGAGGCTCAAAACATCTCAACACATCCGTCAAAGGATGAAGATATGATCAACAGTCTCGATTTCTGAGGCTTGGATTTGATGCACGGTAGCAGGTGCGGCCGCTACATGACGGCACGAACGTGCGGAAGCTCAGAGTATGAGACCTCACGAAAGTCACGGGCACGGCCTTAGATGACACGGTCTAAACCTCTCTACCTGCGCAGAACCCAACCCGCGCAAGTGGAGTGTCGTTGATGGAGCGTTTGAGACACTGGAAGAGTGGAAGGGACAAGACAATGGACTGGAAAACCTTACGCCTAGTTCGATATGCTGAGACTTCCGTCCGTTTGGAATGCAATTTAAGCTTATATAGTCCTGAATGATAACTCTTAGTGTTTGTACATCCACTCCAATAGCCATTCACTCTTAGAATGAACTTGAGCGCACGTCCAATCTCGCACCATAGAAGTTGGTTTGAGTAAGGATATCAATCCATCCGTAATGAATCACCTGGTCTTCGCGTTTTCATCCAGACCGAAAGCTGACGGTCTACATGAGCAGAGCAGCAAACGCTGCACAATTCTTCAAGGACTATGGTCAAGTTCTGGTAGATGTGAGATGTTATGCATGGATTCTTAATCACATCCAACAGCGGCATCCCTTTGATCTGTCATTTTCGTGGTTCTCGCTGTCGAAATCGAGCCGAGCCTCAAGGCCCCTTCGTCCGCTCTCCCGTCGTGTTCGTCGCCCCAGCGTCAATCTGTTCGATCTTCTTGATCAGCTCGTCCCTATGGCGCATCCACACGGCCTTCTGCGCCTCGAGCCGCGCAATCTTCTGCTCATTCGTCTCCGCAAGAAATTCTTGCCTCAGCTGCGCCGTATGAGTTCAATTAGCTTTTTTATTTTATTTTATTTTGTTTTGTTTTCTGTTTGCCATCGACCCCGGGAGGTGATGAAATACCTGCTTCTTCTCCGAATCCGTCTTGAGATTTGCACCTGAGTAGGCGCCAACCATCACAACGGCCGCCGCGCCGATGGCATAGATTAGCGAGCGTTGTCTGTTCCCCGACATGATCTTTGGTTCGGCAATGATGATGTTAATGAATCTGTGCGATCGAGATACGGGTTTGGAGAATCGGTACGTAGATCTGCTTTGCACGTGGACGCTGTGGCTTGAGCTTCTCCGTGCCCTTCAAGCCCTTGACGTAAATGGTGTTCATCACCACTTTTCGTCTGGATCGCGACTCCCGCAACATATATCCTGGCCCCGCAACAAAATGGTGTTTGTACGCGCTGATGCCTTTCATTTCCTTACGTGTCAAGGTTGTGCACAATGCGACCTTGGACGCTAATTACGCCCGCTTCAAGAGGCATTGGACTTGCCTTGACGAGACATATCCTACGAACAACGAACGTGCCCGTCGTCGCCACGGCGCGTAAAGACGTTGGCAATGCACGAGGGAATATTCTTCACGAGTTGAGGGATGTCGACGAGTCTAGATTGACCGTCCTGCCGCTTGACGTTACGGGTCTGCACGAACATTCCATCGTCGCAAGAATCGCGCCATACTGACTTGACGACAGACGAATCCAGCATAATAGAAGCCGCGTCCGTCATATCGCGGCTGCTTCCCAAGGACGAGAATCACCTACACCTCGCCTTCGCTATTCCGGGAATCCTACATCCGGAAAAATCACCCGCTCAAATCGATTACAGCAACGCTCTCGAAACGTTCAAGGTCAACGCGCTAGGACCTCTCATGCTCATCAAGCACTTCTCTCCTTTCTTACCGACGAGAAAAGACCAGCTGCCGCCCAGTACCGAATCGGACATGTACGAGGGTTTGAATGCCAGCAACGCGACGTGGGCGACCATGTCCGCGCGGGTCGGGTCCATTTCGGACAACGGCCTGGGTGGATGGTACAGCTACCGAGCTTCCAAGGCGGCCGTCAACCAGATTGCGAAAACGTTCGACAATCACTTGAAGGCCGTCGCTGGCGAGCGTGCCATCTCCGTGGCGCTGCATCCGGGCACGGTGAAGACGGACCTGTCGAAGGAGTTTTGGCACAGCGTACGAGAGGATAAGCTGTTCAGCCCCGAGTTCGCGGCGGAGCGGCTGGTGAGGCTATGCACGAGGGCAGCGGAGGAGGGAGGGATCGGTGTGCAGGGCAGGGGAAGGTGTTGGGATTGGAATGGGCAAGAGATAGCGCCCTAACACGCGACGGGAACATGTTCCTGATCGGTTCAATTTCGACGTCGTGCTATTCATTCCCTATATCTGCGGTGCTTCTCGCCACCGTTTTACGAGTACAATTCACGCGCTTAGCCGTGATCTATTTCTTGTTGAGTTCTTCGGCCCGCTTCCTTAGCTCCTCTTTGCTTGCCGGCTCGCCGATGTCTTGATTGATCACTGGCCCCTTTTGATTGACAACTGTCAGCATGGGCGATTGTGCTCGTAGGGCTCAGACATTCGCCTCTGCGCGATTGACTACTTAACGTCTACGCGGTAGAAAACAAATGTGATGAAGGGAAGGTGGGCCAACTTGACGTTTGTACGCACCTTGCTGTGGTGATCGAAGGCATGGGCTTTTCCGCCTGAGCTCGCGTGGCTATGATCCTCCCTGTGGAGAGGATGATCCGAAGCATTCGAGCTGGAAGACTCCTTTGCAACCTTGTCGGTCAGATCTGGCCAAAGTGTAAGCCCGGAGGAGCGAGCAAAAAGTGCCAAAACGGCGCGGGTCACCACGACATACTGCCCTCGGTGTTCTCTTCCTTGGGATGGTGAGGCATGATGCTTCCGTTTCAGTGTGCGTGTGATTCGAGACTGAATTTCGTATGAGATTTCTGCTCCAATCGTGAGATCTGGCGCCCGCGTCAAAAGTGTTGTGCTGCGCCTTGATAAGCGTGGTGCGGCACCGTCTTAAGTGAATGTACGTACCGCCGAAGTATGACGTTGGTCGATGCCTGGGAGAGCGGACCAAGTTTACGTCAGAAAAGGCTCGACGCACTTGTCCTGCAAATCGTTTTGCGAGGCTTCCCCACTATAGACCATTCCAAAACAGTTTGTCCACAGGCCAATGTACCCTTGTGTCGTGTTCATTTCACTACGTAACATGTACGACATTCTTGGTGAGATCGTGCTTTGCGACCGGCATTAGGCTACAAGTAAGGCTGAATGGCGTGCTCGAATTTCCCTTTTTCAACTCCCTGAGCTTGGTCGCGCAGCGAGTGGGTTATGTGGGGAACGAAGACAAGGGTAGAGGCTTGGGGAAGACAAGGGAAGGGACAAATAAATTGGGATGTTCGGCATGTCAAATTTGTCGTCGGAGTCGTCACGAGTATACTTGATGTTCGTCCACTTGAAGCAGGCAACACTAGCAGCACAAAGAACCTCTCAAGACGCCAGCAATTTAAGGTATCTCCCGATCCATCTTCATAGCGTGCCGTCGCAATGCGTTTCCGAAGTTATGCTCTCCAACACAGGGTGCTGTGATGAACCGTTCCGCTCTCCTAAGCGACAGATTGAAGAGATTACACCCCTCCTCTCCATCTTCGACCGTCTTCAAATCACCCACCCAGATAGGAATAATTTCGAAACTTGCATCCTCCACTCGATTAACGAATTAGCCAGCTCTGGCAATACGAAAACCCTCAAAGAAAAAAAAACCCACTGGATCCTTCATGCGCTCTAGGGAATCAAAAACCAAAAAAAGTATAGATTATCGGATCCGAGCATATGCCAAACTTGTACGTGAGGATGAGTGATTTTACACCTGAAGCGAGAAAAGCAACGAGAGAGAGAGAGAGAGAGAGAGAGAGAGAGAGAGAGAGAGAGAGAGAGA